TATATTTATATAAACTAGTTAGTTTTATATATAATTATATATATATATATAATATTATATAATTATATTTAATATTACTTATATTAGAATTAATCTAGTTAATTTCCTTTATAGAAATAGCTTTAGTAAGAAATTATATATTTTATAAATTTCGAGATATAATTACTTATTAAATTATTTTCTTTAAAAATAAAGAGATTAGCTTATAAGATATTTATTAGTAAGTAATAAAATAATAAAATAAATTAATAAGTTATAAAATTATAGTATTAAATTTAGTATAAAACTAATTTTTATTTCTTTTATAAAGTTTAGAAAAGCTTTTTTTAAATAAGAAACTCTAATAATATATAAATAATTAGTAATTTATAAGTTTAAAACTTATAATATAAATAATAATTAGTTATAATATTAAAGAACTACTAATTTCTCTAATTAATATTTATAATATTCGAGATTTATTATATATTCTTAAATTATATATAATTCTATATATATTATAAAAATTAAGTATCTTTTTCTTTTTATAGAACTGAATTATAAGTAAAAGTAATTAATAATTATTTTCTTTTTAATATAAAATAATAGCTTTATTTCTAAAAAACTAAATTTTAAATAAATATAGCTTAATTCTTTTTATTATCTAATTTATATATATAAATAAATCTTATTCTAATCTAAATATAAACTAATTAGTATTAGTTTACTAGAAATATATAATATTATTATATAATTATAAAATATTTATTATATAAATTAGTAAAGTAATTATTATTTAAAAATAAGAATTATAGTATTATAATATTAATATATACTTTCTAAATCTACTAAATCTAATAGAAACTAGCTATTAGTTAAATTACTTATATAATATAAGGTTATATAATTATTATTTATTATTTATATTTTATTACTTCTAATTACTTTTATATTATATAACTATATTATATAACTATTAATAATTATAGCTATATTAATAAAAAGAATTCAGATAATTAAAAAGAATCCGAAATAATAATAGAAATACTTTTTCTTTAAAGTTTTTTTATTTATAAAAGTTTTTTAGAATTTTATTAAAGCTTATAAGAATTATATTTAAATTATTAAAAAAAGATTTAGAATTAAGAAAGATTTATTATAAGTAAATTAGTTATAAATATTTTAAATAAATAAACTTTAATTCTTATAAATTTCTAATTTCTAAAATAAAAATATTAAATACTAGTTCTATTTAGAACTTAATAAAAATTAGATAATACTTTCCGGAATCCGATTATTCTTTAATAAGATATAATTATATTATAATAATATTAGTATTAAGAATATTAAAAAAAGTAAATAAAAAACTTATAATAATTATATATATTTTATAAAAGGCTCGAATTTCTAAAATTAAATTCTAAATAGCTATAAATATTATATTATTAGTATTTAAAATACTAATAATAGATTATATAAAAATCTTAATAATAATTTTAATAGTAAACTTAATATCTTAAAAATAGATTTTATAATATTATTTTAGGAAATTAGAAAATATCTAAATATATTAAAAAAAACTTACTTTTAGAATATTAATTTAAATAATATTTTTATTAATTTTATTAAAACAAGTAATAGAATTCTGAAGTTTAATAAACTTTTTCTAGTTTTTAAAAATCTAATTAGTAAACTTATTATTAATAATATAATACTATTTAGAATGTTTTTTAGGAAATTTCTTAAAAGTTATAATAGTATTTTTCTAGAATTAGTAAGCTTCTAATAAATAATAAGAAATCTGGAATTATATTAATTTTAATAAATATTAAAGCTAAAGAATTTACTAAAATATAAGATTTAAAATTCTTATTATAAATAATTTCTGAAATCTCGGAAATATTTATATAGGTTTCTTATATAAATATTTTATTAAATTCTTTTTATAAATTCTTTTTATAAATTCTTTTTATAAAACTATTTAGATTATTCTAATATAAAATTTAATAAATAGTATTAATTTTATAGAATAATATTTTAGTATTTTGAATTAAGCTAATTAGAATATTTAGTTTCTAATAAAATTATAATTATTAGCTAGCTTCTATATCTAAAATATATAATTACTATTTCTTTTTACTTATTTAGCTTTAATTTAATTAAGTAATTTTTATATTTATTATTTAGATTATATTAGTAAAACTACTTTTTAAAATATTAAAAATTTATTTTAATTAAATATTTTACTAGAATAAATTAATAAATCTTAAAAATAAGATTTTAAAAAAGAGATATAATTATAATATATATAGAATTATATATAATTTAAGAATATATAATAAATCTCGAATATTACAAGTATTAATTAAAGAAATTAATAAATTTTTAAATTTTTAATATTATAATTATATTATTATTTATATTATAGGCTTTAGATTTATTAATTACTAAATATATATATATATATATATATATATATTATTAGAAGCTCTTATTTAAAGAAGACTTCTCTAGACTTTATAAAAGAAATAAAGATTAGTTCTATATTAAATTTAATATTATAGTTTTATAATTTACTAATTTATTTTATTATTTTATTACTTATTAATAAATATTTTATAAAAATAAAAAATAAATAAAATAAATAAAATAATATATAATAAACCTCGAATATTAAATAAAGAAATTAATAATTCTTATATATTATTATTTTATTACTAATTATATTATAAGTTTTAAGCTTATAATTTTCTAATTATATATATATTATTAGAGCTTCTTATTTAAAAAAAGCTTTTTTGGATTTTATAAAAGAAATAAAAATTAGTTTTATATTTAATTTAATATTATAATATTATAATTTACTAATTTAATTTATAATTTTATAATTTTTAGTTATTTAATTATAAAAATATATATAAAATTTAAATAAGAAAATTTAAATACTAAACTTTATATAAACTAATATATTATTATATTAGTAGCTATATATAAATATTTCTAATTTAGCTAAAATATAATTCGAATTAGAAATATTTATATATAGCTATTAATATAATAATATTTTATTAAATAAAGAAATAAAATATATTTTTATATTTTCTTATATTTATATTCTTATATTTTTTATATTTTTATATTTTTATATTTTTATATTTTTATATTTTTATATTTTTATATTTTTATATTTTTATATTTTTATATTTTTATATTTTTATATTTTTATATTTTTATATTTTATATTTTTATATTTTTATATTTTTATATTTTTATATTTTTTATTTTTATATTTTATATTTTATATTTTTTATTTTTATTTTATATTTTATATTTTTATATTTTTATATTTTTATATTTTTATATTTTTATATTTTTATATTTTTATATTTATTTTTATATTTTTATATTTTTATATTTTTATATTTTTATATTTTTATATTTTTATATTTTTATATTTTTATATTTTTATATTTTTATATTTTTATATTTTTTTTAGCTTTATATTTTTTTTAGCTTTATATTTTTTTTAGCTTTATATTTTTTTTAGCTTTATATTTTTTTTAGCTTTATATATTTTTTTATTAAAAGCCTTTTATTTTGCTTTCTAAGCTATAAATACTATATCTATAATAATATTTAAAGCTCAATTCCTTTAATTTTATACCTGTTATATAAGAAGAAATATATAAGATAGAGTTAAAGAAAAGGCGCGGATTTTATTATCTTGTTATATATAAGGTAAAGACGGTAGGTAACAGATATTGGCTGAATTTCGCTGACCCTCTGAATGCCAACAATCTAAAACTGTAATAGGGATCACTAAAAAGGTCGCAAGTCAGGGAGCAACTCCAATTGTATTCACTGACTGAAACTTAAGGAGGGAAGTGAGTCGTGGGAGGTGCGAAGCCTTAAGGGCTTGCGTACGGACCACCCGCGCACGTGCTTACTAGCCAGGATGCCCAGGCACTCTCTGACAAAAACGAGCCTCAACACTTGGCGGCAACTTATACACTGAGTCACCACCGTCTTTGCTTCAGATTGGAGGAGGTTTCGAAGACTGACCGCCGACGTATTTAATCCGAAGAGAAACTAATTATATCTCATGAATATCGAGAACCTCAAAGTTCAAGCTCGGGCATTTGGAGATGAAATGTTCGACCTGGAAAATCTCGTGTAGTACAGAAAAGTGGTTATTCTCTCGGTGGACTAGGCTTTTTGTCTAACCAGGCAATTTCTCACTCGGAATTGCGGATCAAGTCGCTCCTATAAGGTGGAGGAATTTGGAATTTGTTCTCATCCTTCTTCCTTCCCTTCCCTTATATGCTACTTCTTGAAGCCGAAATGGCAAGCCTGACACTCGCTTGTCGGATCAGCTCTCGTGGATCCACCAAGTTACTCGCAACCCTCCTTCTTCCGGTTCCATTCACAAGGCTGTGGTACCGTAGGTTTTGTATTGAATGCAAACCGTAGGCTGCTTCGTGATACTAGGATCGGGTTCGCCTTGCCGCGAGGGGAAGTAGGTTTCATTCGTTCTAATGAGACTTTTCGCCACCGAATCTGCTGGTAACTCTGTTGGTGTTTGTCTCATCGAAGCCTTAAATCCCCAGTTTATGAAGAGTCTTCGACGGGGGAGAGAGCATTTGCAGGAAGGAATGGCAGACACCAGGGAACACTGAATATGCAGGCGATCTGCTTACGGTGCAGATGGATGTTAGCTCAGGCAGCTAGGCAAGTCGCATGCTTCATTGAGCTGCAAGGTCCACTTGCATTCCCGAATTTGAGCTCCCGAATTGATCTGAGAGGGGGTGACTGCCTCCGTCCGCAGATGTGGCGCCCGGAAGCTAGCGAAGGGAAAAGAACACCATTTGTCTCATTTGCAGGAGTGTCCGCCTACCCGTTATTCCCGTCACCGAGAAATGCCAAACAAGTCAGAGAAAAAGACGCCATCTGGCTGCCTATGGTTGTCTTGACCCAGCCACGGTCATAGCTTGGGAGCTTGGCCCTTGGAACAGATGATTGGTCAATCGCGGGTTTCCTGTAACCCTTACATGATGATTGTTCAAAATAGAGCAATTGATTGCAAAGAAGGAATTGGAAATATCGCAGGGAAGTGTGGAGATGAGAGACTGCTCGACTGCAAACTTGGGGAGCAAGGCTTGGAGCCTTTGGCCGTGGGGGCTCAGCCTGTGCAGGGCATAAATTCATGATTGAGGCTTCTTTGCAAGCCATGGGGTAGCGGCATGGTGGCATAACTTATGCAATCGCGTCGAGGGACTCTGTTTCCATAATGTACTCGTCGGCCTGGATAAAGAGTTTCTTGTCTTTGAGTCTTCTTGGAGACATTTACGGGGAACTTCTAGAGCGAGGCCTTCAAGGAAGATCATACTCTTCGTGTGAGGGATTGGAGTGGCTTGGAGTGCGCGAGTTGGACAATTCGGTCATGAATGCTGAGAGAGCCACAGTGCCGCTGCAAAGTGCAATCCCGATGCAGAAATCGTACAGCTCGAGGTAACATTGAACACTGCTTCAATTGACATGCCCTCATTGTAGTTTATGAATTGAAAATGGAGGGATCGCTGATGAGATGATCGATGTTCCAAAAGTCAGCGTCCCAATTAAGGCTAGTGAAAAAAAAATCAAAAATCAGCCAGTTCCCAGCCCCAGCCAGATTTGCGACAAGTTGAAGTTGAATGTATGAGAATACCGAGAACGCCTCCAGCCCCAGTTCGAGGCAGACGCCGATTCCCCATCCACGCATTGGAGCCTATTGAATGGCTACGTGGAAGCCTGGAAGTCGAAGCAAACTTGTCTCACATTACCCCGCCTGGGAGCAGAACTCCATGAGCGTGCAGATCTACCCAGTACAACAGAACCGAAAAGTCTGTAAATGCTCAACCCGAGCCGTAGTCCTGCAGAAAGGCTTGACGCTCTCCGCGTGAGTCAGACGCTGGTCTGAGGTTGTTCAGCCCCACCGCTCACAACCTTGGGACACTGTGAACGCGTTGTGCACTTACTAGGTACCAGAAAAGTAGCTCTGTGAATCCATTGTGAAGTTAATAGTATTGAAAGACGGGGAGCTGCAGAGAGCTGCCGGATATTTGAGGCTCTGAGCCCCCTGGTCAGCCCCAGCTTGATAAACGATCCAATCACTTCAGAGAACGCCTCGAAGGCGTCACACACCAACATGCAACAAATCAAAGTTTCACACCGAGTACCCATGAGCCTCGTTTCAGGGATTTCTTGTGCTGAACGGAGTGCAAGGAGCGAACCAACAGCAGGTACGCCCACCCTTGCCATTCGCAAAGCAATCAGGAATCGAGGCAGATCAACTCTCAAGGCTGTACACAGCCTGAAGTTATCGATCGGCCATCGTGGGGAAAGGCCAGCGATTTTCGGTGCCCGAAGAATGCCCATGTGAAAAGCAGTCCCTCAGAAGTGTTGGGGTTATCTCGGATGCCATGAATAGGAAGTCCCGCTTCACGAGTTGGCCAATAGCTGTTGTGCAGGCTTCGGGAGATTGGTTCAGGCCTCAAGAATGGAATTGCGAGAAGCTGTGAATGTAAAAGGCATCGTTTGCAGTGGCGTGAATGTGCCTCTGTGAACTTCGGTGAAGGAATTGGGGATTGGGATTTCAGGCGACAACTTGGACCTGCTGAGGATGAGGATGAGGAAGCCGAAGCCAAAGCCTCGTTGCTCATGTGACCAGCCACCACGTGACTGATTGGTGATTCCCAGCCCCCTCCTCAAAGTGACAGAATATCAGACTAGGAAGGATGTTTCGGCATCAAGCCGGGAAACCCGCTCACCAGAAATGGATTTCGAGGTTTCTTGCAAGTTTCTCGTATGCCCTTGTCGTTTTGCGCGTTGACAGTGGAATTAAAGTTATCCGCATGAGGATCGCCACTTATCGATTAGAAGATAAGACGACCGCCAACGCCACCAAAACCCTTCATGCATTGCGACGGGACGATGTCTGAAGCGCTGCAACCAAAGTCTAATTATTTGTATCAATTGATCAGATGAGGAGCAGCCGCCAAGCGCCCGACGTGGGGGTTCATCAATTGAGCGGTGGTGAGCGTCAGTGGGAGCTGGTGAGAGCTGAAGGTGTGGTGTCCGGGGAAATGGAGGGGGGTGAGATGAGACATTAGCGCGCCCTTCACATGGGACGCCGAATCAAGGCCCAGAGCATGTGACCTGGCTCCCAAGGTTGTGTGCAGGTGTTAATTGCATCGACAGATGATCGTTGCACGAGGGAGATGCCCTCCGTACTCTGCTCCGACGGCATCGGAAGATGGAGGGAGGCCAGGTCTTGTGGCCACAACGTGGCGAGCGTGATACGTATGCATGATGCCTGGGACCATCGGGTTGCCTCCAGGGAATTGGGATGGGATGAGAGGGATGTGAGGGATGGGATGGGATGGGATGCGGATACTTGGCACAACTCAATTGACAGCGGAGTCCTCGATTGCATTTGCATACTTGAGGCAATTGATGACGACGAAGGAGAGAATTGACTTCTTGTACGGCGCCGACACGTGGAGGCTCGAGGGCTGCGAATGCGGACCAGGTGAGTTTGCCCGGCTCCCACGTCGGGCGAATTGAGGCGGTGGGCTTTGTATCGGCAGCAGCCTCAATTGTTCGTTTCGGTGGGCGGCTGCATTGGAACGTCGATAATGCCTGCGGAGGCGTGTCGGATCAATTGGATTCCTGGACGGGCGAAACGAAGTGTGCAACGCATTGAATTGAATTGGGACGGAGTTTCTGGCTGGGTTGGCGCTGCGAGCCAAAGGCATTCGCCGCTTTCAATTGATTGACAGACAGACAGACAGACAGAATTGGAAGCCGCGGCCCAATTGCACACGACCACAACTCTCGGGCAGCTGAGTTCGCATTCCGGGGCGAGAGCACCGCATCGATTGAAGCGAATGGTGGTGGTGGTGACGAGCAAAGGCATGGGAGACGAACGCACGAATTCACTAATCGGTGCGGTGCGGCTTCTAGCTTCTAGCTTCTACATAGTAGCAAGCTTAGCAAGCCTCTGGCTCCTCATGATGCTGGCCTTGCGAACGGTGAAGCCTTACGAAGGGTGAGGCCCGACGTTGATGAAACTAGGCCCCAATGCAGCTTAGCGGCAACCGGACTAGCCTCGCCCTCGCACTTGCCACAAATGACTCACTCGCGAAATATCTTGCTAGTTGCGAACTCTGGACTGGCACTTGCACTGGCACTGGCACTGGCACTGGCACTGGCACTGGCCTCCGGGTCGATCCTCAGCCAATGTTCTGATTCCCAAGGTCTCTGGCACTCCCTCTCCCACTCTCATTCTTACTACTCACTCTCCCTCTCCCACCCCTTACCAATCCTCGAGCCTTCGGACGATTGTTGATTGAGCGAAACCCAATGGCCCCCGCGACCGCCCCCCTTTCGCGACCGCAGACACCCTCTGCTGCTGGAGGCCAGCTGGATGCCACTGCCGCCCCATTGGCCAATGGCCCCCTTCTGCTGCATTCTCCCTGCCTGAACGCGTTGGCCTTTCGCGCCCCTCTCCCTCCTCCACCCCCCCCAAAACACAGCCGCCTTCACAAACAAAAAGGATTCGCGATTCCACCCAACCAAGCGTCGCCTCACCCCCAATCCCCAATTAACCGCTGCCTAACCCGCAATAAACACACTCAGAGGAGCGAGACATTGGGCCGACCGTCAGACTGACTCAAGGCAGCCCTTTCACTCCCTCCGTCGCGGGAGCAGAAGCCAGGTGCGAGGTTGGTGGGTTGCATAATTTGGTCATACGGCGGCTTATATCACGAGGGGAGTCATCTACCACACCTCTGCCTGCCAACAGGTACCAGTCACTCGTGCGCTGCCACGGCTACAGCCACTGCCACTCAACCTCCCCCCCCCTCCCTAATACCGTCCTTCCTATTTATTCTTGCCCACTCTCGCGCTCTTCTTATTTCCTACCCTCCCCTCTGTCATTCCTGCAACATTGATTCGCATTCCTTTACGCATTCACCGTCGCCATTCATTCAATCGACCGACCTCCACGGCCTTCGCTCGCATTGACTGGAATCCGGATCTCACAAAGAACCGAGCTGACATCTCAGCTGACCAAGACAGTCAACCTTCAGCCCGGCCAACTCGATCTCCACAAACTCCGAATACATATTAGAAGACAAAGACCCCAAGCGGACTTAAGAGCAATCCACTTCCGTGCCATAGATCGGAAGTCGCCACAGCATTCACGAAGTATCTGGGGGAGGCGCAAACAAACGAGAGATGGATGACAAAACATCGTCAAGACTGCAGCCTTCCACTACCTTCGATGACTCTTTCCAATCGACTACACATTCAGTCGTCCGTCCATTGACTTCTTCTCCAACCTACCCATCAACAACATTCAACACGTACTTTCCTGCCATCAATCAGCGTGTCAGTATGGAACCCAAGGACACTTTCGATCCCCGCAACAACTTGCTCTCTCCGCCAGAACCAACTCCTCAAGACAGTTTCTCGCGCTCATTCTCAACATCCTCGATGGACTTCAAGATGGCGGGACCAGCAATGTCAATTGTCAAGGCTCAGCAGCCGATGACGCCTCCCATCTCACCAGCATCGAAGAACTCCCTCCCTGAAGTTTCTCCCTCCACCGAGGTTCGAGACCCAATCCTCTATCCAAATCCGGATCCCTCGCCACAATCACCTCTTTTCAGAGTCAACGACACCCTTCGAGTGGTTGATGAGCATGTGGCCGCTAGGGAACCAACACCTTTTCGCAGCGTCTCGCCTCCGCGGCACAGCGAATACCAGCTCGCCCTCGAGTTCAAATCACAAATGGGGCGAGCCTTCCTTAGCAATCCCCGACTCTGGGCTCAACGAGAATTGGCCCAACTGAGGGAGGATAACGCACTGAAGTTGGGAGGTAGACGATATACCACAATTGCTCCTGCGACAGGTGGCATTCGCAAACAGTTCGGCTCCAAGCCTGTCCGCCAACCCGGAGCGAAGAATGGTGTATCGAAACCACCACGAGTACCCAAGCCATTGACCGGCGCTCGTGGTGCCACTCCGGACTCTACTAAGAGAGTTGCTCGAGAAGACAAGGACTTCAGCTCTCTTCCAGATTACTGCCCGCCACTCGGGAGCCTCCCCAACAAGCCCAACTCTCTCAAGGTTGATTGGAAAGGCGCTCCAATTGACCTTAGACACGATCCACACTTTCATCTCCTCCATCCTGATGAGGTTGCCCTCGCAGCCAATCTCCGTCTCGACTGTGCCACATATCTCACTTCCAAGCGTCGGATCTTCATCAAGAGAATCGAAGCCTACAGGATTGGCAAGGAGTTTCGGAAGACAGATGCCCAGCAGGCTTGCAAGATCGACGTCAATAAAGCCAGCAAACTCTGGCAAGCATTTGATAAGGTCGGATGGTTGAACGCCAAATGGATTGTGAAGTACGTCTGAAGGGATAATGACGGTGGCGTCATCGATTCAACGGCTGGTCCTCACGACGCCCCCCGAACAGCGCCCACACGACGAGACTACGAAACTGATGATTTTCTTTCACGGCCTCTCTCGACTCTCAAACTGCATTGCGACGGTTATTCGCATTGGGTTGGGTCGATTCATTCAACCTGGATCCGGACTACACACTTTTCATTTGTCATGGCCTGGATCAGGAAGGGACTAGGGGATCTGCTTTATTCAGAGGAGCCAGACGTTGCATTGCATTTGCATTGGGTTTGCTGATACCCAGAGCCCGCCCAGCTCCACTCTCGTTCCCAGGCATTTCTTTTCCGCCTTGGGAGGTTCGTTGCATTTTGGGATACAGGGAGGTCGGTTATGTTAGGCGCTTTGCTTTTTCTGCTTGGGATGGTCTGGCTAGACCTGGCCTTCGGATTTAGGGGTTAGCATGGTTGGGATACGGATTATGCAGGATGACTTGGAGGATTTATGGGTATGTGGATGTTTAGTCCTAGCTTGGACACCAGCATAGAGCCCTACATACATAGTTTGCCAGACTCAATTCTTAATTCCCAGGCATTGTGTCGTCATGCAATTACTGTTTTCACTTGGCTCTTGGAGGTGAATCGTGACTTTTTCCTCGCTCGCTCCATGTTTGGGGTATGTGAATTGACGTCTGAATTACCCCGCGGTATACGCGCGGCACAATTCAGGGTGTTGGACCGGTGAGTAATCTTTCGGAGTCGGAATCAGACCGCCTGGGCACTAACCCCTGAATCCACCTACTTCGCTTCATATCGACATCCGCTCCACTTTGGAGTTAATAATATTTGTGCTTAATACTTTGCCGAAAGCTAAACACAGGGCGGGGGCGGTACTCCCAACTTCACTTGGCACAACAAACACCCCCACATTTAATCATTCAGTCAACCACCTCCCATTCTCTGAATATTCTCTAAATCTTCCCTTCTTAAAACGCTGTTCTAGATTTCTAGATACCTATCAATGATACTATGGTATGATTGAAGACGAGAAGTGAACCATTTCGTCAATCAAGTGAAATCATAAACTATCAATGCCTGCGTTCCTGTCCCGCTCTCTTTCAACACAATTACCATCTCGTCATCAAAGCCCACCCACCGCTTCCTCTCTTCGATCTCCTCTTCATATCTCTCTCTCTGCGTTTCCCTCCCTCCCTCTATCTCTCCCTTCCCCCTTAACGACGTCGTGGATTTCGCTTCTGGCCTGACCCTCACACTCCTATCCTCTAACCTCTTTCCCCTCTTCCCCGAGGCGAAAATATTCGATTGGGACGCAGAGGACGAGCCTGAACTCGAACTCAACCCACCTTCTAATTCCCAGACAAGCAGTTCGTTGCCTCGAGTACTAACGCTAACCGCCTTTCCTCTTGGCGTTATCTCCGCAGAAGAGACAGAGGACGTGTGGCCCCACAACCTAGTTCCTGGGGTAATGGCGAGCGATGAGGCTGTCGAGGTGCAGAGATAGAGTGTGAGTGTGTTGTCCGGGTGTGTTGCGAGGATGTAGGGGTGGGAATAGCTTAGTGTAGTTGGGCGGGACCCCCCTCCAAGTCCGTTGGAGGAGACTATCTGGGTCGGGGTTGAGGTTCCTGAAGATGGCGAAGAAGTGGATGGGGAGAGCAAAGAGGAGAATCCTTGCGGAAGAGCGGAGGTGAGGCGCGAGGATTTTATGAGGCCGGTGACTGGGGAGAGGTGTAGTTCTTGCAAGCCGATGGTGTACCCTGAGAGGTAGGTGGGGAGGGAGTAGGCTATTGAGGCGATTATTGTTGATGTGGTTGTGCGGATTGAGAGGGACAAGGGCGGCCACGAGGTATGCGACTTTAACGCAGCGAGGAGGCGAGGTCGTGGTGGTTGCTCGAGAGGTGACCCTTCTAGCTGCAGTGGAGGAGTTGCCGGTTCCTCTGTTGCCGCTGCTGAAGTTTCCAAACCTAGGCCGCCGTCCTCTTCTACGGGTGGCGGTGCAGTAAACGAGTACAAAGACAACAGCTGGCGTTCCGTGATCGTAAGAATATAGGGATTTGCGTATGCTACCGCACTTAGAATCCCATTGCTTGAGGCGGGGCGTCTGTAGTTCCTCTTGAATACCTTTTCCGCAACATCCAGACCCCAGGTTCCCCACCCACCATCCATAAATCCGAGGGCAATTCCAAGTGATCCAGTCCGTGATTCCTGCTCGTCAACTGCAAGGCAGGTAGGAATACCCTCCCCTCCCAGCGAACAAGTGGCAATAAGCTTTTTCCCCTTCAAATCCCAAGCCCTCAACCCATCCTCTTTATCCGCAGTGACAACTATCCCTTCGACCAGCCGAACCAACATAGAAGGAACACTTGGGCGATCCGCTACACGGATTTCCTGGACTTCGCAGGCCCCCACACTCCAATTGTACCTCAACTTATATTGTCTCTTCCAGTTGGTCTCTTCGCCTTCTTTGCGATTTAATAATGTATTATCATCCAGCCATTTACTCCTCCTTGAAGAGAAATGTAGTGCTTCATCTGGAGCTGTCCGCATGCCTGGTATTCTCAGCGCACGCGGGAGCACAAAACGATTATAATACAGGTTTTTCCATATTTGGGCGTCTCCTGCAAGTCTATAGAAGCGGTGGGAGAGTCGCTGACATCGCAGGAGGGAGGAGATGGGAAGGTCATGCAGAATGCGAATTAAGAGCTCGTCTGAAAGGTCCGAGAGGCGGTCAAGAGAATGCCGCGTGCGTGTTCTTTTGGATACTGGGTGAGCCGTACGCTCACCAGCACTTGAGCGGCGGCGTTTTGGAGGCATGGTGCTGGAGTGGAAAAGCACGGGAGGGGGATATTTGGATCGATGTTGATTCGGGAACCTCTTATCAGCACGTGAGGATCAATGCCTCCGTGGAAGCCTCGGCCCATCGCATCCCAGCCTCTTTGACCAAGACACGAAATCTCACGCGTCAACGACAACGACAACGACATCTCCATCCTCACTTTCCCTCCCACCGAGCCATCACCAACATTGCCAACTTGCCCAACGGCACGATGGGCGAGCGCCTCGAAATCGCAGCTCAAAAAGCAACCATTCAAGACATCCTCTGCCTCCCTCCCAAATGGCTCTCTCTGTACTCAAACTTCATAACGAAAAACCAATCCTCGGTCACCTCAATAGAATCCGCTCTCCGTTCCCTAACGTACATAATACCCGGCCGCTTTCGCGATGCAGAATTAGCATCTGAATCTCTGCACTCCTCCATCCAACTTCTCTCCTTATACCACGACACCTTACTTCTCAGAGCGATGTCAAAACTACCTGGTGCACCAGCACAGCAAAGTCCACACAATAGATACACGAAGTTCTGGATCCAAAAATCGAACTTCTACCGTCGGGTAGCGATGACATTAAGTGTCGTGCAATACACCGAGCTGTTATGGGAGATGATGGCTAAGCGCAAGGGTGAGAAGGTGCGCTGGCGCATCGCCATTGTTCTCGAGATCGTCAAAGCAGTGTGCCGACTTTTGCTTATGCGGATCACGAATTCTCGACCGTTGGTATCACCGCCCTTGCCGGAGAGAGAGGTGATCCCTGAGGAGGCAGTCGAGGAGGAGGAAGAGGAAGATGGGTTTAGAGATGAGGGATTCCATGAGGAGAGGGAGAGGCCAGTTAAGGAGAAGGAGTACAAGATGAAGAGGACGGGGATGAGTTTACCGGTACTACCGAACCCGAGCGATATCTCGACTTATCTGCTGTCGAAAGTTCTTACTGCAGATGACATCAAAGCCGCGCCTTCCCTTCTCAATTCTACCAGAGGCTCAGCACAGCTTGCTGAAATCCTGTATATTTTACAGCCGGTAATCTACGCGGTGGCATTGTCTCGCAGCAAAGACAAGCGCAACTGGCAGCCCTGGTTACTAGGTCTCAGCATTGAGTATGCGGCGAGGCAGTTGAGAAAAGATGGCTTGAGGACGACGAGTCTTGAGAGGGAGCAATGGGCCAAGCGAGGGTGGGCGATGGGATGGTGGGCTATGAGAGGCGCGTTTTATGAGAACGTGACGAAGGGATTTCTGCATAAGACTTCGGACAGGTTACCTTCGTTGATCTCGGGCGTCTTGGATGATTACTTATATCTTTGGGATGGTTATTACTTCAGTACTAGTTCTAATTGATAGAGATAGAGGACAAAGAATGCCACCAGCAGTATAAATCTGTTTGATTTCACTTGGCTGCAGAGCTTGTTAATTACACTCTAAGTACAACGCAAACCCCGAGAGCTGAAGAAAGGAAAAGAAAGATTTCTGGATGAAGTGATTTCATTCATTCATAGGACCACCATATTTTCCATAAAAGTATAATATTTTCATCCCATGTTTGGATAAGGCTGATCAAAAGGGAGGCTTCGATTATGTCAGCGTGTAGCCTCGTTTGGACTCGTGCGCCATTTGTGATAACGATTCGAATTCGTGCGATAAAGACATCTTTCAAACTCAACCCCTCCATTTTGCTTCTCTTGCAAGGTGTGTACCGCCAAGTCTATTGCACCAAAGCCTATCGGTGCAGTGACAGTGTCCTGCAAGATCGCGAGTTCCCGAAGACGTCACCCCCACCACGAGGCTACACAGCAGCCAGCAGAAGAGGTTGGAGAACTTGAATGACATATTACGAATCCGCAAACAGAGCGCGAACTTAGGCGCAATATATCTCACATACCTCACGCGTTAGGACAACTGTCCCAGTACAAATTCTCCCGAGCCCTATCTCGACGAGCTCTGGGACAGCACCAGGGCTAGGTCCCGCGTTGTCATGATGGCCGCACATCTTCGCGCGGTGGATGGTGAGAAACAGGGCCTCGGGCAGGCTCTTAAGGAGGGCTATAGTGAACCCACACCCAACTCAGAGGAGAAGAAAGAGAAGATTATCCTGTCGAATAAGGCTGGGGAGAGCAAGAGTCCTTATGTTCGAGCACACTCTTCAAACCCCGTTGCTTGGCAGATCTGGGGCGATGAAGCTATTGCTCTTGCTAGGAAGGAGAATAGGCTACTTTTTGTGAGCATTGGTTATAGCGCTTGTCATTGTAAGTCTCCCCGTTCCCAAAATCTAGGAACTCGAGGCTGACGAGGAAGGGTGCCATGTCATGGAACGGGAATCTTTCGAGAATGAAGAAATTGCTGCAATTCTGAACGATGCCTTTATTCCTGTTAAGGTCGATAGAGAGGAGCGCCCCGACATTGATCGTATTTACATGAACTTTGTTCAAGCTACTACAGGTTCCGGAGGATGGCCTTTGAATGTCTTCGTTACGCCTGATCTGGAGCCTGTCTTTGGTGGAACTTATTGGCCGGGACCCATAAGCAACACCACACCGTTTGAAGACCAGGTAGACTTCCTCGGTATATTGGATAAGTTGAGCACTGTTTGGAAAGAGCAGGAAGAGCGATGCCGGCGGGATTCCGCACAGATATTGCAGCAGTTGAAGAACTTTGCCGCGGAAGGCACATTTGGTGGTAGACTAGGTGAAGGTGCGGACGGTCTAGATATTGAACTGCTCGAAGAGGCCAATCAACATTTTGCTTCGACATTCGACAAGAAGAACGGCGGGTTCGGATCAGCGCCGAAGTTTCCCACTCCGTCTAAGCTCTCCTTTCTGCTTCGCTTAGCCCAGTATCCTCCGGTTGTCGTTGATGTTGTCGGGGCTGAAGACTGCCACAAAGCACAAGACATGGCTATTACGACTCTGCGGAAGATGGCTAGAGGGGGAATCCATGACCATATTGGAAATGGGTTCGCTAGGTACTCGGTCACCGCTGATTGGTCTTTACCGCATTTCGAGAAGATGCTCTATGACAACGCACAACTGCTCCATGTTTACCTGGACGGATTTCTTCTCTCGCGGGATGCCGAGTTGCTTGGTGTAGTGTATGATATCGCAACATACCTAACCACTACACTAGCACATCCAGCTGGAGGCTTCTATTCTAGCGAGGATGCCGACAGTCTTTACAAAAGAGGTGACTCGGAGAAGAGGGAAGGTGCCTTCTACGTATGGACAAGGAGAGAGTTTGAGAATGTTCTTGGCTCGGAGACCGAACCTATTCTCTCAGCTTTCTTCAATGTCAGCGAGCATGGAAACGTGGAGCCAGAGAACGACGCACATGACGAATTTATTGATCAAAACGTATTGGCAATCGTGAGCGCGCCGAGCGAACTGGCTAGCACCTTCGGCGTGAAGGAGGAGGAGGTTGTGCGGATAATCAAGGAGGGAAAGGCGGCATTGAGAGCACATCGAGAAAAGGAAAGAGTGCGGCCTGGCCTGGATGATAAGATTGTTGTCAGTTGGAATGGTATTGCAATTGGAGCATTGGCGAGGACCGGTGCCGTCATCAAAGGATTCGACCCGGTCAAGTCTGAGGAATATCTTGGTTCTGCCATAAAGGCGGCGGGCTTCATCAAAGAGAATCTTTACGACGAATCCACACACACGCTATATCGGATATGGAGAGAAGGAAGAGGCGAGACGAAGGGCTTTGCAGATGATTATGCATTCCTCATCGAAGGACTGATCGACTTATACGAGGCAACCTTTGACGATAAATGGCTGCTTTTAGCCGACGACCTGCAGAGTAAGTGTATCCACAATGCGTACCGGAGTCTCTCTGACGAACTGCAGAATCCCAAATTTCCCACTTCTATGATAGCAGTGGCTCTGGAGCTTTCTTCTCCACGCACTCGTATGCTGCACATGTAATCCTCCGGCTCAAGGATGGAATGGACACCAGCGAGCCGTCAACAAATGGAACCTCGGCATCAAATCTTTACCGCCTTTCTAGTCTCCTTAATGACGACTCTTATGCAACCAAAGCCAAACAAACAGTTGCGGGCTTCGAATCCGAGACTCTTCAATATCCTTGGCTCTTCGCATCATTCATGCCCTCTATTGTGGCCGGCCGTCTAGGCCTGAAAGGCGTAGTAGTTTCCCAAGGCGAAGAGATAGATGGAAACGGAAATAAGAAAATCAAGGAGTTTGAGAAGGCACCGAGAGGAGGACTGGGTACATTTGCTAGGTTGGATAGCGGCAGCACCTGGTTGAGAGAGAGAAATGGGCTCTTAAGGAGTTTCGGGTTAGATGGCAAGACCAGGATCTTAATCTGCGAGAACGGCGCTTGCCGGGACGAGGGCAATGCTTCTGAAGCGGGTCTGGTAAAGGAGCCGCCCTTGGATGATTTGGGTGGTGTTACTGCTGCGCTGCCTGTGGTGGAGGAAATCACGGCTGTTCAAGACAAAGGCTCGGGAGTGATACAGGAATAATGATACGCTGGATTTCCCACGAAGGATTTCTTGACCTTATGTCGAGGTTTTGTACGGAGCTGGCGTTTTGGGAGGCCTTCTATATGATTCAAGGCGAACTCGGACGGTAGGAAATGCATAGATAGAGGCCAATTAGGGGTTCACTTCAATAATGGAAATCTGAACTCAATCACCGAAAAAGGTGCCCCACGAGGTTGCTTTACTGGATTTTGGAGGAAGGACGTGAGGGGCAAGCCAGCAACAAGATTGGTATTTTTTGTTACTACAACTAAAGGCGAACCATACTAGCATATTTCCATCTTCCATAGCGCCACACAACCGAATTCCCCTAGAGCTCATCTTCGTCTTCGTCGTCAACGTCGTGCATGGAATCTATTTTGAAGTCAGTAAATTGTGAATATAAATGTTTAGATATGATGACTTGCCGTCCGAATTCCATTCCTCGCTCTCCGGAGTGTGACTGCTCTCAGTATCGTGATCTGGTCCGTTGATCACCACGTTGGCAATGAAGTCCCTCAAGCAACTCTGCACATCGGTTCCGCCCCATTCTCTCGACTGGAGGTCTCGCGAATCTTTGAAAGTAACCGGGCGGAAAGGATTCCCACTTTCTGACTTTTGCGAAAGAAGTGACATCTTCATGCTCGTGAGCTTGAGATCGAGCTTTGACAGCTGGCCAAAAAAGTTTGCCCAAAGATTGTCCCGGGATGACATGGTCGGTTCAGTCTGAAGCAACGATACCTTGTGCAAGCTGATGCTGCGCAGGGTGGCTCGGTGCTTCTGGATAATGTCAAGCAAGATCCTTGGCTTTACCGTAATCATGCCAATTTCCAATTGCCGGAGCTTGGTGAATTCGATGGGTTGTGGGGACTCGGGAAGGGATGTTGCCGCTGTGGTGTTGGGCGTTGTGGCAGATACTGGCTTCGATAGCCACGACAGAAGGCTGCCGTAGTCTTCTCCTCGGAAGAATCGAAAGTTCAGTCGAAGATGCTCCAGCTCAAGCAGTCTCGAGAGGAATATTTTCAAGAGATAGTTAGGGCATTCAGTCGGCACGTTATTGACATTGACGTAGGCAGGCTTGTATTCTGCACTCAGGTCGAGAAGGAGCGTGCGAATATTTCCAAGCACTGGTTGGACGAGGACGTCGACATAATTTGGTAAGTTGAAGGCATGGTCGTAGATACTGCTCTCCCTCAATATGATCTCAAAATTCTTTGGTCGAGAACCAGCTTTACCAAGGGAACGTAAAAGACTGAGAAACACTCTACTGAGATGCTCGGCATGGTCCAGTAGTCGGGTGGGGTCGGGGGGAAACCTCCCTGGGAGATCGAGTGAACGACCGGTCTCTTCCTGAAATGTCCGAACACCGTAACCTAGAAAGCATGCGAATAAGTTACTTTCTCCAAGCCACATTGCTAACTCTAAATTCCCAGCTTTCATTCGGAATCTTCCCAGTACAAGGACACTTACTATTCCATGCGTTGTAAGGATAATCCCGGTTGCGAGTGCGTGAGCTCCAGTCACGGATTCCAACAGTTTCAAGATTACACAAATTTGAGAAAGCTATGGCAAGCATTTCGACATCCTGGTTGGCGTAGAGAAGGCTCATGTGTCCAACACACTCCTGTCGGAAGCGATTACTCTTGACATGATTTTCGGATTGGGGTGCTGGAACTGGCGGCATCATATGGTCCTGCCTCATTGAGGGTCGTTCCAGACCAAAGATCACATGGTTCAAGGATGATGACAATCTGGACCTTGAAATATCCACCAAGGCTTGCAGACTAAATTCGGTGATCATGAACTGCTTCTTGGTAAAGAATTCTCGGGCAAACGATGTGAAGAGTGTTTCCTCAATGCGTTTGCACGTGCGGCGAAGATTGCCATACTCGGGGGTAGTGCTGCAGGATCAGCATCAGCATTGTCGACCCAACGGTGTACGTCGAAGGGAATGAGAGAGGGAGAAGACCTTTCTTGATTTGCAGGAGGGTCATGGGATTTTGAGAGGGAGGGAGTATCATAGATCAAAGGGGAGAGCTTTGGAGGCCTGCTTACAGGTTGGATGTGATCTGAAGAAGCACCTCCAGAGGGATCGTAGAGAGATGAGATATGCCGTTGTCTCCTGTGACCGTTGGGGCTGCCATTTTGTCGGGTTCAAAGTATTCAAGAGGGTGACGGGAATCGAAGACCGGGGCGAGATGACAAAATGCAAAGTCGAACCAGAACCGGACCAGAGCTTGGTTTAATGAAGCGACGTACTCAATGAATGAAATTTCTCCGAATAAATCCAGTTGAGGGTCAGAGAAGAAGAAAGGGAGGGCATGCTTAAAAGGAGCGCGAGGAAGGCAGAACCACGTGATAGCGCGAAATGGAGTCTGCCTAATTTAAGCTTACTGAAGCCTAGCGACGCGCTGAAAATAAACAACTTAAATTCAACAACACCTCACCTCACCCTTCGAACGACATCCTCAATCGACAATCGACTTTCTCCTCCAGCAGGAGTTCTGGATTCGCTTCGGTCGAATAGATTGTACACAGCACCTCAACAACAACGACACCGGAGCAGCCGCCCGTGATGCCACCGAAGGCCGCCAAAAAGGCCCTGCCCCTGCCCCTGGCGGGAAGCATTATCGCCCTCAGCGGCAAATTCCCACGTTCACAATCCGCCATAGAGCAGGATCTCATCACTGCTCTGGGAGCCACTCTTACCAAGACTGTCACTTCTTCTACTACCCACCTAATTACCACCGACACCGATTATGAGAAGCTGCCAGCCAAGGTCAAGCAAGCAAAGTCACATGATGTGCAAATCGTCAAACTGCAATGGCTTGAGGACTGCTTGGATCAGAGCAAGAAATTGAGTGAGGGCGACTACAGCTTCGATGCTATGCCTGCTGAACCCACTACTAATGGCAAGGCCAATGGCTCTCGAAAGCGGAGTGCTGATGATGCGGATGACGATCCTCAGGCACAACCAAGCAAGAAGAAGACCAAACCCACCAACGGCTCCACTTCGCAATCTCAACAAGCACCCAAAGCTAAATCCAAAGCAAACGGAGATGCCTCGGATGGTCAGACCAACATTGCGAAGTCACACGATGTTCAAATTCCAGTCGACGAGCACTGTCCTCTCACGCATTATCGGGTGTATATTGATGACGATGGTGTTATTTATGATGCAGCTCTCAATCAAACCAATTCTAGCGATAACAATAACAAGTTCTACCGCGTTCAGGTTTGTCATAGACCCATCCCTTGTTATTGGTTCACATAGCTAAAGAAACTCCCAGCTTCTCTTCAATGGTGGCCACTATCAGACTTGGACTCGCTGGGGCAGAGTCGGAGACCGTGGACAGAGTAAAACCCTTGGTTCCGGTGGTCTCGACGACGCTATCAAGCAATTCAATTCAAAGTTCAAGGACAAGAGTGGCTTGGCTTGGGAAAACCGTGGCGACAAACCGAAGTCGGGTAAATATACTTTCATTGAGAGAACTTACGGCGATGATTCAGAGGACGAGGGTGATGATGCCCCAACCAAGGCTGAGAGCGAAGAGAGGCTGCCATCTCCCGAGTCGACACTCGCCCAGCCGGTTCAAGACTTAATGGAGCTCATCTTCAACCAACAGTACTTCGCTGCAACCATGACCGACCTGAATTACGACGTTAAAAAGCTGCCACTTGGAAAACTTAGCAATTTCACTATCACTCGAGGCTATCAAGCTTTGAAGGACCTCTCCGCTTTGCTGAACGATCCCTCACTGGCACAATCCGAATACGGTACATCATACCAAGTTGCCACCGAGCAATTGTCGAATGCTTTCTACTCCCTCATTCCACATGCTTTCGGCCGTAACCGACCTCCAATAATCCAGAATCAAGCCATGCTCAATAAGGAAATTGACCTTCTCGATAGCCTGAGCGATATGAAGGATGCAGCCAATATCATGAAGAAAGAGCCGAAAGATATCGAGAAGATTAACGCTCTCGACCGACAATTCAAGGGCTTGAACTTGGACGAAATGACCCCGCTAAAAAGCAGCAGCCCGGAATTTCTTGAACTCAAGAACTACTTGGTGGAGACGAAAGGCCAAACCCATCATGCCAACTACCAAGTTGATCAGATCTTCCGCATTGAACGCCAAGGAGAGAAGGATCGTTTCGATAAAAGCTCTTTCTCAGGACCCCCTCGTAACAGACGACTGCTCTGGCACGGTTCTCGCGCCACCAACTTCGGTGGTATCCTGAGTCAAGGTTTGCGTATTGCACCTCCAGAAGCTCCAGTATCTGGATATATGTTTGGGAAGGGCATCTACCTGGCAGACATGAGTAAGAATATTTATTAGTAGTCTTCATCCACTTCACTCCCAACAGACCCCCCCTTTCCCTGATTTGCCTTCGCAACTCTCTAAGAGGATACAATTGCTAACTCTCTGCGCTTCAGGCTCCAAGTCTGCGAACTACTGCTGCTCGTACATCTCGGGTGGCACTGCTTTGTTGCTTCTCTGTGAGGCAGAGCTTGGCGATCCTATGCAGACACTTACAAACGCTTCGTATAGTGCCGGTGAGGATGCAAAGGCGAACGGAATGTTCTCAACGTAAGTACATTCATCTTCTGCTCAAATATTGCCCTCTTCAGTGTCCAAACGGAGCATTCCACTCCTGCAAACAACTGGGGTCTTATTTCCCTCCCATTTCTCAATGGAAACATAACTGACTCGCATTGTTTAGCTGGGGCCAAGGTTTGATTGGTCCGAGCCTGTGGAAGGATGCCGAGTGTGTCCACCCGTCGCTGAAGGGTGTCAAGATGGTGAGTACAATCTGTCATGGGTTGATCAATACTTGGATTCTGATGCAGTTCTTTAGCCGGATATCAAAGTTAAGCCCGGCGACACAGGCGTCAATAATGCATACCTCCAGTACAATGAGTACATTGCATATGATATTGCCCAAGTTCGGCTTCGATATTTGTTCCGCGTTCGCATGTAGAACAACCGAAAGGCAAAATTCTCCTGGGTATTATCGGTGAAGGTCATTGTGCGTTCTTCCCTCTAAAGCGTGTAGTAGACCATAGGTGTTACGGGAAGCGTGGAGTTGCAGTGGCTGAACATTTGTGCATGGAAAAGCTGTCATTTTGCAGGGTCACATTTCTTGATATGGCAAAGGAGTTGTCATCTCTGTTGTTGGGAGGGGACACTGCGAGATCACTTGTTGCAGGCCTAGACGGGCACGGTCATTACGAAAAATACATCTGTAGCTAGAGCTAGAAACGGCTGTCTTTGCTTGATACGTCGGCCTGACGAAACATAGCTAGATAAAAGTATTGCACATGATATCAATGATTCCGTGGTCCCACTTAATCAGCGATCGCCCTCTGGGTTGGAGACGTTAATTCTCTGGTAGAAACAGCTTGCTTTTCCGTCATGTCCATCTTCCAAGACGAGACTTCTTTCCTGGTTGAGCGCCCACCTTAACAGACCGCAAGAAAATCCTAGCTCGAATTGATGGAAAGGATTAGATCCACGCGCTTTTGCCCAAAGGTGCAAAGTGGGAATTGAATTTGCGTTGCTGACAATTTGAAGGTGGGGGCCGTCGGATGCGTTTGTCCAAACATCCGAGGACAATGAACACTCACGGTCCGCAACGACCCGCGAAGCCCAATCCGTTTCCCAACCTCCCCCTGCTTAAAAGAAAACACGAATTGTGTAAACGCCAATGCGAAGAAGCGTAGGCTCGAAACGTGGAGCTCTGCTTACCTAAAATTCGTGGCTGGAATGTGCGACATCTTCTCAAACAACCTTAACCTCACCACCTCTTCCATTCAAAAACATCTCAATTCATCATCGTTATCATCATCATCATCCACCCTATCAATAGAAGACAACCAATCAAAGACAGGCTCGCGTCAAGAACCAAGCCTTCGCCTCTCAAGTACAGATCACTGGTGGATTACTCGAAACCACTCAATCGGGACGGCATGCGGGCCGAAGGATATATTTCACGGCGCGGCATGGCACAGACTTCATCCTCGCCATCAGCAATCATGGGGCTAAGCCATCCCACAAGCATATAAACACTATCCAGACATCACGTTAGGAACCTTTTGTTGTCTCGTCTTATCTTCATTCATCAGCTACTTTTTCGGCCGCGAAAAACCTAACCATTTGTTACGTTCCAAGCTCACATGCTTTCCAACCAGTTGTCTTGACCGTCGTCGTAAGGACATGCTCCGGAGCGCCAAAGGAAAGGATAGAGCCACCTGGTCGATGCACGCAAGCAAGCGTCTGACTCGTCAAGAATGAAGCCTCATCATCAATGAGAATGAAATAAAGGGTAATGTACAAGAAGGGGAAGATGTCTGTCCAGCCCGAGGTGCACAAAGAAGAGAACTAAGAATATCCCCCTCAATGGACACGACCCAATGATCCGATCCGAATCCTGCACAAAAAGCTGAAACGGGAATGGACACATGAGGTGGGGAGGCCAAACATAGTTCGAGGTTTTCAAAGTGTATGTTTCACCCTATCCAGAGGCGTGAGCTCTAATCCTAACATGTAAAGGCGGGATGTGTTGATGAGTTGTGTCGAGATAATTTGTGGCTGCGGACCAGCGACGGCGACAAACTACCTCCCAAAATCGTTCTTACAGGAAAGATCGCGCTCCCAGAGGGCCTCATATCATGATAGAACTTTTTGGCCCAATAACGAAGATCTACGAGATCGACGCATGGATAGTGGCATGTCCGAGAGGCTCGCTGATCTCGGAGTTGAACTCGCCAAGCACGTTTCCTTGAGGACCGTAGTTGCAGACTGTTTTGAGCGTCAGTAAGAACAGTTGAGTCATGCAAGATATAAAACTTACCAGTATACCAGGAAGTCATGCCGAAGATTGTACCGGCGGCACACTGGACGGTGGCACATCCAACCTGGTTGCTGCCCTTCCAGATGACTTGAGTTGCATGCAAGAATTCGGGACCACTGGTCGATGGATCATCTACACCCCAAGGGATGGCCGCGAGTTCGCCATTGTACCATTCCTCGGTGATGGACCACTCAACGAGCGAGGCAAGATCCAAGCTACCGGTGTCGGACGTACCGTACGCAGCAAGGTTCTGGCCATATTTACCGCCATTCACATTCCTGTGTCGGCGTTAATACAGCGGTGTGAAAGGATGGGAATGAACTTACATGTTGTGTGCGAAGACGCAGCTGTCAGCTACGATCTTGGCCGAAGCAGCGAGTGAATCACTCCATGTCATATCGGAAGCAGAGTGGTTTGCCCGATGATAGTTGTGAGAATCGACAGCAGCAGAGACATAGTCGGTTGGAGAAGCAGCTGGAGCGGCGACGGAAGGCGCGGGTTGTGGGACAACGGCGGCCGCCTTGGTGGTGGTTGGAGCTGGGGCGGCGAGAAGCTGATACTCAGGTGTTGAAATCGGAGCAGGAGCAGGTGTGGCGGTGGTGGTGGTCGAGGTTGTGGGAGCTGGTGGAGGGGGAGGGGGCGGAGGAGGGGGAGAGGAATGGGAGTGGGTGGCCTCATAGGGGTGGACATAAACCGTGCTGGAGACGACCACCGTCTGGACCAGCGCCGGAGTTGGAATGAGACCCTCGGTGACGGTGACGCAGATGGTCTCGGTGACGATATCCGTGACGATCTTGCGGGCGTGGAGTGCCCGGTGGGCCGGGGAGGCGGCGACCAAAGCAGCGCCGAAGGCTGCGAGCATGGTGGAGGAACGCATCTTGAACAATTTGGGGTGGGTTGTTGTCGGTTCGGACGGTTCGGGCTCGTTTTTGTATGATTGCAGGTTGACCTTCGAGAAAGTGAGGCAGGAGTACTCCGGGTACAGCAATCGATCGATGAAGGGAAGAAAGATCGAGGGCAGTAATCGAATTGGCAGCACTGCTGTACTTATGATTCTGTCGAAGAATTGAGGGCTGGTGAGTGGACACGGGGGGGGGAGACAGTCGTGAATGTTCGGCGAGTCAACAGGAAAACTGAAGGAGTGACAGTATTGTATTGTTGCTGTTGTTGAACCTCACAAACCGAAGCGATGCAGAAGTCTCAAGGAGTGTAAGTGCCGCAGAACGACGAGAAGGAATGTGGTGTATGGTTGAACGAAGAAGAAAGAACGAAAGTGGTGGTTAAGGTTGAGGTCCCAGGCTACGTGGAAGGTCGGAAGGTCGAAAGATGAACGTTCGGGAGAGGGAGGGAGGAAGGGAAGGGATTTCGCTAATAGGCTAGCGCGTCCGGGGTGAGCGTTGGGCAAGGGCATGGGCATGGGCAGTGGGCAGTGGGCACGAACTAGAAAACCCAAAATTTGGATCGCAAGCGCCAGGGGCAGGGCAGGACAGGGCCGGGCAGGACAGACTGCAACCTGCAGCCTGCAACGCTCAAACAGCTAAGAGCGGGAGGCGGAGATATCATCGTGCAACCCATCTCGCCAACGCTCGACCTGTTGCTCACGGACAGGCTCACGGACAGGCTCACGAGAGCGAGCATCAGCTGAGGAATTGGGGTACATTGGAGGTCTTCGTGCCTTCGTGTCTCCGTGTCTGTCATCCCATCTGCCTTGACCACCTTGTTGGAACTCGTAGGCGAGTGTGATTTATTTACAAAATGAAAAGTCCAAATCCTACGGCTTCCATGTCACGGCCAGGAGCAGCTTCCCTACAGCTCGTTTGCAGGCCAAGTTCAACATTCCGTGGCTCGTAGCTCTCCTCGGACTGCAGTCGTTCGGGCCATGTCCCCTCGCCGTCTCGGCCGCCTGGGCTGCTGCACTGACTCTGGCTGCATTCTCACCAAGTATTGGCCTCCATTTCCGTGCCTCGTTGTAGAGTTCGTGAGTCGTGACTCTCGTGTACTGCACCGTTTGATGCTGCAGAACATTGCATCCCCTACAAGTGATTCAGTCGTCTAGAATTTCCCCAGTGGCAGGGGGCTGCCTCAAGATGTCTCTGGTTCATCCGATAAATCGGGATCCTTGGGGAAGTCGGACAGGCCTACCTGGCGGCACGGATCCTCTTCCTTCAGATTGAGATTGAGATTGCGATTGAGGGGCCGGGCACCTGACAATTCGCGGGGTGTGCTCTGCGAATTGCGCTGGCAGCAGTGCGTGAGGTTATTTCCAGGCGGGAGGCGTTTCTGGCATGCGACTTCAGGGGTCAAACAGCACGTCTCATTGGACGGAAACAAAGCGCTCCCGTACTGGTACCTGCATTTTAATCCAGGAACGGGTGAGAAAAGAAAAATCCAGGGGGGGATGGAGAGGGAGAGGGAGAGTGAGTGAAAGCGAGAGTGAGGGTGAGAGTGAGAGGGAGAGTGAGTGAAAGTGAGAGTGAGTGAAAGCGAGAGTGAGGGTGAGAGTGAGAGTGAGAGAGAGTGAGAGCGAGTGAGAGCGAGTGAGAGTGAGTGAGAGTGAGTGAGAGTGAGTGAGAGTGAGTGAGAGTGAGTGGGAGAGGGAGAGGGAGAGGGACCAGTCGCAATCGGGAAGAAAGCTTTGCAGACAACACGATCCATCAACTCATCGGCCACTCCAATGCTCCATCCAATGCTCCATCCAAGGCCCCTCCAAGGCCGACCTTGCGAAGCTGCAAAACTCGCTCCGAGAAAGCCAGAGTCGGTCGGTCGGTCATTTGATTCACTTAATTCAATTAATTCAATTAATTCATTTGTTTGCAGTTTCATCGAAAGCGGAGAAATCTTATTCTCAGAATTCTAATTTCTAGGATTGGGGAGGGGAGGGGATGCGAGGGGCGTCTGATCTCCGCGCAACAGAAAGGGGGGGAGGCGGCGAGGGAGGCGGATCCTGGAGCAAATCTTTGCAGTGCATGCAGTGCGATCACACTAAGATTGGTCGACACCCCACTTGCCCTTGCTCGCCCCCCCGCTTCTCCCTGTATCCCTGTCTGCCATGGCTACATCCCTGTCTGGCCTGTTTCAAACATGAATCGCCAATTTAAATATACGGCCTGGCCTGTCCCTCGTCTCTCTCGTGACATTTCAGCCAGCAGAGTACCGACGTCACTTCTCAGCGACGACGAGATGAGGCGGGCTGGCCCCGAAGGCCGCGATGTGCGTTGCGTCCATTGAGCTTATTAGCATATATATATATATATATATATCTTCATATATCTTCATCTATACAAACATATCAACCTGAACACGCACTCGGAAAAACCTTGATTCTTAGTTTGTTTCAATTCCATGGTCGTCAGGGACCTACCTCGTTGAACTTGGCGGGAGTCATCAGCCCTACCTGTTCAGCCCAAACTACCCAGCGGCTGCAACGACCAAGGTGGCCATTGATTTATTTCGTTTCGCTTCTCATCACCTTCTTTCGTGATTGATTCTCCACCAAACAGCTTCTGCTGAAGACTCAAGTTGAATCCCATTGGCGTTTCGTCAGGCTCACCGCACAATGTTGTCATTTGGTTGCGTCGCTTGTATTTCATGCGCTTCTGCCAGATTATCCCGCCACCTGTACTCCTCCGGTCCAGAAGCCTTCCAGTGTGAAATGGATTCTGTTGATCTCTTTCCCCGCATTTTGAACCTGCGGTTCGACTTCCATCCCTTTAGACGCCTCGCCTGATCGCATGCTCTGAGACATTCTGGGTATGCCCCTTTCCACTGTTTTCACGGAATCTGCAGGTGGAAAACATTCCCTATATGCTGCGTGGAGATTGCGGAGAAGGGACGTGATGCGGGTCATTGCCTGCCTGTAACGGCCATCATGGGCTCCGACAGGTTTCCAGGCGATGCCTCTCCACTGTTCAAACCTCTTCTCTCTGTTAGAAGTTCAAGGCCATGTCGAGAATATCTGTAACATCATCGTACGGCCAGCAACCTCGTAGACTTGTACCATATGGCTATCTTCCCCGCTCACCGTCTCAGTCGTACACAATTCCACCGGATGTTGCTGCAGATCCCCGTTGGTTCTGCCACAAGATAGCACCATCTCAAACGAGATCTGATCCCGCTGCAAAAGCAATGTATGTTGCATACCAGCCCGAACCTTCCAGCGATCTACATCTGAGGAAACCTCAGATGCTGCAGCTTCCCATGGCTTTGTCCCACCGTGTGTATATCTGGCGGTACCGAGACTCTGCTCGAGTCTGATCCGTATTGAAACCTCAAATTTGGTGCCACCCAGAGGATATCCTCCTCAATCCGGTGTGGTTGTTTCGAAGCTCCGTGTTGGATGATACACTCACCGCTGTTACGCTGAACTTGTGTGTCACGAGGCAGGTCTGTCGAAGCCAAGTACACGAGATCCACAGCCTTCTGACTGTTCCTCAAATGAGAACGATTCTTTTCTCAAGTTACCTTCAGGCTGGAAGTTTTTGAAGTTAATCACAGTTCTTAGTGACATTGCTTCTTGGAATGTTTGTGGCAGCAAAAGCAGTCAGCGGTCTGCCCCACCGAATACAAACTTTTAAGACGCCCCTCTAATCCCTGGAACTGCTTTTTACTGGCTACTGAACCCTCAATATTTGCACCTGATTATCGACTACAATCCTGTAATGGACATGCGATTCCATCTGGCTTCCCAAGCGACTCACTCTTCTTTCCAGGTTGCCGGTGGAATTTTGTTGCACATTGCCTCAACGTTGTCGTTGCACATCAACTCAAGGTTCCACCTGTTCTACAACATCGAGAGCATCAACAACGCGGGTTTGCTAAGCCGAAATGGGAAGTTATTTTCGGCTCATCATTCTAGATCAAGTGAATAGGAGAACGATGGGCTTGTTGTCGAGTCAATCTCTGGTTCGAAGCCTATCACCTTCACACAGTCAGTCCAGCTCCTAGCGGATAACTTCCCAGAAGCATTTATTGCACATCGCACTCAAATTTTCACGGTTGGGGACATTGAGACATCGACTCGATGCGGAGTGTTGGTCTCGAATGAAGAGGGTGGCCGGCTGTTCGTCCCATTGACCAAGATAACCCAAGTTCTCTTCGGAAAATAAATCACTGTATTGAATCTACCATTTCATGTCTCGAGGTCCAGTAAGGTAAAAGGGCCACTCTTGGCCTTTCCCCCTCTCTCACCTCCTCGTCCATCAATCCGAATCCACCTTCCCAATTTCTGCCTCGTCCACCGGTTTCTGCACTCTACACAGCCAAAACAGCCACTCCTCAACTGGTCTCAACCCAAGCAGTACCCAATTAACCTCCCACCCTACCCCAACAACAAGCACTCCCACCACGCAATCCAAAACCCAATGATTCGCAGTTCCTAGCACCGCGAAAAACATTGCCACCGGATACAAAGGCGCAATGATCCTCACAAGCAAATGTTTCCCGCAGACAACTAAACTGAGCCCAATCAACAAACTGGTCCCGAAGTGCAGGGACGGCATAGCGGCAAGCGTGAGCTGGAACGGATTGCTGGCCCAGAAATTCGGCCCTCGTTCATCGACGGGGTGTAGAACATCGACGAAGCCGTACGATTCTGGCATCAACCGAGGAGGACTGCACCGATAGGCGGTTAAGACGGCAAATGAAAGAAGGTTGTCGATTGCTATCGTCCGACGGACTTTCTGGTATTTGGAGCGGGGGAAATACCTGCTAGTAATGAGCAATAGGGAGAGGGGGTAGAAGGAAGACCACATACGTATACCCGTATCCCAAGAACATTATCCCGGCGCAGATATGTGCCAGATAGAGAGCACACATCGCATCCATAACCCACGTCTTACACCTCGTCAGCACAAACCGCTGGCAGCGGTGCTCGAACGCAATGCCGAGCCATTTCTCGGCGTTCATGATCCGCACAGCGTTTTTCCTTGCGGTTTCCTCGATCGCGGATTTTCGTTCGGGGGTGCTGGAGATGTATTTTGCGCTTGCGGCGCGGAGGAGTTGGTAGGGCCAGTAGGTAAATGCCCAGTACAGTATCTCAAGGACAAAAGGAAATTTAAGGAAGAAACGGGATATCAGGCCGGTTCGGAAACGAGAGGTATCGGGATAGGATGCCCAGTATTCGATGCGGGAAGTCCTTTGTCTGGGCATGCCGGTTCGAGGGAGGAGAGGAGTTGTTGCGAGCCCGGGGTTGGAACTTCCTACCTTGCTGGCAGGTTAGCTTTGAGATTGTATGGGGAGAACTGCGTACACTCCACGATCTTAATTCTCGCGTCTGTGTTCTGTTGATGAGCGCCGTAGCCGTGAAGATCAAGAAGATGGCTGCGTTCTCAAAAGTCAGTTGATATCCAGAGTTTCCGTGGGCAGTGACGTACCCAAAGGCTCAATCACATCCTTAATTCCTCCAATCCCCATCCTCAACTTGACCGAAGGTCTTCATCAAGCCTCGGAGACTTGTTTCCTACGAACGGAGACAAATATTTGATCTGAGATTCAGCCACCTGAAGTACGTCTACAACAGTACGCCATGTTTCCGCGCCTATGTCCCGCCGGTTGTCCTTCCGCAAGAACCCCCAAAGCAAATTATGGGAATGATGTAAATGTGAGAGAACACGATTGGTACGGAAAGGTCCACCCACTAAGCCCCATACCTTAAAGATTGGTGAGGCTGAAGCCGTTACTGGTTCCCAGCGGTCGCTAAACCGTGGCAGTCGTAAGATGCCCCCACTGATTTGCTCTTGGCACAGTTGAATGAGCCGGACCATCCGAACGGGTAGTAAGTCACGCGACCGTACCTAGAAACCAAGGTAACATTGTTTGGTGGGGCTGAGCTTTGATTCGTCAGTCTCCGCCGAATATGGAGTCGGGGGATCAGGGAAAAGGGGTTCGCTTAATGGCTTGGGTTTGTCTGCAACTGAGAGGAGGCACCGGTACTCAACAAAGGTTGGGGATCGATAGAGATGATAATATGATCCATGTGAAAGGTATCGATGCCGAATCCAAGGGCATCTTTCGAATCAATTAAATATGTTATCGAAATTCAGGATGATTTTGGAGCAGAAAAATCCTTACCTTAATAATTTTGATTCCAACAGGAAGATTGAAATGCTCCGGAAGTTTGAGACCATGAAAATGACGAACAACCCCCGCCCCTGGACGTTCAGCATTCTAATGTGAATTTAGAAGTAGAGGTCGTGCAGCACTCACCAGAGAAGAAGGAACTCTTCAAAAATGGGGGAGAGTGAGCAAGGCATGGCATGAAGAGCAAGAAGTCATATATGCTCATTGTATAGGCACACTCTAGATCTTTGTATACCTCAGGTACGACGTGACCTTTCTGACCTCTCCAAGCCTTTTCTTCGTATCCTCAGTACTCACTGTTGGTGGTACAATGACATCGTCACCAACTTGCCAATTGATGGGCGTCGTAACGCCCCTCTTATCCGCGGTTTGCAACGAATCAATAACTCTCAAAACATCAAGCGTATTTCTCCCACAATTAGCAGGATACATCATTGTCAGACGAATCTTCTTTGCTGGATCAATGATAAAAACAGAGCGGATGGTGAAGGCAATGCCTTTCTGATCGATGTTCTCCAAATCTTGCGCATCTAACATATCGTATAGGAACGTAATTTACCGATCTGCGTCTGCGATAATTGGAAATTGAAGATTCGTATCGGAGATGTCGTTGATGTCTTCAATCCATTTTTCGTGTGATCCAAGGTCATTGGCACGCTGTGGTCTGGTCAGCAATGTCTCAACACCATCGAAATTGCTTTCGACGCACCAAACCTATCATCTTCACACCTCTCTTTTCAAACTCATCTTTCAATTTGGCAAATGCACCCAATTCCGTGGTACAAACTGGGGTGATGTCCGCTGGGAGTTGGATGGCAACAATCCCCGGCTCGGAAGCTTTATGCTATGACTTGAATGATAGCCATGACTGTAGCGTGTGTGATACAGAACTGGGTTGTTGCGGTGGGACCTACTATCAGATATCAACTTCGGTCACCGTTTGCAAGGATGGTTGCGTGGCAATTAATGGTGCGGGTTGTCGGGCTGGCACATGTGCTTATGGGAATCCTCAGTCAACAACCGCCATTGCCTCCGAGACGGCTGCTTTGAGCAGCACTGGTACCAAAGCTACTAGTAGCTGGGCTCCTTCAACCGGAAACCCTTCATGTTCTGCTTTTGATGATGGGGGCTTGAGTCGTTCTGATAAGATTGCGCTAGGCTGTGGAATCGGCGTTGGATTTCCTGCGACGCTCGTGATTCTTTTCATGTGCGTTAAACACCTTCGCAGCCGCTGAGACCGACCAACACAAATATCAGGTTCTTTCTCATTTTCGTAGCGTGATGTTGCAATGGCACTGGGCTTTGCGGAGGCACCACCGAACAACTTCTCTTCTTAAACCAGAAAACCTTTTGGCGGATAATGGAAACAATATTGGCCGGCGTAATTCAACATTATCACGACATTGGGAATAGACAGGTGTAACGTGCACCTTCTTTGTCGCAAACTAGACCGTACCTAAATGGCTATTATTTGGCACTGAGGAAGTTCTCAGGAAAGGGGTAAATAGGGGCTAATTTTTCGCTAGCCGAACCCAAGAAATGATGATGGCCTCGCGTGTAGTAATGGAATGCGAGTATTTTACGAGAGCTTATAGGGCATGTGGCGTTGATTGGTGACATTTAAAATGGGGCATATCCACTTGCTATCACTTGTCCCAGACCGAAGCTGGGCATCCAGGTCACATCACTTTCTCCCTTGTTTTCCTTCAGACAGCCGGCGCCAAACGCTCTATACCGACAGAGCTCAATTCACATCTCCCCCAGACAGAGTTCTAATGAGCGCCGTCTGCCACGATATACCCTGTCTTCTGGCCCTTCTCCTGGACTTGCAAAGGCTCTATATGCTCGACCCCCTCCAAGCTGGCGTTCGATTGGTCGAGTTGCACGACACTAAGCTTTTGAGCTTCCTTTGCAGTAAATGCAGCATAATAATCCACGTCATCGTATGCCCCCATGCCCCCAACTGGGAATATTCGCATCGTGATATAGAAGAGCAGAGCGCTTGTGAAGAAGCCTGTATGCAGTGTAAGTCTCGCAAATTTGCAAAATTCAAGGGAGCGAGCACGTGGCTTACCAAAGAAGAATGCCATGTAGTAGAGCTGGTATAATGGTCTTGGTGCATCGGTCGTCCCCCTCACAGTGACGATCAAACCCCCTACAGTCGGAACCCAGCCGGCAAGCCATGCAGGAAGAACACGCGGGTTGAAGCCATGCCAATACCAGTAGGACGTGTCGTGCGTACGGTATAAATTACTTAGCTGGATCTTTCTCCTGGGGAGGATAAAGAAATCGCAACACATGGCACCGATGAGTGGCGCGAGGAAGACTGAGAAGGAGCTGAGGACAGTGATAAATGTCGCTGCTCTGTTGATGAGCTGCCATGGTTGGACGACCTGGGTGAAAGTCTCGTTAGTGGACGGCAAAGGTAAAGGTCGTGTCAAATCTCACCCAGCATGCTATGAATGTAATGACGGCTCCCTAAGATTGGTGTGTGAGCGTACTGTCGTTAGTGATTATAGATATTGCATACCCTTCTAATGTCAATATACCGGGGGAAGAGCCCCGCGAGATCAATACCGCCAGCCACGGCATTACCCTCCGCAAAATTAGCCTGAATAATGGCTTCCTAGAGAGTGCACCAAGACTTACGCAGATCTTTTCAAACATAGCTGTCAAAGCAAACCCCGCCGAGAGAAAGAACACACCGACTCTGGCCTTGGAGGATCCTTTGCCAGAATCCATCATGACCATGAGTAGATCAGGAGCTAGAACACGAAATCAGAAAATCTGATCTAGGGTAGTGTTGACAACAAGTAAAACTTACGATTCCAGTAAATCTCCCCATAGATCTTCTGGCAGGCACTCGTCGTCACGAGCCCCACGAAGCTGACCTACATCATATCAGCCTCGACGTCTTCGTGTCTTCGCGAAATGCATCCTGGTTAGTTTAACTTACAAAAGTGCCAACTGCCCAAACAGATGCGATGGAACCCGTGACATAATGCTTTGGTGACTTTGCATATCTAGAAAAATCCGAGCCATTGGTGATGCCAGCTTCGCCCCGGTCAGTTGAGCTCCTCATGGTATAGGGGTTCTGGCTTGCCTGCAATTCCCCCAATCATCTGATTGATTCCCGACATCATGAGCCATGAGACGTTCCATCTACTCTCCGAGGGGATCTTTTGTCCTTCCGAGAAGACTGGGCCGACACCTTTGGCCACCGCTAGAGACCAAATCACTGCAGTTGTTAGAGTAATCGCTGGAGAGGGGATATATCGAACTTATTCATGCACATCATTCCCACTCCGCAATAAATGGAAACCACCTGGAAAGGAAGTTTGAATTTCTCGGGCCGGATGAACAGAAATGGAAGAGAAACTGTCCAGAAGACGATGAATCCAACGAACTGGTAGGTGGTTGTGATTGTTGACATACTCGAAGGCAGCGTGTTCTCAATCGTGGCGAAGGATGGCCAAATGGCCGTGACGCAAACCCTAGGCGTTCAAAATCAGCTCTTGACTGCGTTTTGCGTAGCAGATTTTCTCACGCAATTAATCTACCTCCGTTCCAACCTAAGATGGTCAGCGTGCTCACAGACATTTGGCTGAAGACTTACACTGAACAGCAGTCCAGATGAAATTCAGCAGGATACGTTGAAGCAGGGGGAAGTAACTCCCACGCATTCCCCATGTAAATCGATTCTGGATTGTAAACCCGATATGCCATGTCAAGCCACACCAGGCCACTGCAGTCGAAAACAGAGCGATAAGAGCTCTTGAAATGATAATCACTGCCATGGACTGTCCTACCGAAAGTCCCACGGCTTTTGCAAGTCAGTGATTGTACCCTTCTTCTGCAGAACCAACTTCAAACTTACTCAGGTAAGTATTTGGAGTCTGCCAATTGCTGACATTGAGTGATGAAATAGCCCAGTATCCAAAATAGTGAAATGCGCCCCATGTTCGCCTTGCCGGTGGTAGAGGGATCAGATCTCTGTTGCTCCAAGAGTCGGTCTGCTCATGCTGAGATTCATCGCCCTTCAATCCCAATTTCTGCTTCACGGCCCGCAGGCGAGCCGAAGCCATGTTTAGCAGTGTGAACCTCAGAGGGTTGAGTCTACTCAAGTGATCAATAGCTGGTCTTGACCTAAAGCGATTCTAGAGAGGCCCAACAAGGGTTGGCCAAAACAAACTCTGACGATGCCGTATATATCTACTATTTGGTCTGCATGCAAGATCAAGAGTGGGAGCAACAGCAGATAGGTTATCTTGCTTCCTCTGTCAAGGAGCTCCGTCAACAGCTAGTGGTGCAACCATCACCTGAGAAAGCTATGCCAAATCGTCTGTTGCATCGCTGATGGGGTTGATTGGTCAAGATCAAGATCGGCAAATGGGAGTACAGCATCATGTGGGGACCCGAGATAAAGCTCTATGTCCCGAAGGTGCTCTTTGAGTTCACAGTTCATAATCATCAATCCAGTTTGAAGATAGGGTAACTGATAGGCAAATGTTGGCCGTGGCCAAGTATGGATCCTCTTGGGTGGCCGCTCAAAGGTGGGATAAAACTTCACTGAGCTGTGATGGCCCCTATAAGAGGAATAAAACAAGATTGGGAGAAAACGAGAAGTAGAGAATGGCAGCTTTTTGGATGCCTGGTGTTATCTCGTCCGGGAAAGAGCGACATAGAACCCCTGTTTTGGGAAATGTCGAAGTTGCATGCTCGAAAATCAACAAAAGCTCATCGCCAAGTAGTGCAAGATGACAACAGTTCAGGTGCTTCTGATAATTCTTTCTGGAACATCGAGCTTGAAGGATTTGACAACTCCACACCAGCCACAAAGCCAGAGGGTTTCGCCCATCCCCAATATCACCAACGAAGAGCAAAATGTTCGGAGTGTATCGAACGAGCGAGCGGGCGAATGAAATATAATGTTTGGTTAGACGCATTCGTCGGACCTACAATTGTCAAACTATAGTTATTGGGAAGTACCATGTCTGCACGACTTGAGACCGTTTGAACTGTTGAATGGTGCCGAGGTTAAGCAAGGAAATTGGAACGAGCAGGACTCGCGAATAAATCATATTCCAAGCATGGTCTTCCTTGTTCCTTTGATCTGCATCTGTGACGCCTCAGTTTTGGAGAAAAGGGGTTGAAGTGGGGAAGAAGGACTTGGTTAGCGTCATCGCTTGCAAATCAGGACTTCCCTCCCACCGCTCCCCTCCACGACCCACGACGCTGAACTTCTCACTCTTCACAACAGAGGATATTCAAGAACTTTGCGGGGCTATGGATAGCCACAACCCAAACGCCACCTGCCCTACGTGATGCTGGTGTTCAAGAAACATTCGCCCCAAGGTATCATTAATTTCGAGAGCTGACAGAGCCTGACTCCGCTAAGGGGTTTCAGAAGACCAAAACCTCGCCCTAGGACGAAGTTTCATCTGATAATACGAAGTGCCGCGAGGATCACCCCGCGGCCATCAGATATGTCGCCTACTTCATTTCGCGTCCGAAGCTAAAAGAGCTCTTCAATGTTGAGATGGCAGGTGAAGATGCTTTCTCAAAACCAAGTCTTGCCCTCTTCCCTCACACACCTCGTCGTCTTTTCTCAAGTTGTCAATTCTAATTTAGCAGACTGATCTGCCCTTCCATTCTTTATGTTCTGACCTATCCTCGCTGCAATATTTAAATTCAAGTTACACGCTCATTCGCGCCCTTCTCGACGTCATGAAAGGCTTCACTCATATTCTTGTTGTTTCCTTTGTAGCCTTCAGATCAGTTTTCGCGATCCCAGCCAAAGGCAACAAAGCTGCAAATGCTGCAGCCAGCGCCGTTGCGGGCATCACTCGAGGTGCATCGACTATTGTTATGAAAGAGGTTGGTGGTGTACCGGGAAACGAATGCCTCACATTTCGGAACAATGGTAAGTCTTCGGTACATTTCCCCTTACGGGGATCTTAGTCCTTCGTTGAAAACGCCGCAACTTTCGGCATCACCACGAAACGAGCCCTGGGCTGACAATTGCTTGTAGGTGAGATTGTTGATGCAGCATGCGTAAACACCTCCGCAGATCGTCAAGTCACCCCCTCAACCAGTGCTTCGGGTGCCGATGTCCTCCTGGTACAGCGTAGCTTCGACGCTGGATTTCGGCCCGATCTCGTTGGGAAGCAGGCGTGCGTGGGATTCAATGGAACCGATTTTAAGGCAGTGGATTGTAATGCCTCTGGTACTCAATTTGTGAGCCTCGTTGGTGGGCAACTCAAGTCTGGAACAGCATGCCAAAGTGGACATGATTCAGCTGCACAATTGACGGTGGACTCGAGTGGGAGCAAGTGCGTTGGAGTCACGATTACCACAGTGACGCCGGCAGCTCCATGAATACGATTTCTTGATCATCTCACTGCTGAACTGAGGAGCTACGCCGATGCGAGACATGTGCTCAGTATAGTGTCGTCAATTAATCATCCAGATATCCTTGGCATATTGGACGATTTGGTCTTCATGAGTCCCTTAACTAGAGTCTTGAGCCTATGTGATATATTTGAGTCCTTTCACGATTACTCTGATTATAATGTACCGCCAAACGTTCATCAAACGTTCGAATATATGTATTTTCAGTTGCAGTTTGAGAGGAGCCGGAAACTCCGTTTCGGTTCTGTATCCGTGTTTGAGGTCGACTTAAGATCACGCTTTAATCTCAGCTAGATTGAAACGGACCCCTTGGAATACAACTGGCCCGAATCAAAACTTCACTCTTGTGAAAATTCCAACACCTCAAATATTCTTCATCGGCGGTAAATCATTTGCAGGCCTCTATCGCCACTCCCAAGTGTCAAACACGAGACCGTCTCCACACAGAAATACTGAAAGGCTGCAACTTCTGATCGTCCCCGACCGTCTAATACACAACCGCAGCTCCCTCGTTATCTGACACATTCCACAATGTCATTTTATTGATTCCTTCTGCATATCTCTGGATAGCTCATCCCCGTCCGTCGGACTTCGGATGTCAATTCACTCGACATTATTTTACGAGAGTGGACCCACCAACGCCCAGCTCAAGAGGCAACTCGACAATGAAGTTGCGAGACACACCGATCTAATTAAGAAGTACAGCATCGCGACCGAAAGGCTGTGGGCGCTAGAAAGGGCGGTCGTCAAAACTAACAGTGGGCACGATACTGGGCCAGAAGGAGATTGGAGTCACTGGAGAAGAGAATGGGAGGTAGGGCAGGGCATTTTGAAGCGGGTGAAAAGGAGCTTGGAGGAAAGCGAATTAGGGTCTGATGCATGCCAACAACGGTGTGCTCACTTAATTACTACCTTTAATACACCGACACGTCAAACTCTCTGTATTGTTTGTTCCAATGGCCGGTATCATTAAGCAAACAACCACCTGCAAAAGATGAAGTTGCTCGGGCTTTGGAAGTCTTCCTGGGTTTCTTTTTCTCATCCCCTCTGCAGTATCAAGGCTTGATGGTCACTCTAGAAATTTATGCCAACTTATGATAGAGTTACCTGTAAGTATAAATTCTGGGGATGATTACCCCCCTTTCCGGGGCTCGGCTTTACCCCACGTTCTGGGGAGAGCTTGGCGAGTTCGGCTTGCAACGGCTTTTCTTGCATTGTTTCTGAAGAATGAACTCAACAACCTCCATCTAAAGAATGGAGGAGCCTTTCAATTGATGAGACAGCTCTTCTGGACTGCATAATATCTCACTCCCAATGATTCCGGCATCAAGATCTCGGGCGTTTGCCCGCGCAATCCTCTCCTCCCACGGCAGCCGCCATCTCTCCTCGACCTCGAGCACACCCATAACCTCCGTCCTCATAGCCAACCGTGGTGAAATCGCCCTTCGAGTTGGACGCACTGCTTCTGAGTTAGGCGTACGTTGCACGACAATATACACGGATCCGGATGCACACTCCCAGCATGCCCTATCGAGCCCCTTCGCGGTAAACCTCGGCGCTGCCAATGCATACCTCGATGGGGAGCGGATTATATCTGTAGCGAAGGAGCAGGGCTGTGAGGCTTTACATCCGGGATACGGCTTCTTGAGCGAGAATTCCGCATTTGCGAAGAGGTGTGTGGAGGAGGGATTAGTGTTCATTGGCCCACCGTGGAAGGCCATCGAAGCAATGGGGAACAAGTCGCGGAGTAAGGATATTATGATCAAGGCAGGTGTGCCTTGTATACCTGGATACCATGGAACAAATCAAGAACCCGAATACCTATTGGAGGAAGCTAGGAAGATTGGATTTCCAGTCATGGTCAAGGCTGTCAAGGGAGGTGGTGGGAAGGGTATGCGGATTGCTTTTAATGAGCAGGAATTCCTGGACAAGTTGGAGAGTGCTAAGAGTGAGGGGCGGAACTCTTTTGGGGACGATGTTATGCTGGTCGAGAAGTACATTGGTACACCTAGACATATCGAGGTTCAGATATTCGCAGATAAGTACGGAAATGCTGTTGCATTAGGAGAGCGAGATTGTAGTCTTCAAAGGAGGCACCAAAAAATCCTGGAAGAGGCTCCAGCACCAAATCTGGCAGAAGATATCAGACAAGACCTTTGGGAGAAGGCAAGAGCAGCCGCATTAGCTGTGGGTTACGAAGGTGCCGGAACTGTGGAATGTGAGATTCCCACGCCAAGAACCATTGAATATCGCTGACAGGCCATCTAGTCATCTTTGACAATGATACCAATGAGTTCTTTTTTATGGAAATGAACACGAGACTCCAGGTTGAGCACCCGGTCACTGAAGCAATCACTGGAGAAGACCTCGTTTCATGGCAATTTAAGGTTGCTGCTGGCGAACCCTTACCCCTTGACCAAGAGACAATTGCTCAACGGATATCAGAGCGTGGATGGGCTATTGAGGCTCGTATCTATGCCGAAAATCCCAGCCAGAATTTCATGCCCGATTCTGGCAAGCTCATCCACCTTCGCACACCTCAGATATCTCAGAGTGTTCGGATTGATGCTGGCTTTATTGAGGGCGATACTGTCTCGTCAAACTATGATGGCATGATCGCAAAGCTCATTGTCAGTGGGCCAACAAGAGAAGTGGCTATAGGAAAACTGCATGCTGCATTGCAGGACTATAAAGTCGTTGGTCTAAGCACCAATATCGAGTTCTTGAAGAAGATTTGCAAGAGCCCTGCCTTCATCAGAGGCGAGGTCGAAACTGGATACATCCAAAAGCACAATGGCGAACTCTTTGCCCCGGAATCTGTGGAGCCAGAGACTTTTGCTCAGGCTGCTTTGGGTCTTCTAGCCAAAGAACTGTCTGGATCGGGAGTCCCTGCTTCCCAGGGCCCACACGGACAAAGTATCGGATTTGCCCCAAGCAGTCAACGCCAATTTACCTTCCTTACTTCGACAGGCTCAGATGCGGAGCTGGTACAGGTGTCTATCAACCAATCGGGTAGAAACTTGTTCGATGTCATCGTGAATGGCCAGGGACTTGACATGACCTACACAAACGTGATTTGCGAGCCACTCGCTCCTTCTATTTCGACTTTCTTTCCCCATACCCGAATAGAGAGCACAATTATAGCGGATGGTGATAAGATCACCCTCTTCCAACGTGGTAAGCAGACACAACTGACGTTGGCAACGCCGAGCTGGTATGAAAAAGCCCTCGGGTTGAAGGATGTTGCGAACAGCATTTTGGCGCCGATGCCTTGCAAGGTTCTGAGGAATGAGGTGAAAGAGGGTGATGCAGTGGAGAAAGACCAAGCTCTAGTTGTGTAAGCCTTGCTGTTTTTCGTGGCCGTGGATTAATTCTAATCTTGTTTGGACAGCATTGAAAGCATGAAGATGGAGACGGTCATCCGATCGCCTCAGAAAGGCGTTATTGCCAGACTAGTTCACAAGGAAGGAGTAAGCATGTCCAAATGTCAAGATCCATTCGTTTCAGCTAACAAATTCCAGGATATTTGCAAGGCTGGGACTGTCTTGGTGCTATTTGAAGAAGTAAGTAGATGAGGCTGTTGCTTCAATAGCGGCGAACTGACGGAAAACAGCAACCAGAGTAAAGCCTTAGGTACACCACGAGACCCCAAACTTATAAAAATGAGACTACGTCTGTACGATAAGTGGTTATGGTTGAGTGGCCACCCTGGCTTGAGGTGAGCAGCGGAGGATTTTGCAAGGGACTGGGCGAGGCACAGATTCTTTCTAGAGAGAACCATCAAAATAGAAACTCGGTCACAAGCAGCTCCAAAGTCAAAGATGCAAGAGGGTTCGTTTATTTGTTGCTTCTCATTCCTACAGTTTCTGCCCATTGCTTCCCACCTCAACAACTTGGTCAATGCCCTCGTACTCTGGTAGCCACAAATCATATTTCTTCCGGATATCCGGGCTCACAAACCTATCTCATCTATTAGTTCTGTTTACTCTCAAATCGAGTAGATATTTTGCTCACCTGCCGCCAATAAAATGCCTTCCCTTAAAGTACTTCACCAACGGTTTCGGCGCCGTCAAACTGACCAACACTTCCGGATTGAACTTGGCTCCAGGTCCCTCCTTCGGCGGCCCCTCTTCGATGTTCCAGGACGAGGGTGCGTCGACTGATGTCACAGGGATTCGGGTTTCTTCTAACGCACGGATGACTGCAGGAAAAGGCTCACGAACTTCGCCTGAAAAGGAGAATCCTGGGTATGTTATTAGGAGGCATTGAAGTCAGGGAGGGAAGTGGTGAGAAGACAAACCGAAAATGGCGTCGATGACATGATCCGTCTCTTCCAGTGCGGTGGGAAAGTCGTCTGTGAACGGAATATTGAGGTTTTTGAGTTGGGTCGAGAGACGCTGGGCTTGTCAGCTTGGGATACCATGAGATAATGGGACAGGGAGACTAGAGGAGCGTTCACCTGATACAAATCATTCTTGGCTTGCTTGGGGTAATAAATCATCGGTTTGTAGCCATAATGCCAGAGATGTCTCGCAGCAACAAGTCCATCACCACCTGCTCTCATCAGCTCTGAAATTTCACACCTCTTCTCTTCATCCATCTCATAAACTCACCATTATTTCCCGGTCCACAAGCTACTAAGATCCTTCTTCCTCTGCTTGGTGGATGAATACGATAGACTGCAAATAATTAGAAAAAGAGATGAGCGAGAGCGGTAAGGACGCAAACCAGCTTGAGATACTGAGAGCCCAGCGAGTTCCATAAGCTGATCAATGGAGAAGGCTCCGATGCTCATGAGATCCTTGTCCAGAGCAGCGGCATTCTTGGCCGAGAGAGTCTACAAAAAGTCAATGATGGACATCGATGCGAATAATTCCAAAAGGAACAGAGAGCGTAGGCTTCCGACCTTCATCGCCATGATTGTGAGTTGAACTTTGAGGACTGGGAATTGGTTTGAAGACTAATTCTTTCGAGTTTGAAAAGCAAACACGGGATGGGGAACTCTTTTCAATAAGATGGGTATCACCATCACTTCAAATCAGGACCCATTTGTTTAATAGACCCCTCACCTGATCCTTGGAGTGCTGTGATGCTGTTGACATCACCCGCTTCAGGGCGGAGCTCCGCTGGAGGCGGAATCTCGGCATCCAAAAAAGTTCGCGGCTTCAACCTCACTCCTCGGCGAGCACCTCCCAGCAACACCACCCATCATGGTTGTCAAGATACGGTTAGCCCGCTTCGGGCGTCGCAAAGCACCGTTTTATAACATTGTTGTTGCGCAAGCTCGGTTCGTTCTCCCCCTTCCCTGATGGACTCCTTCCCAAGAAAGCACAGCTAATCTCTTGAACAGGACAGCGCGGAATAGCAAGCCGATTGAGGTCCTTGGTATGCCTCCTCCAATGCCCCCCCTCTATCATCGACCGATCAATAACACAGAACGGAGGCCGGATGAAGGAGAATTGGATTTGAAGGTAGAGGACACAGGCTCATAGAAGACAGGCACATACGACCCGATTCCCAAAGCGCCAATAGACGGAGAAGGGAAGAAGTGGAAAGATGTCAAACTCGATTCTGCGAGGGCAAAATATTGGCTTGGTGTCGGGGCGCAGCCGAGCGATCCTGCGTGGAGGTTATTGAGTATGGTATGTTTGATCCTCAGTTCTGGATGTGCCGTGGAAGTTCTGGACCAGGAGCCTGGATACGGGCGAAAGAGAGATATTCAGGAAGAGAAAATGGGAGAAGCTTGCTGATTGAAACGGTGCAGGCTGGATTATTGGAGCCGAAGTATCGACCGAAGGCTTGAAGAAGGTGGAAAGATGGACCCAGACGTAGAGGGAGAGTGAAGAGTGAAGTGATGCGGTGTATAGCACTAGGGGCGTTTGATGCATGATGTGTATACCAGAGAATGGCGTTTGGGAATGGTGTAATTGTACAAAATGGATCCCGTAAAAGGCGCCTCGTTCCCGGGTTGTTCCCCACGATTTGCAGTGAAGAGGCAAATTGAGTTGGATCCCTGAAATAGTTTTGAATGGCCGGGAAGGACTTGAGACACTGGAATTGCCTCCTCAAATTTCACTCCAATGCGGTCTATATTGGCCAATCAGTATTCCGTCAATCATCTCGGTGTCTATATTGTGTTCTATTCGTCCCCATATTTACAGAATTTTCTTGTCTCGGTATGTTACTGAAGCGAGATCTTCAACAGATGATGCCCCGTCCAACCAGTATGCCCAAACGCCTTGCCATGCTCTAGAAGAAACCCAAGAACCCAGTGTAAAATGCGGAATTTAATGCGCGATACCAGTGAAGAAAAGATTCGTGCTCAAACACAGAATCATGACAAAAACGCCATAAATGGCTAATCCCAGAGCTAGCTTTCGTAATAAAGCTGTTCGCCAGGCTTTCGACCTGAAAGTAGGTTGTCCCGCCAACTCTTCCTCTTCGTCAGCGCTGTCGTCCTCATCTTCCTCCTTGGTTAATCGTTGGTGGTGTATTGATTCGGGGGCTGATATTTTGTAGTAAAATAAGCCCGGCAAGATGAAGCTGATACTCGTGCTTCCCGTGCTGCCTACGTAGGCAAGAACTTTGTCGAGCGAAGATACTGTCATTGCTACCGTGTAGCTGAGGATAATTATTACCGTGGTGATGATTGCGAATCTGAGTTCGCCAATCGTATCGTTCCTCGCAATAGGTCGAGCTGGACTGCCTGTGAGTAAAGGCACTGTTCTCGATGGTGAGCTATTAGGTGAGTTACGTTCGGTCTTAAAGCTGTTTGGCCGCCATTTCAGAACCGCGTCAACGGATGCTCGACATGGATGCACCTGAAGAGGATACGAGAACATGACGAGAATAACAATTGCTGCTTTGGCAATTGTTGAGGCAATCGAGGGGACATCTTGGAGTTGTCAATACCGCCCGGAATAGTTCTGAGCAAGGGACTTACACATCCCCACGATATTCCCTTTGACAGCGTTGCCAAAAGATAGATATCCCGTAATGGCAACAAGGACATAGACTGATGCGGCAGAGCCAATACTTGCTGCAATGACGCTTGTGGTTCTGAGACAGTATAAGTAACGGAAGAGATCAGAGATCTGAATTTTATGAACTGACCTGCGGTGTGAATTGTCTTTGATCTCATTCAGAATAGAGAACATCTGTACGGGTAAGCACCGTGACGGCTCGTCAGGTTGATACTTACATTCTGGTGGCATGTATATGCAAAAACAATCACTGGGAACTTATGAAGCGTAGAAACAAGTCCCGCCCATTTGATAACCCTTATTGGTCCTCGGTCGGCCATTGTGTCTCCTTTTGCAAAATGATATACTACAAGGACGACGAGGTATCCTATGGATATCAACGCTATGATGCTGGTGTATTTCAAGGAATCTAAGCGGCGAAGGAAGGAAAGGGGGATCACAACAAGCCTGGCAATATTAGCAACAAGAACGAGCGAAACAGAAGTGATGGATGCATACATAAAGCAAGTAACCCAGAAATGTCTATCGACAAGGAACGGGATAGCATCCGCGCCTTCATTGAATCCTCTAACAACATCCGGCATGAGGTCTCCGATGATAATCAAGTAGCTCACTCCCACACCAAAGCATTTGATAGCAATCGCAGCATCGAATACAACAGCCGCATTTGGATATGTGATTTGCGATAATGCAAAGAAGGAGGATGTTCCCCGGTCGAGATATCGCGCGCATCGAGTTTGAAGGTATAACCCAAAGGCTGCTGTAAGGCCGGACCATACAATCACCAATGTCCCTAACGTTATACCCATGTTGGACATGGCCAAAGGCATCGCGAGGGTCCCGCTGATGAAGTTAGTACTCTCCTCTTTCACGGGTCTTTCGGGCAGGTGGATGGGGGGGGGGAAGGTCTCTAAGGGTGTGTAGCGAGTTCGGGCAATGAGAGAGGGAAGAGTTAAGAAATCCAATTATCCTTACGCTCCAATGACTGGGCAGTTGTCAGAACGAAGACTCAGAAGGGGATAGAGATACATACTGGTATTGAGCAAGTTAACAACACTGCTTACCCAAGAGGCCTGTCCCGTGAAGTTCTGGTCCTTTAAGCTCCGGCCTGATCGTCTCCTGGAGCTATATCATCAGCCTCGTCCAGGTACCAGTCTCCTGCCGGGAACGTACCTCCTCCCTCTCGCCGTATCCGACGAGCTGCTACTTGAGCCTCCAATTGCGGAATAGTTGACCATATTGGTCGTCAGTCCCACAACAGTCGTTCGATGGCTTGAAGTCGCACATGCGCTGCGTGTGGAGAATACTGCCAGACCACGACAAAAGTGGATAGACAGTGACTGAGTGCCGGTATCAGAGCAATTTAAGGTTGCTGTCGCATGCTGCAGGCAAAGGTCGCAATGAATATACTCAGCAGAATTGTTTGGCGTAAAGGAACGGTATTTATGGACCTCTGGAAAGGTATGAGGTTCACTCCAAATGCTCGTGTTGAGAGGACAGCACGCTGGGCACGAGCCATGGAAAGATCACGTTAGCTGCAGGGTCAAAGAGCGCTAAATTCAAGCCACAGAAGGAAGCCGCAGCCTTGCCGACAAGCCACAGTTCTAGAAGACTGATTTTCCTCTTTGAACATTGGACATCAGCTCAAAATCATCCTAACGCAATCGTGATGGAGAACACGTTCGACAAGACGGCGGTAGAGACGATTGATCTTTTGGAAGCGCGATTGCGGAGAATCGAGTATGCAGTCTGCGGTCAAGTCAATGAGTCCACTCTCTCAGGCAACAAGACATCAGCAGCACGGCGACTTGCTGCTCTAGAGTATTCACTTCACCAGCTGGCCTCGAAATCAAGAGTGGTTCAAGAACTCTTAAGGCTACGTGAGTTTCTTGCCACTAATCTGATCCCTGTCTAACCTCTTGTAGATTCTAGACATCCTGATCTCTTCCAATCTCTGAGCTCAAATGACTTGCCAACCACATTGGACGCCGAGAGCCTCCTATCCATCATCATGGCCTCAGCAAGCACGTATCCCGCTACCGCGTCGCGTCTTACTTCTATCCTCGACGTGCCGGTCCCACCGGCTGAACTCTCAGCCCAGCTTATTGACCTCCAACCTCGAATTGCCAAAGTCGAAGCACTTCAAGCCGCGCAGAACGCAGATATAGCACAATTGAGAGAACGGAGCGCGGCTGTTATTCAACGGTGGTATACAGTGGATATTTTACGTGCTGGAGAAAGCTGGGCGGAGTTGGAGGGAAGGGTTGAGCAAGTCGAGCAGAAAGTGAGGAGAACTGCTCTGGCAAAGAGGCTGGATGACGACATGGTCTGAGATATCGTCTGGCCTTACCTGATGCGAGAACCACAAACATCCCAATGTTTCGATGCCAAGGAAGAGGCAGAGCCGCTTTCTTGGAAACGGCTGAGAAGCATGTCATTGTTGCTTGGACACAATCATGACACAGTATGACGATGCACCACAGTGCGGAAGAAGAAGAACCATTCCATCACAATTGGATGCGCTTTGCTCCTAGGGCTGAAGGAACATTGCTTTTGGGGTATTTTGGAGGTTTCCTGGTTCCAGATCCGGCGAAACGGCATGACCGGAGGGGCGCTGTTCCGCGTCTCATCATGCGAATGACACCTTCGGGTGGGGTTAGCTTTTGAGAATATGGGCATTTCCACTTGGGGGTCTGAGTTCGAGGATATCTTTAATACCTCATGAGATCATTATCAATGCAATTGACGATGATGTCCCTTCTCGTCCATGCTTCGTCAATGGTTGAATGAAGGCATTTCAGTCTTGCCTCCCTGAAGTAAAGAGGCCACTGCTGAGCCCGCCAGATCATGTGTCCCATAAAGAACCTATAAAGTTGAATGAGTACAAGGAGGATCTGAGTACAAATAAAGCCATTAATAGCAGCATGCTTAACTAAAGCAGGCAGGTAGACAAACGCATCTGCCGACACACTTCACCAAAAGCCTCGATTCTGAGATCAAGACACTTTCAAGTATCTTTGAAAACCAGCTCTGTGCGCGCATTCCAGAAGGTCACAAGCACTGCGAAATCCTCAGGAGGTACGCCTCAGATCCAGGTCAAGGCGTACATCTCCACGTGGTTCCATCCGGAGAAAATGAAGCTGATCTGCAAACTCTCTCCTTGGGTGCACTTGGGTGCACACTCCCACGTTTCTAAACAAGGTTTTGAATTTTGGAGGATCATTTAGGTAATGATCGAAGACAGCCAGGAGACTCCCCGTCATGATTCCAATGCCAAAAGCACTTTGCTGTCGTAAGCTTCTATGAAGTTGCAGGAGTCCCCTCCCGTTGGGACCGGAGCTTTGAGCCACAGCTGAGATGTGGAGATCACAGCCACATTGTGGCAAACTCCCCCTCATTCGAGTGGATCGAATTCCGCTTCGTCTCTCCCTGCCAGGTTTTGAACAGAATCTTGACTTCAACCCCGCATGTGTGCTGTCGTTGGCAAAGGTCTAGGCCACTTAAGATCTCATAGGGCGGTCGATCACTTGAAGGCAAGAATTCCATAAGACTTTGTCTTGCCCATCCTCCTCGTGGATATAAAGTATCGTGTGAGCTTGAAACAGAGCCACCATTCCTTGAACCCCTTCAACGTCCGTCCCAAATTCCTCACCAGCCACGATCGCCCCCCGAGGCCCATCGCATTGAGCTGTGCCTCAAAAAGAGACGCGGGGCGCATTGTTCAGTGTTTCTTTCTCCCGGGGCGCTTTGCTTGAGCATAAAACACAGTTTTTTTGTTTGCTTCCGTTGCATAGGAACAGCAACCACTGGATCTGCCGGCTGGCCTCATCTCCAAGATTCCCTCACAGCCAATCGAATCTAGCGCTGGGGAGATCAGTCGGAGGGACAATCCCCGAAACCCATAAACTCGAACTCGAAGAAACGACTCGATCTCGGCCACGAAGACGACTCCCTGCATCTGTTCACACCAGTCACGGCCAACATCAACTCAGCACGTCTCATCCCCTCAAGGCTCATTATTAGCAGTCGAGGTCCGTGGTCTTATTAATACTTGTAACCGTGGGAGGCACACTGGCCCACAGCCTACAGGCCCACTTCGCCCTGGAAATTGAAACGCGCTGAGCCGGAGAATAATCCGCCGCGAGAAAGATTTGGTCAGGGGCAATAATAATAATCGACCGGAGCCGACGCCACGAATTTCGCACGTTAAAGCGTAAAGCGCAAGCACTTAAACTCAGAAAGCAGCAAGCCAGCCTTACGCCGACGCGGACACCGACCCGTCACCCCAGGGGGGGGAACCAGCAAAGCTATCAGGTTCAGATTCAGGTACAGCACCGTACTAGATAGAAACAGAACACGGAATCGAGACGGCGCCGCGCAACCCGGCACATCATCAATAGGGGCTCGATTCTTCTCCTCTCTTTCATTCACCAATCAGCCCCTTCTCCTCTGCCCAGCGGCCCAAGCAAAGCCGCGGTCCAATCTCGCGCCGCCAGACAGACTTCAGTCCGGCCTGCGGCGGCAGCAGCAGCAACAGCAACAGTAACAGCTACAGCAGCAGTACCGCGCGGATCCTCGCTGCTCCTTTCGTGCTCGCAGCGTACCAAAGTGCCTTGTCTCTTTCAGGCTTCTGGCCCCTGGCCTGGCTTCTGGCACCTCTGCATCTGCATCTGCATCCGCATCTGCATCTATCTGCTTCTCCAAAACTTGACCTCTTCTCGCCGCACGCCCAGTCTGCCCAGTCATTCATCTCGTCTGTCCCAGACCACCCGCCCCCTCGCTAATCCCGCACTGCCTGCCAGCCTGCCAGCCTGCCAGGCTCCTCCTTCCTTCATCATCTTCCATCAAACCTTCGCCCACTCGCGACGCTGCACACTCACACCCCTCCCGCTCCGCTTCTAACACCCCTACCTCGGTTTTCGTCGCCTACCAACGTGTCCCTCGACGTCTCACATTCTCTTGTCTCCAATCCAATCCCAATCCACGACACTCCTTCAACCGCAACATTTCCCAATCCCCTCCTTTGCTGGACCAGGCTGTCAGCATCGTGAGCACTTCACGACCACCGCTCCCTTCTGTTAATCACGAACGGCTCCAGATTTCTTGGCTGAGCAGCGATCCCAGCACCAGCCACACGACCACTCCAGCTGAAACGCCCACGACCGCACCATATTTTCCGCCCATTTTTGCTTTGTTGTGTGCATAACGACGATACTTTTATCGATCGACTGAGTCGACCTCGATATTCGTATCGATAGAAATAATATTCAACTAATTCTTCGCGTGAGGAACGAACGGTCTCATCGCCGATCTTCCCTATGCCATCTTACGGCTCGCTACATTCGCCATCTCTCCGCAAAATGAACGGCGGCATGGACGGCAAAGGGAGAAGGGCCGGTGGGATGAGATCGATGAGCATGGACAACATACTGGGTGATCCTTTTGCGCTTGCAACAATTTCCATTGCTACGGTAGGTTCAACTCCTTTTACTGTGCCACAGCATCCAGATCTCTAGACTCAACCTGACTGACATCCAACAGCTTGCATGGTTCATTGCGTTTGTCGGGTCAGTAATTGCGACTGCTGAGGAGAAGGCAAACGACCAATTCCCCAACTATGCGTGGTTCGCCGTTGCGTATATGCTGTGCGTAATTATAGGGGTATTTGTGGTAGTAGCATCCGATACTACACAAACATATCACGTAGCTATCGTTGGGTACCTTGCTTGTGGCCTTGTATTGACAAGTTCATCCGTCAATGCTACGATCTATTCCTCCAATGGTGCGAGAGAAGCATCCGCTGCTGGTCACATCTTGCTTTCTATGGTCAATGTTGGTAGCCTCCTCTGTATTGTTGAAAACATGCTAACATGGACCAGATTGTATGGATCTTCTACTTTGGATCAACACCTTCAGCCGTTCCCCGCGCCTACCTCGACTCTTTCGCGCTTCATAAAGACCACAGAACATCACAAGGTGGACGAGGTATGACCGGCAATTATGGAAATGGACGACCAGACACATCCATCTCCTCAAACGTTCCCCCGCAAATGTACACATCCGCCCAACTCGGAGGATTCGAGACATCATCTCCGGTAGCAGGCTTCACAGGAGACCGCAATTCATCTCAACCCAGATTTGGCAACGGTGCCGCACCAGCACCAGCACCAGCACCAGCAGCAGCAGCAAGCAACCTTGCCACAAGTGGACCGATGAGCACCGAACCAACAGCAGGGGAAGTGGTAGCACCGACTGAGTACCCTTACCGAGCGAAGGCCATCTACTCTTATGAAGCCAACCCTGATGATGCAAATGAGATCTCCTTCTCCAAACACGAAATACTAGAGGTTTCTGACGTGAGCGGACGGTGGTGGCAAGCGAAGAAAGAGAATGGAGACACGGGAATTGCACCTTCGAATTACCTGATTTTATTATAAGACTGCTTTTCAAAGTAAAGGCAAGGGCTTGGATTTGGGACCGACACACTTGACACTATTATTCCAATGGGATGGGGAACTATTTGCAGATGCGAATGGAACAAATACTAGGGCTGGGAAATTGGGTGGTATACGGAGTGGAAGGAGTTATGTAATAAGTCTATGTGTCATGATTGGTTTCCTTTGTTCTTCACCTCTCCAACAGTCAACCTTCACCACGTCGAAGTCTATACCCAGCGCCACCGACTCGACCACCACCTTTCTCCGACCAGCAATCCCTTGAATACACGACGAAAAGATGGAGCAATGGGAGACAGCTAAAGGAGAGGCTAGCTTGGCATAATTCTGGCGTTGTGATCGTGTTGCTTCGAGGGTGGATGGCTGGGAAGTTGCTGGATGGGACTCTCGTTCCTCTGTTCTACATTCGGCAAGAAACACTTGCTTCTGGCGTATAGGCAATGAAGAGATTCTTACGACTTATAACTGCACTCTTTCCAATCTCCCCCTTTTCACCCTCTATCATACAACTCACTTCCCTTGCCCCCTTTTCACGCCCAGCTTGACACCTGACTGATCACCTGGAAACCACACCACCACCATCCACTCATCTGATCTCATGTCCTTGTTTATTTACTTAATTCCTCTTCTATACTACAGCACTCCCCTAATATTGGCTCAGCCTAGATTCGTGGTCTCCACCCCCGTATTCGGACGCAAGACACTCTACACTACGGGGAACTGGAGCGAGTAGATTACTCCGCAATAACAGCAGTCTCGCTTTATCTAGTGCGTGGATCCTTGGGAGACAGCTTGTAAAACACGCGGTCCGAAGCTCGCCGCGAATTTGGCGTATATTTTGGTACTGATGTTATCATCGTATGTTGTGGCTTTCGTCTTATGTTTCGGGTCTTATGTGAAGCGTGGGAGAGGCGTTGTGTAGATGAGGTGAATTAAGTGTATAGGTAACTTGAATTACCAGCGGGAAGAGAATGAGATGATATGAGAGAGAGGATGAATTAGTTCCGGCTTGTTATAGTTGATTCAAGTGAGTAGGCACCTGGCATTTTTGAGGTGGAGGGGTATCCTCTTCTGAATTCATGACTTTCTTTCCGATGACTGATGGCCTAGGAAGGGGTATGTATCTCTCTCTGTAACGTTCCCGAATCTCACCACCGTAATGAAAACCAAGGCATCGATCTGATCTATTGCACCTGAACTTTTCATGCATTCGCTCATCTCGTCCCATCGCTCTCTCCTGCATGCGACTCTCTTCACCACTCATTCGTGACTGGAAAATTGGAAAGCCAAAACGCCACGCCGGATCTTTAAACGCCTTTATCGCACCCAATACGACCCAACAACTCCTTCCTGTCACTATGGCCCGGCAAACTGACTCCCGTAGCACTGCTCGCGCTCTTCTTGTACCGCATCTTGCTGGCATTTGAGACTTTGCCCTTGAGGTTGATGGACTCGACGCCGACTTCTTCTTCATACGGCAGCAGCTCTTCCTCAATTGCTTCGTGCTCCTCTAGCTCTTCCTCGCCTTCATCATCACTTCTCACATCATCTGCCTCTCCACCCTTGACCACTTTCACCGCAACCTGGACAATCATCCAGAACCACAGGAGCGTGATACATTGCAGGAACAACAGTGCGCCCAAGAATCCCCATTTGATGTTATCATTCCAGCAGACGACGCCTTCAGGGTCCCGGAAGGGCTCGAGAAGGTGCCAGAAGCCATCGGGAGCTTCGAACGGCCCCTTGATGGCGCCGTTCCGCCCGCTGTAACAGCCGTAGGTGACCTCCATGGGGAGGTCGTGGTAGAGGGACCAGCAGATCATCATGTAGGTAACATGGCGAGCAGCGATCCAGACGACCATGAAGACGCCGAAGATGATGTCGCAAATGGTGGTAAACCCAAGGTATTTGAGGCATTTTGCAAGCTTCACGAGTATTAGCAGTGCAGTGGACTGAAGCAGGAAGGGCACTTACTGGGAAAATGAGATCCACGACATCCATGATGCACAGAATCAGGTTGGCTACCTTCGTCTGGTGGTATCCGTAGCTCGTGAAGATCAGAAAGGTTGTGACAATGTGGTGCGTGAACATCTGCCAATGGTCTTTTCTCCTCTTCTCGATATTGATCACGAATATCTGCTGCAGCCAGAAGGCGTATTGGACCAGAATGTACCATTTACGCACCCCAGAAATCTCTCGATTAGGCCAATTGGTCCAGAGATTCTTGAAATTGAACAGGTAGTCAGAGTTAACCAGTATGTACTGCCTTCCGTTAGATATGAAGCTTTCTTTGCAGAGCTTCGCCTTACCATTCCCAGCGTCCAGAAGACCGAGTAGTAAATCAAAAGCCAAGCCTGCTCAGCAAATCTGGTCTGATCTCTCTCGGTCTTTGCGCCGGCCTTCTTCGCGAATGGCGTTAAAAGATAATCCATGACTGCGGCGCGAAGGCCTGTGAACACAACAATCCAATAAAATACCATCCAAGCGTCGTTCCATCCTGCACAGTATTCGCCAGAGTCGGGGTTGTAATAGGAGAGCTCGAAGAACTTGCGGGTGTGTCGTCGAGCGCGGGGGAAGCATAAATGTGTGAGGCAAAGTAGCATTAGGAGATTAACAGACAGTCCTGGAATTAACATTAGCTTTTGATATCAGTTGGAAGGGTTTCTTTATACCAATCTGATGCTCCACGATCCATCCACAGAATATCTCCAGCGGCCCATCGTCCTTCCTTTTGGCCTTTCTGTCTATGACAACTGTACGTGCTGGGAATACCTGCGAAACGTCATCGTTGAGTTTCTTTCTCAGTCCATTCGCATTCTCGTCATTCTGATCTATCCACTCCTGCGCCATGGCCTTCTCGTTCTGAATGGCGGCAACGGCAGAGGGGTCGCTCATGGCGACTTCGGTAGGAGAGAGCGCTGTAGTAAGTGAGAACGAGCGGGCCAATTGAGGGGAGATGGCTCTCAATGGTCTTTGATCGGCTTAGGAGAGGTCTGTCATGAATTCTGGGAGATAAATATGGAAATGAGGAAGAACGAATGTGGATGTCGAAGTCTGGAGCTTCCCCCTTTGCTTGTTCGAGGGAGGCGGTGAAGTTTTATGATTGCAACTTCAAGTCGTTTCGCGAAAAGACGATCTGATCGGCGGACAACTTCACCATCAGGTTTCTGTATTAGGCGGTAGGATGAATCGTCTGTCGTAAATATGCAATTGTATCAAGGAGAAAATCAAAGGATTCTATTTCGTAGGAGAAGTTCAGACAATTTGCTGCTGGATTCGTCCTCAGCACAAAGTACTGCCAGCCACGCGCCTCTGGTTCGTCGTGATACCCTGAAATCCGGGCCAAAAATCAATGTTTTTTCTATTAACTTCCATAACAGTGACAATTGAGTTTTTACAGGTTTATCGAGGGTAATCCTATAGACTGCGCATTAATTGATGTTATTTTCAAGGGAACCTAAGTGTGATGCTGTTAAAGAAAGTAATTGGGGTTTGATTTTCGGCCCGGATTTCGGTGTATCAGGACTAACCGGAGGCGCGTGCGAGCCCAGCCCCTGACGCTTGTACCTCGAACAGCTCGCCTTTACCGCTTCCATCCATGCTAATGTGGACTCTGAGGTTAGACCCAGACATTTTCTATGGTAATTCCATCAGTTCATGGAAATAATATTAGGGATAGTCTAAGCGATTATGAGCAACATTAGAAGGGACTCAATCTAAAAGATGTTTAATCACCTCGGTGCTAAACATTGAAGTGCTGGATTAACCGGACCCCTCTCCGGACCGTTGCAACAAATAGGAGTCGATCATTGGGCCACGAGCCCACGCACCTCAAAGCTAACCGAGAGGATCTGAGGTGTAGTCACGAGTTTCCCGCATAGGATGGTATTCTGCTATCCGAGATGCTTCAGTGGCAACTGCTCAGAGCAAAGAGGGAGTGTTTTATTCAATTTCTGCTCACGAAAGAAGCATAGACTATTGAACAGTGATGCCGAAATCCAATGCCTTCAGGAACGCATATTTTCCTTTCCCTGGCCGTCAACGCCAAAAGTACTGTCCATGAATGAAACCGTGTAGGTAATGCACCACCCAGTCCTCCCAAAGCTTGCGGCTACTCTGCTATACCATCCCCATATCTCTAGTTGTTCTGTTGGCTGTTGAGAATTCGGAGAATGGCGAGGAACAGGTTGATGACATCGAGGTAGAGGCTGATGGCAGCTGCAATTTCCTCCTCAACGTGGTAGTGTCTCATGATGAGCTGAGTGTCCACAAGAATGTATCCGGAGAAGATCAGAGCAGCGAGACCGCCATAGATAAGCTCGGTTGTGCTGGAGTAAGGGAAGAAGGCAGCGACGAATCCGAACAAGATCAATGCCCACAGCCCTCCAAACAGATAGGGCATCCAGGAGGTGAAATCGTACTTGGTCTGGCATGCGAAGAGTGTGAGGCCAACGAAGATACCAGCTGTAAGGAGGACAGCCTGAAGGACTATTTTGGTGTCGAAAAATGATACAATAACGGCCACTGAGTAGGCTTCAAGCCCGGTAAAGCCGGCGAGGAAGAAGAGATTCATGGGATAGCTCTTCCTCTTCCAGTAAGTCAACAGCATAAAGCCGATGGCACCGAAAAGCTAGAGACGGGTTAATATACTGTAATTGTCTAGCCATTTGGTGGACATACCGAAAGGTACATCATCCATGAATGGGTTTGGATCCAGTCCTTGTAACCAGCACTCCAGAAAGAAATCGAGCTCAGAACCGCGGTAGCAATCAGTTGCACAGACCTAGATTTCGTGTTATTATGCGTCCAATGGGAAAATGAGAGGTACTGACAGAATAGCGTAGACCTTTCTCACGAACGCCATCCGAATGTCGATGGTAGCCTCAGCGACGGAGCCTCCAAACTACAACAACGTCAGAGCCATCCAACCGAAACAAGACCGCAGCTATCTACCTTGAAGTCATCGGGGATGTTGTCTTCGCTGCTTCGTGGGCCTCCAAGAAGAGCAGCTTGGTCGGTGGAAGACGACGGTTCGTCAGCATATGAGGGTGGAGCTTGGGAGTAGTGAGCCGTATCGAGAGAATCCCGCTGAGGCGCGGCCGTGTACTTGGCGTTTGCAGCCATCGCATCAAGGCGCAGATGTCGTAGAGATGCAAGATGTTGTCGAGTTTGACAGTGGTGATGGATTTGATGGTGGTCGAGTTGGTTGGTTCAACTGTCCAGGCGACGATGCAATGGATGGCTTTCGGATGCTAGGGCCGCTAGGCTTAATATAGCGCGGGGAAGGCGCCACCTGAATAATCCGACAGCCGTTCTCATGAAAGCGTAATTGAGGGCGAAACTCCGCGACTAATTTACTTGGATGAGCACTGAATCATCTACCTGCTATAACCTTTAATGATGTGAATGATTACTTCAAGTTCTAAGGCGGAATTTTGTAGCGTAAATACAGTCTTAGACTTTAGCTTGAATCCTTTATTTTACTTGGCTAGTCATTTCTTAGTGACTGAGACAAAGGAGCTGGAGATCGAGAGAAATGCACTCACTCAATGACCAAGTCACAAGACGTCATCCTGATCACTCATGAGGCGACGTGCACACATCAAGTATTGAGACGCAGCTCTACACCATATCTGGCAACTTAACAGCTTGCGATTATCATTGGGCTAGGGTACAAAAGAACTAGAAGTGTATATCATTCCACTCGTGCCTCTATCACAGGTAGGATGAAGGAAAATGAAATAATTGAGTTGGACATTAGAAATGGATAAGAAAACACGTGATTAGCTTTTCAGAGCCAGAACAGTTCTTGCAAATGCCGTCAACGACCCGCAAAAAGAAACCCAGCTCCAATATCCCTATCGACAAGGCAAGTCGCAATAGAAAAAGGCCAGTCTGTAGCCAAGCTTTGTCCCCGAAAGGTACGACCGTCCACAAAACACAGATTACACCTCTCCATTTACTCCTCTGCGTTCGCCCCGCCACCATTTGTAGCTTCCAGGTGTGCGCTTTGCTCTCGGTGCATTCTGGCTTCGATTTCCTTAAGCTGACTCTCACGAGCCAACAATTCCTGTCTCTTTTCGTTGATCTCCCTTTGAACCTTGACCTCGATTTCCCGGAGCTTCTCTTCCTCACGTCTGAGTTGCTCTTCCTTGAGACGAACAGACTGGGATGCCAGATCCTCAGGGTTCATGGAGGAATCACTGTGTTCCCGGTTAGCCTTTAGACCTCAATCCAAGTAGATGGAAACTTACGCTCCAGCGCCACCCTCGACACTCTTGCTGAGTTTCTCGGTACGGTAGTTTTCGTACAGGAAATCGTGTGTGATTTCTTTCAGATCCGCCAAATGGCTGTGCAACAGAGCACTTCGAATGGCGAGGAAATCCGAGTGCCTTGGGTTGTCCACCTCCACAACACCCCATGGATATTGTCTGGCCCTGACTTTGCGACCTCCGATTTCAACGACCTCCTCGGAGCCAACAATTGCAAAAGGCATCAACCCCCGGAGTTCAGCATTCTCTTCGACCGTGTCCTCATCATCCTCTTCAATGTCGTATGGGAAGTTGTAGACTGGGATTCGGTAGTGTTCAATATCCTCCATGACGAGCTTCTTTGATTCAGCAAGTTCAGCGGGTGTAAGAGAGTCAGCCTTGCCAATGACGGGAATGACATTAACACGCGGTGACAGGCGCTTCATAAGCTCTATGTCTAATTCGCGGAGACTAAAGACTTGTAAGCAGAAGCAAGAACAGTGCCAGAGGCAGTCCTTACCCATGACCAGTGGGAGTGATAAAGTAGAGCAGAGCATGTACACGGTTGTCGCGGAAGCGGGGGTTACGCTTGATACGAGACTCCTCTGCGAGAATGTCGTCGTATTGCCGCTCGAGATAGCCAACAATTTCACCGAAGCTTTCATCTGGTCAGTAACTTTCGAGGCTGTGTCTCAACCAATGTCCAGCCTACCTTGCCTCGTTATCAATCTGGTCTCCAAAACCTGGTGTATCTACGATGGTCAGGGAGATGCGAGTTCCTTCTTCATCCAATTCCAACTCTGCAAGATATCAGCATGTGTATCATCTCGTGTATCGTAGAATTCGGTTGCGCACCGACGGTGATGGGCTTGATTCGGACACCCTCCTCAATATGGGCGTTTGTCGCATCGTCAGCATCCTTTCCTTGGAGGACTTTCTTTCCGCATAAGGTGTTCACAAATGTAGTTCGGCCTGAGATAATGTGTCAATTGCCGAGTAGGTTTCCCCCGACGGGTCCGACATACCTGTTCCCGAGGCACCACAAACCATCAAGCAGAACTGGATACCCTTCTTGACATTCTTCTTTCTGCGGATCTTGATCTGTAAGAGCTATGGTCAGTATCGGCACATAAACATGTCGATGTGCAAGAGATCAAACCCCAGCATGGTACTACCAGGTAACGCTGGGTCAGAAAGTTCAAAAGGGGTCGACGACGATCGCCCGAAGGATCCACATACTGCGCTCAAAGGAGAAGACATGATGGCAACGATTGCTTGGTAGAAGCTGCTGTAAACGTCAACTCAGACGGCGGTGATGATTTCGAGGGCGGTAAGATGACAGAAGATGGTGGTGCTTTGTTCGTGTGAGGGTCGCGAAATTTGAGAGTTGCGGTCGAAGGTCGCTCCTTCTTCAGGGGAATTGGGAAATTTGGCGAGCTGCCGCGCTGGAAGGAACATGGGGTTTTGGCTCTAGCCAGATTGAGACAGTTCTTGTACAGTAGCATCGGGGCACGCTGGGGGCGAGCAGATCGGTTTGACTTCTTTGATTTTTGGTAAACTCGGCAAGTACTATTATCATGGCCCAGGAACCTGCGACCGCATCATCTCTGGCTTTCTGGACTCCCCGCAGCAGCCTCGTGTGTGACATCTCGAAGTCTGCTCGTGACAGCGGAAAGGAGGATAAATGCACGGCCCACTTTTTGATGTGCCTAAGGCCGTCAAGGTCCAAGGCGAGCTCAAGGATCGCCGCTTCGCCGCCTCGTGCAACCCGCATGCCTTCCTTTATGATGCCGTCACGAATCGGTGCCTCTTGACAGCATATCTAACTCGACGCGCTCCAATATGCGCAGAGCTCGACAGTAGCAAGTGAACCAAGATACCTTCGGGCGTTGCTCGCACAGCTGCCCCGCAACCACAATGAATACCCGACCCGTTATCGAGACATCCAGCAATCCAATAGCCTTGTCAGCCTCTTTCAACCAAGACGCCAGTTGCTTCGCTGTTGGACTCGACACAGGCTTCTGCAGTATGTGCTCAACGCTCAGTCGTTCCTGTAAGGAACCTCTAACCTCTCTCCCAGTATTTAATTCAGAACCATGCCAGCTGCGAGTCTCTCGAGGTAAATGCCACGCCTCCTCCCAGCTTGCGCATGCTGAACTGGATAGATTTCAACGCCGGCATAGGGGCGGTACAGATGCTTGGGAAAGCCAACTTCATTGCTCTTATTGGAGGAGGCAAGCAACCAAAGTTTCCTCAAAACAAGGTCTGCCACAGCGGGAATCTTGGGGGGAGCCATGCTCACAATTCCCCAGGTGATCATTTGGGATGATGCGAAGCAGAAGGTCGCGATACAATTACCAGTCCTTACAACCGTTCGTAGTGTCCGATTATCGAGAACACATATTGCCATCGTCCTCCAGAACAGTGTTCGCGTCTACAAATTCCAAAGTCCCCCAGAGCTCTGGGCTGTCTTCGAAACTGCCGATAATCCTCTGGGGCTTTGTTGCTTGACTGCAAAGTCACTCGCATTCCCTGGACGGACGCCAGGACAGGTTCAGTTGGTTGAGCTGTCCACTGGAAATGTCAGCATTATACCAGCACATGGCTCCTCCTTACGAGCTATTGATATCAGCCGCGACGGAGATATCTTGGCTACAGCAAGCGAAACAGTAAGCGCGTTTGCTACTTAGACGGAGACCTATCACTAAAAAATGCTAGGGCACATTAGTGCGAGTCTTTGCAACAAGCAACTGTGCTAAGATTGCTGAACTAAGACGTGGAGTTGACCATGCTACCATATACTCCCTGGCTATTGCTCCTTCCGGTCAACTCCTCGCCGTTACGTCGGACAAATCCACTCTACACATATTTGATATTCCTCATCCAACGAAGCCCCCACGATCAGCGACCGTAAATGGTAGTCCGCGATTGACCTCGACAGGTGGTGGAGGAAGCCCTGTTGTGAGTGACGCGGACCCGAGTCAAAAGTGGGGGATCTTAGGACGCATTCCTTTACTTCCCAGAGTCTTCTCCGACATCTACTCATTTGCCTCCGCTCATTTTGAGATCGGCGACGAACCACTTTATGGAAGCTCTACGCCCCTTAATAGCGAAGCGACCTTTCGCCCTCCGAAGGGGATCATCGGCTGGACCAGTGATCATAGTCTCGTAGTAATCGGGGCTGGGAGAGATGGCAGGTGGGAGAAATTCGTCATTGCCGAGGGCGAAGATGGTAGACGTTATTGCGTCAGGGACGGGTGGAAGAGGTATTTGGGTGTTACTTGAGTGCTTGTCTGATTGATCAATGCTATTTAGCGAGGCGTAAGGGGAATGAATCCTTTGCTGGGGTTGGATTTGTGCATCGGAATATAGACCAGGAGCATGGAGTATGGCGACTTTTTTGCATGATTTATAGGATCTACTCTTGAGAAACATGCAGGAGCAATTCCTTAAGAGTCTCTTCTTGAACGACGACGGTAGTTGTTTCGCGAGTCATCTCTTCTCCTCTGTCTCGTGGTATCTCTCTCCCGACTATCCCTCCTTGGACTACGCCTCCTTGACTTGTACTCTTCGGCTCTATCATCTCCATCCTGTCGTTTTCTACGAGAACTTGATCCAGCATCAACAGGAGAAGTCTCTCGGGAGCGGGATCTCTTTCGTTCCCACCTTTCCTTTCGGTAGCTAGAATGCCGACTGCCCTCTACTTCATCTTCATCCTTTTCTCGCCGTGACCTGTGATGATGTCGGTGCTTATGAGACTTCTCGGACTTCTTCCTATCCTTCACCCGTGTCAATGCCAATGCCACTTCTTCCTTCTTCTCTTGAACCAAGAACGCCTTCATTGGATCTTCCTCATCATGATCCTGAATCAATCTCACCAGCTCTTGCTCTTCCTTCAGCATCGGTCTCGCTTCTTCACTCTCACTAGTCCTTCGTCTCTTCTGTCTCCCCTCGTCCCCATCCTCCTCGATTTGCTTTGCCTCTTGGGTCAAATCCACTCCCTCATCCGGCTCGTCATCTTTCTTCTTGTATCTTGTGTGGTCCACTTTCAATGTTCTTCCCATGATCACCGTTCCCCCTAAATTATCGACAGCCAAATCTGTGCTCCGTTGATCTTCGTACTTGAGGAAAGCAAAGCCTCGGGACTTGCCAGTTTCCTTATCCCGGACGAGATTGATATAGGTCGGTTCACCGAACTGCGAGAATATCGTAATTATGTCGCCCTCGGAGAGCTCGAAGGGGAGGCCTCCAATGTAGATGTAGGCCGTGTCGCGGTAGTCGGCATGCCATGATGCTTCTGTTGAGCTACATCTTATTGTTAGCAAGATCAAAAGTTTGGGGAGGCTTTATTTACACTCCATTCTCAAGCTCACGCTTGTTGAGCTCCTGGATTGCCCGTATGCTGTTCATTTTACGTTGTGGTTGAAGTTTGAGAGGTTCAGCCACTTGTAGAAACAAGGCTGTCAAAAAAATGCTGCCTCGCGTGCATCAGGACGCGTTCACAACTTTATGAACGCCCAACACCTCAGAGTCGCAATCAGATCCAAACTTCAGCAAACTTCATGGTCGCAATCCATCACAGATGCATGGGACAGCACTCGATCACCGCTCAAAACTGCGATAGCAAAGAACGAGATCTCAGCCTCCCCATCCCTCAATTGAAGCACCTACTGAAACGAAATCCGATGCCGCAATGGCTTCCTCGAATAACAGAACATCCACATATACGCAAGTCTCGACGTCAAGCGACCATGATAGACCGAAGAGTGCGGATGCGAAGAAGGACATGTGGTCTTCCATGTTAGACAGCGTTGCAAGTGGAAAGAGGCTTCCAGAGAAGAATATCCTCGTTTTAGGTCCGCTTGTCTGTTCCAAGACCTTCAGTTACAACTTTTGACTTCTATGTAGGAGGGACTAGTGAATCTCAGAGGGAGTTTCTTGACGGCCTTTCTGCAGAGGATTCAAGGAGGAATCAGGAGCGGCAAAGGAAGCAGCCTCCAATAGCAAATAACTTTGCGTTGGGATACACATATCACGATGTTTTAGACGCAGACCATGAAGGTATGGAATTATCGAATAAGCTCACAAGCTGGTGCTCTGCTAATATCGAAAAGACATACTGGCACGCCTCTCCCTATACCTTCTCGCCGACCCCTCGCCATCCTTCACTCCTCTTCTCCAACCCCTTTTAACACCACAAACTATTCCCAACACGCTCATCGTTGTACTTCTGGACTGGTCACAACCATGGTTCTGGCTAAGGCAATTACGAGACTGGATACGGCTACTTAGAACCCTTCTTGTCTCGCTGGATGCGGACTGTAAAGAGAAGATGGAAGAAGTCATGATTGGCTGGCGAGACAGGGGACGTGGGGGAAATAGTCTTGACGGAGGGGGCGTCAACAGCACAACAGAGAGTGATGTTAGCTTGCCCTTGGGACCGGGTGAATGGGAGGAAGCACTGGGACTACCGCTATGTGTAGTTTGCCAGAATGTGAGAAGCCCTGGAAATCTTACATGACACAGCTATCACTGACGCTATTCATAGTCTGACCGTATAGAAGTACTGGAGAAGGATCGGTCGTGGAAAGAGGAAGAATTTGATACAGTTCTACAATTTCTAAGGGCGATTTTGCTGAAGCGTATGTTTACTGCCAAATACTGGCTGACCAGGCTGACCAGACTATTTAGATGGCGCATCGCTCATCTATACAATCCCCTCTGCTCCGAGTCCATTACAAAGTCTCATACACTCATCTCTTGGAATCCACTCTCTTCTAAAACGACAACCACTCAAACACAATGTCATTGACCGAGACAAGGTTGTTGTTCCACCGAATTGGGACTCTTGGGGCAAGATTCGAGTTCTCCGAGATGGCTTCGATGTTGAAGCCATTAACGAAGGATGGTCACTTGACATTGAGGAATCATTTGAACCAAGCCCCGTTGACAATGCAAATGGTACCAATGACTCTACGGACGAAAGAACTCTCAAGGTATCGGGAGGAGCAGTGGAAGCTTACGAAGAAATAATTCGTGACCCTAGCCTTGACGCTCTTCAAGCCGCATCCGCAGAAAGCAATGGCCTCAAACTTGAAGTTTCAAGCACCGACACCCAGACCTTCCTCGGTGCTCAGCTTGCAGTTCTAGATAAGAATCGGCAAGCGGCCGAGCCGACAGGTATGGACAGCAGTCGACTGATTCGTGGTCGAGGAGCAAGTCTCGAAGGAGAAGATAGTGTTGGTGATGAGGCACGGGTCAACGAGCATATTGGTCCTGTGCAATTCAATATGGGAGGAATTCAGGTAGATGCTGATGATATGTTACAACGATTGAAGGTCCGTAGTTGCCGCCCCGTCAATTTACCATATGTTTACTGATGAAACCAGAACCGCCAAAGCTACCAGACCCCTGAACCCACAACTCCAGGTACAACAGCCCCCGATGGTGGGAAGCCACAGAATAACGAAGTCCTAGCCAATTTCTTCGCCGGCCTTGTCAGTCGTGGCGGTGGGAGTACAACTAGCAGCCCCAAGCCCCCACGTTCATAACCTCTCAACCAGCAATAGAGCTTTCTTGTATTCGCATGAAGTGTGGTTCTACCTACGATGGATGTAGCTGGTTAGCTGAATTGGATCTCGGGATGAGTTTCGGGACTAGATTTAGGGTTGGTATTTGAGAAGGGGGGCTACTTGCTCAAGAACGGAATCGAACGAATGGATTGTACCAAGTGAGGTGGAAGATTGGGAGGCCTCTGCAAGCAAGCAAAACGTCGTGAGATGATACCCAGCGGCTTGGTGTATATATAGTTCCTTTTTTGGCACGGAATTCATGGCATGTGAATAAATTACCTCAGGCGCCAGGGTTTTTCTATCCTGGATTTCGTTATGTGGGATCAAATTCGGACAATCTCGAGCAAGGATTTTTACTTGGAAGATTTAATACTCCACATACAACTCACCAAGGTTCGAGAAGGTCAGTGACTTAAATTTCAACAACTCGTGGGACTTTGTACAAGAGTGACAAGTCAAATATTCCAAGAACTCGTGAAGCTTAGAAGTGAAGGGATTTCTACGAGTTTGGCTGAGGTAGGGTTCTTAATTTGATTTGTTCAGTTGGACTCGGAACTAGAGACTGTTCATACAATCCTCGAGGCACGCCTCTCTACCTGTTCCCAATGCTCCGTGTCCCCGACATGATATTTACCCTCATGATGCATAGCTACTGTACTCCTTGTTGAATGCCTTATGGTGTTAGCAAAGAACCCCACAGAATACACATCAGGGCTTGACTTACTCGACCAATGACTATTTTTCTGATTTCAGTTGTACCTGCCCCTATCTCATACAATTTTGCACTAGACTTCTCAGCAAAAGAATCTACCCCGCAGGGAAGAGACTTACTCTCTCAATAATCTTGAGGCTGGCATCTCCTCGACGTAACCCATCCCACCCAGCAACTGTATGCAATCAAGAGAGCACTCTGTTGCTCTCTCAGCAGCATACATGATTGCACCAGCACAGTCTTGAGTCCGAATCTGCCCCATCTCATCGATCTTTCTTGCCGTGTCGTATGTGTAGGATCTAGCTGCTTGCAGCTTCGTGTACATATCCGCAAGCTTGCCCTGGACTAGTTGGTTGTGTGCAATAGGAGTGCCGAACTGCTTTCTTTGATGAGTAAAAGGAAGAGTGACGTCCATCGCAGCCTGCATGATACCTAGGGGGCCAGCACTGAGAACGAGTCGTTCAAGATCTAGGCCTTCCATCAACACTTTTACTCCTCGATTGACCTCACCGAGGACGTTCTCCTTTGGTACGAAAACCCCATCGAAGATCAATTCCCCGGTGTTGCTTCCACGCATGCCCATCTTATCGAGTTTCCGAGCACAACTGAAGCCCTCGAACTCTTTCTGCACAATGAATGCCGTGATCCCCTTGGAACCTTTGTCGGGTTCAGTCTTTGCATAAACCACAACAACATCAGCTTCGGGGCCATTCGTGATCCACATCTTGGTGCCATTGAGAATATATCCACCATCGACTGCCTTTGCTGTTGTCCTCATACCAATAACATCACTCCCCGCGCCACTTTCAGACATAGCCAAAGCACCAATACTCGTCCCAGCAATGAGGCCTGGCAAGAACTTCTGCTTCTGGTCTGGATTGCCATTCAACTGCAGCTGGTTGACACAGAGCTGAGAATGTGCAGCGTAACTCAATCCAATAGACCCTGACGCCCTCGAAATTTCCTCCATCACCACACAATGTGCTTGGTACCCCATTGCCAGGCCTCCCACGTCCTCATCTGCAGTCATTCCCAGGAACCCCGCCTCGCCCAGCTTCTGCCACATCTCATTAGGAAACGCATTGGACTTATCCGTCTTGGCAGCCACTTTTTCTGGTATTTCACGTCGTGTGAACTCCTGAACTCGTTCTCGGAGTTCGGAGAGGTCAGCATAGGTCGGTGGCTCGAAGCCTTTAGGGTGTTTGGATGAAGCATTGCGTTGTTGAATGGTTGATAACAGGAATTGAGGTTTCAGTCGGAGCTGCAACGCTGGTCGAGCCGGCACTGACCAAAGACACCGCACCGTTGCCATTTTCGAAGTGGTGGCAGGAAGAGACGAGCATTCGGGACTACATTGTTGATCTTCAAGCTCACCAAAAGCGGCTTTTCCAGGTACAAGGGAAGACCCCTGTCCTGCCAAACATCCTTCCCCACATCCGGGGTCAGCTCCCCTTGCCTAAGCCGCGATTTGCCGCGACATTGACAATTCCAGGACATTTTGTCAACAAAGTGAGAATGTAGGCATTTCACATACCGCTGCACCCGCAGCTTCTTTGGACCCATAAAATGGCGACAATTAGAGCTTCAAGGGCTGCTTTGAGGCTGTCCAAATGCGCATCGAGGCTACGCTGCCATCCCTCTTCCCACCCTGTCGGAGCTGCCATTCGAGGCATTGCAACGCATTGTGCGCCGCACCAGGCCAACGCAATATCAGTCCTACCGTCAATTGTCGACCCGTCGTCTGAGGAGTACAAAGAAAATGCTAAACAGATGGGATATGTCATGGCGAAGCTGGAAGAACTCACAAGGAAGATACACGAAGGGGGTCCGGCGAAAGCACGAGAGAAGCACATTGCGAGGAAGAAGATGCTCCCAAGAGACCGAGTCACAGCTTTGATTGATCCTGGAACCTCGTTCTTGGAGCTCTCTGCCTTGGCTGGCCACGGGCTGTATCCCGAAGCTGAGGTACCTGCCGGTGGGATTATAACTGGAGTTGGGGTCATCGAAGGAGTGACTTGTGTGATTGTTGCGAACGACAGCACGGTGAAGGGCGGCACTTATTACCCGATTACTGTCAAAAAACATTTGCGAGCACAGGCAATTGCTCAAGAAAACCATCTCCCGTAAGTTAAGCCAGTTTCCAGGATGTGTGTTAAGTACTGATCATTTCCAGTTGCGTGTATCTCGTTGATTCTGGCGGTGCCAATCTCCCACATCAAGCTGATGTCTTCCCTGACCGGGAGCACTTTGGAAGAATATTTTACAATCAAGCCAGGATGAGCTCCTTAGGGATACCACAAATATCAGTGGTTATGGGTCCCTGCACAGCGGGCGGTGCATATGTCCCAGCCATGTCAGACGAGAGCATAATTGTTGATGGCCAGGGCCATATTTTTCTTGCTGGACCACCCCTAGTCAAAGCTGCCACTGGTGAGGTGGTGAGCGCTGAAGATCTTGGAGGTGGGAAAATGCACAGCTCAGTGTCGGGTGTGACGGACTACCTGGCTGTTGACGATTCACATGCTCTTGTTCTTGCTCGACGCTCCATCAGCAACCTGAACTGGCCAACGAAGTCGTTTCCACCACCTACAACCTACGAGGAGCCTTTATACGACGTAGAAGAGCTTGTTGGGATCGCAAGTACCAATTTACGGCGGCCGTTACCAATACATGAAATTATTGCCCGAATTGTGGACGGTAGTGTCTTTTCCGAATTCAAAAGAGACTATGGCAGCACCCTCGTCACTGGCTTTGGCCACATTTACGGTCATAAAGTCGGCATAGTTGCCAATAACGGCATTTTGTTCAGCACTTCCTCTTTAAAAGGGGCACATTTTATCGAGCTCTGCTGCCAACGACAAATACCTTTGATATTTCTTCAAAACATCAGCGGGTTCATGGTTGGTACCGATGCAGAGCGGGAAGGCATTGCCAAGAACGGGGCCAAGCTGGTTACTGCTGTGGCTTGCGCCAATGTTCCCAAGTTTACTGTTGTGGTAGGCGCCTCGAATGGAGCAGGGAATTATGGGATGTGTGGGAGAGCTTACGGACCGAGATTCTTGTGGATGTGGCCAAACGCCAAGATTGGTGTTATGGGCTCCGAGCAGCTGACAGCTGTCATGGAGACAGTTGGCAAAGCTGTAGATCCTGAGCTCAAAGCTAGGATTGAGAGGGAGAGCGAAGCTGTATTTTCCTCTGCAAGGTTATGGGTAAGTTTTTCATGCATGAGAGGTTGTGAGCCCCTGCTGATTATGTAGGATGATGGTGTAATACCTCCAAGTCATACCAGACGTGTGCTTGGATTAGGCTTAATGGCTGCAATGGGTGGGAAGAATGAGCCCGTGCCAACGAAATTTGGCATTTTTAGAATGTAGACGGCCACGAATACCAACGAGAAGCTAATTAGACATGTGAAAATAACAACCAGCTGCCAGCTGCACGAAAGCACAAAAGGACTTGCAATCCGACCCCGCGATTGCTACCCCGCCTGCAATCGAAATCAGACCACTTTATTCCCAACCTTTTCTGCATCGTTACTCGTTCCTCTCTCTATGTCCCTTTGCGTCTCAGTACAACGATGCATTCAGTCGCTGGAATCTTCGGGCAAAACCCCACACTAACCTAATACACAACACCTCCCTTCACTTTATACATGGATTCAACGCCATCGGTTCTTCTTATGATACTAGACAGCACTGAATTATAAATATTTTCATTCCGATTAATTGAGAGTCTAACTTAATCGGTGCTATTCCTGTAAGTCTCAAACAAAGAACTTTGTGTTATTGGCATGTGCCATAACGCAACGCCATAACAATGCAGCAGTCCTTGACTTCATCTCAAGACCATGATACGTCCCACTACTCCCCTGCTCTTAAGCTCAGCCAAGACTGATACCCCTCCACGTAGCCACCCACCCAGCAATAAAGCAGAAGATATCCGTAGCAATCAAGCAAGGCCAGACTGCCCTGAGAAAACCCATCCCTAGCAAAAGATGTCATTAGTATCACTCTCCCCGCTCCTGACACAAAATGCAAAGTATCACTCACAAATTCCCGAGTGCAGCTTTGCCATAAGCAGCATAGTAAACGCTCCCCCATATATGCCAACAAGTGCCAAAATCACATAATCGAAATGGCTCCTCTTAAGCCTGTAAATGCACCAGTCAGCAAGAGTCAGCCCATCTCCTCTCCTAGCATTAAGATTTAAGAGCGAACTAAACTCACGACCTGCCATAGAACTGCCTCTCCCCGCTCATAATATCAAGCTTCCACAGCGCCGCCCCCACACACGCCAAATTAGCCAGACTCAACGCGATCCCCATGGACATGAAGAGAAAGCCCCAGCTCAGGATACTGAGGATGTTTAACGGGATGTGCAGCACGAAGGCTAGGGTGCAGGCGAGACGTCGGATTAGGGCTGGACGGTCGGAGAAATCCCATGTTGTGATGTATTCGCGGAAGGCCGAAAGGGTAGAGGAGGAGGGCCCGGCTTCGATTGAGCCGTTAGAGGTCTGTCGGAGAGAGAGAGAAAAGACCATCCTGCTGCCTTCTTGGGGCCTCCTTCCTTTGTTACGTTTCTTCTCTCGCTCTTGATTCGACAAGTATGATCATGAACAATAGCTGTCCGAACTTGCCAAGTACGACAAAAAGCCGACTGAAGAAACAGTACGAGAGGAAAGGGAAATCGAGAAGGGGGAAATAATACGGTTCATGGACCCCGCAGCGCCAAAGGATTCAAGGGCGCAGCAGCGTGGAAGGATCCCCAGGCTGCCCTGTGCGGCACAGCACTTGGGAGTTGGTACGTACCTTGAAACACCAAGCCTGTGGCCGGGACCTCGACCACTGTGCCGGGCTATGGACTGCTATTTCAAGCATTTAAATGTTGGCGAAAGGCAAACGGAGATATGGGTGTGTTGAGGACTCTTGCCAATTGAACGAGTGGGGTAAAAAGATTGAGCAAGCCTTGCTTGCGAAAGCCATGTCTGCTGAAGGAATTGCTGATCGAGAACTAGACTCTGGATTTGGATATAATGTAGGGTATCCCTTGGCACAATCATGAGGAGGATGGAGGAGGAATCAGGGTTTGTTTGACTACCGCCAAAAACGGCTGACTATGCAACTCGCTCAAAACGGTTGTGGCTATTTCCAAGTACCGTATGAGTACCGGCATCTAACGGTGCCTAGATTCTTTTCTTTTGCTTGTGTTACTGCATGGTGTCTCAAGAGAGGATTTTTATCAGGAATGTCTGCAGAAACATTAGATTTTAATCAACATAAAATTAAAGGTAGATTCCAAGAAAACTTCGCTCAAGAATGATCATAAATTATCTATATTTTTGTTTCGTATGTACAGTCACGCCCTACTTAGACTTACAGCTCAAGGCCCTCACTTGTAATGTACAATCATCCACTCGCCCATCCAACAGGGACCTCAACGCCGTAGCAATGCAACAAACCATGCCTGTAGACCCCGGATAGAATCTCATTCTCAAGGATGACCTCGCCCAAAGCGCCTCGCAATGCAAGTCGCAGGCCGCAAGAATAGAACCGAATCGCTAGAATGACTTTTTGCCCCCCCAGAACACCTTTTAAGCAGACCCGTGTGCACAATCCCAGAGATCCGTTGCCCTCAAGTTCCGCCTATTATAATTCGATCAACGCTTTCTCCGACTGCTCTTTTCATCGTCTGATTTGCGCTCTCCAATCCTGGCTCTGTCACGTTCAAGGAGTAAGGTAAGCTGACTCTTGCTTCGCAGGAGTGAACCAGTTGAATCAGGGACCTCCGCTGGTAATACCGGCTGGACTGGCCTTTTTGCAAACATTCCAGAGATTGGCTCGTCATCTGCATCTCGTCCCTTTCCCTTGTCCTTTTTGAAGGCAGAGCTAGAAGTTGGTGCGGCCGCATGCGCAGCGCCAATATCCCCCAAATTTACTTGGCCAGTTGCATCAGTCAGGGTTGGCGCGAGGCTCACCGTGCCTTTGGTTTCGTGGTCAAGGAGCGGAACGGCACTCAAGGGCTTGTGTTCGACTTTTCCCTCAGATTGCGGACGCGGTGCTCTGTGAAGAACCCGAAAACCATCACTGGTGGGTGGCAAGGGGCTGGCAGTGGTGCGTGATCCGTTCTTGACATGCGCACTAGCTTCTGCTAAGAGTGTTCTCTGCACCTCGATTTCTTCGCGTTCCTCGGCGGTGAGATTCTTGGCAGGAAGTTCTTCACATTGACGATTTTCGATTCGACGAAGTTGAGTCGACGGACCGGGGTCGCCGGACGAGGAGGCGCTCTCCCCGATTTCGTCCGAACGTGAACCTTTCCCCACACGAGTCATATCAGCATTACGGGGCGGGGTACGCTTCGAATCCGAGACCCGTAGTGTGTTCTTTTTCTTAGGCGACTTGGAGCGATCCGGGGAAGGTGAGAAATTCTCTTGAAACCGGGACTGCGGTGGATTGCGAGATTGCTCCAAGACGGTCGGTGGAGTCCTTCCTGCAGATGAATGTACTGTAGCAATAGATGGGACTACTTCGGCAGATGATTGCGATGTTTGGGAGCTCTGACGCCTGACGATCACCGGGCGCTTCCTCCTGCCAGAAGCAACGAAGCCTCCTTTCTTCTTGCTGGAAGGCGATGGCTTCCTGTCAAATTTTACATCCTGAGAATCGGGAGATGGAGGTTCAACAACAACATGAGAATTCGTTTGCGAGTAAGTGCTGACCGAAGATGACGGGTCCGCCTCGACGTCGGATTCCGGAGGGGAAATAAAGCGGGCTGTCGGCCGTGGTCCGCTCGTAGATGGGCCTCTTGTCTTCTTGAGAATGGGATGCGGCATAGGCACTGCGTTTCTTGATGCTGTAGAAGATGATGTAGTACTTGGCCGGCTTTGGTCTGATCGATTGAGAGCTGTAGTGCTGGAAGCTGCTGGTCCACGACGAGCAGCTGTATTCTAAGAGTCCAAATTCAGTACGGCTTGACTTGTGTGGACAGGCAAATCATACCAATGGTGGGGTTCCTTCATCACGGTTTGGAGGCCCTCGAAGTGGTACAAAGGTCTGGCCATCCGATATATGGGCGAACAGTCGTGCAACAGTTGCGCCGTTCAACGCTTTCTTTCGGCTGCCCCATATGCGCCACCAATAGTTCTCCAGTCGTTCAGCTGTTGGGTCGAGAAGTCGCCGCTTGGTTGTTGTGTACACTGTTACAGATCTGTTAATTCCATCCTGACAGGGGGCTTTGCAGATGTACCTTTCCAGAACTTGGCAATATCCGCGAGGTCCAATGGCTCCTGGTTGATTCTCTCGATAGAGCTTTCGATGACTGCACTATTTTTTACGAAGCCTTTGGGTAGTATCAACGACATCCTCGTGGAGGAGGCGCCAAAACGGGGGCTGTCGACAGCAGCCCTTTCGCGGCAGGCAAGCCTACCGTGAAAGAATGCTGCGTCAAACGATCCCGACGGTCAGGGAAGCAGCATTCAGGAAAGAAAGTCTGGAAATCCGGTGAGGAAGGTGTGAAGAAAGAGCTTTCCAATTGTGAAGTGCAAAATCTTTGGTGGGGCAAGTCGGGCTTGCATCAAACCTCCGCCCCGCAGCTTTTACTAGTGATATAAGAGGATTAGGGCTTCAAATCCGACCCGACTTGAGATTGAAGTGTTTTTCGGGAAGAGAGCGCTTGAAAATGGACCGATATACTTATGGATCCGGCAGTCCGCGACGCGGTTCGGCAACAAGGGAAAGACAGGACTCGCAACTGGCGATGGCAAGATATCGATATCGCTACGGTTGTACTGTACAGTACCTCGTGGAACAACGAGGAGCAGAAAGTTTATTACGTCCAGGTTTGTTTGGCTGGTGGTGGCGGCACGCCTCGAGCCCCGATAATTAGGTCATTGATTGGACGGCGTGTACCTAATGAGATGAGAGATGCTGGGACTCAAGGGCCGGGGGGGGAGGGAGGGCCAGGCGGTACCAAGCTTACTCGGGAGTAGTGACAGCGTGGAGGAGAAGGGGAAAGAGAGGCATGGGCAGCTGATGGGCAGCTGATGAGCACGCGCGGAGGTGAGTGGTGGCTGGGAGGGGTGAACAGCAGAGCGCTGCAGCAGCGTGACGGACAAGTTGGGGTGGTCGGTGAAAGGTGGTTCTGGCGGTCCAGGGACTCCAGGTACGTACATGCGAGCGGGAGGCGGTACAAGTTCCAATGGAGCTCGAGCTCCAGGCTCGGCTCATCAATCGCTCGCGAACGCGGCCTCGGATTTGAAGCGCGATGGGGCAGCGCGGCTGCCCACCGCGCTGCTGGGATACGGCCGCCTCTCACGTCCTGCCTTGCGGGCCACGGAGGGCGGGCGGATGAGCAGGTGCCAGGAGGAGCAGCAGGAAGACTAGGAGGAGTCGGACGAAGGCGTGGGCGGTGGGCGGTGGGCGGTGGGCGAGCCGACGGCCTAGTCCATGGGGATGTGGAATCGCGGATCGTGGAGTGATGTGGACGGGGCAACGTCGAAAATCGGCACCCAATGATCCCTGGAAATTGCTGCTTGCGGTAACCTGGATGGGCGGGTCCGAGCCGGGGTTAGAGCTGTTGGAGACCTCTTGGTGCAGTTGGAGTTGTACAAGAGAGAAAGAGGTCGACGTAGATGTTGGAGAGACTTGCGCACCTCTACTAGTATAAGCTGCTCCTCTACAGAGGACGTGGTCCAGGTTCACGCCCGTCTGACGTTCTAGAGATCCGGGTCTGATTCCAATTCTCTGGAGTGCTTGGATCCCAAGGGTTTTGGCGTCTCTGCATCTGTTTCTCACTCAGACATCGCCGGCTCCAAGACATGTCAATTGTGGATGAGCACGGTTGCTTGCGTTGCTCTTGGCTGGGGGAGAGATCCTTCGTCCTTTTGGTCAGCAAAAAGCACTCAATGGTACACTCCCCAGCAATGATGAGTCTGCTTTTTCTGCGTTTGGTTCTTGACCGGCTGTCCTCCTTCGTTTGCGAGCTGCCAAAGGCTTTGCCTCTCCTCGAGTCGTAAGAGCGCCGTAAAGACTGCGTGGAAACGGGCTTGCATGATGATGCAGCTTTTGCCGATGGCCAAAGGTCTAACTTATCCGCACTCTGGTCCAATTCAAGGGCAAGAATACTTCCCCTCCCTCCCTTTCCTCTCCCCCTCCTGCTCCCTCACCGCTCCCAGCATCGTAGCCTTCGCGGCTTCCCGGTCGCTCTCGCTCCAACGTTCGGCTGAACACCGAACCAACGCCCGTGGTCGACGGCTAGGCACCATTATCTGATCACAAGCCATTTGTGCTAACGCAGCAGCAATCCCCTCGGGCAGCAACGAAGATCGGATTCCTAGGATGTGTCGGAGAAGCTTCAACCTCGCGGTCCTACTCCATCATATCGGAATGCCTTCCGAGCCTGAAGCTCTCTGGATCTTGGGGCTGCTGACCTCGCGCTTGAGCCGTCTGCCACCACGTCGTGTGACGCTCGAGATTGTGATATATAGCCGGCTACAGACTGGGCGAGTGAGTGACTGGCTAACATGGAAGACCCGAGTTCCATTGCCGCTGGCTCGGTGGCACAAAGGAGCGTCGTTGGGACCCCAGAAACCCGGTCCGCAGAAAAGCTACGCGTCTCATTTGCTCCTCGAAGCCAAAAATACCACCCCCTCCCAAGCATTGCTCCCATGGATGCATTACCAACGCCAGGTCGTGGCAGGCCACACTGCGCAGATTTCCCCTCTGTTCTCCCCGTCATGTCAGCCGCATTGTGATCAAGGAGTACGCAAAGCGGTCAAGTGACGACGCCATCAGCCAATTGCCTGCAATGCTTCTAGAACCTTGCTCCCAGGTGCTGCCCCCCAACCCCCCCACGCCCACGGTCTGGACCCCACGGTTTTTTGGGGCTGCGTGATCCAACCCTGCCTTCAAGATGCAAGGGGCGGCACGGCCCCACCCTCGGAAACTGTCTTTGGGGTTCGATCGGCGCTTCGATGCTATGAGGCTATCTATCAAATTTGGGTCTCGCGACCGCAGAACCATCTCATTACGGAAGAAAGGAAGAAGTAAGGCGTGCCTCGCGTGTTACAAATACCGGAGTTGTTTCCCTGAGTCGTTTGAGGAGTCACGAGGGACCGATTTTGACTGGTTACTGCTCCAATGAAGTCAAAGGACTGGTGTTACCACACAGATCACAGACGATCTTTATTGGATCGATCTTGCCGTGTTTTGGCGTCAATTTCGATTTGTTTTTGCAAGTAAATTGATTCAGGTCCGCTTATCAGTGCCTTGGGGGGTTATTCAGGAATCTATATAAGGGAGGCTGCTCGCTTATCTAATCTCGCCCCTTTTTAAACGAACGAAATGTTGAAAAGGAGTTTCTGAAATCAAGCGATTGCCTGTAGCTTCATCATTTTCGGATATAGAGAGATACTCGTCGTTAAAACTAAATGCTACCATGCTAGCCTCAAGCCATTCGAAAATCTACATGCTCTGCCAATTCTGCCTTTTCATCGTTACTCAAAATGCACCAAGAATTTATGTGATGGTGTAGCCTCCATCTACACGCAAATCAGCACCTGCCCGGAACATGTTAGTAGACTGTTCAGTTGTAGAGCCAAGGAGGTGTGGAGATCTTGATGTAGATGTGGGGCAAGGAGTGGCTGCTCACCTGTAACGTAGGACGAGGCGTCAGATGACAAGAAGGTCACAGCACCCATCAGGTCCTCTGGCTGGCCCATTTTACCTTGGGGGATGAGGGAAGTCCACTGTTTCTTCAAGTCCGGGTTGTCATCGAGGATTTTTTTGGTCCTAGGATTCGTTAGTAAATGTCCAAGTATGTGACAAAAGCATTCTTACAGCGCCGTCAGCATGTATCCTGGCGAGATACAATTAACTCTGATTCCAGCATGAGCCCATTCAACAGCCAAACTTGAAGCCAAATGCCGTACAGCTGCTTTGGCAGCGTTATATGGAGCTTGCGGTTGTGGCACATTGACAATCGCTCCGGACATGCTACCAATAAAGACCATGCTCCCTGGAGCTTTCCGTTCCATCAAGTGCTTTGCAACTGCAATCGCGAACAGGTATGTCCCATCCACATTGACACCCCAAAGTTTTCGAACTCGTTCAATTGGATAATTGATTGCCTCAAAGTTCTCTGTAAATCCCGCCGATGTAACTAAGTTGTCAATCTTTCCATGCTGCTCGATGATTTCGGCGATAGCGGCTTCGACTGATTCTTGTGATGAGACATCTGCGTAATGTGCGGTAACTTTGGGAACTCTATGAACTGGTAAGCTCAGTCGAGCTAACTGTGGAATGGTATCGTACTTCTCAGCTCCTGGATTTTCCCTCACGAACGACGCCACAAGCCCTTCCGCTTGCTTTTCCGCTTCCTCCTCTGTGTATGATCAGTAAAACCATCAATGGGGAAGCACCTGCGACTCACTATTCAAATCCACAATGGCGACATCTGCCCCGCTGATAACCATTGCTTGAGACATGACCAACCCAAGTCCACGAGCGCCACCCGTCACTACACCAACACGACCTTCGAGAGAAAAGGATGCCAGTGTCCGCTTGAAATGAAGACCTCCTCTTCCTTGCACAGGAGCACTAGATGGGAGGTCACCTTCCTCTGGATATTCGACTTGTACGGAAGAATCGGTCCGGGCGAATGACCCCTCATGAATCTCGTCTTTCTTTTCGTCTCGTTGGAGAGGTGTAGAACTGTGAATCAATCGCTGGGAACATGTTGATGGCCTTGATCTGGCGGTAATTGGCTCCGACGGAGCTCTTGCAGCTCGAGCCAGTTGTCGGAGCAATTGTGTTCGAAGCATGGCGAGTATGTAAGGAAGAGTGGGCAGAACAGAACGGCTACGAGAACAATTGGAATGCTTAGCCCAGTTGAAATGTCTGTAAAGCGCAGGAAAGGAACCCGGCCGTCTGGAAGAAGAAGTGCCAAATGGTTGAAAGTCAATTGACGTGAGGAAAGAGCTCTTGCTGGAGTTGCGATCCTTCCTGCGATAAGTTTGGGCTGAGATCCACTCTTGCACAGTGTGCGGGATGACGTTCCGCTGCAGATCCTTGACCCAAAGGGTCCTGCCAAAACCCAACAATAAAATGGGGCAAGGCTGATCAACTTATGATGTAAAAAACTTGCCTTATTCTGAGGCAAGTACGAGATTGACATGGGGTTGAGTGTCTAATGTAACTGAGAGAGTCCTCACGAGAGGAGTTGCAGCCCCAAAAGCCTGGTCGGACTTTGGAAGCCAGAACAAGCCATCCATCGAATCACATAGAACGTTGTAAGATCGTGCTTTCTATGCTTGCTTTGAGGCTTCGAGATACACTATTTTCCTAGAAGACTACCGTGCTTTGATTCGGATCTGGAGTTCCTTGAACTCTCCCTCGCGATGTGCACATCTCTTGCCGAACAGAAAGGCATTCGACAGAGCCAAGATTCAGAGATTGGGGCTCTCATACCGCGCTCTGCTACAAGTCTAACAGCATATGGCGCTGAAGCCATAATCAAAGTCCCTAACGATTTGTATCATTCATATGCTGTTACACCAAAGCAGGAAGAAAATTGAAGAAAGTATCTTTGAGGACGGACGGCATTTCGAAGGACCGATAAGGTTACTTGCATTACGCGGCCACTTGCCCAACCGTATTATCGCTTATGGACACAGCCCCTCGTCACCCAATATAGACTAGGCGGGTTTGGATCGCCTCACTCCTCCTTTGAACGCGCGAACGACACGGAAGCAGGGCTTCATCAAAGAACCGCAATTCCATCGAACCTACACAAAACCATTACTTCTATAAGCGGGTACCGACCCAACATACATTACGACCATGCGTTTCTCCCAGCTCGGAGCCGTCGCGGCTCTTGCTGTCGCAGACGCCTTCCTCCTGCCTCCCGAGATCTCAGCCGCCGATACCGACATCATCAACACCCTCCCTTTCGAAGATGCCGTCGCCATCGATGGACGTGTTATGGAAATCAACTGTCCTGGATGTCCTGTCGTCAATGATATCGCGGACAAGATGCACCCCACTCAAGTTGATAGCGTTCTTAAGCTTGACTTCAGACTCGTCCACGATGAACTCGACCGATTGTATTTGAATAACCTCCAAATCTATCCCATGGACCCAAGCTCCGCGAACTTTATGGAACCTCTCACAGCTCCCCAGATGATCAAGAACGACGACAACACCTGGGAATATTCCTCAACACCGAAGTTAGGATACGCAATCAGTGTCGAGCGCCCTGTGGCCAGTCAGGGTCAACTTGATCTTATCTCTATCCATATCGAGATTATCGAAGTGGCCGATGTATTCCTTCCTTCAATACCTGCCGTGGAGATTAAGCTGCTCGAGACACAAGGTCACAAATTGATGATCGGCGATGCCTTCATCGGCGAGCCCAAGGTCGCCAGACCTAAAACTGATGTACAGGAGGAGTGCAAAACAATACTCTGCAAATGGAGAGCCATTGTTACTGACAGGCTTTCGAAACTGAAGGGATGTGGTTCTAAGAAGCCGGCCGTCCCAGCTATTCAAAGTATCCCAGCTCACGAGACCCACGGCCATCACGACCGCCCTCACACCCATGGAAAGCATCCCGAGGGACCTCACCGCCCATTCCGTCATCATCGCCACAGACACGGTAGAATCACACGCTTCCTTAAGGGTATTGTCATGCATGTCGTTATCCCCGTTCTCATTGGCGTTATGGTCGGAATCACAGCCAGCCTTTTGGGAATGGTTGTTGGTCACATTGCCATCTTTGTGTGGCGCATTCTCTTCCGCCGCAACACCCCAAGACAACAATATACCAAAGTCCAGCAAGAAGAGCCTGCCGTTGAAGATGTTATGGATGAGACCAAGGGCTTTGTGGAGCACCAGGGTCCACCTCCCGTGTACGAGGAGATTGTGATTGTTGAGAACGCTTCGGAGTAGATTGAGATCAAGTTTCGAGAAATGGAAATAAGGGCTGAATCCTCGGAGCTGTAGCGAAGGGTCGGCATTGGAGATCACACGTGGTTGGGCCTTAAGAGTCATGATAGCAGGTCCGGATATCTAGTTGCAAGCAGTACAGACTAGTTCCCTTTGTCAGTTCGGTGTACCACTATGTTGCTTGAACCTCCATACACCTTGATTCTATACTGTCCTTCACTATGTTTGGAATTGCCATATGACCAATGCATGCCCCTAGTCCCTGGTTATTCTCGAGCACTTCCTTCTGCTCCAATGTCCCGTGCTTTCTTGGCCCAACTCAATCGACGTCTACCTCATTTCACAGCAAGCCGACCTCTCTTTTCAACTCGTCTTTCTTCCCCACAACCGACTCCTCATGTCACAGCAAATCTGCTCCTCTTTCTCAGATTCGCCCTATAAAAGTACAGAAGATAGAACAAGATGGTACATCCACAACTCAACCCTGCCAATAAGCTGCAGCCCTTCGCAACTCCCAGGCTCTTAAACATTGGCCCGGAAAAGACAATACACCCTGCAGCGAAGGCGCTGCGGGCGAAGTCGTTTGCTGCAAAGAGCGAAGCAGCGTATTGAGGATAGGTAAAAGGTAAGTACATGAATATCGATTGCATGATTGTATAGCAGCCAATCATGACTAGGCCAACTCCGATTGTGGGTGCAATCCAATGAATCTTCTCATTTGCTATCCATGCTGGGCATGTGTTAGCAAGGCTTCATCTATGTGCAGATCTGGGGACCTGAGCCACCCACCAAAAACAAACAGACCAGCAGGTACGAAGAAAGTTGTGATCAGCCCAGGTATCAAACGCTGTTCTGGGGCACCGAATCCACTCTTCTTTACTTGGGGTTCGACCACATAGTAGTAGTAACCGCAGTAGGATGGCATGCAAATAAAGAGTGCGACGACGACCGAGAGAAATGGGAGACTTGATTCGCCGAGGTTGAAACCGTACATTACGGGAAATACTAGCGTTATAATTCCTTTCCTGATGGATGAGCGTAAGGGGACGACTCCTTCCGCCCCGCGGCCTTGGATATGCTTGACTACGGTATCGACGAAACGAAGGATAGTAACGTGATCTGGGCCGGTCTCTGGATCAATCCTAGGTAACCATTATTAGTTTAGAGTAAGGAAATTAGACGTCGTCTATCTAGGCTAATTAAAAGGGGGAAAAAAGATCGATTAACTTACCGGGTACTATTCTGTTTTGTATAGCTCTCAATCCAGTTGAGCCAGAGGGAACGTGCATAGCGAGTTCCCGGTGCTCCCAGACTATCCGTCAGGCCACGAACTCTCTTCTTGGAGGATATACGGTCTTCAAATAGCTGCTCCTGCATCGAAGCGATACTGGTTGAACCTGCATTGGCATACCTCTTCTGTACCGGGGAGAATTCGATATCGGAAGAATTGAATGGCTCGTACTCGTCTATCTCTAGAGCTTCTAGGAGACAAAAGAAAGAAAAAAAGAATGATGAAGTTGATCTTCTGGGAAGTTGGAGGAAGACGGAGGAGAGAGAAGGAAAGTTGAAGGAAAGACGGAGAAGGAAAAAGTTGAAGGAAAGATAGAGATTAAGGAAAGAGCGGAGATTTTAGAGGTAGAGGGAGGGGTTTGAGGGATACATACTGCATTGGAAAGGAAGCGAGGAAGCGACGACGCACGCACACACGCAACGTGTGCGAGGTCACGTGATGTCTACTGAGAATGGAAACGTCTACTTCCCTTACGATGCCCGAGTTTCCCTACCATATGAATGATTCGAAGAAAGAATAGAAATTTCCATATATGAGAGCGGTGTAAAGCGTTGTAAAGGCCTAAGGGATTCTGTCAGCTGCTTGAAAATTTCTACTTCGTAGACGGAGAAAGAGGCTCTTACAACTGCAGGGTCAAGAGCATTGATCTGCCATGGTTTGATGAGTGCTTTATATGCAACATCGCTAGGATTCATCCCTGCTTGGTCAATTTCTGATTGAGATAGGAGGTTATTCTTTCCTGTGATTTTGCGTAGACGGCGAGCTCGTCGAAGGAGAATGTTGTTAGCAGATGTTTCAGGGAGGGAGAGGATCATCATGGCACAGATGGGCCCTGATAGCCATAATATCTCCCAGGCAAACTTGATTACATAGGTTAACGCAGATCAGAACGAGGCTAGGTAAAAAAGCCTACCAATTCCACCCTTCGGCCGAAATGCTGAAGCCAGCCATGATTGGTGCAAGTGCGGGACCAAAAGTTACTTAGAGGTTGATCAATATTACGCATCCATCATATTGAGGGGCGACTTACCCGAGCCGGCCCATAATGCCAACGAGTATGGAATCTTGATCATCGGATACATATCTTGAAAGGCTGCCGCACCAGTAGCCAAACACGGTGAGCCTATGAACGACCGTGTTAGCACATCCTAGGGGGTGTTTGGAGGAAACCCCAACCGAAGAATCCACACAAGAAACGGAGAACCAAAAGGCCCGCGAAGTTATGCACTAAAGCCGTTGGTATGGTTAAGACCACGAAGAGTATGAATGTAAAGATGTAAATTGGAGTTCGACCCAGTGCAGGAATTCTAGTTCAATATTAGTGAAGTTCATGAGGTTTTTGCTGCGGTGTACTGTACTTACTCGCTCAAGGGTGAGAAGAGCATCGGGCCAATTCCATCTGATCGGGCGTAAGCAAAGTATTTTATATCATTCAACCTGTCTTTGACATACATGCAAGAACATACATGGCCAACCCCAAAGAAGCGGCCACATTTCCAACGCCAAACTCCTCCATCACGCCTCCTGAAGCTGGAGAGTATACTGATGAACCAAAATAAACTGCGAAAGAATACATGCTTTCCAGGTAGTGCCAGGAGGTGCAGGGAAGATCAGATACGTGAAAACATACCAAATTTGGAAGGAGATGTAAAGCTTCTTAGCTGAGCTCCAATTATATGGATTTTCAGGGTCATCTACAGCCCGTTAGCACTTTCCTCCCAGATGAGTGTTGAATTGTTTACCTGTAGTATACCAATCCACTAGGATTTTACCATCTGCTGTCTTCTCGGGCTTTATTGATTGACTAGTCGATCTTTGCAAGGCGAGTTGCATGTCTCGCGAGAGAATTCGATCGTGGTAATTTAGATCTGTCCCGTTTGTCGTTTCCGCCTTTTCCAAGCCTGCCACAACAGAGCCATTTCTCTCTTCTTTTGGAGCAGTAGAGTTGACAATTATGCTGGCAGATGCATCTCCAACGGCTTCCGCTGGAGTCCCATCTTCGGAGCTCGAACTCGTAAAGGATTCACAAGGAAACTGAAATCGAGGATTCTCTTCGACATAGTTGAAATACCTGCCTCTCGTGACAATTCTAGCCAGCTGTCCAAATGCAGAGTCTCGAATAGTATCTCTCATCTCGTCGATGTGTGCAGTGTCCGAGTTCGACCGCAAACAGTGAGAAGGGGTTTAGTTGAGGAATTGGACTCTGTATGTACTCAAAACTGAAGTCAGATATCTTGATTATCTTCACTGAGATTTATAGAATTAATCTCTATGAAGAATCATGTAGGGAAGGAGAACATAGAGATGTATAGACTCAGATCTGTGCCTGGTTTTGTAAACTCATAAAATCAGATCGCAGATGACGAAGCGCTTATAGAATGAACGAGATCAAGAGATCGTCAATTGATTTGCCAACATCTCTGTTTCGTAAGACATGGTGTTATCATTAAAAGTCCTTCAAAGGACATGGGTCTGTGTTCTGAGTAATCAAGGTCAATAATCGGCATCGGGTTTGTTTGTGATAGTCCCGAAGAGTAACCCTATCCCAATGGTCCACCTGAACTTTCAGTGATGCAGGAGTATGCCTAGGGTACTAAGCCTCAAATCATAATTTGAGAGCGAGCCACTGACCAGGCACTTACCAGAGTGAAATAGGTTCGGTACATGAATTGGGAGATAGCTGTTCTCGCCGTAACTTGTAGTTCAGGCCAACTTCTATTACACAAAGAGTTGAGATCTTTATCTGCCTCCTCGCAATTCCTCCACAGTTTCAATAGCTTGGAAATAGGAAATGATCCGAAAACTTTTGTATTGTTGAAAGGCATCCTCTGGATAAAGTTTTGCTACACTTCGTCACTTGCGGCTAGGCATCTGAAGCGCATTGCTTTGCCTTCCTGACTTTGTACAAGAAAAAGACAGCCCAGAAATAAAATAGGCAGCCCAAGAACTTGCTGCAAATCTCCCACACGAGCAAGGAACTCAGCAGCAGTGGCGTCGATATTTCCTTTGTAGAATCTTGGACCTTCGCCGAAACAGACAGATTTCCTGATTAGACTCTCTGCAAGCGATTGAGCTGGGAGAACTGGGCTGGACTCCTCCACAAAACTATCCGAGAGGCCAGACCCAGGGTCGTAGGAAGACACGAATTGGCCAGCTTCAGAGTTACCACGTATCTCTCCCTGCCGACATTTGGACGTTGGCAAAAGTCTAGCAGTGGAAGCCGTGAGCTTGAGTCCCCATTGGCTCCGGAGATACAATTGCGTGTTATACGGATCTAGCCCCTCTCCGACCGATCCAACTCCTTGGACCAAGTCTTGGTACATTGTCGCTCGAAGCACTGAATTCATGACAGGGTGAGAAGGACCGAAGAGGAGGATACCACTTTCGTTCTCTGTGTCAGGCGTCCCTGGAGCTGCACTATCCATTACGGGGTCCTGCAGAGACAGTCGTTGGAGGAAGTTTGATGCGCCAGTGACATAGTTGTCAGGTTTCTCGTATCGAAATCGATATCGCATGAGACTTGGAATGAACCCGGGAGTCGATATTTCTCCTTGCAAAATTCGGATGCTGAGGATGATTGGGTCCTTGTAGAGACGCAAGGCGAATGAGTTGGGCCCTGCGACGAAGTAGTGGCTCAAGAATTCCTCGGCCGCACCAACTTGGGCGGTCTTGTTTAGAAGTCCATAGCCAAGTCGAGGGCTGAAGTGACCAGTTTGGATTCGAGACGGAGGGAAACCAATAACTGGGAAATTTTTTGATGCCGAGAAGGGGGTGCAAACTTCTATTGGGGGGGGGGGGCGAAGAAGGTAATTGTGATGCTGTTGATGTTGTGGATACTTCAGTAAAGGGTAAAGTGTCTGATATTGATTCACCCCCCCCTTCGTTAGCCAGTGATTCGGCAGTGTGGGCATGGCCGAGGATTCTTCTCGTCGTTTGTTTCAAGTCATCCAACTGAGGAATCCCGCTCAAGGGTTGAGAAGAGTTGACTCGTCGATCTCCAAAGTGAATGAACTCAGTCACTATTGACTCAACCGTCTTGTCTAAGGAGGCTATGCGTTTCCTCAACCGATCTGTCTCTGCTTGCTTCCTGGCCATATAATTTTTCTGAGCTTCTCGCCCCCGGGCTCGTTTCTATTGTTGATTAGCACCTGATCAGAAGTGTGTTGGAGGATGTCACCTCTCCAAGGGGCTCATCTGTTGCTTCTTTTCGTGGCCGCCCCCGAAGCCGAACCTTCGATTCTTTCTTCTGAATTCTTTTCGGGCCCATATGTGACTTAATTATGGGAGTTCTGAACATAATAAATCCCTTTCCGGACGTTGCTTCGTCTTGTAATTGACTCCCCGACATTACGAAGACCAAAACCATCGATATAGAATCTCACATCCCTTTGTCACGACTAACTCACTGACAGAAACGTCTTTTGGCTTCTAAATGGTGATTACTGATCAGCTCGCAGGGGTGGCATGATGTTTGGGATGGTACACAGGTCACGTGCAAGTGGCAATTATTAAAACACATAGCCCTGAATACTTTCGGTGGATAGGAAATAGAACTTTACTTGGAATAGAATTTCACCACTTAAGGGTGCATGTAGGTACGGTGCCTCGCAATGGACAAGAGAGGTGGCACGAAGTTCTCGACGTCCCAAGTCCAGCCAGCCCAGTTTTAAACCCCCCTTCGAATGTCCCCTCGACTTGTAAGTAGTGTCAAAGCCTCTCTCTCCGACTATCTCTGCAATTCCGAAACCCAATATTTTGACCTCTCTTGGTCCGGACAAACGCCCGACTTTAACTTGGGACATGGAAAATGAGTGCCGCTTTTGCTTTTCGGCGGGAGGGTGCTGTCAATACGCATACACGTGGTTGTCCCATTGCTTCACTGATGAAGAACTGATTCAAAATTAACCTCCATATGTCGCTGTCTTCTCATGCAGGAACTGGATGCATCCGGGTTGGAACAGAGGCAGTGTTAACATAGATCAATACAAGAAGAACGTACAGCTCATGGAACACACAAGAAACGGTGCAGTCATCCGACACGCTGGTGTGGAAATGGCCCAGGCCCTTTCCCCCACTTAGATATCACTCAGACATTAACCTGCGAAATTTGTAACTCCCAATGAGACTTTGATCTGTAGTTCGTTAGGATTAGCTTTAAAGTAGGGTATACACTATTCACAGGTTCCTTGGGCGCCCCAAACCGATCCGACAACTCCGCCCAAACCGAGCTTTTGTCCAAACTCATCTCTATGGCTATGTTGCAAACTCCTTTTGCCATTTAACCAACTGCCTTGTTAAAACATCCATCATCTCGAGACAGGACAAATCCTTAAACTCCTTATTGGCAGTCACTTCTCTGGCCTCACCCTCTTTCGATCCCTCGGTACGCTTATCGCCGTTAACTTTGATCATTGGCAGCCCATCTGCTATGTTTCGGATCATCTTCGCTGGAGCCTCTCCACTGGCTAGCGACATCGACTCGCCAGCCATTTCGAACTGTGTGCGGGTGATGAAATCGAGGATAGCTGCCACTCTCTTTTTCATGTCGGACATTGTTATTTTGCTGGCACTTTTTGATTTCCCTGATTTACTCCCTTCATTGCCGGGTCCTTTGTTTCCTGAATTTTGCCCGCTATCATCGCCTCGTGGCACGTCCCGAGATTGGGATCTATTCGGGGATGGATCTTCGCCATCCAGTTGATCCCGATCTTTCGTGTATTGATTCTTTCCTAGTTTGCCCTTGCGGGGGTTCGGTGGTCTACCGCCTTTTCGATGAGATGTAGAGGGTGTGCTTTGCGGTGGTGTGTCGGGCGCCGCTACTTGAGACGAAGAAGGTGGATCCAGAGGTTGGGCGGTATCTTCGGTGGTTTTGGTCACCATCACTCTCGTTGCGAGTGGTAATTCTTCGGAGGGGTCTGAATCTGAGGACCGCCATTAGCACCACATAATCGGCCGAATCACTGAAGGCTCACCATCAATCCTCCGACGTTCTGCCCGCCCTTTCCGCTTATTTGCAGCCTCTTGTCGAGACCTCTCACGTTCTTCTCTCTCAGCCTTTTCCTTGTGGTTTCTTGCAGCAGCCCCTCTGATCTTTTTGCCTACAGTGGGCCTTTCAGCAGTGCCGTCATCAGAATCAGCCTGAGACGCAAATTGATGGGGTTCACCAGACGGTGAAGGTGAGACTGATGATGTCCGTTGCCGCTTGACCCCATCTAGTTTACTATTCTCAAGTCAATTACCAGCGCATTACAGAGAAAACGTTGCTTACTCTTCACTCTCACTACGACCCCGTTTCCCTCGCCTTGTTCCCCCATCAGTACTTTCGCCACTCTTCTCTCCTTTGCTCGCCTCTATGGCACGCCGTAACTGTTCCTCCTCGTCATAAGCAGCATCTCGGCTGTTCATTGTCGATCTCCGCTTCGCACTCTGTAGACTTGATGAAGGACGACCGCTTTTGCTGCCTCGTGGAGATCGTGTGCCATCTTTGGAGAAAGATGCTGCCCGAGAGGTCGTTCGCGATAAACTTTGGTAAAGTGGGAGATAATGTGAATAGCGTTGTCTGCGGCCCATCATGTCAGCGGTTTGGTCGCAATTCATATTTGCAACGGAGGTCATCTGTAGATGTTTCCTCCCACCTGAAGCAGCCAGCCTTGTGAGACTGAATGTGCGCCACGTTCTCGCGTCGTGGCTGGCTGACAGCTCGGATGGATTTGGGGAAGAAATTGAGATTCCTCGAATATTTCAAAGTTTACGTACCCGTTAGGAGCTGTGAATATTTTGTGAAGATCTTTCCGGCATTCTTCACAGAAATACTCTTCGGGACTTGTGTCTTCGTTCATGATGCCAACGCACCCGCCGTGCTGCCAGACCTTGCAAACGTCGCATTGCAGAAAAAATCCGGCCAAGTCTTCCGTCACATCTGCGACAGTGATTATGGGTTCTTCAATTCCTTCCCTAACGCCATGTTTGCTGTCTTCGTCGCCGAGTTGTGGTGGGCCTGGGTATTCGTCGAATCCGCAAATGCAGCGAACGGCCTCATCGTCCTCTCCAACCTCTTCAGTGCCATTCGTTGTTTCGACTTGAACTGCTTGGACTTTTGAGGATTTCTCTCGCTCGTCGGCTCGACCGCGCTTTCGGCGTGTCTGGATTGTGTCTTCGACGGCGGCGGTCGTGATTGTGTCTTCCGGAGGTTCTGAGGACAATGAGCCCGAGGGAGTGGATTTTCGCGGTGATCCGGTCTTCTGGTGAGATCTCGTAGCTCTATCTGCGCGACCGGATGAGTTCGAGGAGGCGGAGGAGTGATGTGACGATTGTAGAGATTGGCTCGCGCGAGCTGCCCGCGAGGAGCGTCTGGACGTGTCCATTGCTGCAACTGCCAATGCGCAAGAAGGTGAGTTGTCGTATCGTTACAGATCACAAAGCCCAATTGTCCCGGCAGATATTTCGTGTTCGTGGTTGTTGAATTGAGGGCAAGAGATTGCCTACGAGCAAGTCGGAGCTTCAGTCCACTCCGCGCGACGATTCCAGGGCAGAGCACAAGATCCTAAATTGGGCCCTCGAGCAGATTGTTGAGTCTAAAGGATGCTCAGGGGCTTCGCGACCTGAGAGCGAGAGACTGGGCAGCTCTGGGTGATCATGGTGGTGGCGGGAGATGTTTTTCGTGTGGAAAATCAAGGGCTCTCTGGCTCTCGAGAAAGAGGACGGACGGGAAGCTGGGTTTGGCCCCGCAGACGGACGGAACTGCACTGCGCTGTTGGACGGACTGCCGTAATGCGCACGTTACCTCGTTATTAATTGCCTGCCTTTGCTGCACCACAATGCCTTTAGCTCACTGCTGGCATATCCACCACTCTCAATGACCATCATTATTCTCAACGCCAACCGGATTGCTGTGTTGATATTTCTTGCTGCCATTGACGACATTAGCGCTACTCACTCTCCTGCTACTTTGTTTGGATAATTGTTACGCTCTTGGATCAGGGCTCCGTTTGTTGAACCGTCCAGTGGCCCAACGCTGAGCAATCAGAGAGGTACGAATGCTCCACCGCACGTTCTGCCCTATACCAGGAGTTCGTAGCAGAGCTAGAGCATGAGTTACTAGGTCTCTTGATCAGAAGAGAGAGAACACATGCATGTCCGCGGGCATATACTAGCTGGGAAACTTGGCTGATTTATTTTCTTGCATCCAGAAGATAGGAGAGCATTGGGGAAAGCAACTTTAGATCCCACCTGGGTCTGCAATTTTGTATCGACGTATCCTCCTCCTCTCCCACGGCATTGTAACGAAATTACTTCGCGGCAGGCATTCCTGCCATGTCTGTGTCAGTGATGGGTATGAAAGCCCCCATCTCAAATCCGCCACATCCTCAAATATATCCACATCAACCGTTGCAGATATAGCTCACTCAGTCGTACCTTCCTCGATTTTCCATAGCCGGCACTGGCTGATTCTTTCCTTCAATGTATTCTAGGCTATTCTCCCGAATCACCACGAGACATGTCTCCGGATGCCATCTCTCCATACCCAGACAGACCCATCCGCCCTCTACCCAAGAGACGGCTGCGTGAACGGCTCTCCCCAGATGTTGCTGAATCCATAAAGTACCCTCCTGCCCCTAAGACCACTACCCCATTGTTTTACCATCCGTACAATCTTAGGGAAGAAGTTGGAACGAACAGTCTCGTGGAATCGCAGCATCCGAGCGAGCGGGAACGGGCAGACGAGATCGAACGAAACTACATCTCACGAAGGAACGGAGATGAGCTAGAGAGTGACGAGGATGAGACTGCATACCGGAGTAGAATCTATTCGAGACATTCGGTGCATACCACCGGCCGGTCGTATAGATATGTTCAGAAGCCTGGTGCAAAGCACCCAAATCCTCAGCCTCCAGCATCTACGACTTCGTCAGCAGACGGGTACGATTCTTTTGAGAACACGAATAACAAGAAAAAGCGAAAGATTCCTACTCCCGGTGACTCGAACCTGAACGGGGTTCATCTTTCAAGCGACGTGGCTCATATATCTGGCCCGGATGATCTTGCTGAGGATATTGGAACTGGAACTGGATCGTATCATGGGTCGGGAAATGTTGGTCAAGGAATCTCTGGTCCTGGAAGGGGCAGGTACGGTCGTATCCGGAATGGCAGGAGCCCTTTGAGAACCTTATCTGATGCCTCAAGCAACTGGGGCAACGGACGAACAGCCAAACAAAGGCCACCTCAGTGGCCACCAACAAGTAAGATTGAAGATAATAGAAATCATCGTTCGGTAATGTCTACTGACAGATTTTCAAGCCGAATCTCCGGGGATTATTTCCAGATCCATCGCGAATGCTAATGCCGAAAAGAGCCCAATCACCCCTGCGAAAGGACAAGAGAATGTTAGCCTTTTGCAACAACAAGCCTCCAAAAAATCAAGTCCTGCTTCCACGCAATTCACCTTTACCTGTGACTCTCAAGTACCTGGTACGGTCGCTTGGCCCGGTCCCAGCACAACAACAACAACAACGATGCATCAAAGTCCTATGGTTCGCAACATGAGCGCAGGATACCAGTCTACGAAGGAGTACATGTCACAAATGCGAACAGAAGCTACTCAAACCAGTCCGAGCATGGCAACTGCTCCCCTCGCCGAGAAGCCAAAGCAGGGTCTAGCTGCGTCGCAACATGCTGGTAATTCTCAAAAGCAATCGCCAGCTCCAGCTGAACCTGCCAAGAAACCCCGACGTCGAGCAGCCAAAGAATATCACATTGCAGCCCGTCAACGACGTCATGCACAACAATTCAAGAACTACCACAATCCTCCCGTCACTGAAGACATATGGATCTGTGAATTCTGCGAGTACGAACGTATCTTCGGCACCCCTCCGAAGGCTTTGATTCGACAATACGAGATCAAGGACAGACATGCCAAGAAGCAGGAAGCAGAGAAGAGACGATTACTGGAGAAAGCGAAGATGAAGGGACGGAAGAAGAAGGGAAACAAATCGGTTCCAAAGCCTTCACAGACTGCAAACAATCCACAACCTCCGCAACAACCCCAACCTCCTTCCATGAATCAAAGCCAGAGCCAGAGCCAGGGTACGCAGAGCGAGGAATACTACGAGGAGGAATACGATGACGACTACGCTCAAGATGACCCGCCTCCACCATCTCCTGTTGAACCACCCACTGCTCGCCGAAATGAGGTAGTCCAACCAGATCCTGGCAAGCGACCGGACTCCCTTGCAGAGGTCGATCTGATGGAGAGGCGCATTCTTCCCAAGGGAAAGCTTCGGGCATGATGGCGAGATGGTGAGCGTGATCTGCCTTCAAACCCCCGATCTTTTCGGCGGAGAAGTGAATGAGGAAGGATAGCGGCAAGCATTCTACTTCGACAACACCTTTGTAACCTAAATCCACTCGCTTCACACAAGCCATTACCACCATTTTCATTGCGTCACTTTCGGAATCAATCAGCATAGCATAGAGCGTTGAATAAGCATCATCGGCGCGGCATACCTCACACCCAATACCTACCCTTCTTTGTACGAGTTCTTCGTTCCCTTCACCACTCCCCTCATAAGCACGAACTGCCCAGGTCTGGCCGCAGCTGGACCAAGATAACCTCGATGTTCTCTGGACCATGAGCTACCTGTTGGCGAGTTGGTGGTCAGATGGCCACACTTGGGAATCACTGCTGTTGTACATTTCGTAGCTAGCCATGAATCCAGCCCCATCACAGCGCCTTGACAACATTTCGTTAAGTGGTGAGATTCCTGGAAGTGAGAGCTTAATAACCAGTTTATATCATAGAGCATAGGTTGGAAACGCAAAACAGTGGTCACCTTCGACAGTACTAACTGCCGGCACGAGACCAACTTCACAAGTCACTAAATATGCAAATCCCACGTACGAGTGCTCGTCAAGTAACACATACTCTCATCCAAGACATCATCCTACTCCACTACCTCCTACTCCATCGCCCCATAGGCTTGGCCCCGCTAATAGGTGCCTCATACACAAGTGCAAATTTAAATTCGAGTGTTCGCTATTATAATTTGCTTTCATCTGATATATCATTGGCTGAGATATATTCAAGCTATTTGAGAGTGATACTACGGTAGCCTGCCGAAGTCTTGTAATCCTAGTTCGTATGTACTGATTACTTAACAATTGGCGATTTCCTAATAGCTGACATGAAGTTATTCGCAAAATACAGTTTCCTAAAGTAGTATTTACCAATTTGGGCGTAATAGCGTTACCTACTTTTCAGTACCTGCGACTGTCAGCTCCGGTAAAGAACAGTGATAGCAGTCTGTCGTCAGCGAGCCGAATAAACGCCCCTGACTCTGTTTGAGAACTCCCGCAGCTGTTCATGAGGATCCACCAAGATGAGGTATAAAAGCCAGGTCGATGCCTCTCCGTTGCGGTCCACGGGGAGTTCAACTCAAATATCAACTTCTAACTCCCATCCCATAACTCTACTCATATCTTTGATTCACACTGCACTCAACATCCCTGTACAAGATGCGGACCATCCAAGCCCTCTCCATCCTCCTCGCCTCCACATTCCCTATCTCTATGTCTGCCGGCGACTACTCCCAAGTAAGCTACTACTACGACGGCAGGTGCACTCAAGATGCAGTCGACCCGAACCCACCAGGCGACGGCGAGTGCTACAACCACCAATGGAACGGAATGTAAATGACACCCTCCATCACTCCTCTTCCCACTTCTATACTGTTGACTCTCGTCCAGAGCTTCGATTAAGTCGACTTGTTCAGTCGATTTGCACTAACTGAATAGGGCAGCGCACCACACAAGTTCTGGGGCATGGGTACTTTGCCCTACTAGAATCTCGTCTGCCTTCACAAAGGATCAAAAGCCGGGCATGCGCGTTCACTCCGGAGGCCATCCTTCCCCTACGTTACGTTCGCACAGCTCACCTGCCCTCTCTAGTCCGCTGCGCTGACTATCCAAAACTCTCCCCTCTTTTTCAATGGCGTGTGCATAAATTGGTGTTGTAGTGAGTGTTGCGCTGCCCTATTCGGTTAGTGCAAGTCGACCTAATCGAAGCCTCGTCCAGGAACTCCGCGAATATCGCTAATGGCGAAGGATGGGACTACTGCTCCTGTACACAGGGTAACTACCAAGGTCCTTCTCTGGCATCTACCTATTGTGGGAACAACTGTGCGAGTAATTAGGGACAGGGGTTTAGGAGTTTTGCGTGTGTTTTGATGCCGTATAAGGAATCACGGGAAAGGAATGCTTTCTTGGCAAAACTTATATAGATGTGTCGGCATTTGCGGGTCCCATGAAGTGTTTTTCTTTCACATCATTTCTCGCGGACTAGTTCCGCAGCAGTCGAAAGTTGGGGATTGAAGATCTTGGTGGGAACTTGAAAAGTGTGGTTTGATTGTTGAGTTATGCTGATCCGTGGGTCGGCGTTAAGTGTGATCCCTCTGGAGGATAGCAATTGAAACTTCGGGTAGCCGGCAAAACGGTTGGCTGATAGAGAACATCAAGCATTACTGCCGTCTATTGGGAATGTATAATTTCTCATGAGTGCTTCTGGGATACCAATTCCATTGTACTTCCGTTAGACAAGTCCAAATCAAATCTCATCCTATTCCTAAGATTCACGTCTCGCTGCCTCAAACTGTGCCAGCGTTCGAAGGGATACCATAGAAAAGGTATGGAATTCATTGGTATGTGTCATCTACTTATTCATCAAGACTATCTACTTACCTAGTGGTCACCCAAGTCATCTCAATTCAGTTGAGTTGTCATCAGTCGGTTAGCCAATTCTTTTTGCCAGACACGCTTTCCCATCAAAAGCAATCGCATATCCACGAGACCAGCCAAAACTCTTCCATCTGATAGACAGACAGACGAGCCGTCAATAAAAACGCCTTCCATGCAGATCGCTTGAGCAACCATTGTAAATCCGCTCCAATTGCAATTCATCATTTTAACTGGACTCATTGGGCTCCGTTGACGACGACCCCGGGAATCTGAGCGATGGCCGCCGCCGCTGCGGCTGCAGCTTGGGCATTAGCATCAGCTTGGTGAAGGACGCCTTGCACTATTGTTTGCTCATCAGGGTTGAGATTTGTGGTGAGAGATTCATAAAGCTGGGGTTGTTCTTGTTGAAGTTCTGTGGTCCCTTGATTAGCGAGATGTGAGTGATATGGAGAAGATCAATTACTTAGAAGGGCGTTTCGGAAGAGTTGGTAAGGTTCAATCTTGTCAAGTGGTGTTTCAAGGAGGCTCTCCTCCCCGAGCTCATCATCCGAATCGTTGTCTTCCAGATTTTGGAATTTTTGGGCCTGGAAAGGGTTAGTAGATGGACGAGATGGATGATATTTTGAACTTGCCTCCTCGTTTAAGAACTCGAGATAAGCACTACTCTCATCTCTGCCATCAGTCTCGTCCTCAACTTCCGTCTCATCATTCCACGCAGTATCGTCACCAGCCCACTCATCCTCCTCATCCTCGTCGTCATAAGCAGAGCCCTCGAGTGGGAAGTCATCTTTAAGAGCCTCTTCGCGGTCTTCATGAGAGGTCAGCAAGTAATTTCTGAAAAGCAAATTGTCTTTTACTCACTCTTGGTCGCAGCTGGGAGAGTTTGGAACAAACGAACAATTCCCTGTGGATCAAGTAAGCAAGAGTACTCGTCAAGAATTGTCAGTACAGACCTGCAACAGTCTGGGCCAGCCTTGCTGAACGCTGACTGGGACTTGGTCAGCATTTAGCGTGAGCAGCGCGACAATAGCCGCAATTGATAACTTCTTGTCATGGACTCTGGTGAAGCTGTCGATACTTGAGAACCACAAGCTGAAAAATTTGTTGGTCCATCCTTTCGATTCGAGGACATGGAGAGCCAAGACCTACGCCGTCGAGGGTTAGAAATTACGGTAGAAGCAATGTGATTAGAGGATCTTACAGGGTTGTAGTAAATGGCGTTGATAACCATTTCCATGAGATGTATCTTGTACGACTTCACCTTGGTTTGCGAGTCGGTCAAAGTGCGCATTGCCATTTCGACCTATAAATGTTTAGCACGTAGGAAAGAAGAATCTAGCTCGAGGGGACTGACGAATGCCACAACGTATTGATCTGCATGGCCACGTAGACTTAACATGATGCCTTCAGCCAATTTGCAAGCGCAAATCCTATCCACTCCACCAACTTTCTCGTCTGCAAACATGTCTTGGACCATTGAAAACATGGCGTCCAAGTATTGCGGAGTTTGGACGAGATGTGCTGCTCCGTACTGCACGAAGTTGTCGAGTGCAGGAAGCATGTCTTCGAGATAGAGCTCTGCACCTGCTTTGAAGGTGGCATGGATGAGCTCAAAAGCTTGCCACATAGTTGGTGAAATCGATTTAGCAGCGAAAGTACAGCTGTCGATGATCTCGAATACCTCGTTGTAAAGATCTGGACATGTTAGTAATCTTCCAATCCAAGGTCCCAAATTAATTTACCATATAGTTTATTTTCCAGTGTGACCTTAATGACTGGCATCAAAATCGACTCCATATGGAGGAGAACATCAGGAGTACTCTCCAGAGTAAGAATCAAAGTGCCAATTGTTTGAAGGACTCCAAGAGCAGTAATGCTCTTGTCATCCAGGTAGTCGCCGTAGCTATCGTCGTCTTCGCGCTTCTCGTTCTTCTCAAGAAGTTCTCGGACGATCCGGAGATAAGTGTCCCGCAGCTGTTCACTCAGAGCAACAGCAAATGGAGTTAATTCTGTCGCGAAGACCTCGACAAAGTCTTCCATGACATTTGACAGTGCATCAACATCAACCTCATTTGCGAGCTTCAGGAGTTGTTGCATGATTTGGGGTATGTTTGTCTGCATGTTGGTTCGGATAATGTCGTGTCTGATGAGAGGCTGGAGTGCGAGAGCGGCTTCGACACGGACTGGAAGCTCTTGGTCGGCCATACATTCAAGAATGTTGCGGTAGATGATCAAGAGGTTGTTGGGATCCTTGAAGTCAAGCTGCTCAAATTTCTCCACAGTATCACAAGCTCGTGCTCGCAAGAATCCTTGGGAGCTTCGGAAATCTGGGAAAACGAACCGAACCAGGAAGTACTCAACCTGCTCAGCAATTGGACTCTTCTTCCCCAAAATGACACTCGACAAGGTTCCAATCATCCGTAAAGCTCCCTCCTTTGCGATATGATCCTTCTTGTCATCTTCAGTTGATTCATAGTCGCTGACAATCTTGTTGACGAACGCCAGAATAGTAAAGGTTTGTTTTCTCCGGGCTTTCGTGAGTGTGACCAAGAAATTTGTTGCAGCAACATCCGGGGCGGAGACTTCTTCGTAATAGTTGAGTTTGTGGTGAAGATATTCCTCGGGGTCAGACTCGAATTTCTCAACATCGTCTTGAGAAAGGCACATGACCGGGAACAAGAAGTGGGTAACAAGAGTATCAAGATGTGGTTTGAGGTGAGCCCACATTTGTTTAGGTCGAACACACTCATCTAAAAAGACAAGAGTGTATGATAGGCAGGGTCTGCTGAGCCATGTCGTCTTGGCCACCCATTTCTCGATTTGTTGAAGGTATCCCTTGAGAATTTCGGGTGCGAAGTTGGCAGTAAAGCTCTTGGCAAATTCTGTGTAGTCATCCCCATTCCCTTTCTGCAGTGACGATGGGTTGCCATAGCTATTCAGGTTAGTAGAAGTTCCACAATGGTTCGGCATCTGCGTACCGGACAAACAAGCGGTTGAGATTGAAGTATGCCCATTTCTTAGCTTTCCACCAGTGGTTGGCTTCACGCTCTGTGAGGTCTTCCGGCAAGGCTGTGGGAGGCACTTCTTTAGCAACAGTATGAAGGAAGAGCGAGCACCACCCAATAACCACAGGCTGTGCTCTCAAAGAGGCGGATAACTCGAACTAAATTTATCAGCACTTCCGCTTGCTGAGGGATCTGGTCTGGCAAACATACGAATGTTGCGTGCTTATACGCCTTCAACACTATATGCAGCATCTCCCCAGCATCCTCACTTGTCTCATTAACAAGACCTTGTCCTATAGTCAAAAGCCGTGGGAAGGTAGCCTCCACAATCTTATCGAAGTCGGTTCGGTTCTCCCCTGATTTAAAGCGGAAGACGCGACAAATAGCGAGAAGGCACTGGAGGCCTGCAAAAATGGAGGAGGCGTCGTTGGTGTTCAGGAGTTGCACCGTGATGGGAATGAAAGCCGGCCATTTTTCGGGAAAATCGTAGTGAAGAATCTTCTGGAGGACGGGGACCAGCTGCTGGCGAATCTGTGCTGGGGAAGACGAAAGGACAGGAAGGAGACGGTCTCGAAATCTTTGCTTCTCATCTTCGGGTATAGGCTTGTTCTGCGGGAAGTCCTCGCTCGGTGACCACCCTCGTGTGATGCGATTCTTGAGGTAAACCACGGCTGCAGTTGTGCGTTAGTATCTGCGAGCAGCGGGGTAGCAGTTTGTGGTTTGCATACTTGACATGCGAACTGAAGCTTCCTGCTCAGCCTGCAGGATATCCAGCAGCGCGTCGGTGAAGCCCGGGTGTTCTTCAGCCTACAAAGATATCGTCAACGGGCGGCCCTGAGGGTTCCACAGCCGTACTTACAGTCTTCAGGTCGAGCTCAGCACGGCGTCGAGCATCCGCGTCGGCGTCAAGCGTCGCGACAATGCGACCTCGCAGTACAGCCACATCCATTTTCGGGCTTGGAATGCGCCGGGCGATCTGAGTTGGTATGACAGACAGAGAGACAGCTTGATGCTGGAGCTGGTGAGCGGTTCGGTGTGGTTGAATAATTATGTGGTATTTTCGCCTGACGAAATAAGGCAGAACGACAGGGGAGGGACAGAGTCCACAAGGCTCAAGGCGGTCAGTCGAAGTCCAGGGCACAATGGAAGTCCCCCCACCACTGCCGCCAGGAGCGTTGCACGGGAATCCAGCAGCACGTTTCAGGGGATCGTGGAAGCGTGCAGGATCGAGGACTCCTTGCCGTGGCACAATCAAGCTTGTTCTACTTCTGGAAGTGGAGGTGGATGCTACAATGGGGAATCAAGCCCAAATTTGGGTTCTGTTCTGTGAAAGGTGGAGCGGGCCTTTTTTGGGCTTCTCGAGTCTGCGATTTCTGATACACAACGATAACGACCAAATGCGAATATTATAACATGAAGACGAGTGTTGTTTTTGTTCGTAGGAGGGAGGTTTCGGGTTTAATTATGAACCCAGGCCTTATGCTTGAGATGATTAAATGACATGTGGATAGATGAGACTATGGAATCAATTACACCCCCTCCCGGGCAATTTCACGTCTAGAACTTATTCTTCTCCCATTCAGGGTCGAACTGTGCATGGATTTCGCTCTTCTGTTACCCGCCTCAGGTAATAATTAGATGTATCGATCACGCGACTCAGTGGGCGAAAGTTGAACCAACATGTAACCAACAGACTGTTTGAGTAATGCACAAGGAAATATTCCAATGTTTGGGAGCTATCTTGAGTGCGGCAGCGCCAGCTTCGAGATCGACAGGAAATGATACTCTACGCGTAGGGCTGAATGTCCCAATATCTTGCTGTAATTTCGACATGGATTCTTTGCTAATTTGAAGTCAAAACTCGACTAGTTTTCGATTCTTGTTCTTCTCGTAAATGACCAAATAATTTAAAAGCTTGCCTGAAGCATGGTTCACGGTACTCCTGTGCGAAGAAAAGATGAGAAAAAAAGATGGTATCAGTGAGCTTGGACTTTTGCTTGCAGCTGTCGCCTTTCCTTTTCAGGCAAGGTGGCAGAATCTCAACAGACCCATGCAGGAAAAATGTAACCCCAGCATCACACAAATGACCGAGGTGTTTTCCCGACGAGGTAAAGACAAAACATAAGAACTCTTCGTCTCTGCATTTGCTCCTTCGTTCCTTCTCCTCTGCTTGTCTGCAATGGTCACAAGTGCCTCTTCCACTCCAATCTCATTGTCTCAAACTGCCTGTTTTTCAATTCCAAATGCCTAAGCTCATCCACGTCTTATGCACAACCTTCTCTTATCAACATGGCTATGCCTCGAGCTCGATCATTGCCAACTGATCTGATTGACCAACTATTCATCACCTGGCATAGAACCACTATTTCTCTTCGTGCTCTGGTAGACACTCTTAGTGGGAATGGAGGCGTTTTTGAGGCATGATTAGCAGGTGCTAAATCAAAGAAAGAATACTTGCTGCTTTCTATAACGGATTTTCATTGAACCGATTTGTTAGATGAGTAGAAAGGCGATAAGTACACTTATAACATATAATTGATTATGCACTACTACTCTCCCTTCCACGTTTACCTATCTAAGTGTAAGGCAGCATTTTGTGTGAAATCAATTCATTGGATTTTATATATCTTTGATAACCGATGAGGTGAATCTCAACATCCGATGATCTTGATCCGGCTCGAAGCCGCTCGTTGCTGTTTTTTCCGTTTGACTGCATGATCCACGATCTTGATTTGCAGCTGTGTTGAAACGTGGTTCCGGATTGAGGACTTCCGCAACTTTAAACTTTTGGTTTCTCGGGAGGATTTTGGCTAAACCAAGTTGTAAGTTGTTCCTAGTATTAAGTATCTTTTATACAGCACAAGCTGCGTGACCTTGGCACTGATCACCGATGGCGATATGATTCAGGTAGCTCCCGGAGGGCTGTTTGTAGATCCTGGGATCAGAAAGATTGAACAGGGAGGGAGATGCGATGTATAAAGATATAGAATGTTCGTCCTTTATAGATCAGACGTCACCTCAAAGTTGAAGTTTGGTTTGTAATGGTAATGGCACTTCCATCTTTCCCACGATTTTGCTTCTCATCACGTATCATCCTTTATCTTCCTGGTTCTTCACAACTAACATACTACAGGCTCGCAACCAAAGTCTTAGCAGCTCACAGCCCCCCATCGCCTTCCTGCCAACAGTAACCAACGCACCCCTACCCGAAGACTGCAAGGCAGTCCCCATTGCATACAATCGCAAATAATCTAGCTACTCGCGCACACCATTCCCTGCAGATGTCCACCCACCCTGCCAACGATTGTTGTCTCCACTCAATGTCCAACCAAATGTACACCATTAGGTCGCACTGCCTGGACCTCGACCTTAGCACCTTGCGAGGCCATAGATTCAGAACCTCCAAAGTACTCTCATTCCCAACCGGGTACCATAGATCTCCCCCAGGCCACGATCACCTCGAAGGTTAAATGCGTTATAATTATGAAGACAAATGGCTCTAGCTATACTGTGACTCCCACACCCCCCAGTCCGGCGGTGACAGCGGGCGGTTATTGAGGATCTTTTCGAAGTATTGGATTTTTGGTTGTTCTGGCATCAAGATGGAATAGGGGTTTGGAAATGTCCCGCTTTCTGATTTTCCGAGTGCCAGTAAGGACTACACCGTTCTCAGACAAAATCACGTTAATGGCTCTAAGGACACTGATATATGAGAGTTTGATAAATTGAAAGGAGGAAGTGGTTTTGGCCATCAGTCATTGATTCATTCTGGGAGGCTCTATTCTGCTTCTTCTTCTTCGTCACCACTAACTTCCTCCCCAGCTTCAATTGCCTTCTGTCTCCTCTTTGCTGCCCGATCTCTCTTTTTGTCCAGCAATTTCATTAACCCCTTTGCTACATTGAACACCCCGCCAGTACCTGCTCCACAAGCGGCACAACTTGGATCTTTCCTATACCTCTTCAGCGCACAACTCTCGCAAAAGTAGTGCCCACATTTCGTCACAATCGGATCCTTATATTTCTCCTTGCAAATAATGCACGCAAAAGGAATTCCTTCCAAAATAGCATCATCATCCCCCGAATCCTCTTCCTCCGCATTACGATTCGCACTCGCGATCTTCGTACCACCCGTGACTTTCTTGCCCTTCGTTACATTCTCCCATTCTTTATCCAGCTGCCATCCTTGTTTGTAATCCTCTCTCGCATGTAAGAACTTGCAACTGTCGCCAAAGCCGCAGAAACCGGTCTGTTTGTAGCTACAACGAATTAGCAAGATATTTCTTTGGGAGGTAGAGAGCCGGGGGCGAGCCGGGAGCATGAGATATGCCCCCGACCAGTGAAATAGGGGCTCGGGGCATAGGACAAAGAAATAGGTTGCTTACTCTTTGCAGACGTCGGGCGCAAAATCCGTTACCGTGATGGTGCGGATGTTGGTGGGAGCCTTCACGGGACCGACAACCTTGGTTGGAGCGTTCGGATTCTTTTGAATGAAGGAGGTGGCGTTCGCGAGGCCTTTGTATGTCCCTTCTGCAGCTTCTGGCTTGGCTCTCGTTGTGCCAAGGAGAGACTTGCTTGACAGGGCGTCGGTAGCATTCTCATCGTACCAATTACTTTGCTTGGTGGCGTCGTTGGAGCTCTTGATCGTTGTACTGCGGTCAGCAGAATATATTGTGGAGGTGAGGTCGGACGTAGAGGCGGCGTTGTTCTTTGATGACGCGGTTACAGCGCCTATGTTCTTCTTTCTTCGTTTGATCTTGTGTCCGGATTCATCTTCAGAGGAGGAGTAATCGGCGGAATCGCTGTCTGAGGCTGGAGGTGGGGTGGCGGCGCGTTTTCGAAAGCTGGATTTGCCTTTAGCAGAGCGTTTCTTGAAGATGGCTATTGGCTCAGTGGCCTGGGGAGTTTCCATAGACTCCATGGTGGTGAGGATGTTCGGTGAGAGGAGAGAGAGGGTGGGCGTCGGAAAAGTTAAAGAACAAGGCTGAGAACCTGGTTGCGTTCGAAGTCCTCGGCTGGTAAAGTACATTTGAGGATGAAGTAAGCAATTTCTGACTAAACACCAGGAGCTGTTCCGTTGGTTCTGGAAGGTGCGCCCCGACTGGGATAGACCATGGAGTCTGACTTTCGTGCAGGAAAGGTCAAATGTTTTGTCAAATTGCGGCCGTCAATGCAAGCCCCATCTTGTGAGAGGCTGATCCCATCCTGCGTTGTTGTTCTGGGCGGCGCACATCCAATCAAACGGCGGGAATCTAGGCGGTCTGAAATAAACACGATCGGGCTCGCCCAGTCACAAATCTGCGTTCGAGTTCAAGCGAGAAGCACGCGAAGCCGCACTTTATCATGCTTCGACCACGCCGGGTGTGCTTCTCACTTTCCGTTCCTCAGTCATCTCGTTGTTTGTCATTGCTCTCTGTTTCCCAGCACAATCATCGTATTATTGAGGGGGCTCACACGGCACCATCTCAACAACGGTGTTCCCAATCGTGTCAACGGTAACGGCCTGTCTCATCGCCAAAAGAAATCGGAACGGCCCACCAGGAACGCGCCCCTTAGTCAACAGAAACTAGCTACTTCGGCACAACAATCAACACACCTGTAACACCAGCATTCTTTGTACCACGGGGAACAGGTAAAAGGTGTTCGACCCGACTCTGAACATTTGTGAATCACGAATACTTTACGCGATTGTCGTCCACGAAGCTACCCTCAGACATTGGCAGGTGGTGCAAGAGAGGAGAGCGGGGAGACCTGGAGAGGGCATCATCATTGAAGGGCACAACACGACCCCACCCAGCATTTAACGGCGGCTGCTCCTGTGAAGGGCAACCCCAGACCCTCGAATCCAAAGATGGCGACTTCACTGGCAGCAGATCAGCCATCTGTACCACCTCAATCGGATATGACGGCTTCTCATATGGTAGAGAACGATCCCTTCCTGTCGGCATCAACGGGCTCAAATCACCATCGATTCTCCCATTTCGATAACCAGTTGTTCGCACTTGGTCCAACAACCTCCCCAGACCAAGCCAAGCGTGCACTGGAGGCTCATCTCGCCGAGACTGAGCGTCGAATAGAAGAGGCTTCAAAGCTTGGAACCACTCTTGTACAGCAACGGAAGGATCTCGCAGAGCGGTTAAAGGAGGTCGAGAAACAACAAAGTGAAGGAGATATCACCCCTGAACTGCGTCAAAAGCTCGTGGAGATCGAGAAGGAGTACAATGAGGTTGGACGGGAGAGCGCAAGGGCATTTCTGCCGAAGGTCAGGGTCTCCAGCAACGAGATGGCAGGATCCCCCTTCGCGGGTGATTCGAATGTAATGCTCATTCCCAATACAAGTTGATCTACGCTAACCTCTGACAGCGCTCAAGAAGTCCATCGAAATTTGAGAGCCAGGCCACGAATTCTCCTTCTAAACTCATCGTCCCCAATCGAAAGCAACGAAACCAGCCCTCCAATAGGGTTCATGATATCGAATTTGCAACTGAGATCAGCACTTCTTTGTTATCGCAGGTACGACATCTTCAAGCCCTACTAGCAGAGAAGGAAGAAACTTTGAAGACAATCACCTACGAGAAATCAAGACTAGAGATTGAGGCGGAAGGGTTTAATCAACGGTTAAGAAGTCTCGACGAGAGTGAGCACAGGTACAAGGACGAAAACTGGAATCTTGAGACACAGATCCATGAATTTCTAGCAGCTGCAAAGGAGGCAGCCGATAGGGAGAAGAAACTGACGCAGAACCTCAACATCGTGCAGGCGGAGAAGAGTGCTGCACAAAAGGAGCTCGACGATATCAAGTTGAACCACGCGAAGCTCACAGAAGATCACGCCACTGCCCTTAAACATTACGATGTTGAGCTGGGTAGCGTCAAGCGGAGCATGACGATGGCAGAAAATGAGCGGGGTGCTTTACAACGGAAAATCGAAGATCTCACCGGCCAGAATCAAGAACTTGCCAAAGCAGTAGCACACCAACGAGGCCGTTTAGAGGATCGAGAACATGCACGAGGGTTGAGTGATGAGGACTTCGAAACTGCACCTGACAATGTCACCCCCGAGCATTCTCCGCCACCTTCTCCAGTGAAGGGGACACCACGACACAGCATGCTTGAATCAGAGACGCTCAAGAGTTCCTTGCACCATGCGCATCGAATGATCCAGAATCTGAAGACCAACATTCATCGAGAGAAAACCGAGAAGCTGGAGTTGAAGCGTATGCTCCAGGATGCTAGAGATGAGTTGGATGCGCGCCGAAGCGATATAGGCTCTAACGGGAAGAGAAATCGCAAGGTTGACTCGAAGGAATTCAAGAAGCCCCTCAGACCCGGACAACTCGGTGGGCTCAGGAATAGTCGAAGTGAAGTTTTCCTAGAAGATCCCAACTGGGAAGAAGATACTGGCGAGAGAAGCCCGAGCCACCCGACAGCTATTACTGCTGGCGCTGTTGCTGGAGGTGTAGCCGGTGCGGCTCTGACCGATTCTAGTGACCATTTCGAAACTGCAAACGAGAACGACACCAGTGATGCCTTCGAGACTGCAAACGAGCGAGGCACTGAGACCGAGGATTTCCAGACCGGTCACGAAGAAATGAGCGGCAGTGATGAGCTAACAGAGACCGAGGGAGGAAAACCCACGCCTCGTCATAAGCCCACACCCCTATCCCTCTCCAAGCCAGGAAATAGGGAGTCTTTCCAAAGCACCGCTTCCACCTCCGGAGACGAGTACAGCTACGAGGACGTAAAGACGCCCACTGCCTCCGCGCAGCCCCAACGCTTGCGACTCAGGGTGAGTCGTGGGGGCAACCGAAGATCGCGCGTTGCCAGCGAAGAACCTCAGTTCCAGAGCAGTCCAGCCAGCTTTGCAAATAGCAGCAGAAACGCCACTCCTCAAGCAGGACAAAGCTTGTTTGCCGAGCTTGGTGATATGGGCGGCAGCGATGATGAGTCCATGCAGGGTACTCCGAGTCGCAGTGCCTTCGGTTCACCTGCTTCGTCGAGACCTGGCACAGCAAAGAACACTCCTGCAATTCTCAGTCCCGTTTCGCCGCCGCCAGTCCCAAAAATTCCAATGGTGGATTCTGGAATGATGACCGAACCGTGGGGACCTGAACCACCTACACCTAAGACGGCAGTTCCTTATCTCGCTGGAACTGGTCTTGCAGGCGCTGCCGCAGCCGAAGCTGCGCACTTGATGAGCGATAAATATTCTTCAACTGCAACTCAAGTAAAGGCAGAAACTTCTGATGCTGGGAGTCAATGGCACGATGAGCAAGTGAATAAATCACTAAAAGTTGATTCGGACCAGAGTTCCCGACCAATTTCTACATCCACTTATAGCGACATGAGCTCTCAGTACGATGCAGTTGTCTTGGACGAAAGACTCGCCAAATTCCCGTCACCTCCATCATCTCGTGCACACACTCCGATGACCAGCCTGGCCAGGATGGAGGCACTGTCAGCACCGTTGACAATTTCCACAATCGTTTCCGAGCATGTTGAGCCGACCGAAGCACCCGAGTCCCCAATCCTTCCAGAATTACAGAGAAAATCAGTTCCAGGTGCGCCAAGCCTTGCAACGATCGTTGCACCTCTTGCGTTCTCTTCAATCCAGTCAGTCGACACGGAACCCATCGAGCCTCGCAGCCCTCGGCGAGATGGGGTTATGATCCCACGAGACGATTCGGAAGATGAGAAGGCTGTTAGGGACGCACCAGAGACTCCGAAACCAACCTTTCTTGGATCAGTCTTCGCCTGGAATAAGAACAAGACCCCGACAACGCCCTTCATTGCTGAGGACGAGACTCGGCAATCGCCCAGCGACTCCCCAATGGTTGAAACACCCGAATCTCAACGGCCACTCAAAGAGCTCTCCAGTAATCCTCACGAGCGTGCTATCAAGAAGCAACGCGTGGAGACAAGGGATGAAAGCTCACAGACCGCTCTGACTGCCGAGCAAATTGACAACATGTTGAAAAACAAGAGAAAGGATATCATAGTAGCCGAAGATGGGCAGAGGTCACCCCGCGGCACCACTATTCCAATGGTTATCAAGACCCGCAGGTCTCAGGAAAGTATCGGAAGTGTCGGCCGTGCCAGGGCCAAGATGGCAGACCCCGATTTTGTTCATGATACTGTTCCGCTAAAGAGACCTGGTAGCGCCGGTAGTGCCCGTAACAACTCGATCTCCAGCATTCACCCTCCATTGCCTACTGATCACAAGGAGGTGATTGCTGCGGCCGCGCAACGTTCTGGCTCCTCCAGTGGTGGTCCTGGCAGTATGGGCCCTCCATTAATGACAGCATCTGCTTATAGAGCAGCCAACCCATCCTTTAGACCCAGGACGCCAAGTTCTCAAGCTCCCCAGAGTCCTTCCTCTTTGAGAGGAACTCCTACACCAAGAGCTGTACAGTCTTCTTCGACGACGGAAGTGAAATCACCACCCACTCTGAAGAGCAGATCGAGGGCTTCATCTCTCTCTTCATTTGCCTCGGAAGTGGATACTCGGTTCAATCTGAGACCTGGAATGATGCCACATGGTTTATCTTCTAACACCGATCCACGCATGATCAATGCTATCACACAGACGATGATTGGGGAGTATCTCTGGAAGTACACGAGAAAGGCTGGCCGTGGAACGATGTCGGAAAATCGACACCGCCGCTACTTCTGGGTTCACCCATATACTAGGACTCTTTACTGGAGTGACCGGGATCCATCATCGGCAGGTCGGGCTGAGTTGAAGGCAAAGAGCGTCCCGATTGAAGCTGTCAGAGTGGTCACCGATGACAACCCAATGCCCCCCGGTTTACATCGCAAGAGTTTGGTTATCATGACTCCTGGCCGGTCAGTCAAATTCACTGCAACTACCGGACAACGCCACGAGACGTGGTTCAATGCTCTTTCGTACCTACTGCTGCGGACTGGAGAGGATGCTGTCGGTGATACAAATGATGTTGCTAATGGTGCCTTGACCTCCGAAGATGTTGCAGAATTCAACCCTGGATTTGGGGACAACACCACGCGTCAAGGTCCCAGTTCCCTATCCTCATACAACAGCCGTACGACGCGTAACGAATCTCGAGAACGCAAGTCTTCTCGACTCTCAGCCCAGCCTCAGCTTACATCTACATCTTCTCGTCCTTCAGTTGGAACCTTTTCGAGATTCAGCAGTTATTGGAAACCCGGGAAAGAAGAGCAGGTGGGAAGTTTCTCCAGTAGAAAGAGCAGACACAGTGTTAACGGCACTGGGAGCATCTATGAGGCTAGCGAGGTCCACGATAGTGCGGAGGATCTTAGGGAATTGATTGAGAAGCAAGACAGGGAGTCTGACAAGTTAGAGAATGTTAGAGCCTGTTGTGACGGTAAGTCAATCGGGTAGCTTTCTTAATTCTGGACTCTGCTAAGGATCTCAGGCAAACACGATGTCGGCCATCTCCACAACTCCACCAAAGGGCGCCACTCCACGGTTGGAATAGCATCCGGATCTCAACGACCAGCGCCACCACGAAACAAGAGTAGGAACAGTTTAATGCGACGTACGGACTAAATATAGTCACCTACCTTCCCGATCATGGGACTCTCTTTACGAATGTTATGTCTTTCATTTGCTTCTCAAAACCAAAACCGCGATCTATAGAGAGCGAGTGTCACGGCCTTGATCATGCATGACCCGAACAATCACAATATCCATCTCGTTTTCTGTTTCCTTTTTGAGTAATGAATGAGTAGTGTCGAGGAGATAATGCATCGTACCATGACACCAGGTCACAGGAGGGGTGACTTTTCATTCTTGTATGATTCCGTATCTGGGTAAGGGATGGCCTTGATGATGAATACACGGGGCAGGGTTGTGTGGTCTTTAGTCCATAGTTGATGCAGGTAGGTATAAAGATATTCGAGATCTCGGAATCATTGCCTCTTGTGTGCTATAAATATGTGATTCAGTTCCCAATCCTCAAATACTATCGCCTGCCCAAATCCTTATTTCTTGTTGTCTTACCCTCCCCACCAGGTTGCACCGAACTTGTCTCAGTGATTCACCAACCCTCATCCAATCATCTCCCGCCTTGGAAATAAATCCCTCACTCAGGCTGCCCATATACTCCCTCGCCCCACTTCTTCATCGGGCAATCTTACTTTCTTCCTCCTTCAATACAATATCTCATCTTGGCTCGAGCTCGAAAGCTAGAAATGTGCACACAGACAACATACACCTACACCTCTTCTGACTGCGATTGCGAATACGTCCTCTTCGTAACCAACCTATTTCTTTGTCCCATGCCCGGAGATCCCTATTGCACTGGTCGGGAGCATGTTTCATGCTCCCGGCTCGCTCCCAGCTCTCTATCTCCCAAAGAAATATCTTGCTAATTCGTCGTAGGTCTGCTGCTCCAGGGCTAAATTTAGAGAGGGGAAGCTACCGAGTTGTAGAGGGGGCCCTGTGGTAAAGAGGTCTGAGATGATTGAGGGTGGGTGTTGGGGAAGCGATTGTTGGATGGAGGGGAGGAGGTGTGCTAAGGAGTAAGTAAAAAGGTGATGAGGTGAAGTGGTGGGTGAGTTGAATGCTGATGAGATGTATAGGATGAAGGTGAACGTTCAGGTTTAAGTTGGGGGTAAGGAGATTAAAACAGACTTGGGCTTGTGCTCGGAGTTCGCAAGTTGGCTTTTGGGATTCTGCATCGTTGGTTTGGATACCGTCTTAAAGTTCTCTTGGAGTAGGAGCCTGGAGTTTTGCTGATGGTTGAAGGGTGCGCTTTTTGCATGGAGTTTGGAACAATGAGTAAATTGACGTGAGGTTCTCGGGTGCTTTGCTCGAGATAAATTGCCGGGAATCTTAAGGAGAGTCATGGTTTAGATTGACAGTGCTTGTTATTACTCCAGATACTTTTGATAATCGCTATATTGGAAAGGATTGATCAAATTAAATTAAAAGCAGCCAATAGCGAAAAAGAAAGCTACTGTCAGAGTGATGAAATAGAAACGAGCATTGAAAGGAGAAAAGAAGGAAGAGCTCAAACAGAGCACGCGCGAATAGGCCCTCGAGAGTGCACTCAGTTAGTTACACATGCGCCAAGTCACTAATTTTGGAGCTAGCGCCCCCTTTTTTGCTTCGCCTCTGAAGATTCAGTATTGAATTAATTTGAACCCCAGCACTAGGCATATCAGTATCTGGGACTACCAGAATACTTCAGAACTTTGGCTCACGCAAAAATGTAGAAACTCATAAGATTGTAGAGACTCGACTTTTTGGAAATGCAGCAACACAATCTATTTGTATTCTACTGAAACGCCCCAAGCACAAGCAAGCAGAAATCCCCTCACAGTCACGCGAGGCCCTTCACATCGCTGTCCTTAATCTTTCCGGCACTCACCAACCGCTTAACCTCAGATGACCAAACCCCTTTGATCTCATCCGCGATCTTGAGGCCATTCAACTTTCCGGCCAACGCCGCAGTCTCATCAGCATCAATTTTGCCCTGCACCAGCTCAACGTCGTTCAACACAGCATCGATGACCGAGGCTGGTGCAACTCCGCTAACGAAGTAGTTGGCATCCTTGACACTGCCTTTCAGAACACGTCTGTTCTTCTTGACTGCCGCCTTCGCTGCTTCCTTAGCCTTCTTTCCTTGTTCGCGTTCCGCCTTAGCCTTCTCCTCTGCTTCCTTTGCGGCTTTTGCCTCCGCTTCCTTCGCAGCCTTGGCATCGTCAAGGGCCTTCTTCTCAGCAGCTTCCTTGTCCAACCGCTTCTTATTCTTTGAAGCATTGGCTTCTTGACGGAATCTCTTGATACGCTCATCACCAGCCATGGCATCATCAACCAGTCTTCTCAGGCGAGCAGAATCCTCGGTCTTCTTCTTCTTGCGGGCATTGTTGTTCTTTCGCTCCATGTGGCGCTTCTGATCACGGTTCTCGTTGTCATCAGGGACATCCTCATCCTGGTACTCGAAAGAGCGCCACGAATCAAAGTTATAGAAGAAGTTGTAGAATGTGTCGACATCCTCCTTGTTGCTTTTCTCATCTCCAAATTTGGGTACAGGCTGGACGCGGGAGAACCGGCCCTCGGATTTGAAAACGTTGCTCCACAACTTGTAATATTTACCCTCTTTAAGTTGCTTCTTAGTAGGAGGTTCAAGATCAGCATGTTCATCGACAGAATCAAATTGACGGCGCTTAACGGGATCGAGAAGGATTTCAGTAGCCTTCTGAATGCACTTGAAGAAGCTATCATCCTCGGTACTTCCAGCTGCAGCCTTCTTATCAGGGTGATGGCGGAGGACCTTCTTGCGGTGAGCACGCTTGATTTGTTCTTCGGTGGCTTTGTAGCGGTACTTTGATAGACCGAGGACGGCGTAGTGGTCTTGGCTCTGAACTGGGATTAGTAAACGCTATCTTCAGACAGATTCGACATCGCACCTTCCAGTCCTTAGCATCACGAGAGAGCATCATAGGATCCTCCGGCTCGCTGATCTCCCCAGAATCATCATCTTCAACTTTCTTGACATTTTCTTGAGCTTGAATACGGTCATCTTCAGAAAAGGTGCGCTTGTGACGGGCACGTCGAGCATGGGCGAGAAAGTGAGGTCCGACTGGCTCGATGCTGCGTTGTGTGGCAGCTGAGAGCTTGCCGATTGCTTTGAAATCTTTCTCACCAGACCAGGTCTCCGGGAGAACAGGCAATGGCAGGTTGACTTGAGTATGCGTGGCCATGTTTGACTATTCCCAAGAAATCGGAGTCAGTATGCTCTTTTGGGTATTCTCGGAGGCAAAGTGTTCCGGGAGCTGTTGCACATTGCTAAAAACTCAGAGATAAGTTGGAACTTGCCTATGACGATGATGGCAGATTGTTATAAATCTGCTGTTTTGTCCTGCTTTTCACTAGTAGGAAGAACGGGAGCCTCGGTCTGATCGTACTGATCGGTGGCTGGTGAGTTACGAAGTTGTGGAGTTGGAAACACTTCTGACTTTTGGCGTTCTGCAGAGGCTCGTTCGGCTGCTACTATTGCAAGATGCCTGTGGAAGACTGCAGGAACAGTGGTCTCTGGGGCAAGATATCCTCGGCTTTTCCTTTTCTATCGAGAAATCTTTTTCTTATAGCTTGGCCTTCGGGAGAGTCGATAGAAGGACTGTCTGCTGGCGAGAGGTGAGAAGGCTTAAATGGGCAGTCCTTTCCTTTCTCAACAACCAATGCGAAGAGAGCTTTTGTACCGCCGGCGAGGTGAAGTTCTGCGAGTCGAGGATTGAGAGACTCGTCTCGTTTGACAGTTGACAGTCGATTCCAGAGTATGCTGACTGCGATCAACACCTTGTCCAAGACGCAGTTGAGAGCTACTAGATCTGAGGGACGAGGTGGTAATCCTTTGCGTTTGTACTCGAGGACTCTGTGCCCTTCCTGTGCCAAAGCGCGAATAGTAGCGTGGGGCAATGGCAATGGCCTTCGCGGAGGAAGCGATAGAATAAGTTCGATGTGGAATCTTATTGTCTCCTCAATCCTTGTGTCTGCCTCTGCTTGTGATGTAGGGATTGAGACGTGGAGTTGATTTTGATCTTGTTCTGAAGTGCAAAAAAAAGTTAGCGTCGCTTCTTCCTTATCTCAGGTCACGTGAAGTTGATAAGGTTAACGGATCGGAATTTTGGGGGCAAACGACCGCATAAAAGCATTCGAAGCATATCTTGGTCTTTTGAATCGAGAGCTACCTATCGAGCGAAACTGAAAGCTCACTCGCCTGCATCGCCTCCCGCATTCGTTCCGTCTACGGCGTCCTTCTCTAATTTTCTCGTGGTTTTAGCTATTGAGAGAAGGATTTCAGCCGCTGTCGCCCTTTCAAACTGGTCAATCCGTTCTCTCCGTTCCCTATTCGAAGCAATCGCTGCCTCGATCGCCGCTGCTTCCTCGTGCTCACGGCCCTTCTCGCCTGCCTGCCTCTGCCTCTTATTGAGCTTCTTACGGGCAGCCTTGGATAGCGTCTTTGGGGGATCTGGAGTTGTGACCTTGGGCGTGGTGTCTACTTGAAAATCGATACTAGGTATGTCCGATGTTTCCTGAGGAGGTGCAACTTTTTTTACTTGTTCCGTTGTGCAAATTTTCGGTCTTGAGAATTCCTTCTGCCTTTTCTTTGGAGTTACCAAGTCCTCTCCAGTCGCTGGCTTGGTCGGAGATATAGTTGCTTTGACCGAATATGATTGTACCGGCCAGCTTTGAGCCTTTCGAGTCGCTGTCTTAGTGGAAGACCTAGTTGCTTCCGCCAAACTTGATTGTACATGCGAGCTTTGGATAGTCGGGGTTGAAATCTGAACTACAGTCCTTGGTAGGCCAGAAGTTGGGGTTGCTCTCGCCGTTACTTGTCGGTTCCAGCTTTGAATTTTCGGAATTGCAACCCTAACTACAGGTCGTGGCGTACCAGAAGACTTGGTTGCTCCAGCCGTATTCAACACCGCCCCAGGCTTTTGTACTTTTGTGTCCCCAGTTGTATTTCCTGGATCGATCGTGTCCTTTGTTCGTTGGGTGGAGAGTACTTGAGGGCGCTGCGTGTCGGCCCCCGAACTTACGTCTTCTCCTACTCGGTTGTTCACATTTACCGTTTCGCTATGACCTCCAACATGATAGTATGCTGTGAAATAGTCGACTTCATTACTGCGAGTCCCCATTTCGCAGCGATCCCTGTTGACCCGTTGTTCTTGTTGGCTAAATGGAAGTGAAAGACCCGCGCTCTCAGGAGCAATAGGATGAGGGAAATACTGGTCTGTTGTACATTCCTGGGTGTCCTTGCGCGAATGATCCTGTGGATGGTCATAGTGCCTTCTAGCAGGATATGCGGAAATGGGGTTGTCACCTCCACCACCGGTTCTGCTGGTGATCCTGGTCGTTGCTTGTTCAATACGCCTTTTGTCGTTGTCAGTTTCGAAAGTGGCTTTGGGACAGTGTACCAACCTCTGCTGTTGCAAATACGCCAAATCCATGCCATTGAGCGAGAGATATTCCAAGTGTTTTGCAGTTTCAAGGTCGAGATTGGCTTCTGTCGAATGTTGTCCCAACCTTTTCTCTTCCCAATAGGCAAGGTTCATGTGTTTGAGCCTGCCACAGTCCAAGGACTTTAGGATTTCTTGGGCGGTAGTGGCTTTTCTGGAATCTGCCAGCCCTGACTGCTGTACATGTACGAAATCCATACCTTCGAGCGAGAGATCTACCAAGGCTTTTGCAGGTACATGGTTGTCAGTGGTCTCCGTCGAAAGTGCCAAAATCTGCTCCTGTAATTGCACGTGGTCCATGCCTTCGAGCGAGAGGCTTTCTCCGACCTTTGTACTCTCACGGTCGCCGGTGGCTTCGGTAGGATGTACCAATCTCTGCTTCACTATATCCTCGAGATTCTCAACCATCAGCCTAGTATTGTCCAAAGCCTTTGCAATTTTTTCAATGTCGACTGAGTTTGCTTCAGGCATTCTGATCGATCTGGTATCAGGAGCTGTCAGTTCACATGTTCCTTTTCAAATTGAAGTTCTTACGTGTTTGCGTTCACCTGTCAAATGTTTATCGTTTTTTGTTGGCAAGTGTGCTGGCTGAGCCATTTCAGAGATATATGTTAACGTATCACCATGCAGACGAAGAAGGACCAAGAGATAGACGTAAACAGAAATGGCACTAGCAGCATACCGGCACCTTCTGCGTTCAACGCGGATAGCCTTTCAAGGTTCGCTCCTTCCTTACACCTCCCTCCCCACACTCACATGACCATATATTAACATTGCTTGGTGGAGGCGATGCGCAGGTCTTACACGCTGCACGGTTCCAAGCACGAGACGCCTTCCGAAAGAATGCAGCGATGCAACAAGGTGATCCGGCTTTGCGACCTGCCATCGCCCATGCGGAGGAGGTGGCGAAGATTTTGAGGGAGAATGTCGTGCAAGGGAAGAGGGTGGATAGGGAGGGTGAGGAGAGATATAGTGAGTTATTCTTGTGCTTTCATCTCATGTGAGATGTGAGAATTGGGGGGCTAATGAGGATAGAATTGAGGATTCATGAGCATACAGAACGGGGAGATAATGACACCGTGAAGATGCCGAACGGGCAAAAGGTCGTGATTGATGGCAAGAAATGCTCGGATCGGTAGTACAAGATGGATCTCGAGGGAAAAGAAAAACCCTCGCTGTATCATATGGGCTTTAGATGTTGGGAGAGAGTTACTTGTACGATTACGCTCTAGATTGCGTGTGTAATATGATCTACCCCTTCAAATCCTCGAATTCTCGCCGTTCAACCTTGAAGTGATTTCAGCCATGAGAAATTAAAGTGCTATTGAGCAGTGTAAGAATAGTTAACAAGACAGGCTGCGGGTGGCACACTGCCAACTAAAAAAAATAGGCCAGGTCGTATATAATTAAAGCATTTTTCCGATGTCAACAAGCGACACATCTTGCAAGTAAGAGCCTTTAAAAGCGAGAACTAACTTGACACGCGGGCACGGATCCACTGTTATGGTAGATTCCGGGGAGTAGAACGTGGAACTTGTTGGTAGTGATTAAGGCTTTGGTATATAACACTTTTGCTATTTTGAACCTTTTGATTTTACTTTGCCATAAGGCAAGGAGAATAAAGTGGGAGGTTGCTTTGTCAAAGTTACATTATGCTTATCGAGTAACAAGAATTCAATACAGTAGCTCGAAGAAGCACAGTGCACATGCTTTTACAGCAGAGTGATAATGAAAGCCCAGGGTAATCATTCAATTCATAATATACCTACGAACAAGTCATCGCCATGCCCAGACCGATTTCATCGTCGCCCAACGCCTTCCAATGCAAATGACCAATATCCATCAATTCCCAGCCAAGCTTGCATATTGAACATCATCTTGACCCGGTGGTGGGGCCACAGCAGCCATGCTAGCCAGATCGTCCTTCGGCGGAGGGTCAATAGCTCTTCGAGCGCCTCCAACCCCTCCTTGCGAACTCGAATCCGAAAAGGCAGACCGTCCTTCCCTCCCAGTAGCTATTCTCTCATCTTTGTCCATATTCCCAATGGGCCTCGGCCTCCCCCACTGAACTCTCAACGGACACCCAGCAATAACAGCTCTCCCCTTTAATGCTTCTGCAGCAGCCTCCGCCCCCTCTCTCGTAGCGTAGTTGATGAACGCACAATGTGACATATGCGAGCAGACTAGAGACCGGATCTTCCCATAAGGGGAAAAGAAGTCACGGATCTTGAATTCAGGCAAATCATCCTCCACGCCGGTAACAAATAATGAAGTGATGGATTGGTCTGCCGGCGGTAAGATATCTTGCGGTCCAGGAGGTAATTGTGCCGCACTCGGGAAAGCCCTTCCTCCTCTTGGCCCGCCCCTTCCACCCCGTAGAGTCGTTCCTCTCGAACTTGGCGCGCCTCTGTTATCTCTTGTTCGTATCGGACCGGGGCCGTTATTCGCCAACGCCATTGCACTCCCCGAGCTGTCTCCTTCAGCACCTTCTCCCTCGGCTGGTCCAATCCGTCTCTGCTTCTTGAAATACGGTTCACTGTTCGCTAGTCGTCGTAGGAGCTCTCTAGCTTTCTCGTCCGTCTTCTCATATGCCTCAACCCCTCCCCTCCCATCTTCAATCTCTTTCTCGTGCTCCTGTGCGTAATACTCTCGATTAACGGCGCTCTGAGGGCCAGGTGCTACCATTTTGAGCGCTGCATCGCGGACTACGATGGGGAGACCGAAGGACAAATCGAGCATACAACATTGGCAGCAGTTCTTGAGACGGGCGCACGTGAGACAGATGTTGGTACGTTTGCTTCGTGCTGTGCGGTCCGCTTTCCACTTGAATACCGTAAATGGTCGTGTGCAAATTTTGCATTCTGCAGATCAGTCAGCCAATGCTCACGTTAGGAAACGAAGCTGTCTTCTGGGTCTAAAGACTCTGTTTGAACAAAGGCGATCGCGAGGTACACACCTTCTCCGTAGTCTTGTTTGATCATCTGGACATATGGATTGTCTGGGAGACAGTTCTCGCAGACTGAAGGGAAGTCGGTGGTCTCCCAACCAGAGCGGTTGAGATCTTGCTTGATTTGAGGAGGCATCTTGGGCTATTTGAGCAGATATCGCCAACTGCGCGAAACTTCTTTGGGAGCCGCGACTGGGTGGTGTCTTGTGGATCGAGGATGAGGAGGGGTTGTGTTGTGGATGAACTCGTGAGGCTGTGAGGCGATAAATCGACGAAATTTCCAATCCACAGGTAGTCAAAGCCTTGCCTGCACGTGATTCATGATCAGTGATTGTTGATTAGCTGTTCGTATTCGTGTTGGATCCGCCAATAGGTTTCGAGGTCTCCACTAAAAAAGTGACCCCTGAGTCGAGCGAGATTGTGCCTGCATCTCCAAACATACGGAAGTCCAAGAAGTCTACATAAATACCACCAGTTCCCCGGCCGCATCTACTCACCTACAACTCACTCAATTCGATTCTCCTCTCTTCCAAATTTCTTCTCGAACCCTCTTCTCAACCAACAATGGCTCCCGCAATGCTCGAGACCGAAGATCATACTCGCGATGCTGCTTTCAACAAGGCAATGCACAAGGACTCTTCCAAGGCCCATGGAGGATTCAGTGCAATGTTGAAAAAGGACAAGGCTGCTCAAAAAGCTGCTGTTGATGAGTATTTCAAGCATTGGGACAACAAGGCTGCAAAGGATGAAAGCCCTGAGACCAGAGAGGTAGGTTTTCTGTCCGTTGAGGTCTGCCGCGTACTAATTCGCCTCCAGGCACGAAAAGCTGAATATGCTACCCTAACGAGACAGTAAGGAACAGACGTCAAAACGTTGTTACCATGCTAATAACGATTCACAGTTACTACAACCTCGGAACAGATCTCTACGAGTATGGCTGGGGTCAATCCTTCCACTTCTGCCGTTTCGCCTACGGTGAACCTTTCTACCAAGCCATTGCGCGTCACGAACACTACCTCGCCGCGAAGATTGGTATCAAAGATGGAGACAATGTTCTCGATGTTGGCTGTGGCGTTGGAGGGCCAGCCCGGGAAATCGCAAAGTTCACAGGCGCAAACATCACCGGCTTGAACAACAATGACTACCAGATTGAGCGAGCTACACGGTATGCCAAGAAGGAGGGTCTTGCAGACCAATTGAAATTCGTAAAGGGTGACTTCATGGTATGTCCTGCTCTTTTAGCTCCTGTTCGTCTTCTCTAACATTGCCCAGCAAATGTCTTTCCCTGCGAACAGCTTCGACGCTGTCTATGCCATTGAAGCGACCGTCCACGCTCCCTCCCTAGAAGGTGTATACAGCCAAATATTCCGTGTTCTCAAGCCAGGCGGTGTCTTTGGCGTGTACGAATGGCTCATGACCGACAACTACGACAACAACAACCCGCACCATCGCGAAATCCGTCTTGGTATCGAGCAAGGTAATGGAATCTCCAATATGGTGAAGATCTCGGAGGGAATTGCTGCCATCAAAGCCGCCGGCTTTGAACTGGAACTCCACGAGGATTTGGCCAAGAGACCTGACAGTACCCCTTGGTACTACCCTCTCGCTGGAGATTTCAAGATGATGGGATCGATTTGGGACTTCCCCACGATCGCGAGAATGACTTGGTGGGGAAGAGGCCTTGTGCATAGGTTCGTCTATGTTTTGGAGAAGGTCGGCGTTGCTCCTCAAGGAACGCAGAAGACTGCTGACAGCCTGGCACTTGGTGCGGATTGCTTGGTCGACGGTGGGAAAGAGGATCTCTTTACCCCGATGTATTTGATGGTTGCACGAAAGCCTAAAGCATGAGCGGAGTTTGCGGATCGGAGTCAGCAAGATGGTTTTCAAGATGAGATGCTGCATTGATTTCCTGGCCGCTGCGTTGTGTTATCTTCTTTGTACATTGCTTCGGCCCTCGCTGGGAGGTTTTTCTCTTGCTCAATGTTTATACACTTCCGAGCACATTGTGTCTGATAGAGTAGGCCAGAAACATAGATAATTAATATGATAATGAGAGAAGACATGACCAAAACTTGATCGGATCCCATCACATATGTTCCAAAATATACCCGAGCATCAAGTGCCGGCAACCATTCACTGCAATTTTTCCATTCTCCATTTTTAAGGCAAACCGAACATGGCGCCTCCATTTACCCAAAGCGGGCAATGCCCAAACCAAATAGAGCGTATAGCGAAGTTACCATCCATGTTTCAAATGTCTCAAAGGCTGGGAACGTCGCCTGTTGCACGTCGCAAGACCGTTTTCCTAAAGCGGCAATTGTGCTCCTCACTTTTTGGTATCCTATCACTCGCGTATTGGCCTGCACTCAGCCACGGAATTGATCTTTGCGATTCCGAGCTGATTGTCAGATCGCTGTCAAATCCAGGGCTTGCCTTTTCGGGAATGCGAGGAAGTAAGGAAATGGTCTGTCATTGATTTCTAACCCTCCGCGGATTTTAGTGAGGCGGCATGAACTCGCACGAACAATACCCAGTTTGAAATTCTTTCTTCGGCCTCGGAAGTGAATTGAAGTTGTATAGTAACACAGCCGGCCCTGTCTTTTCCGTACAAAATAATCTTGTGCCCAGTGCAAGTTCTTCAAGCTTTCGTCAAGCTCATGGAGCGATGCGGTTGGAAGCTCTTTCTTCCAAGCTCACTTCCTTATTAAGAATTACTTACAGCCAATGAATATAGCCAACCACTTTACGCCTTCCAAGTCGGAATGATTATTATCAGCTCCAACAGCTCGTCGCCCTTTCTAGAGAGATTAACGCCTGCGATTTTCTCGACGAAGGATTCTCTGTGTCTTGCCAACTTCACTCCAACCTCAACTCCATTGGCAACATGACTTTCTACTTTGGGAACCTCACTTATGCTATTACTCCACCGCCCTCCAGAGTTAAGACGCATGCCGAGCTGGCAGGTGAATGGTCGATTCTGGCTCAAAGGCGTGTTCTGTGGTTGCTTCTCCCGCATCGGCCGAACCGAGAGCGCATGATTACATGCGGATATCAGGCTCTACTTTCTAATGTTCCAAGGCAGATTGAATATCTCAATTGTTTCTTATCTAAATGTCCCAAAGTCATGTTGTATATTTTGGGAATTTCCTTTACTTTATTACAAAGACAGAATGCTGAGAAGATTGAAGTATCCAGCTATGAAATTATTATACTAGCCCGCCGAGAACTTCTAAGTTCTGCGGCATTCCAAGCGCCGGAAATCTGGGCCACCAAATCTTTGTGCTGCAATCTATTATACTATCGCTGCTGGAATTCCAAGTTCTGCTGCATTCATTATACTATAACGACCAGAAGTTTCAAGCTCTGCTTAAATTCAACGTAAGGTTACCAAAACCTCAGTACCGTTCAAGCCAGGCATTATTTTATTGCCCAAGAATTCTTAGAGCATTTAACTCTAAGCACTCCAGATTCGCAATGATACTCAATGTCATCTACTTTGCCGCTTTGGACAAATTGCCAGGTTCAATTCCATTTGTACTTGTCAAATCTCGAACATTCAATGCTAACATCAAGGTTCTTCTTCCGCCTGGGAAAACATTCCAGATTTTTGGAGTGACCGATCCGCTTGAATTCATTAGCAAGTGCATGAATTTCCATTCTAGTCGTCCGCGTTATGGCAGCTAGCGGATCATAGCAAGGATTCCGTAGAGGCGTTGAACGGTCTTGTCATACCGAGGCATGCTGCTTGTGTTTCGTGCTTATAACTCTACCATGGTACAATTAACTCTATTCTGATTCACGATATTCAATCACCCCACTCCTACCTCAATGTCCTATATCCATCTCGGGCAATACGCTAACTCAGACTACATTTGTACTCAAAGGAGTCCGATCATTGGACTTCGGCATTAGTGTCCTAGACAGACTTGGATCTTCAACTCCTATTCCCATCTCATGTCTCTTTGACTTAGGTCTAAGTGAAAAGAAGCTATCATTCGGCTTCATCTCAAGCGTGTCTGTTTTGCTCTGAGCTTCTGCTGCTTGTTTCGCCCTTATCTTTCGCCCTTTATCTCTCACCGCCTTGGTTCCATCTAGGACTATAGTCAAGTCGTCTAGTGGTAGCATTGGCAACTTACCATACAGTTTCCAGGCGTATCCAGACACCTCTGAGAGCACTAGTCTTCCCGCAAAAACCTCTTCAATTTCTCGCGTTGCGTTCTCATCAACCTGTTGAGAACGCCCTGATTTCTGCTGTTGTGGTCTTTTCCAGACTTCTGATCTTGGTCTTCCAACACAGCACGGATTTGACTTGTGTAATCAACCCATCATTCCATTTCCGTCTGACTTCAACATGATCCGTCCCTTTGGCTTCCGTCCATACATCACAATGCGAAACCTGCAAACAACTCCTGAGATGGATATGTTTACCAGCCCGCGATCACCCCTCGCCAAGAGGCTTCTAGTAAGTCATTCTCTTGCAATTTCGAGTACAATCTCACGAATATATCAGCTCAACCGGGCCTTATCTAATTGTATTGCTGCAAGGTCTGTAGTCCATCTGGGCGATACTTCGCATCCTCACTGAGTGCGCCAAATTATTATGCACTGTCACCGTCTAAATCTGCCCCGCTTACCGACAACAAGAAAACCCAGGTAGCCATGATTTCCTTTGGCCGCTGTTTAACGCGGGGCAAACAAATAACATTTTGGTGATAAGAAGCTGTCGATTGAGTGACATCCCAAAATTGCAAAGCTGTGCCGGCTTCTGCTTTGATCCTTGACGCAAAATGTGGCTTGAGTCGCTCCCATCCTCCTCTCTTTGTCTTTAGATGCCAAGAAGGTGTCAATTGAGCGTCATCTCAAGTTACAAAGCTACATTGACTTCGCTCTGATCTTTCATAATAAGTGCTACTGGCTTCGTTCCCATCTTTCTCCTTAACTTCAGGTAAATTGAATGTTGTCTAAAGTCTACGGAGCCTCCTCGGTTTTCATTTTTCCTAGTTTGATATCATTGTCCTATACCTACGATCCAAATGTCATTGTTCTCGTAGTATTTGGCACAATTTCACTTCATTGTCTTTATTGCGCTAGTCAATTAGCGTCTTATATAGATATTTGACGATCTTTCAACATCTTCGTCCTCTATAAACACTCTCAGACAAAATGGCCTTCTACTTCGCCCTCCCTTCGGATGAAAGCCAGCATTTGGCTGGCTTTTCAGCCTTTGAAAGGCAGGTCTTTTCAGACCTTGTTCATACCCTTCGTCTGGGTGTGCATCTCCACCAAAAGGTGGACGGCTCCGCCTCGGAGCTTGACGAGACGGTGGAGGGGCATGCTTTGGCCCAGAAATAGTAAGTAGCACTCTTTCCTGAAGTCAATACGGTTTTCCCCAAGGAATGAGAGTAACATAACACGATAAACACAATGACTTCCTTTATTCTGCTCGTATCTTTTGTTTGACTTCAGATAACGCTCACTTTGGTGACTGAGTGTTATTTGATGTTGCTTAGAGAGACGGCTCCGCTTCGCTCTGATAGTTTGGAGCGAAAGCACACAACTCGATAAATACCTCCTCCTATCTTCTTGGCTTCAGAAAAATCTTTGGTGGCAGCTGATCATCATCTGACGTTACATGTCAAGACGGCTCCGCTTCGGCCTGAAAGTTGGGAGCGAAGCAATATGATAACTTCATTTCATCCCATCTTTCAGATGACAAAAGTTGTTGTCTTTGGTTTGTACCATCAGACCGAAGGAACTTATCATGTTATTACATCAGTTTCGCTCCCAACTATTAGACCGAGGGAACTTATGGTGGCTGTTGTGTGCAATGTTCGGACCGAAGCCGCTCTACTTTGCAGCTTCAGATGATGCCCAAACAATAACGTCTCCTCATCTGAAAGATGGAAGTGAAGCCAGCTTGGGTTTATATAATGTCTTCATTGTTATTATTATACTCTATACAAAGGCTAACGTTCTTTATAGCATTGCAACCGCCCTGGCAAGCGACTTTACCGCCGACAAGTTTTTCCCACTGCGCCTAACCGGAGCCTCGATGAGGCAAATCATTCAAATTCTTCCAATTCAAAGCAGTACAACGGCCCTCGACGTATTCCAACTCGCCATCTTTCGCGTTTTTGGATTCGGCGATAAAGCACACCTCACAGCCCTGACATTGCCACAAAGCACATCTCCCAACTTCAATTCTCTCGCAACCACAATAACCGCCTGGGGCGGCCCCTCGAACATCGCACTACCCGTCTATGGCAACTTCCAAGTAGTCAAGTCGAAGGTTCCCACCATGCTCACGCTCCTCTGGGAGTTCTCTCAAGCCCTTCATAACGACTACACTACTCAGAAGACTACGGGTGCTGCGCTGACCTTCGCCTCCGTCTATAAGAGTCTCGCCGACAAGAGAATCCCGTCCCTCCCTTCCGGCGGAATCATCCCCTGGGTTCTCGTTTCCGATTTCGTCGAGTACGGCATCTGCCTCTCTCCCACCGCGCAAGACCTCGCTGAACACATCATGCCTTCCTCAAAATCATCTAAAGGGTCACCGTCAGGGCCAACAGCTGGACTGAAGCACGCAGCCGATATTTCGAAGGAGGAGATGCCTAAGGATGCTGCTGCCCTGGCTGGAGTTTTGAGGAAGGTTATGCAGGTGCTGATGAAGCCAGGAAAGGAGATGAAGACAGTTATGAAGTTGGTTGGGGCGTGTGAGGAGGCGCAGGGTAGGAAGGTTAATGTCGTTGATGTTGAGCATGCTCTTTGCAAAGTTTCGAGGCAGCTTGGTATGGCGAAAAAGGTTAAAGGTTGAGCTGCTGATGCTGATGGGGTGAGAGGACAATGGCACGTTGTACTCGACTTATTCGAAACAATCACAACGAAATGTTGTTGCAATACTCAAACATGATTCTCACATATCCAATGTCCCCATTCAAAGTCGTGCAAACATTTGCAACCAATGACTTTCAATGTGTGCGGAAGTCTTGGGACACGTGTACAGGAAACAATGTAAAATCCCCCACCTTCACTTGGAACATTCGGAGGAGAGGCTCTTGAAATGTACAGCTTGACTTTGGTTCAATGGGGATTCAAAGCGAAGGTGTAATTGCGAAGAATTAAGCGAGCTGAAAAAGGGGCTCGCCTAAAGGTGGGGGGATATTCGAGAACTGAGGGGAAGTTGGAGGTAGTATAGAGCACAGGAAGCACAGGAGATCCCTTTGTCTTTCACAAATCTGCAAAGACGAAGGACCCAGCGTGCCCAATCAGAAAATAGTGGCAGAAAGAAATGATTGAGGGGTTAACTCAGCCGAGGACAACCGCACCAAATGCTTTTGAAATTACACTGCACTCGGAGCGAGAGTTGGCCGCATTCGAAGTCCACCAAGCCCTTGGTATCTGCAAAGCCGAACGCCACAGGGTTCAAGAATGGCACGATCAAATGCTGCCTTCTCCATTGAGACCGGAAGGCTGGGAGCCAGGGGAGTGGCTGGGCAGCACGTGACTATTCATCAGCACCAGAGACGGAAGAGAAGCCTCCAGGCCAATCCATCTCAGGCTTCCTCTTCCAGAAGACCCGAGGAAGCGTCACTGGCTTGCGGGGCTGGACTCGTCCCCGAGCCATGGCTTCCTCGCCGCAGGACGATTGGCCCGCAAAGCTGGTCGTCGGGTAGGCCGCTGTGAAGCGTCGTTCTACTGTTCTGGAAGGGGAAGGTGGTGGTCTTCGTGTTATGTTATCTCTTGGCGCAAGAGCTTATCCGGACATCTTGGCAGCGGCGGCCGCGCAAAAGGGGGAAGAAGGGAATGGCTTGCAGATGATCCTGCAAGCGAATCGTGAGCCGCACCGCCTCGAGCGGCGAGCGAGCGGGGGCAGCAGAATTCAACCTTCAAAGATCGCATCCGAGTGGTGCACAGGTGTTGGGCCTTGCGACGATTCAACGCGCCCCAGACATTTTACCTAACGAATGTCCTAGCCTCGATTTGCTATTTCGGTTGTGCTTTGTCGAATTGTTGCCACCCTCCAAATGCTCCTGGGAAGTTTCGAAGTTCGGAGTCTCCATGCCAAGACAAAAGAGTGGCCCAAGTGGTTATTAGGAAACCTTCCGCGGCAGATCTCCCTCCCCATGCACATTGTTGATTCTTTGTCTTCAGCGTCTCCTCCTCAGCTCTCTCTTAGCGTATCCATATCTATATATTTGCGCTCGAAGGCGAGGATGCGGCATGCTTGTGTCTTCGTTGGCTCTCAGCTCTCAAGCTTCTCCTTCTGCGCCACCTGTCCATCAAGCCCCCAGCCGTCTTCTTGTACATCCTCGGGGCATTCCTAGTTGGGCACTCCTGCGACGTCCTCACGTCGACGGCGTCTTGGCGGGCGCAGACCCTGCTTGGTAGTGCTTGGCAGCGCCTGCATCAAGGTTCATCGATCAAGTTGTCGACGCCTTTGCCTTCGATAACCACGACTTACGACACCGTATCCAGAGACGTAGATTTGGGCCTGGATGGGCATGTATGCTTGCAGTTCTTTTCTTGACGCTCACGCTTCTTATCGAACGATAGCAACGTCCACGTTACTCTGGGAGCTTGGCATATATAGGCAAGATAAGTTCAAAATGCACCGCGATCTCCTGTCAAATCACGACGGCCAACGTTATCCACCTGATCTCGAAGCACCACTGAGTGATACAGACCTTCCATTTGCAGCAGGGTTCAGAATCCACTAATTTTCCGTATCCCTTGGCCTGGTAACCTGGTTACTTCGTAATCCAAAGACGAGGCTGGAGAGCGTGGATACTGCCGCACAGATCAGAACTAGCTAGTTTGATGCACCCCTGTTTTCCCACACCACATTCACGTTAGATACAGAACTATCCATACACCAATTAGACTCGCGGATTCCTGGTGATAAACGTTGCCAAGAAAGCTTCCACAACAGGAAGGTCTTGAATGCTTTGCTCCCATGTCTGGAAGAGCCCCTGTGGGCAAAGTAGTTATAATAGCTTGGATCCCCTCTCATTTTGATGTCAAGCATCTCCATTTCTGATTCCAAGGCTCGTTCTTGCTTTCACAATTATGTGTATGTTACCCCTCTTCCTATTTGTTTTCTCTCTTCTACGTGGAAATTGCTAATGTATCATAGCGGAACCAAAGACCGCCGATGCCCAATTTGCCATTGGGGTTGATAACCATCTCTCCATTGATCAAGAGGGTGCCATGGTTCACTCAGATGCAAAGAATGAAGCCGTGATGGAGGCGGTAGACCATTACTATGAGGGAAAACCAACCGACGAGGAACTCTCCACACTTCGCCGCGTCGCTGGTGGCATCCCAATGACCGCCTACGTTTTGTGCTTCGTTGAGTTCTGCGAACGAGGATCTTACTACAGTGCAACTGGTGTCATTTCTAATTTTGTCAATCGAGTATGTCCCTCAAGAATCCAGAGCAGGGAGTGTTCAAGTTTACTAACCCTCAACAGAAACTTCCAGTTGGCGGAAATGGGTATGGCGCGCCGGCCCGTGGAACCCAGCAAACCGCTGGGGCTCTGGGGTTGGGCACGGTAAAGGCCACTGCTGTATCCCAATCATTTAAGATGCTGGTGTATTGTCTGCCCGTCATCTTCGGATATCTTGCCGATACTTACACCGGACGTTACAAAATGATTTGCTGGGGTGTCGCCGTTTGCGGTCTTGCTCACGTCCTCATGATCGCTGCTGGGGCTCCTGGACTCTTAGCGAATGGCACAGCAGCTGCCCCATACATGATTTCACTTTACGTTCTTGCCATCGGTGCAGGTAAGGAATTCATTTCTCCTCAGCGCGCAACTTGCTAATACGTACCAGCCATGTTCAAGCCCAATGTGTCACCCACCCTTCTTGATCAGATCAAAGAGACGAAGCCCACCGTCGAGACTCTTGACGATGGAGAGAAGGTCATTGTTGATCCAGAAGCAACTACTGAGCGTGTTGTCTTGTGGTTCTATCTGCTGATCAATGTTGGTGGCTTCCTCGCGGTCCCGTCCACCTATCTCGAGAAATACGTTGGCTGGATGGTTACTTTCACTCTGCCTTTAGCTATCTACCTTCCGCTTCCTCTCGTGCTCTGGTGGTTGCACAAGAGACTTACCGTAAGCTAATGTCACGATTCGCTTCATACGTTCTTAGTGCTGACTAAATCGCAGCTTTACCCACCAGGAGGAAGCGATCTGTACAACTGCTTCAAAGTCCTCGGCATTTGCCTGAAGAGGGGGTTCTTCAAGATCGGTCGGCACGGATTCTGGGAATCTGCCAAGCCAAGTGTTATCGCTGCAAGTGGCGGCAACATGCAAGTACCGTGGAACGACCAATTCGTCGAAGATGTCAGGAGAACGTTCCAAGCGTAATACCTCTCTATCTTTCGAGTAAGTGTTGAATTAACTCGCGAGTAGTACCGGCATGTTCTGCTTCTTCCCGATCCAGTATATCAACGACAACGGCCTTGGTATTGCCACTGATGCTCTTTCGACAATGTTCATTACGAATGGTGTTCCCAACGATCTCCTGTACAACTTCAACTCGCTCTCAATCATCGTCATGGCCCCTGTTCTCAACTATGGTCTATACCCACTCCTCCGTAAGTATCACATCAAATTCGGCCCGGTCGCACGTATCACATTCGGTCTGTTCCTCTCAGCCTGCGGTGGTATCGGCTACACAGTCCTCAACTACTACGCCTACAAGCTCGGCCCCTGTGGCGACCACGGCTCCAGCGCCTCTTGTGTTGATTCTGAAGGCGTCTCACTCGTCGCCCCAATCTCTATTTGGTGGCTCGCACTCCCCTTCTCCATCGGCGGCATCTCCGAGCTCTTCGTCAACGTACCCGCCTACGGAATCGCCTACTCGCGGGCTCCCAAGAACATGCGTGGTCTCGTCACAGCCCTCAACCTCTTCAACACCGGCATCGCCTACGCCCTTGGCCTCGCATTCGCTGGTCTCGTCACGGACCCTTATCTTACCTGGGTCTTTGGCGGCCCTACTATCGTTGGATTCGTGATGTCCGGGCTGTTCTGGTATCTGTTTAAGCATATCGATGAGGAGGAGTACCTGTTGAGCACGAATGATGATTACCACCTTGAGCACCAAACGAGCACTAGCTCTATTGCTCCTGAGCCGTATAATGAGAAATCTCTCATTGACAATGAGACAAAGGTCTGAGTTATATACCCGTTGTAAATAAGAGGGGGCTGTAGGCTAGAGAGGAGGATCTTTGTTACAGATTCTAAATAGGGTTTGAAGGATAATGATTCAATTGAAAGCAAAGGGACCATATGAAGGGGACTGATTTCACAGGAGACGAAACAAAGCTCAATGTCCCAGATTGATTCACTTGAACCTACCCTCTTTGAGCCCACCTTTCCACCTGTCTTGCCCAGATTGTCTGCTCTCCTGAGCATCAGCTGGAAGTCTCAATCTCGACCGTACAACATGTTGAAGGGTGAGCTGCCGTTTATGTTTTAACTTCCGTCCACAACCCAATTACCGTTCGTAGAGCCTCCTTTACTTCCGCTTTTCCCGCCTTTCGTTCTTGGTTTCGCTTTCCAACTCTCGAGTTGGGCCTCTAGTATGCGAATCTACTCTCTCATATCACCCTTGATCGACTTGTATCAATGGTTGTTGCAATCTTGTTCAAGCGCTGCAAGGTCATTGTAATTCTAAGAGGCGATCCGGGAAAACCCTTTCAGGCGGCGGCCCTGGAAGCATTCGCCTGCAAGCGAGGAAAGGGGAGGGGGGTGGCGTTCAACCCCGAAATAGCTAGTTGCGCCTGCTGTCAATGTATTCTCGATGCACTCTCGGCCTCAGCCTTGCCATATTATTGATGAACATCTCAAGTTTGAATGCCCTCTAAAAGCACAACACGTTCGTCGCTTCCACCCAGCTACCTATGGGTTAAAGAATACGAGAGGCAGACTATTCAGCAACCTCCCTCTTCGACAAGGCGCAAGGCTGCTCGCTGCTTGCCCTCCAGCTTCACCTGGCAGGTGGATACTCTTTGAGTTTTGACACGAGAAGTGACTGTGAGTAACGGGGACTGGAGTGTGGGACTTTGAATATATATGCCATTTACGTTTTGATTGAACATAAGATGGATAGTCCTGTTGCTGTGGAATCATCACGTCTTGAGACGTCTGGTGCTTTGGCGCCGGAGAGTGAGACTGGTGGGAGGGTTGAGAATTCAACAAGTTCGAAGGCTGACAGTCGGTCAGATCTGGTGGATGAAGAAGTCCGGCTTCCTTAGACGCGGAGTTGCAAGTGAGGCATGGCAGCCCACAGCACTCGTACCAACTTCCGTTCCTCGCCCTATATCAAGATCAAAATCATTGCTAGCACCGAGCGTAGCTTCTCCAACTGAAGTAGCCCACAGACCATCTCTAGAGAGTATCTCTCACCACGCTGACACAGCGCCAGCTAGTCCACAATTAATTCCACTATCCAAATCGCAAAATCCTCCGTTAGGTTCACCACTATCAGGGGCGCTAATCACCGTTGGAAAAAGCCTCGAGGCTACTCAGATTACGGAGTCCTACGAAAAAATAATGACAATCGCAGATGAAATTTTCGACCACTTAAAGAACGACTGTATTCGCGAGCCTATTTGATGAGCCCGTGGCATCATAAGTGTACTGGATTACGGGCCTCCCAAACACCGCCAGCTACTCGAGTTTGTCAGAGAAACTTCTTCGCCACATTATGCCGAAGGAGTTCTTCAAAACATTCCCGAAAATGTCACGCAGCGCTTGATAATCACCCTTCTTGTTGCCAATTTTGGGGTCACCCCGGAGTTTTTTTGAAGATCATTTGATAAACTCTGGCTATGGCGGTGCACGGTATAACAATGCCAACCCAGGATTATGGAAGACATTGGGCACGAAGAAATCCTACGTTTGAATGAAGTGGTACCGACCAGCTTGGAGATTGCCCGTCGCTCCATCTTCCATGCAAGATTTGGAAGGTGAGTTGAACCCGGAAGTTGGTCGTTTGGATTACCTTCGCAGAAGATCGAACGAGTTGAGAAGACTTGAAATAAATACAAACATCTTTCCATCGGAATGGGACCTCTGGACTGATCTAAGAACAACTACTCGTCAGAAGCGACTTTACCTGGTGGGAAGAGCGAGCTTCGATCTGGTCGGGCAAAGCCCTTGACAGCAATTGTGAGCTCGATAACCTGTCCATTGGCCTTACTTCCCTTTGCGGTACCCGTGTCTGACCTTTCAAAGTCATTCTGTTGCTGGATCCATTGCCAACTTTGAAGAATTCATTTGTTCGAACTGTACTTCAATCTCGACTACCACCCAGTAGTCAACGTTCTCCTTTGGATGATGTTCCAGAGTTACAAAACTCTGATGGCAGTCGCTCATATGTCGACCCAGAAAGTGTCCAAAGCGGATTTTCCAGTGGTTCCCCTTCCTCGAATTCCGCCTCTCTGGTCTCTAGGGCTTGGTTACAAAGGAGCACATGATATCGAACAACTCGAATCAGCCTCTTTGAAAGGGGAGGCTGGGCCTGTTGGAGGTTGTTGAGTATTGGCAGGCATGTGAAAACAGACTAAGATGTAACCTATCAAGTTAGAATGGAAATGGAAAGCCAAGTTTATTACCTCGATATCAGCAAAAGCCTGATACGGGCAGCAACAAAGGGATTATCGTTCATTTGCATTCAGGCTCGAAGAGGCGTAGGCCTCATGTCCTCGAACGTTCCTCGCAGAGTAGAACAAATGGCCTTTTGAGACCTTGGATTCTAGAAGAGCTAGCGAGTCTATTGAACGTGCTTCTAAGCCTTGTATCTCAATCTTGATACCCCTCAAGCTCTGGTGCATTCCAACTATTGCTCATTAGCACACTGCACATGCCATGACCTCAGACTGCATACTCACTTCAGAAACTTACCACTCAACTCCCTCCCCGCCCGCACCGCCAACCGCCCCATCACATTCCCCGGCTGCTCCGGCCTCAACAACTTTCCCTCCTCAAACAGCGTCCTGAACTTGTCTGCATCCTTCTCATCCATCAGGCTCTTATGCCCTCTCACTTCAACCTGCATCTCCGTATCTACAACCCCGGGTCTGAGAGAAATCGTCACAATGTCAGGCTCTTCAGATACTAACGTCATAGCTAGATGGTGTAGTGCTGCTTTTGAGGAGCCGTAGGCGCCCCAGGTGGAGTATGCGGTTGTTGCTGCGCCGGAGGAGGTGAGGATTATGCGACCGTGAGATTGTCTGAGGGAAGGGAGTGCTGGTTTGATCTGGATGGTTTAGTGTGAGAGGATAAGGGCAGAGGGAGACGTACGAATGCAACAGCACTGAAGAAGTTCACGTCGTAAGCTGCTCGCCATTCTTTTGGGTCGCAGTTTGCGATTCGGGTTACTGGACTTAGGGTTCCGTGGTTTATGATGAGAGCGTCGATGCGGGAGAAGGCTTTGAGAGCGAGAGATACTACTCTTGGTCCAACCTGTGGAGTCGAGTGAGTAATGGGATATTTGAATACACAGCTGCAAGAAGGAAACAGTGGTACTGAAACCCTCATCCGGACAATGACTACATTACTTGCAAAACTTCGAGCTCGAGGATAAAGTTCACAAAAGAGGATGCGACAAGGAGATAATTGAGAGATCGACAACTTCGGTGACCCAAGTCTGAACAGTTGAAGCAGTAACGGATTAGCTCTCGAATTTCAGACGATCTCACTCTTTGTGACATTCTTCAAGATGTCCCAGTACAAAATATAAGGACTGAAGCCACAGACAACTCACAAACTCACCTCAAAATCACTCAAATCAGCCGTCAGAAACTCAACCTGCCTCTCAAATTCCCCCTTCAACTTCTGTAATGGCTCCTCACTCCTCGCAACCAGAAACATCCTATGTCCCTCCTTCAAAAGAAACCTCGCGATCGCGAGACCAATGCCTCGACTCGCGCCTGTGAGTATGATGCTTTTCGGCTCCGACATCGTGAAGCTATTCAAGTTGTCGGGTGAAGAGAATGATGCCGAAGATCGACAAAGACAGGACAGGAGGTTCGAGAATTTTGTGGAGAAGAAAAGCTACCCCTGTTCGTGAGGTCCCCACTTCACGTCATTACCCCTCGCTTTCCTTCCCCCCTACAAACAAAAAACAACACTCACTCCACTTCACAAATGTCTAACTCAAGACAATATCCCTGAAATGGCCACGCCCCAAACCTCAATCCTAGGAACCGGTATAATCGGCCTCTCAACCGCTTATTTTCTCTCCGCTGCCCCCACCACACCTCCCTCCTCAATTCACCTCATCGAGCCCTCCCCTATTCTGTTCGCCTCAGCTTCCGGCTTCGCAGGTGGATTTCTGGCTTCCAATTGGGTTGCCTCCGAATGCGAAGAACTTGGGAAATTGAGTTTTAGGTTGCATAAGGAACTTGCGGAGAAGGAAGGGGGGATGGGGGCTTGGGGGTATGAGAGGAGTAGAGGGGTGAGTTATAGTGCCGGGAGAGGGTGGAAGGGGAAGGGGAAGAACGAGAGGGGAGAGGATTGGTTGAAGCAAGAGGGTAGCAGAGGGGATGTGGTTGGTGTTAGTGAGGTTTTTGGTGATGGTCCGGCTTGGTTAGAAAGAAGTGACGGTGATAGCATGGAGGTTATTGGGGAGGAGGGGACTTTGGCTCAAATGTACGCAATCTCACTCGTACATTCATCAAGATTCAAGAAGCAGCTAGCTAATGAGATCAGAGATCCCTTACGGCTCTGCAAGTTCCTCCTACAAGCCTGTCTCTCCCGCGGCGTCCAGCTGCACCACCCAGCACGAGCACTCTCCGTAGGAAAAGACATGCACGATGAACTGTCCAGCATCAGAATCTTGAATACCTCCACCAACGCCGTTTCCGAAATCCCTTGCACACGCCTCTTAATTTCAGCAGGCGCGTGGTCGCCACAAGTCTTCTCTACCTTATTCCCGAACTCAAACCTCAAGCTTGCGATTTCAAGTCTCGCAGGCCATTCCTTGGTAGTGAGATCCCCGAGATGGGGAAAGGAACAGGAGGGAAAGGGGTGCCATGCTGTATTCACTACTGATGAGGCGGGGTATTCGCCTGAGATATTCTCGAGGATTGGGGGGGAGATTTATATCGCTGGGTTGAACTCCGTCTCTCTGCCTTTGCCTGAACTTGCAACGGAATCACGGATTGATGAAAGCTCTATAGCAAAGCTGAAGATGACTGCGGAGAGGCTTTTGGGAGAAGAGGATCTTGAGGTTGTGAGGAAAGGGTTGTGTTTTCGTCCCGTTACAAAGAGGGGGACGCTGATCTTGGCGAGGATTGATGAGAGGTTGGGAAGCGTGGGGACGAGGGGTACAAGAGAGGGAGGTGTTTTCATTGCCGCTGGTCACGGCCCTTGGGGAATTGCTTTATCACTGGGTACCGGGAAGGTTATGAGTGAGATGATTGAGGGCAAAGAGACCAGTGCTGATGTTCGTAAGCTTGGACTGTGATGCAGAGGCGAGAAAGTAGTGACGGCTTTGACTGTACTCCAACACATAGAATGTGGGTAAATTGGCTCTATCAAATTGTTGATATTGTAAATATATTGCCATATGAGTTCGGACGTCCTAAAAATTCAAGGTTGCACCAACACTCCGAATGGTCTCGATTCCTTTCAGGCCGTCTTTAAGTGTCCGAACTGAGAGAATTGCGATGCTCGAATCATGTTCTTTTTGATCCTTCCCAATTATCGTTTAACTGGGTTCGATTTTCAGGATTTGTTGTACTGTTGAATGTCTGGATGACCTTTCAGGCCGGCAATATTAGCATGGCTCTTTTGCGAGTATGTCCAATGCGACAAAATTAGAAATGGAAAGCGCCAATCAGACATCCAAGGAAGAATAAACTTTCATCTGTCCCGAAATTAGGTTCTCTTGGGACTCAAGAGAAAACTGCGAATGTGGTATGTGTTTCATCATAAAGGCTTGGGGCAGAACAAAAAGGAATCAGGTGAGGGCTTACCTTGTGCATATGGAAGCCTCTAATTACTTGACCACGGAAAATATCTTGATTCCCAACCCAACATATTAAGAGGGGCTGTTCCATGTCTCCGGAGACAGCTGGTGGTTGCAATGATATCGATTGCCGTCCCCCAGGTTCGATGTCGGCTATTCACTCATTTCGAAGAAGAAGAAAAATACAAATCGAGACTTCGAAACTATCAGCAAAGTTTCTCTGAATGAATCAATTTGACAAGTAATTTGTTAGGGGCTTCAGTTGAAAGATGAAAAGTCTTGGTTTTTTCAGCATCCGGCACAAGTGCCTTCAGCATTAGCATGGAAAAATTACATCATAAGCAAAACAAAAGTAAAACCATCTTCCACATACCTATTAGCACCATTGATCCCGCAATATATCATCCTGCAAAGTCCTGCAAGTATTCCAGTCAGCCATTTGTCTAAGAAAGGTGGCTGGATCCAAAATCTCCTGCTCCACGATGTCATATCAGGTAATCGAACCAGTTTGCTCGTCATTATTGATCTGCATTTGATAGTACTTGTGTTGCTCATCATTGAATGTCGTGCTCGGAGTATGAATGTAGGAAGTTGTGCGACTCACAGCAATCTACCCATGCTTGAGGAGGGTCAGCTTGCTTCTCGAACGGAGCGTGAAGAGGAGAGCGGAGGGATTAGAGATATCAGATAGTCCGTTTGGTTAAGACAGGTAAGTCACCATGGGAGCCGAAGCTCATTGGTAAGATAGGGGCGACACGAAAGTTCATCATGGTAGCTGTGCTGGCGGGATAGGAAGAAAGAGCAAACTCACCAAAAGTGTGCCAAACTGGGGATGTGCGATTAGTGGAAGAGAAGTACGGGTTAGTCGAGAAGCAAATGGAGTTTTTGCGGTGCATGGAATGTTGGCTGTACCGCTGTGCATTGCACTGCGTCGTGATGTGAGGAAGATCTCAATTGGAGCTGTCGAAGATTTGAGGCTGCGAAATTTAAAAAGAAAATCGAGCTAGCGTTCGAGTCCCGTGACCCAGCCGAGAAACCATTAGAACAATGTAGATTTTGACTACCGAGACCCCTGAGACCTTGTAATCTATTTTGAAAGCCTCTCGGAGATTTTGAATGCATTGTCTTCCAGTTTGGTGCGAAATGTCAAAGCAGGAACGTGTCCATGCTTACAAAATCAGCCACATTTTATGGATAAATCCGTATTCGGTAGAGATGACCCCCATTCCCCTCCTCTTGTGGGGGTCATAAGGGGCCCAACCGAGCATCACCAACGTCCATTGTCGATGTCACAAGTAGACAGACGGCAAAGGTCAGGCGTTCGTTATGGAGGAAATAATCTTTGTAAATCTAAAGATAGCAACTATTCCATAGATGCCGAGAACGCCCATTGTGCTCGATATGCCAAGCAATATCATCCCACCGAAATCATTATGCGTATCGTTTGCAAAGCGCTAAACCCCCCAAAGAATGCCGATGCCGAAGAGACGAATGTTGAGACGCCTTTTCCACCCCTCTTTCATGTGCCATACCGTGTATTCCATTCCATGCTCCAGTGTGCTTGCTGCCACAATCGTACATTCGACCGCATAGATTTTTCAAGCCTGCCAGCTTGCGCTCTCCGATATTCTTTAAAGTTACGCCAAACGGAAATGACAGCAGAACACGCCGGATGATGAAGAGAAACAGACAACGCAAAGAACACCGAAACATGCCTTTCACCCTTGCCAGATCCTACTTCAACTCCGCCAATTGCTAAAACGCGTAGGGGGAATCTCATGATCATGAATACCACGCTACAAGCATGTAAAATGCGAAATGCAATCCGATGCAGCAACACCGACTCCTCCCGATGAACCCTAGATGAATGAAAAGGGGGAAAAAGAAAAAAAGTAAATGCCGTATACAATGGTGCCAACGTGAGAGAGGGTGATGGAATCAAAAACCACAAATATAGCCGTACGCCTAGCCGACGATGTAACGTTCGCAAAGAATCTACCTGCCCATCATATACGCTGGTGGGAATCCGTTGTTTCCGCCATTCAGCATTGATACGGGGTTTCCAGCTGTCAAGGCACCAGCAAAGGCAGGGCCATTCCAACCATTGCCGTTTCCAGCGAATGAAGCAGCTGTATATTGAGTGGCAGAAGGGCTCATAGCACCAGTATACCCCATTCTATTCGGACCAAGTCCTGGTGGTGCGGAGAGCCCGGGTGGGGGTCCGCTAGCAGTACTGAACGTTGAAGCAGCACCCCCTAACATTGCTCCATTCATGCCCTGCATGACGCCTGGGACATTTTGAGGTCCGGGTGATGACATTCCTTGTCCGGACCGTACACCAAGTGGATTTTTGGAAAAACTTAGACGTATTCCTCCTTTAATGCTGTTGTGAAGAGGATGCCCATACAACTCATGAAGTGCTTTTGTTGCAAATGATACATCTTCAAACTCCACAAAACACATCGGGCCATTCTGCTTCGTTCTAAAACAAAGGCGCTTGTAACCACGTTGCTTCGAAAACATCGCTTTGAGCTCGTCCTCCGAGGTATCGATTGGAAGATTGCCGACGTAAAGCGTATTGCAAGGAGGGTTCTGGTCAGCAGGATTGACTGGGGGAAAATTGTGACGCTGGTAGTGCTGGCTCCCGAGCTGATAATTGACAGGCGGTCCACCATTTGTCAATGTCGGTGACATCGGATTCGCATGTGACATGGACGTCAAGGCCGTTGGAGTGGCAAAAGAATTGAGAGATGCTGGACCGGCAGCACTGTTTGTATTGAGAGACAGACCCGCCATCCGTGAGATGGGGATCTGGGGATTGGTCGGTCTACGTGCTTGGGCAGATGGGCCATTTTCAGCATAAGCGACAGGGTCCTTTAGGAGTTCGCCAGTTTCGTCGTCGTCAACGGAATCGTTGATTACCGATTTCCCAGTGATTCTTGTGCGCTCATTCAAGTGATTTCCAATGGGGGACTGCGGAGAGAACAAACTTTGGTAATGTGCACTGACTTCTGGGTTGGGCAGTTCGTTACTCGCGTAAGACCCATTATTCGTCGGAGACACCCTTTGTCCAGTTTGGAAGCTGCCGTTGAACCTTGACGATTGACGAGGAGTTGGTCCTCCAGATGAGGCTGTTGATGAAGTCGAACTCGACGGTCCAGGATTCGCGGTATTATCAAGAGTGTACCGTCGAGAGGCGGTAGGACTACCATAAAAGATTTCCACAATCATTTGGGCGTCGTTCGCAACATTTGTCTTTCCATCAAGCATATTCTTCGCCTCTAGAGCGCCTGGATGGGACTTGAAGCGGAGAATGGCGGAACGAAATCCAGGGTCTTCGGACTTCTCGGGTGACAACACCTCTGCGTCAATGAAATCCTTCGACCAGACTACCATCAACCTCAATGTATCTTCGGTGGTATTCGCAGGCAGTCGTCGAATGAGGATTGAACATGGTCCGGTAGTGAATGCGCCTGCTTGCGCTTGTGGGGTGCTGGATCCACTCTCGCTCGAGAAGGCATTCATGGTAGTCATTGAGAGTGACTGGTATGCTTGTTGAGCACCATTGGCGGGACGAAAGGCCTGGCCGGGTTGGGAGAATACAGGAGGGTTCATGGCATGCTGCGGTGTAAAGAAACTTGCGCGATCATCCAACGCCGCGATGTGATGATGCTGGGAAATTGATGCTGCTGTGTATGCGCTAAAAGGATTTTGGACCAGGCTCATGCCTGGGTTGTGCAAAGCTTTTGGACGAGTTTGCGACAGTGGCGTCGATGATCGAGTCTTCGGGTGCACCTCGAAGTGTTCGGCAGGACGTGGTGACGAGGATGAGTAGTTCGGAGGATGAATCGTCAGTATCAGATAAAGCGCAGGATGGGCGTTGGAAGAGTACGATAAGCCCTTGCGCGAATGAAAGATTATGCTGGAGACGGCGTTGGTGGATTACGGGAAGTCTATTGCAAACACCCGTGAAAGGTGAGTTGTCAAATTCGTCGAATCCAGCGTCCAGGTACTGCTGAAAGACCGTGCGACCCGCGTCGACCTCAATGGTGGGATTTTGGAGTTGAAGGGAGGAGCTGCACTCGGTCGCAAGCTGTGCGTCTGGTCCGTTCCGTTCGGGAGGGGGGAAGCGGGGACGTGGACTCGGGGCGACTCGAGATGCTGTCGACGTGAGGATATATTCCAAGGAGTGTCGGGAAGAGGTCTTGCACCGGGAGTGCAGGAGGACTGGCTCTCTCGGAGGGTTTTCTTGAGATGGAACAGGTGGGTGAATAATGATGGGGGGGGACTGTACTGGTCCCATCGATGCGTTGAAAGGAAGCACGGGGCGCGCGCGCTGATTGGCTGGGGCGCTCGATTAAGAGTGATAAACTGATGGGGCTAGCGCCACGCTAATTGCACTTGCGCTCTAGCTGCAGCAAGGCGGAACAGAGCTCTGAGCAGTATCAGGATCCCTGGACTACTGCTGGAGCCCTGGCGCCCTGGAGGCTGGATGGAGGTGGTCTCGCGGGTGGTGTGGTGTGGTGGAGCCGGACGAGAGCAGCACGGCCGGGGGATGCGCTGCCAGAGCCAGAGCCAGCGCCAGCGCCAGAGCCAGACTCCAGAGCCACGCCAGTGCCAGTGTCGGCGCATGCCAGGAGGGAGGGGAGCGGGCAGGGAGCCGTCGACGGTCGACGGGGATGGCACGCTGGGTGGGGCCTTGGGGACCTTGGGACGCAGCAGCGTGCAATCGGCAGGGAGCCTCCAACGCGCTCCGCAGCGATGATCACTCTGTCCAGACTCCAGAACATGCGAACCCTCATTCGGGATCGAGGCGATGCCACCACGATGCCCCTCCAGCACGATAGCACGATGCCCTCCAGAGTGCCATGTGCACGCCCCGAGAATCTGTGCCCCAGTGGGGAAGGGAAGGGAAGGGAAGGGAAGGCAAAGATCGTGCAAGCGGAAAGAAACGAACAACCTCGATTCGGCATCTGACAAAGCCCCCAAACCCGAAGCCGTCTTTCTGTCGCTCTGTCGCATGCAATCAGGGTGTGCAATCCATGATCCATCCCTTCAACGGTCGGCTCGCGGGAAGGGATTGATAACCATGGCAAAATCTAATTCGCAGCCATCTTGAACTCAAAATGACTTCCCCGGTTTGGCTGGCTTCTTTTACACCTATCTACCTGCTCGGGTCCTGGGAATATTCCGTTTCTGCCAAACCGAGTGCGCCGAGTTGGTTCCTTGGGGGTGGTGCAAAGACGTTGATGGTGGGGTGACTGCTCGGGACTGAGGATTCACGGCTCTGGGAGGCGCCCAGAAGTCAATGTCTCAGCTTTGTTTGGACGGTATTGGCCTCCGGCTTTGCGCTGATTCAACTCTGCCGAGATGGTGGTGAGAATCAGAGACAGGGTTCCGGAGGTGAGATCTCAGTGAGACAATCGAACTACGGAGTATGTTCCCTCGGTGTGCGGGAGGCATGCAGCTGCAGAGGACCCTTTCTTCGATATCTGATAGACAGGAGCCATGTGGATGACTGCTGAGTGCGGACTGCTGCTCCCCAAGAAAAAGAATTGCTCTCCTCGGTTTGCACCCCAGCCGATCTTGGTCGGCTGTGACGAAGGGTGTATGGTTCCTTTTTCGACTTCTCCTCCCCACGAGGTTACACAGCTCCATCAGACGCTTGTACGGTAGACGCTGCACATGAACGCGTGCGCTCGAAGACAAGGGACGCCATTGGTGGACGCGTATCAGGGGAACGGTTAATAGCTTTGTGCCCAAATGGCACCTGAAATTTATCGTAAATAATGCAGGACTCGAGCATGTCTCAGATTAACGCAGATTGGGACCCCCGACATGTCGGGAGAGTGTTCGCATCAATCGGAGCCAAAATCTTCTCGAATGCAGCCGGAGTTGCTTGCGGGACTCGGAGCACATGGCGATCTCAATGCTTGTCGAATCCCCTATGGGAAAGTGACAGCTCGAATGCACAAAGCGACCACGATTCCGATGCTGCGGTGAAGCGCGAGGCGGAATATATGTCCTCTCCTGAAGCACTTCAGAGATGCTCAAAGTGCTTCCCAGTCAAGCTTCGGGGGGGTTCAGCACGCGGCACTAGGAGTTTGTAGCCTGTTGGAGAGTCTGGAGACACTTGATACCGGCGTTGGTAAGCAGCACTCTACGCCTCCGGCCAGTTGAGGAGCGAAGCACCAAGCTTGCTGCTCGGCATGTCAAGAGCTCGAGCTCTGGAGGGTGGCGACTTTTGCAAGGAGCTTTGACGCCTTCGACAAGTTTACCGTCCAGGGTTGCGGTCAAGGGTGCGCAGCGGTCCTTTCATAGGCCGCAGCCCGTGCACACCTTTCCCCTCAACAGGGGCTGCTTCTTGGGTCCAGCTGAGGGTGTGTGGGCTGGTGAGGGGCTTATCCCACGGCCCTGGCACTTCAAGAAATCGCATTCACGCATCTTGACCTGGTGATGGATCGTCGGCGCGAGAACGGGGTAGTTTTTCCGAAGGAAACGCAGATGCTGTCACTGAACTGGCAGTTCCTGCTTGGGATTCTATGGGTCGTTCTAGACGCCCTGACTCGAGGAATTTGACCTTCGTATCTTGGTGGGGTCTAGCATTGCAGACAAAATTACAAGCAGCACTCACTGATTGCTCAACGCTGGAAGGGATGTTTGCTCTCGCGGTCACTAGCCCATCTCGTCTCTCGATGGTTCGATTTCCTGCGTCTAGCAAATGCAGAGCTGCAGCTTCTCCTCTTGTATCAAAATCTCGAAGCCGTTATTCGATGCTCCGGTAGGGAGGTAGTGCGAGGGTTGACCGCGAAGGCCTCAATGCTGGCATAACCGTGGCCGAAAGCCCTTGGTACAACGGCGGGGTGAGATCCTCCAGCGTCCACGTTCCGTTTCGCAAGCTTGGGGAGAAGCAACCATGTTCCCCAGGTCGCAAAACTTGTCAGATGATGACCGACGCTTGCCGGAACCTTCCCGTAAGTTCCTGTCCTCGGGCCTCTCACCAAAAAAGCAAGACAAATCCCAAGCCGGGGACAGAGACAGTTCGTCCACAGCGTTCGAAAAGCCCCGTTAACCAGGTCAGAGGGACATTCGGAACGGCTGGAAATGATGTTCTCCTCCGAGCAATGGCTTCCGTTACACAAGGCTGTGTATATATGCGAGCAGCGGCACTTATAACAGGCCTGGCTTAGCCGTTCTCAAAGTGAACGTGTGCGTTGTCGGTGGCTTTCCACTAAACTTGGTTCTTCTGACCAGGACCCGGATCTCGATTACCATTGACCAACCAGTTGCACTTGTTGCCAACTTGCCATGCACGCCGGCTTCTCTCTCATGCATAGCCGCGAAATGCTTTAGGACGTGCCTTAGCACCACATCGTCGCACGGTGCATCAATTGGCACACGAAACTGCTAGTGCTTATGGGGGTACTCTCAATGCCCCCCAAAGTCCCACACCATCTTGCTGATCAGAGATGAGGCTCTGCATTTTGGGATGTTTTCAGTCATGTGATGTCCTTGTCTCCCTGTTTGGCGGCCTCTCTTGCGAACAATGAAAGTAGCTATGATACGAAATTATTGAAGGCAACTTTACAGAGCTAATGTTCCATAGCTCTGTGACTTGCTGGAGTCAAAAGGTCCTGTGGGGAATTATAATTCTTCGAAGAAGATCGTCGACGTTAGAATGACCCCCATCGATGCCCCTTGGACCCCCACGAACCTTTCGGAAGGCTTTTGAAACGTCAAACACTTCTTCGGGATCGTAGCATCCAGATTTAGAACCCATTACAGCAACCCCTAAATGTTTCAACAGCAGGGGCATAATAAGTGAGGCGTTTGGCGCTTGCGATAGCAGTGACATGCGCCCGCCTCTTTCGCGCACTTATGGGGGAATTTGGGTTACACTTGGTGAATTTTACTGTAATGCTTTTTCCCGCACCTTGTCTCCAAATGAAAATGAGTATTTGGAGTTTAAATATTCTGTGGAGAATTTTTGACTTGTCAAAGAAGATCTTCGACTTCACTTTAACCTACGCGGTGGATGAAACATGCTTGGAGAAATGTTTGAGGATATCAGTTGGTTGAATTTGGATTTGATATTAGGCTTCAATTAACGCCTAGAATCGACCTTTTAGCCTTTTCCGGCCTTTCCGCCCATGGATACCCTGTATAAGTAGATTCAACTTTGCCGTTCAACTGTTTTCTCTATGTCTATTGCCGGTCATTCGTGTCCCTAAAAGTATTCCCTGTATCTCCTATCAAATACATATGCTTTTGTTGAATAATAACTCTTTTAGCGTGGGTCTGCGGAAAGATTAGGGCTCTTGCTTCTGTGACAATTCAAGGTAAGGTCTCAGCATCTTACAACTACAAGATTTGTCACTAGTGGCAATTGATTAATAGAAATATTAGTAGGGAGGTGGGGGTCACGAACTCTCGAACCCCATGACCATCGATCTCGCCACTTCTTGCAACGCTCCAAGGGCACCTCTCTCGATTCTGAGAGTCTGTCCAGCCTGTTCTTGAATGATCTCCCGGGCAAGGCAAATGAAAGGAAGTCGTGGGATTAGAAGTTTGACGGATTTTTGATATCTTCTGATCTCTTGCAGCGCTTTCACTAGAAAAGATGTCAGTAGGTCCTAGAGTGGCCTCAAGGTACCATACTGCCTGGTATCAATCTTCTCTTAGTTTAGAGGAAGCAGGACCCGCAACTTTGGTCTCTTTCTTCTTTACCTTCTTTCCCTTTTTGCTCTTGCTCTTTTGATTTGATCCCACCAGCTTCTTGCCAGCCGGTTTTCTTGAGGGCGATTTTGCTAATCTTCTTCAGCGCTTTTGCAGCAGCAGAATTATTCGCCATTTCGAAGATTATTGCAGTTGCAATTGAGAAGTTTGTTGAGTTTGGGAGGGAAAATTGTCTTGAATGATGCGGTCGAAGGGGGCGAAGTTTTGATCTGTCAATTCATTTTCGATCTGTATTCGGTCTCACTGTTAGAACTGAACAACTAGCAAACCCTCCAAAATTATTTCTCAAATCTGAAAACTGAACGCTCCGCAAAGCTTTTACAGTCCTTTGACCAACAAATCACTTTTGATCATGCGAAACCTTCCTCGCTCTGCCAACTCTCGATTTCAATGTTAGTCACAATGGGTATCAAAGTAAGAAGAATTCGAGAAAGAGTTAGTATTTCACCAAACTCTAATACGAATTCTGCTGATAAAGTAAGGGGTCTTGGTGGTGCTCATAACTTATATTCTACCAAGTTTCCTTCACATTAGAAGTCAACTTTTTGGAGTAAAATTTCCGAATACGGTTCGCTCTTTGAGTTGAAATAGAGTCTCAGAGTATAATGAGACTTCTTCGTTGAAGCTGCACGATGTCTTGCTTTGAAACATACAAACGGCTTATCTCGTGGCATGCCCCCGTTACGCGCAGCTCTTGTTTAGCTGATGATTCAATTTTCCTGAGTTGATCTGCTTAGAAGGTCTACTAATTCGGACTTTCAATTGATAATACACTCTTTTCAAGCTGAAACCCCGAGGTTGCGATTACCTTCGAGGCTTTACAAGTGTATATTTGACATGGGTTCCAAAAGCTTTCTTGAAGAGACTAGGATTCCAAGCATCTAATATGATGCTGTGTGCTTTGGAGCATTCGGCGACGTTCTTCAAAGAATACCTGTATTCCACCTAGAGTGAGGTTCAATGACTTTGCAAGTTTTCAGAAGCTGGGTGTGCCATCATTTCAGACCTCAGTGAGACAATTGGGTCAAGATTACTGCTGATTTGAAGATTGGATGACTCAAAGCACTACAGAAAGAGGGCCATAAACTTCTAGAGGATGGGCGTTTGTATGCATCGCGGGATAGCTGCGAGAGTGAGAACCCTTTTGGAACGGAAGATTGCATTGAGGGGACTATGGATGCAATCGAAATGAAAGGAGCGAGAAATTGCTTGAGCAGAGCTTGTAGTTCAAAAAAGAAAATAGAGAGGTCTTCATCCGCTTGATCACCATTTTTCAACATTTCCATCTTTTTGGTCACAGCCCCGTACTTCTCACTTGCCTTCCCAGTGGGTTCGCTGAAACTTCACGAGCACATCTCTCCAAATGCTATGGCGGCTTTCGCACCACCGCCAACATTACCAGGTCCCCAGTGCGATGCCCTCAAGGAGATTGAGGTTTACCTCCAATACTTCAGGTCTTCTCGCGATTTTGGCAGCGAAGCCTGGCTTGAACTCGAGCTCTCGGATTGACAAACTGTCATCGAGACACTGGTTGAGCAACACCAACAATGTGCAAGAATGCAACAGCCCTGGGCGAACACCATACGCGGTATAATCAATGACACGCTCACGCTCTTCGATTCATATGAGGCGGCAAATGGTCCAATCCGAGAAATCGTTGGGAGTGATGCTCATGCAGGAGGCACATTTCAAGAGAAAATGGAGTTGGATATAGGGGAGGGGACTGATGCAAATGTGGAGACTGATTTGGGGGCTGCGAATTCTCCAGCAATGTCTGACAATGCGTTGGAGGATTCCGAGGATAATCATGACGCCCCCCTTCGTGCACTTGCCTTGTACGACGTACCCGCAGGTGTGACCTTGGAAGACCCATGTGCATACCCTGAGAATCGTGAGATGGAGAGCAGTTCCACTGGATCGTTGTTGAATTGGTGGTGCAAAATTGCATTAGTAACTCCTCCCCTCATCGATGTCTTCAAAAAGATCAACGACCTGGAGTTCACCAAATTGGAAAAAGAAAAAATACTCAAATGGGGCGTAATGAGCAAATCACACTGCCAAATACTTCGCAACTGAGAGTGCACGAGAGCTTTCTGCTTCTCCAAAAAAAATTCCAAGGGGAGTTGAGGGAATTGGTTGAAAAATTGTTGAACAGGTGGGGTGTAAGAATGGGTCATACCGCGACATGTGTGATGATTCCAGGAGTGTGGCTCAGACACTCACCAGAGGATATTCTTTCACTGGGTCGTACAGATACTAATGGCCTTCTGTTCAAGCTCGTTCCACCGCAATGAAAGAAAGAGCAAACAACGAGGATGCGTTATCAGCGGGCATATCTTGATAGGCATACCAAACACGGCTCTGGAGGAACATCCACAGATGATGGCCTTGATCCACACAAGCACACACCAGCTACGTGAGTGGTTGCTTGGACTGAGGACACCAAGATGACCAAAAAACAGAAGGACAAGGCGATTATCCATAAGCGTATGCAGGGTTCTCATCTTTGCCGAGTTGCTTGGTGCTTGTGTGGTGGACATTTGGTGCTTGAATCCATGGCCTTGAACGACTAGCGAGACCTGTGCAAGATTAATGTTGCTGAACTCAGACGGATGGGCAAGCCAGGGCCCAAAATCTGCGGTGCACACGGAAAGGGAGAATCCGATTGCTTGATGCCGTTGATGGCGCTGACGATGTGTGAGCACCGCAACATAATGTTGTCAATTGCGATGGGAGAGACTAGAGATTGGTTGGAGGATCCAGGCCATCCATACAAGAGAAGCCCAGAAAATTGGCTCCCACTCAAATAAATTTCTTTACGTGATCTTAGTAACCCGCGACGAAAGAATTCTTTTAAAAAGAGTTGATCCACATAGATCAGCAATCGGCCCCAACAGTGAAAAAATGGGTTGAATGCAAGAGTGGCTTACTGGACTACAATCGATCAAGCTGAACGCGTTTCGGGAATTCGAGCAGACCGTGGAGGTGATTATAAGGCATTCCTCCAACGCTTGTGTTTCAATTGAATGAGAGAGGAAGAACCTGGTTCACCGTGACCATTTTGCAGAGGAAAATAAATGCGGTAAGTGCGGAACTCATATATGTAATAAAGTGTTCATCAAGACACGAAACATCACTACGAAGAATCTTGTAGTCTGTGGCAGTTTTTTTTAAAGCGTTTGGGTCATCATTGATCAGGTGTATTGTTTCAATACAAAAATGTTCACCAGGTCTGGTAAGCGGGCTAAGCGAGAACCCAGGTGAGCCCTGCCGAACGAATATGGTCGCCTAGAACGTTTGGCCCCACATGTAAGATTTTCAGCCAATCAGACAGCCGAGAAACTAACAAAGAAAGTGAGTGATTTATAATGAAATAAGAATTTCAAGCCAACCAACAGCAACTCAAGCTGTAAGTTTCTCCGTCAGCATCAATTATGAAAGTACTTAACTAACATCTTGAAAGTCCGTGGTCCAATGGTTAGGATTCCACCCTTCCACTCTTCTGTGAGCCAGGTGGAGGTTCGTGTTCGATTCACGGCGGTTGCAAATATTTCTGCGTGCGCAATTCTTTTTTTAATTTTTTTTGCAAAAATAAGTGGTTTTTGTATGCAAGCGAACCAAGATCTGAAAGCGTAATCCACAACCTTTTTTTCACCTCAAATCGTAAAGGTTTTTTTTATTATTATATACAAGTTCGACATGTCTTTTGTACCTTCAGGTTAGCGATTCTAGCAACTCTTGGGATAGATCAATCTCCTCGTGGCTCTACCTGAAATCGAACCGTCTCTCAACCCAATTGATTACCTCTTTCCGTCCTCGAGATGAATACATCTGAACTTCGATACCAATGATTTACAAAACAAAAGTCCAAACCAACATGAATTGGAGACTTGAGACTGGTACGAGAACAGATTCGTATCTTACAGGCCCGAAATGGTGTTTTGGAAAAGCGGAACCAAGAACTCGTGACAGACAAGGCCGACGCATGTGATACCACTGACTCCTCGAGATTTGATCCTATGTCAGCAGACTGCTCTCACAATTAGATCAAAGAGGACTGGAAATGTGTTCCAGACCACGCCTCTTGCTAGTAGCAGAAGACCGGCGAGTACTGAGGCTCGGTCTCGCAGCCCAACAGATGTAACAGCGATGCATCAGAGGTTCAGTCTACAAATGAATACCCAAACTCGAGAGTTACCGCGGACTTGTAGTGGTTCTGGACGATCTGAAGGTGTTGGAGAAGGCGAAATTGATGAGGAAGTTGAGGGCGGGGACCTGTTTGGTGATTAGTAGAAATATTAGTAGAGTCCCAGGAAATGCAAAATCAGATGCCCACCCAGGCCCTTTTCCCCTTAGTCTTGGCTGATCTTATGGTAACCTTATCGGTCAGGCATTGAACCCCCAAGAGGTGATAATTGCAAGTGGCGTCGGCCCCGCTAGTGAGGTAATAGTGACAACCAATTTTTTTCATGGCATCTTTCATGTCGACTCCCAAGTTGTCGTCCGATTCCACTTTGTGTTGTGCGACGTTCGCTGTTTCGTTCATTTATACTTATATTGTATTCATTTGCCCATACACTAGAAATTAGAGTATATTCACCCTTGGTGTGCACTTGATTCGGCAAGGTCTCAGATGGCGCCGCAGACGAGCATCCCAGTTGTGCGCCTTCCCTCTCTTATTTTGATTGCAAACGATATGATATCCAGCTTTCAAGAATTGAATTCCGGGTGATTCATTGAAGCATGTCTTTCTTTGTAGAGTTCCTTCTCAACCTGCAACTGCTGTAAATCCCGGCGCGACGCCGGCCGACAGGAGTTGCTTAAGAATGGGGGTCTTCAAGTAGCTCAAAATAGACATTACTACATTCATCATTATGTCTCTATTGATTCGGAAATTTTAAGCTTAGACTAATGTTTCTAGGCGGCCAATGTTCTTGGGTAAGTCGCCTTTATCTGAGCTATAGGAAAGTCACTGACTCTCATCCAAGGACAATTGGAACAGGTGCGTCATCGTTCCCAATATGAACGGAACTAATGCTTCACAGTGTATGAAATTCCGTACCCATTACGTCTCCTTCGCTAATTTCAGAGTAGTTTTTGGTGTATTCAAGTGAGTTTAAACCCCTGCTATTCCAGACATTGCTGACGGAATTCAGTTAGTACCTCAGTGAGCATCTCTCGCGAGGCAGCCAGTCAGCTACTGATGTTCCAGGATATGGACGAATTACCGCGTCAAGAAAACCGATGGCCTCCCCGGTATAATGATGTTCCTATGGGCAATTTGTGTGTCCCCAAAGCTATTATCGCCCTCGTCTCTAACACTTCACAGGTGCTGTTCCATTTGGAGCTTATTCGATCGCCCAGGTTTGGCAGTTGTCTCGGAACATATGGCTTCCTCTTACAGATCCCTAGAATTTCAACATCCCCATCCAAGTCCAGCCACAAGTCTTCGGTACATTTTGCTTGGTCAGTTGGGCACAAACTTTGATCTACCACGAGTAAGATCTTTCGCATTAGCAACTTCCAGTCCAGCTCACACTTGTCAAGTCGTTGGCCAGTATGGAAAGCCACATCCCTCACTGGAATTATCTGGCTTGTGCTCGGTGGCGTTGAAGCAGCGTTGATATTAACACTAAAGGTAACCCACTGCTCTTCCTGGAAATCTTCAACAACGTCACTGACAATGAAGCCATTATACGATCGTGGAATAAATTTTCCCATGATTATTCTCGGGGTTGTTGCCAGCATACTTCTCGCAGTCGGACTTCTGCCCCCATATGTAGAGATATGGAGGCGTCGAGGGAGGGTAATTGGCATCAACTGGGTATTCAGCCCAGCAGCTCTGTCTTGACTCTGCTGATTGGCAAAGATTTTCTTGACTATCGACTGGATGGGAGCTTTCTTCTCGTTGATGGCACTCGGTACCCTCACCAATCTTATCCCATGTCCTTTCAGATACTGACTCCAGATCCCAGTTGCTCAAAACACGTTTGACATCTTGGGAGGTGTGCTCTACATTTTATGCATATTCATCGAAGGTGGAATCTTCATCTCGCATCTGATATGGCGATTCAGAACCCGCAAAATTCGCGCTCAAGCAAAGGAAGACGGCAAGACTTTCGAAGACATTGCTGAAGAGTGTAGGCGCGAGAATGTTCAGTTTCGGTTTGCAGAGCGAGAGGTCGTGTTGCCGTTCTTCCGTTCCAAACCAGATGCACCTGGGTCATTGGAAGCGGGAGATGTTCAGGGTGAGTCTTTTTCCAATTCCCTAGAGATTTTTGCAGGTGTTGGGGTTGAACCGAGAACCCCACTGTCCTTCTTTCCCGTGCACCCGTACAAATCCTAATCATTTGACTAGATTCACCTTCCAAGACGAGATTATCGCTAGAAAATGCCGTTGAAATGCGGGCGGGGGGATTCAAATCATGATGGGAACTCGCTTGGAGCCGGCATCAGGTTGAATGATCCGGGTGGCGTCCCGACAATTCACAGGGCCGCACAAGGGGATACCGAGGAAATGATCCGCGAAGAGCTGTACCTCTGAAGTAATGAAGTTATATAGACAGCAAGCATTCGTACCTTCCAGGTCGAGCATCCGAGATGGCGTTTGTCTCCTTTAACGACCTTTCGAATAAATAATGAAGATGCATGACTTCTTTGGGCAACATTGCTGAAAGAGCAGACCATCACAGAGAATTACCAGAAGGATACAGATAATTCAATATGACCACCTCTATGAGCTATGTCCAGTTCAAATCGTGAACTTTTCCTGTCTATGTTAGAACCCCACAAATGCAATCCCATTTTGTTCACAAAATGCCACCGTTTTGGAATAATCATCATGAATCGAAAATTCGCCTTTCGCAGTCTCCAGGACCGCCCTGTGCTTGATGACTTACGACATTCATAGCCTTTGGCTGCTCGATGTCATCATAATATCGTACACACGCCATCCTTCTTCTTCCGTCGTGATCTGTGTGGTCGCCGGCGCTCTCTTCGATGATACACGACGTCTTCTTCCAGACTCGGCGTTGTTGTGTTGTCCTTGCGAATGATCTGCCGGCAGAGATCTATGAAGACTTCATCCACATTTGCTTGACTGAGATTAGCATTGCGTCTTAACTTCAAGACAAAAACTTACCCCGCCGCCGCGCAGATGTTTCGTAATAGGGAGCATTTCCCCAGCTCTGTGAGACGGTAAATGCTCTCTGCCGTGTCACTACTCGGTCTTCTTCAAGGTCTGACTTGTTGCCAACAATAACGATAGGGACGTTCTCGTCATCTTTGATGCGGATGATCTGCTCTCGGAGCTCTTGAAGTTCGGCAAGGCTGCTTTGGCTGGTAATGGAAAAGACGAGGAGGAAGCCTTGCCCTGTCTTCATGTACAACTCTCTAGGGCGGTGATCAGTACTCCGACGTCTTTTCTTGCCACCAAATCGCGGAACGTCGTACCTCATCGCCGCTGTCAAGAGTCAGTGCATGGTCACGTGATTGCCATATTTCTTGAACTCACTGAACTGTTCTGTGCCAGCTGTATCCAATCTGCATTTTGTGAGCCACATGTCGCCGTCTCAATGGAGAATCCTACATCTCAAGCATGCATTGACGACCCTGGCACTACGCATCAGTCACTGCAGCACAGACACGGGACACCTCGACAGCGAACTCACATCGACCTCGATTTGCTTCCGGTACGAGTCCTCAATCGTGGGATCATAGCTCTCGATCCAGACATTCTGGACGAATTGTGCTGGCAAGATGGTCAGGACAAGGCCCATCAAGGGGGTGGCGAACCTTACCAGTGAGGCACGATTTGCCCACTCCGCCTAGAATTGCAGAGATTGTCAGCTGAGAGACTCGGTCTCCTGAACGAGAGAAGTCACCCACCCGCGCCCAAAACGACGATGTGATAGTCTCTCCTGTGCACATTGTGTCGTTAGCTCGGGCGTCAACTCCCCCATACTCTCCAACGTCTTGCCAAACGAGTTACCTTTGCGAGGTCCTAGCTGACATTTTTGCACTGGTTGCCGCTGTCGCAGCAAACTCTCACCCACGGCCTTGCCTGGACGCCCTCCAGCCTCAGCGAGCACCGTCCCTGCTGCTGGTGTCGACTCGACGCTCTCGCACCCCTCTGATCCGGGTTCTTTCGTTTTCGCAGCGCAGATGACATGTATGACCATTCCCAGGAGAGGAACCAGAAAACTTCGAGTGCCAATGCACGGTTGAGCCGACCCGCTCGTTGCTGGGCTTTCCGAATCTCGTGGTTTAGGAGCTACCGCCGCTGGAGACGGCCACAAACAAACATCAAAATCGAAATCAGAATACCTCTCTCTGCTCTGGGTAGGCAAGAGGGAAGGCAGCAGCGGATGGGCCGTTTGATCAGGAGGATTTGACAGGCTGCATGTCTTACTATGCATTTATACAGCTCCTCTTGTGGCGACTACGGCCTCTGCCCCCCCCTCAAGGCAGTGAGAGGCCCCAGTCCTCTCCTTCGACGCCGGTGCGCACACAACTCTGGCCACGAACACGACCTCAATCTCCAGACTCCCAGACTCCCGTCCGTCCTCTTTGGTCTCTTTGCCTCGGGCGCTCTTGCTCACTCACTCCAATGGGGGTACCTCGAGATGCGCAGAGATTCGATAGCCTGGACGGTAGGAGGCCGTCGTCCGCCAATGTTCTCGCACCGCTGCTCTGGCCGTATCCGACAGGCCAGGCAGGCCAGGCAGCCCTGTCCTCTGGGCTTAAACCTGACGTGTGGGAAGCCCCAGCAGCGCCAAGGCGCACTCAGCCATAGGGGAAGAAGAACTCGCTACCCGACTCGCGGCGTTGGGCGTTGCCGCGAAGGTGCAAGCGACCCTTGCTGGCCATGACAACGTCTGGTGCGCGCTCTCCTATTATCTCCCTTTCTGCCCATGCCACGATGCTTTTTCCTCGTGTTGCGTGAATCATAAAGTATAGTTCTGCATGTCAGCATCTATCCTTGTGCCGGTGGAAGATGACGCAAGTTCCTCGCAACAAAATGTGTGATACGAGTCACGTGCTCATCTCATCTCCAATAACTGTTTCGTTCTGTTTCGTTCTTCAGCGGGAAGTGGGCCCAGTGGCGGTGGTGCCATTTTGTGGATGCAATAATACTACTGTATCTTGTATATTTTTGATACCGTGCAGTCCCCCCACGAGGCTGTCATGTTCTATAAATGGATTTTCCGTTTTGCAGAGTACCGAATTCTTGGTTCGCAGATCCTCAACCACTCAATCCTTCCCGCAGGGGGAAGGATCAGTGGTGGATATTTGTCTTCTATTAGAGCCCAGGCAACTCAAACATCCTTTTAATCTGGCATCCCGATTGCTGAAATGAGGAACGTCTCCCCTCCGCCAACTAGCCAACTATATATCAAAGCAGATTCATTCGGGTATCAGAAAAAGTGGCCGAGATCAAGAAAGTGATTGTCGTCTCCTATAAGTCCATTCGAAGTGTATACTGCCTAGGCTTTCTGGAACAAGCTCAATAATGTTGTTTGCAGGCGAAATCACAGCCTCAAATCAGAGCGAGAAATTTCTTTGGCCTTGACACCACAAACACAAGTATTAAATTTTGTTCGAGGGTTATCATTGTTGCTGGGGTTCTAAGCACAAGATGGGTCTAAAGCTTCGAAGAAGCAATAGCATGCCAAAATTCAGAATTTAGAAGCTGACAGGTTTGCATCAGTCCAAGTATGCCATCAAAAGCTTGTGTGTAAAATAAAGTACTTGGTAACAGTCTTTGTAAGGTTACAGAATTTTTTTTTTTTCAAGCAGTGGTGAGGCCTTGTGATCCAGGTAAGACTAGATACCTGTGCCCAAATGTCTGAGTAAGGTCTGAATTCACATTCCCTCCTGTGGAGTGTTGAAATAAACTGGGGCATTCAAAGGGCTCTTAAGAAATGTGCTTTGGGTTCGTGAATGTCCCCAAATGAATTGGACATTGACAACCTCAAGACCATGACTCTATGCCTCACAAGAACTAGACATTGAAAGCAAAAAGTGCCCTGAAACTCTGTGAACTTTCAGCATTTCTTTCTTCAAAGACCAATAAAACCATTTAGAAAGCCAGTTAGAATAAGCAAAATGTCATTCAGACTTGCTATGTTGCTCAAGTATCTCGAGATTCTCCTCTTTACTGCCTTTATCCTATGTTGAGATATTTGACGTGCAAGCACAGATCTTGAAGCTAATATCTCGCCATCGGGAGGGGCAGGTTCATAATTGTAGATAAATAAGTTTTGTCAAAAATTGCCAACGTTGCTTGCGAGCAGGGAGTTGCTCTACAACCTTTCGAAGTGCTAGCACGGATCTCGACGTCGAAAATGATTTCATTGAAGGGGGGCAGTCTCATAATCTAAGAAAAGTAATTTCATTCCAAATTGCCACACTTGCTCGCTTGCAGAGAGTCCTTCCGCAACGTCTTCATTTCATTAGCGCTAACATCTCGAATGTCATGACATGTTATGCTAACAGCAAACAGCAAATTAGTACAAGAAACCCAAAAAATTCAAAAAACTATCCTCAAAGGAGTATTGCCGTGTAGTTTTCGAGTAAACCGCCTGCATATATACTTACAAAAAACAAAAAATAGCCAAATTTGCCTAGTGTGACCAGGAGGAATGTTCAGGGGCCAATTGGATCTTGTGTCCACAAAAGGTAGGGAGCTAATCTCAATTCGCAGAAGAGTTCTCCAATAGTACACCAAGTGTCTAGCACCACCTATTTTTTGCGGCATTTTCCCTTGATGTTTAGGAATCCATATATTTTTGTCACCCACCACGAGGACTGATTATTTAAAGTCCTTGGCCATAACGCAACTTTTGGGTATCACGCAGGCACTTCCAACAAGTTCCCTCGTGAGATTCTAACACAGCAGACTTGCGCAGTACTTTCCAACGGTGTGCAGAGTTTTGCAGCAGAGCGCAGACTAAATGATGTGAACGATAATTGGCAGATGCTTCCATTATCAAAACGCCAACCTTATGTACAACGGCTTCAGGCTATAACCACAACTCCCGCCGGCATCCCGAGTTCATTCGTCATCATAGCCAGCTAAAGGTTTTCTGGGACTCGTTGGAACTGCAAAATCGTGTGATTAGCACCCTGCCTTTGAAGCTATGCCATCTCAAGATCGTACCTGGATACGTGAGGGGAATCTCCGGTCTCTTTGGATCTCCCAGCCTGGTTCGGATTGGCGGCACCGTGAAGACCAACACAGGTCCCAAGCTCCCAATGACTATCGAGTAGAAGATGGCCGGCTTCTCAATGGCAGCCCATCGCAGGTACCGGAAGGGTTGCGAGAAGAATCGTGGATAGGCCGACATCGTGTCTAGACGGATTAGCAGATGCTTGCAGCTCGGATATGATGTGCGCCTACCCAATTGGCGGTCTCAAACCTCCCTTCAAATCTCGAGTGGTTTTGCGGATTGTTACGCGGCCTGGAGATTTCGGGTGCTTGAACGTTCGAGGTGAAGTGGGCTCGGAAGCCATCACGTGCACACTATCGTAGTGGAACCCCTGCGCAGGAAATGTCTTGGCATTGCATAGGTGTTCCTAAAGCTTCAGGACGCGCAACTGTCACCGAAATTCTTACAACAACGACAACGACATGCGGTGGCTACTTTCTTTTCTTCTGCTGGGGCTTCTGTCCGTGGTACACGCGGTGAGCTCTAGTGGAAACAAATTGTTGGTAGTACTGGAGGAATTGGCGGACAAGGCGAAATACTCGAAATATCTGGCGGACCTGGAGAGTGCGTATATTTCCTGAGAAGTCTTCTTCTGTGCTACATACTAATTCTTCCTCAAAAACAGGCAGAGGATTTAAAACCACAATCGAATCACCAAAAGCTGAAAAGATTGCATTGTTCGAGCTGGGCGAGAGAGCTTATGACCACCTCCTCCTGTTACCAGCAAAGTCGAAAGGTATGGCACGTTGCGCAATGGAATACAAGAATGGAATCTGATTTTAATAGGCCTTGGACCAAATCTCACACCTAAGCTTCTCCTCGATTTCATCAATGCTGGCGGAAATATCCTGCTAACCCTCGACTCTACCCACCCAACTCCCTCCGCCCTGGTATCACTCCTCCTTGAACTCGATATCCACCTACCTACAGATCGCAATGCCCTCGTGGTGGATCACTTCAATTTCGACACACTCAGCGCCGCAGAAAAACATGATGTGGTTCTCGTTCCCCGACCAGACGCCCTTCGGCCAGACGTGAAGAACTTCTTCAAGGGAGACGGTAAAGGTGGAGAAGTCATTGCTTTCCCAAGAGGCGTTGGACAGACCTTAGGCAACACGAGTCCACTATTGACCCCAATTCTTCGAGCTCCTCGCACTGCCTACTCATACAATCCTAAGGACGATGTGGATGGAGTGGAGGACCCATTCGCAGTCGGAACGCAACTCTCCTTGATCACCACAATGCAAGCAAGGAATTCAGCACGCTTCACTGTTATTGGTGCAGCTGAGATGCTGGAGGATGCTTGGTTTGATGCCAAGGTTAAGCGCAGTGTTGGCATGGGTGGTGTTGGAAGTGATGCGAAGCAGGTGAAGACTTCCAACCAAGCTTTCGTCAAGGAGGTTACAGGATGGACATTCAACGAGATTGGTGTTTTGAAGGTTGGGAAGATTGAGCACTACCTCAATGAAGTTGGAGTCAAGAGCAACGTCACTAACCCAAAGATTTATAGAGTGAAGAACGATGTGGTAAGTTGTCTCACGCAATGCTGCTTTATGTTAGGCTAATTTGGGGTTTAGACATACAACATTGAACTCTCGGAATGGTCTTGGGATCACTGGGAAGCATTTACTCCTCCCACTGGTGATGTGGTCCAATTAGAATTCTCCATGCTGTCACCCTTCCACCGCCTCCCTTTGAAGGTTGCTAGCACCACCAAAACCTCTACGACCTACACTACAAGCTTCAAGCTCCCAGACCAACACGGCATCTTCAACTTCAAGGTCAACTACAAGCGACCATTTTTCTCCAATGTGGAGGAGAAGAACACTGTTACCGTCCGCCACTTTGCGCACGACGAGTGGCCAAGGAGTTGGGTTATTAGCGGTGCATGGCCTTGGATTGCAGGTATCGGAGTTACAGTTACAGGATGGGTGGCGTTTGTTGCACTTTGGCTTTGGAGCAAGCCTGTGCCGTTGAAGTTGACGACTTCCGGGAGGAAAATACAGTAGACATGCACGGAACTGGGTTGGGAATCTGTATCTGTATGATGAAAATAAAAGTGTATAGGGCATAGATGCAGTGTCATTAAAGTTTGGGCAATTTAGCAATTTATAGGTTTCATCTGAAGTTCGTTTCGTCTGAATTTTAGGAGGCGATCAGATATCGTTTTATGCCCATTGGTTTCCTACCCATCTGTTAAAGTCCCTTTACGCCAAGTGGTACTTTATTGTGTGATCAGCTACCTACAAGATGAGTGCTTTAATTTTCCTCTCAAGACGAGAGGGATGAACGTTACAACATCTGTCTATCTCAAAGGCTACTTCCAAAGTGGTCTTAACTCTGTCCGTCGATATTTCCCCAAGCGTGCTGCACAATTACGCAGAAGCCAAATTCTTCAGCATGGCGTGCTCAAAACACTGTCTCATGACATTATTGGTAACTTCTCGCTGCAGTAGATTTGCTTCCAATGAGGTCTTCTATTTTGAGACACTGTGGCCGGGAAGTCTGGTTGGCATCACCCTCACCAGACAATACGACAAGCTCATTGGATCTTCTCCCTGCCCCCTTTATTACGCGAAAGTAATTCAACACAACAAGCTGAACTGAAAAACAGAAGTTATGTCGGTGAAGGGGAGCTTACGAAGGTCGTCCAATTCGCTAAGCGAGGGCGGGCACAATCTTGACCCTCGCAATATAGAAATACTCATAATTCCGTATTATATTTAATTATTAAGAAAATTCTATAAAGTTAGATCTGCCTCTTTTCTATTCACAAAGCTATTTCAAAGAATTTTAAGCGTTGAGTCGAGATTTGGTTTAATTTTCTAAAAGTAGCGATTTTGGTGTTCCTCGTGTTTTAGCGGGTGGACGATTTTTAATGCTGCCCGCCTTTGTATATCAATTCTTCGATGGTTTGCTGTCGACTGTCGGATGGTGGCCGCCATCGCGGGTCCTCTCAACCTCCCTTCACTAGACATGGCTTTAAAAGTTCTGTCCTCTCCCCCAAGTCCTCCACCACTCCTTCCTCCACCAAAGAAACCCAAAATTCGTGCACTCGTAAGACGAGCACCTACCTCACAAAAGCCTTCCGCATCATAATGCAGCAATACAATGGAGTTGTCCTTCCGAAAGGGCATTTCTGGCCCAATCCTATCGATCCTTGTATGTATCCCGGATATCTCTGTTCACCTGAGTTCGTGGCTGCATAATTAATAATCGAAGTCTATGGGAAATGATCCCCGTTCTTGTACAGGGGGGAATACTATGCTGGGGAGTATTTTGGGATTTCTGGTGTTGTTATTTGCAGCTTTGGATTCGGAAGTCTTTATTTGATTTCAGGAAGACTAGTGAACAATGATGAGACATTCAATACAAAGGAAGTGCAGTGTAGCTTAGAATTAAGGTAGCATATTCTAACGGATTATAATAGGAATGTTAAGAATCAGGCGTCCGCTCTATCCAGTTGAAGCAGTGTGACAGCGTAGACGATTCTCATCAGGTGCCCAACTTTGCTCGATCTTTTTCTTCAATAACGATTCACGTTGCAAGTCATAGTCAACAGGATATGGAGTGTTGTGTAACAGAATGAAGAAAAACCCTAGACGGACAGCAAGATAAACAATGATTATCCCTTCGTCCGCTGAGACATTGCCACATTAGCGGCCGCACATGAATATCCCTAATTCGGCCGGAACATAATCATATATTTCTCTACTCAAACCGTAAAATTACCGCCAAAGAAAGTCTATAGTGGTATCCGAGTCATAAACATCATCCTACAACATGTATCGTTACTCCACCTCTACGCAGCTCCAATCTTCACACCACCCTTCGCAACCTCAACATCACTATTGCTGGAACTCTGCGCAGGGGCCTCAGTATCCTTCTCCCTCTGCTGCTTGCGCATCTTCCTCTTACTCCCAATCCCACCCAACCCCTCCATCGCCTCCTTAAACGTGAACGCCGGGTTGAAAACATTCAACGCAAAGCAAGCCACCACAACCATCACGCCCTCAAACCCCACAAACAGCCATTGCCTCTTGATAAGTGCGCCCTGCCAGCCCTCCCCAAGCTCCGCAACTCTGTACACGCTTCGCCAGAATATGCAAATTGTGGCCAAGGTCAAGCCGGTCAGGAAGCCCTTGAATCGCCAGCCGCCGCGGAGATGCTTGTACAGCGGGTTTTGGTCAAAGGCGTCTTCGCCCATGGATTTGTAGCGCTTGAAGGTGCGGAGCGCGAAGTCGGTGCAGAGGGTCATGAAGATTAGGAGGGTGAAGACCTGGAAAGCGAGGCCCGCCACCATGATATTGTCGCCAGTCTTGACGCTTCTGTTCTGGTGGGAGGCGACGGATGCCATGCCGCCGCCTGTAGCTTGGAGCAATAAGGAGAAGAAATCGCAGGGGATGAACTGGGGGAAAATAGGATTAGCTTCGAAGGCGTGAGATGAGGGGGGTCAACTTACAATTCTGGTGTAAGCTTCTGGACTTATTCTAGAGTTCTCGGGCCCGAACGCATATACAACTCTTCTCAAGCATAGGTATATGCCTCCAGCCATAAAAGCAGGAGCTATAGTGAGACACACAATCTGGATCAAGAAGCCGTTCTGGCTCCATTGGTTTTGGTGGGACTGGATTCGACCGACGTAGCCAATGACTTCGAGGATGACACCAGATAACATTGCGAAGTGGAAGGCGAAGGCTCGGCGGGTGAGTGCATAAGTTGCGAGGAATCCAACGAGGGAGATGGCGAAGAGTGCCAGAAAGGCTGCGTTCGCGGGAAGGGAAACGCGGTAGTAGTAGTAGGAAGATGAGATGGGACAGGTCTCGATAGTGCAGTTTGAGAGCTGGTAGGTGTGGTTCCTCGCGCGTGCGGCGAGGATCATGACGGGCTCAACGTATGAGGCCATGTTAAGTATCGATTTAGGGGAATGAAGAGCGCAAGGCTTGACTTGATGCTGTAGCAACGAAAGCAGACTAGTTTGTTTGATGTGAAGGCTGGAGTGCAAGAACTGACAACAGCTGGATGTGCTGCCTTTTGAAGGGAGAACAAGAATGACAAGACACACATATATATAGAGATGGACTTCTAGAAAAAGATTGATTGGGCTTGAAGAACAGAAAAACTACTTACCGGTGGACGCATGGACTTTTTGGATGTCTTCAAAGTCTGGCTGTATCACGTTGAATGGAGTGCTGTGAATGGTGGGTTCGGACTCAGTCGGGACAAAAAGGGCCCGCGTCGCTTACACGGGCTGAGTGCAGAGGGCATGTCGAACCGCGCGCTCATAATTTCAAACAAAAAAGGTGGGAGTCGATACGATAGGCTGGTGAGAGGAGTGCTGGCAGGTTCTGGACCGTTGGTGAACAAAATCGTACAACAGCAGTCTGTCTGTGTGGACCGCATTCGGTAAGTTCAAGCCTGTCCGTAATTCGTGACAGGAAGCGGGCATGAATTTTTTGGATCCTTTCTCCTAAGTCAGCCTTCCGTCCCCGAAAGCCAGCAATTCCGCCCCTCGTATGGGTGTTCCACAGATCGTCGTGTGGGAGACGGGGCTGGGATGGTGGGAACAACGCCCCGCCCCCGGCTGGGCGTGCGCATCTTGATATGCTCCATGTCGGACCTGATCCTCTGCTCATTTTGGGCTGAACGATGAGTCTTCGCCGTTGCGGAGAGATGCCTGCGCAGCTTGCGTTGCCCAGGAAATAGATCAATTCATTTGAAACTGATGAACTCCCCACAGCACGCAAGATCTTGGATGTTCGACGTGTCGGACGTCCTCAGCTCTCATGAGGCTGAAGATTTTCTGTTGAACGGGAGTCACTTGGCCGGTAAGACCTGCCCCCTGAAGAACAATTAAGCGAGCCACATTTGGGCTTCTGTCAGCCATCCTCAGGCCTGCGTGGCGTGCAAGCCACATGGAATGGCTTGGGCTGTGTCGCAGTCTCGCAGAAGAAAGATCGAATTATTCTAGTTGCCTTGAAGAAATCGTCCGAGCCCGCGTCATCACCTTTTTGCTCGATACCGAGTAGACGGAATGGCCGTGAGACATTGAGGCTTTTGCTTCTCCAAAAGTACGTGTTCAATGTACCTGTTGACGTCTGGATGGTTCAGATCACGCCAAAATTCAACCAAATCTGTCCATCAGAATGTTCTTCACTGCCTGAATATCTCCCACTCTTTCCCCTTCAACGGATGGTCTCATGGCTTTTTCTCTCTCCTCATCAGCAATGCTGTACCTTCGCGTCTGCAATTACACTCTTCTTTGTTCGCCGCATCCATGGAATCGTCGAAATATAGGAATTAGCTTCTTTGTTTACGGAGCCGGCAGTGAGTTGAAAGTTTGGTCGACAGTGGACTAGTGCTTCGTTCAACCCCTCCTTCGACATGATCGAAACACGGCCACATTTCCATGCCCCCTTTTTAGGCGAGCAGCCCCACCCCAAATCGGTTCGCTAATCGCAAATCTCAGTGTCTGTCGGTCGGACGTTAAGCAGGGTAGAGGACCCCCAAAGTTGTGCTTTGAAGCCTCGTCTTCCTCACATCCCTAGAATCTCCTCACCTTACCATCATTCGCAAGTCATTTGTATACTGTATCCAGATATCGAGTTGGGAGTCGAATATGTGGAGAAAGAAGAGGGAAATGCCAAGCCCGCGGAAGTCACGGAGGAAAACACGACGAGCGAGGCTACGCAATGTACCAGAACCCTCAATCTATAATATCGCTCCTAGAGAGATGTTCGAAATATTGCAGGAAGATACCCAAAGCCAATTTCTACCACCTAAAAATGCAGCCTCCGATATCCTCAACGATATAGCTCCCGGAGAACGTTGGGAGGTAGCAGTAGGGTATTTGCATTTTAAGAACGTTGCCTATACTCGCGCCAAAGTTCTGAAGCGTAACGTTATCTCACGCGCGAGATTTGTCGCCGAGGAGGTATTCAAAGCAGGGCGTGTGAAGAAAGTGGAATTGTTCCAAGAAAGCCAGAACATCCAGATCACCAAACTCCAAAATTGAGTCTTGACTAATGATCAGTATATGCGGATCGCTATATACGACTTGGCTCAATATGGTTAAATATTATTGCAAAACAAACAAGGATAATCACTCACGGGACAGCTGTCCCATTACAGAACTACTGAGATCGGGAACATAGACGTGAAGGAAGACTGCTGAACACAATAGTCTGCCAGACGACTTGCTGCTTTCGAGTGTGATAGGTATCTCAAACCATGGAGCGAGAAGACACTTTCAGATAGCTGGAAAGATATTTTTGCTCACTAAGAGCGTCCTGGGACCCCTCCACGAAGGCCTAGCGATTACAAAGGCGCAGTAGGAGCAAGACTCGAAGAGCAAGTTCAGACCGCGACTCACCATGGCTCCCTTCGGTGATGCTGCTCTCATAGCATCAATGCTGGTCATGACGCTTCATCAGACTCGACTTACAACTTTTCTTACGACGTCGATATTGGTATTTGCTGCTGGAGTCGTGTTATCTTGGAGAGCAAGGATATCGACGGTGCAACCGCTTCTTATGCTGCCGTGCTTGACCTGTTTGTGGGCACCGGCGATGGATCGACTAGATGAATGATCTATACCTGCTAGTAGAAGTTTCAGGATGGGTATTATTTCCTGTGGCGGATTTTATGTCTGAGCTCCTCAAACAAGGCTGTCCCGCAGTGTTCCACCTGGCTTGGGAGATTCATGTTCCATTTCGAGTCTGATATCGTAGAAGGCGGTTGAGTGGCCCCCTTATGCTCCTAACGCCTCCCATGCTATCCGCTTTTCCGAATGCCATGCAGTGTCTCTCTAGTATACAGTCTATGCTGCGCTTGTGGATCTCATGCCCATTTCGCCACTCATAGCCCCTTCCTGAACTTCTCGTTCTCCAACTCCCTCCAATCCTTCTCAATTGGCTCATTTCCACTCGTCTCCTTCGCTGTACTCGAAAAGGCTGGCTTCCCCGCATAAAGTTGATGTCCTGGGTCCTGTGCGCCGCCTTCAATCTCTTTGCTCACAGCAATGGGCTGGTTCCCCCGAAATCTCTTGCGCATATCCACCATCCCGCGTTTGCACTCTCCGTATCCCTTCTTCAATTGCTGGCACTTCGTGGGCATCGTATCGATGAGTGGAGGGCGGAGGCAGTCGCCGGGTTTATTTCGTTGGATCATCACGCAATCTGATTCTTGTAGACATTGTGCCAGCGCAGCTCCTATCTTCACCGTTAAAAACACTCAAAAAAGAAGGGAAGATGACTTACGGATATCCTGGCAAGAGCTCGGCATCTTTCCAAACAGAGCTCCCTTTCTGGCAAAGCGTCTCAAGATCTTCTCGCTGAGCAGCTGGCCTGATAAATCGAAAAGTATCGGTGGAGTTGGAATTGCAATCTTATTGGCCTTTCTGAATTCGTAGAGATCCCTGGAATAGCTATTGAATGCCTGGTAGAAAGAGGGCGCATGTATTGCAGAGCAATGCGGTGCTCTGAGAGGGCTATGGAGTTCAGATGAAGCTGGTGGAGGTCCAAGGGAAGTCGAGCTCAGATCTCGAACACGTGAGAATCGGTGGGGCAGCTGCGCGCAGGGGCTCAGCACGCTAAAATCTGCAGACGCCTCGCGCGAGCGAAAGAGCTCTGGGTATTTCTGATCCATGTGAAAATGCGGGAGTGACGGAGTGCGATTGTGGGAAGAGACGATATCCTGATTCTTGGAATTGGAATGTTGCGTCTTAGGGTACTGTGGTCGCTTTATTGTCAGTATTCACTTTGTCTTCTGCGAAGCCACGAGGCTCTGAGTTGTCTCAACAGCACGCTCAAAGAAGATTGACGTGTTTGGCATGTGACATCACTGAGAAAGGTATGCTATCTTTTGACATATTCTTCTGGAACGACACAACCATGAATCTGATGCTTTGCACAATGCAGTTTCAATCACTGCTCTTTAGGAAACACAGAACTTGCGTCTTTTATCGTTTCTAAGGCTTCCTACTGTTCCACCACCTTCACCACGAGCTCCATGTACATATCGTCTTCATTCTTGTGTATTTGTACGCTCAGAAGCAAAGCATGGCCCCTATTCCTTTCATTGGCCGTTTGAACATGTAAGCAAGCCCTATGTTTGACTGAGGAATGCTGGCCAAGCGCTTGCCAATTCGAAACAAGCCAGAGACGGATAGCTAATTCAATGCTCAGAGCCGAGTACATCGCACTGGTGGGATCTTTCTTTCTGGTTGGATTAGAGGCATTGATACGGATCCTTACTCTTTTATTGCGTATGTTCCTTGCGCCGTCTGTGTGCTTCACTAACCGTGAGCAGCATCAACAATAATATCACTCTGCTATCGAATATCGAGGCGGTTGTTCAATCGGCTCAGGTCACCAGCAGAAAAAAGGTCGGAGGCAAAGAACAAGAGTAGGCTTTCTCTCTGTCTTGAAATTAACTATACTAATAGCTCGCAGATATCTCTACCTCGGTTCGAAACGCTTCCGATTTTGTCGACCTCTGCGCCCTATTCGGATACTACGCTGAAGAGCACGTTGTGCAAACTGGTGATGGATATCTATTAGGCCTGCATCGTCTGGCGTGGCGGAAAGGGGAAGAGGAACAGAAAGTCAATAATGGGAAGAATAGCATACGGAAGAATGTTGTCTATATGCACCATGGCCTGCTCATGAACAGCGAAGTGTGGGTGTGCTTGACAGATGAGCAGAGATGTTTGCCTTTCAAACTTGTGGAAAAGGGATATGATGTTTGGGTGAGTTCCGTCGGGTGGCTGCTCCAGATTCATAGCTGACTAGAACCAGTTTGGCAATAATCGGGGAAACAAGTACTCCAAGAAGTCTGTCCATCACTCGCCAGTAGACATACCATTTTGGGATTTCTCAATGGACGAATTTGCTTTCCATGATATCCCAGACAGCATTAACTACATCCTCGCAACTACATCAGCACCTTCACTATCTTATATCGGATTCTCCCAAGGCACTGCTCAGGCTTTCGCCACGCTGGCCGTTCATCCTCGACTCAACGACCAGGTCAATGTTTTTATTGCTCTCGCACCAGCTATGTCACCAGCTGGCCTTTCAAATGGCATCGTTGATGCACTTGTCAAAGCATCTCCTCAGGTCCTCTTCCTTCTTTTTGGCCGACGTTCTATCCTCAGTTCGGCCACAATGTGGCAATCGATTCTCTATCCTCCAATCTTTGTGAGAACCATTGATATGGGCCTCTCATTTCTCTTTGGCTGGCACGCTCGCAATATCTCGCCAAGCCAAAAACTAGCCGCTTATCCCCACCTGTACTCTTTTACTAGCACGAAGAGTGTGGTCCACTGGTTTCAGATTATCAGAACGAAGAGCTTCCAGATGTACGACGACGACGTCCAACCGGTCGTCTCTCTCAGCAGCGTCAGCAAATACACCAAAGTTGCCAAATTCCCAACGCGGAATATCAAGACACCCATTGTTCTCGTTTTTGGAGGAAGTGATTCTCTAGTTGATATCAATGTCATGCTAAAGGAGCTTCCATCTCATACGGTTGCAACTGAGATTCCACATTACGAGCATCTCGATTTTCTATGGGCACGAGAAGTCGATACTTTAGTGTTTCCTCACGTGTTCGACGCCTTGGAAAGTTTCTGCGACGCCGAGCATTCAAAGGAAGAGTACGATCGATATCGAAGCGCACGCCATGCTTCACTCGGTGTAGGAATGAGCAGACCAACCTTGCCAGAACGTTATTTTAGCGATGACAACATTCAACCTAGTTATGTTGACGTTGCCAGCGCCCTTTCTGGGCATGATGTTGATGCACTGGCCAAACGGAAGAATGGGACGACGTCTGATGTATCGTTTCCCAGCGCCAATGCCAAGAAAAGGGCGAGGATACAAGTTACTTATGACGATTCTTCGGAAGGGTCATCGCCCATTGCACCGACGCATGTGCGAACGATTTTGGTTAATGATGGTGAGGATATGAATGGTAATGGAAGAACGAGTCCAACGACAAGCAAGTTGCGGCCAATGAGGAGTAACAGTATTGGAAGCAACCTCAGTTTTGCTGACAAAGGGCTGAGAGGAATTAGCCTTGGGGCTGGAAAGGCTGTAAGTGGTGTGTCGAAAGGTGTTGAGACAGTGGGAAACATGACGACAAGTTCTGATGATGCTGGCAGTTCAGGTGGTAGAAAGAGAGGAAAGAGGTAATCCCTAAAGATACACATGTCGATAGACAAATAACATTTGGATTCCCGAGACTTTGGGCTGCAAACTGCGCGACGTGGACATAATATTGTCTACTGATGTACAAGCGTACATATCCTTTCAAAGTGTGTCCATGAATTTATAAGATAGTCAAGGTAACCGCCGAGAAGGAACACTAACTAGACTCGGATCAAGAATTTCATCGACCAACATTATACTTGAGCACCTTTTCCTACAAACTTTTACAAGTCCACGCTATGATTTTTCCACGAAAATGCAAGACACTAAATTATTAATACGAAATCCAACGCCGTGAGCAATTTACCTTACCCAAAGCTTTATATTCTCTCCTACAAATCGATAATAATATCGCCATTTTTATTCACTTTAACACTTCTTTCATCAAACTCAAACATTACATCCGACCTCATAGTGTATTTGATACCAGCAGTGACCTCATCTCCAGAATGGATCAGTCGTCTGTGCTGGAAGATAAGGACACGGCCGATCCTTGGATCAACGTCGAAGCTGCGTTTCTTGTCGGCTGAGTGAAAGGTCGTTGCTCCGCCTCGGAGAAGCTCCGTTTCTGAAGACTCAGGGATGCCAAGTGCTTGTGCTGAATCATTCAGGTAGAGGTGGTACGTATAGAAGGATTTCTGTGACCCATCGTCTGTTTCATAGCTGCCATCACAATGTTCTATTTCTAGTTAGTTGTATGTTTTTTCTTTCAAGTTTTGCGTCAAAATACCTTTAAAGAATTGCCCAGGGCCATACTTCAAGAACCTCAATCTCTCATTGAGCCCTTGCTTCGCCACCTTCCATCTATCACCCCCCAACATCGAGTCCCCACATACTGCCTGATACGCCTCTCCTTCCAAGATAGAGAAATACTTCTTCATTCCCTCAGCCTGCATGACCCTATCCCAAAGCCTCTGAGCAATAACATGATTATCCCAAATGATACGATCACTATTGCGATACTCAAGAGCAAGAACCTCATAATTCCTACCTGCGTTAACCATGGCGGGCTTCCACCCATTATTCTCTGGCTCGTCTCCACCTCGGTGGGCACCGACTGACATCTCACTCATAAACAGCAGTTGGTCACATTCTTCCTGAGATAGAACATTGTCGAGGACTACTGCATACAAGCGTTTGTACTCAGGGAGTGGCGAATCCTCGAAATCGATTTTGGATACTTTGATTATGGAGGGGTCGGGAAGTGGTGCGAGGAAGGACTCGGATATGAAGACAGGCACGTTGGTGTATTCTGTTCTGACGATCTGGGCGAAGGCAAGGCCTTTTGAGGCCCGCGCTTTTTGGAGAATGGTTGACATTGTGACGGTTTGAGAATTCTGTCGTCACACAAAGGAAGATTGATAGAAATGAGTGAGTGAGGAAAGTGGTGGTAAATATGATAAGTATTGGATGTCACGGGAGAGAGTCATCTGAAATGAGCTGTTGCCTGCGCTCAGCGAGGCACTGCCACTGGCAGATTCATTATCTGCCCTGGCGCCTGGAGGGCATTGAGGGGTTTCAAGCTGGCATCTCGCTTGAATGAGGGGTTGCCTGAAGCTTTTCAACCCCGACCCCGACCTCCCCACAAACCTCACCCACATCTTCCTCGCCAAACACAACGACATCAACATGCCTTCTAGGTTTCTCGAAGATTTACCAGGAGAGATCCGCGCCCAAATATATTCCTACGTTCTCGCCCCAACCGGTTGCATCACACCGAAACGAACTTCCACAGGCGCAACCCTCTGGTCCTGGCCCTCGCTCTTCCCAAACGAAGAAGTCAACCTCAGCCTGCTTCAAACCTGCAGGCAGATCCACGAAGAATCAAAAGATGTTCTATGGAGCGACAATATTCTCTGCTTCCCCCCTCGCAGAAGCATCTTCGATCCCGAAGAAGACGCCGTTTTCGTGCGCAGCAACTCCCATTTCTCTCGACATGTCCGCACTGTCGAGCTACGCTTCACGCCCTCCTCTTTCGATTTAGCCAAAGTCGCTACATTTCTTCAACCCCTCGGTGCATGGGACTCTGGGGTGCTTCGAGAGGTTCGATTTACAATCTCTGGGATGGGCACAATGACGATGTTTGGCGAGTTGGTCTCGGTGATATGGCAGCGAGCGATGAGGCGCCAGCGGTACCCAAACATGAAGCTCGGAGGTTTTGATTCTGCCAGTCTTTTCAATATACTTAGGCTTGCTGGAAATGAGGAGACGGGACATCTGCGGCATTTGAGGAGGAGATTGAATATCCAACTGGGGATAAGACTTTCGTCGAATAAGGCAAGACGGGAATGGTTTAGTGTTCATAAACCGGAAGACTGTGAGGAAACACTGAGGGAGCTGCACCAATCCTTGGGTGGAGAGCTATACATGGACGGCGTATTGTGCTATAAGGATGGCTTACGACTTCGAGAGACCTTCGCGGCTTGGGAAGCCGAGAGTAGTGAAGATTGAGTGCTTGAAGGCGAAAGACAGTGTGTGTAGGTCGGAAGGGCTGGGAAGAAAAGTCGAGTGACTCATGAATAAAGGTTGACTCCATCGGCTTGATATTTGCTCTTCGTGTGCCGGAAACCGACCGGTCGCCCTTCCCTAGTTATCTAAATCGAAATATATTCTGATTTTTTTCGAGAATATCCAAAAGTGATTTGTGGCGTTTGCCAAAGTCTAATAAAAAGGAATTGGACTCGCAGACTACGTCTGAGGCAGAGTCCTGGGAAATGGACTTTAATCCTGAGTGGAAGTGTGTTAGCAATGTTTATTGGAAATGATGGGAAAGCATTTCAAGATTGATATATGATTCCCGGACGATGTCGGTCTGATGGATCATGGGGTTCACATCGGTAAAATAGTTTCTTCATATCATTCTTGGGACTCAGAATCAGGAACGGAGCATCTTACAATTGCAAAATATCTTGTCAAGTCAGAGGCAGTTTCTCGGGATTTATAGTATCAGTGTTCATTCAAAGTCTTTATATACACTGCAGTCAATATACAGGCTTGAAATCGAACGTTTAACATCCTGAATTCATTGAGCAATTCATCTGGTCTCATTATGAGTCGAGGTCAACATGGCAAGAATCATCTTTGATCGCTATGCCTCTCACTCCACTGTGAGATGTGTAGCACTCGCATCAGACTTGATACGATCCAGAAATCTTCGACGCTAGTATTTGAAGATCACTCAGGACAGATTCATGGTAGTGACCAACAATACAGAGATTGAGTCATTTGGTGTCGCTCGAGCCTCGATAGTCTTCTTGTGATAGAAACACAGCTTTATCGTGTGCTTGTTCATGTACCCTAGATGTTGCAAATATTCACGCATCTCGACGGAATTTAACAGCGGTACATAGGATCCCCAATTCCGCTTTCCCCTTTTTTTCATTGCGTCACGTGATGTGTATGTTGCTCTTAAATTCGTACACCTCTTTCGTGAACCTTCCTCACATTATTGCCAATTCCTTTTGCAGGCCCCGTTTACTAAACCGTGCGTCACAGGATGCTGTGACTTCTGAAGGCGGCAGTGTCATGCTTGCGGTGGCAAATGGAAGGAGAGAAAGTGTGTGGTTGTGAGAGGTGTTTAAACATGCACATCAAGTTAGAGCAGTGGAGAATGTGAAGTCCCTGCATATTTTGATAATGTGTTTGGGGAAGTTATCACCTATGTAGCGAATTTTAACGAGGTTGGGGGTATTTACTACGCAGCCCTCCTATTCAAAGTACTCGCTTAGTGAGAATTCAGGGGCAAAGCATCAGTAAATTAGATAATCGGACAATAGGTATCAGGACTCCGAACATGCATACATTTGACATGGGTACCTTTCGCCTTCTTTGCATCGTATTACCAACAAGTTATAATCTCTTTCAGAGTGGGTTGTCAGTCGGCACCCAAGGATTTGAAGGATGACTGTGATGTACCTACGGAGCGCCACTCAGAAACGATAAATCAACGTCTACTAGTCACTACCGACGTTGTTCTCCTCTTTCGGCCATTCAGCCCCACTGAAGCACCTACGAGACTATTCACCACATGTAATTCGGGATTGAAACTCGTCCTAAATCAATGTCCTTCGAATTTTACTGCTTGTTGCTGACGCCAGACCTCCCGAACATACGCCTCCGACGCGTACAGAGCCTGAGGAGACTACGAGATTATTGCCCTGCACCTGGAGCTCGTCCAGTGGAGACTTGGAACGAGCTGAATTATTTATTAGATCATTGTGCGCCGGTGGCAGGGTAAGAAAGTATGCTGACACGAAGGGGGTGGAGGAATTCCTTCAAGGAGTTGCGGAGAGCTCGATCAAGGTATCTAATTTTTTGGGGCCGGTTTTTGGATTGGTTCTAATTTGAAGATCTTCACATGAAGCCGAACATAAATGCTGCCGTATGCAGATTGATTCCAAAGGCGGTGGTACTCGGCTATTGAGCTCTGAGCAAAATTGCTTCATTTTGAGAGATATCAAGTCGCAGACAGGGTACCTTTGATTATCACATCTCGGCAATGATTTCACGAATCCCAAAAGACGGATCTACAGTCGACCTGCAGGCCCTCTTCATGTTGACCATTGACAATGCAACTGAGTTTCGCTTTGGGACGAGCACTGCTGTTTTAGGTGGTATAGCCAACGAACGAGGCAATCAATTTTCAGAGAGGTTTGGTTACGCAACAGAGACGATCGGCTTTAAAAACCGACTTGGAAAATTGACAGACTTCTTCCCGGACAAGAAATTCAAGGCAGCACGGCATTCATCCAAGACCATGTGCACTCTTATGTCCAGAAAGCTGTTGTTTTACGCAAGAATGCCTTGACATCTGGAAAGCTAGGAGAAGAAGGCTCCTCGCGATATGTCTTGGAACAGCTTGCCAAGACTGGATGCAGTGAGAGGAAAATCCAGGGCGAGCTTTTGAACATTTTCCTTGCAGGCAGGGACACGACAGCCAGCTTGCTGAGTTATTTGTTTTATTATCTACCTTGCAGACCAGATGTCTTTACCAAACTCAGGATGAGGTCGTGACTCTTGGAACAGATCGACCGACGTTTGAACAGATCAAAGGCTTGAAGTATCCTCAATACTATAAGAATATTCCATCAATCCCTCCCAGCCTCGTCCTCCCCCGATTAATTGCGTATGGTCACCCATTACGGACGACTATTTTCTTATTTCAAGACAAAAGCTAATGGTATGGTTTTATGTAAAATGAAAGAAAGTTGTTAACGCCTTTGGCGTTTCTGATCATGCCTAATCCTCAAAGCACCGCGATTGCACCCTGTTGTCCCAAGCAATGGCCGTACCGTAATTATCGACACCACCCTCCCGCTTGGTGGTGGTCCGGACCGCAAACGTTCAATCTTCATCAAAGCTGGTCAACAAGTGAACTACCAAGTGTATGTGATGCATCGACGAATAGATTTATATGGAGAGGATGCTCTGGAATTTAAGCCCCAGAGGTGGGAGAAATTAAGGCCCAGATAATTCCCAGCTTTAGAGTACTCGATCAGGGGGTTGTTGACTTGTTCTAGCTGGCAGTATCTTCCATTCAACGGTGCTCCACGAATTTGGTAAACAGCTTTGATGGTCACAATGTACTGTACCTCGCTAACGTAATAGCATTGGACAACAGTTTGCTCTTACATTAAGCGCCCTTCACGACTTTCCGAATCCTTCAGTCTTCAAGGGATCGAATCAAGAGATGATTCGCCTCTGAAGAACTCACGACTTTGACCGCGGCAGTAAGGGGAGGAGTTCACATTGGGATGATACCTGTTTGAATGGGGCGCTTTTATTAGAGAAAAATGTCTTGCAAATGACGGGTTGAAGTGATGACTCGGTGGCTGGTCTCATCCACTTGAATGGAAGACTTTTGTATTCAGAAACGTACTTGTTGTCTTGGGGGCGTGGGTGAAGAATTCCTGCGCAAGCTTGCGAAATAAACTCTCAAAATGACACAATATAGTTCTTTTCCTCCTTGCAATATATATTATACCCGAAGTGACTCCAATGCTAGCTAAGAATTCCCGGAATAGAATAGTCGCTATTGGTAGGTCATTGGAATGTCTCTCGCCCTTCGGAAGACTTGGAGAATAAATCCCGAGGCGATCAAAGCATCCGGCTTCCCGTCCGAAGATCTTTCTCTGCCGAAAATAGCACCCTTCCCCACAGGGCCCCCAATAAGCAGGCTGCAAATAAGCCTTACTGGACGAGCCCTGCGTGCGCCTTCCCGGATGATGCAGTCCCGACCGACAAGCAGTTGTGGGGCCAGCACCAGCCTGGTTCTGGGCAATCTACAGTACAGCGTCATTACGGTAGTGGCAGAATCATCCAAGGCGTTTCGAGGTGGACAACACAACAGCACCCACATCAACACCACGCGCCCAGCTAGCAATGAACACTCTGGCCTCACTGTCCCTACTGCCATAAGAGCCTCTTTGCGCTTTCCGGCTTGACCTCTATTGCGCCTGGGAGAGTCGACACGTTGCTTAACGGGCGGAGAGCTAACCCGGGCCCTGGAATTTCCCCAAAAAACCACGCCTGCAAACAATATCTCCAGTATGGCGGCTTCCGTGGATCCTGCGACTAGGAAGAGGGTACTGAGGGTCGTATTCATATCTCTGCTGCTAGATCTGGTATGTTGGATGCCGCAAAAGTCCCGCTGTCTGATCTGACGATTCTCTCTACCTGTCCTCTCAACTTGCGCCTGTGGATTTCCTGGCTGACAATTGCAATAGGTCAGCTTCACCTTTATTCTGCCATTGTTTCCATCTTTGCTTTCCTACTATCGAGAGCAAGTCATCCCCCTCGGGTCAAAGAATTTGTGCTGATTGTGGAGTAGTCTTGAAGCGCCGGCTCAATTCAGCTCTGCGAATGGGTCCCCATCGATACTTGCACGCATCCTCACGTACCTCAATGCCTACAAAGCCTCCTTTGCCAGACCAATCGACTCAAGATATGACATAGTCCTCCTTGGCGGAGCTTTGGGAAGCCTGTTCTCGTAAGTGCGCTTGATAGTACGTCTAAGGATGGAGGTATTGAACTGCATAGAATTCTCCAGGCCCTCGCCTCTCCCATCATTGGGACAATGTCCGACCGATACGGCCGTCGAACCGCTCTGCTCACCAGCATGGCTGGCAACATCCTCAGCGTCCTCCTCTGGGTCTGCGCGACTGACTTCCGAACCTTCCTCCTCTCCCGAATCGTGGGCGGTCTTTCGGAAGGCAATGTCCAGCTTGCCATTGCAATTGCTACAGATATATCCGACGAGAAGCAACGGAGTTCTACAATGGCGCTTGTGGGGATATGCTTCAGTATAAGCTTCACATTTGGTCCGGCTTTAGGAGCATGGTTGAGCACGATCAACTCCGTGAAGGCCAATCCATTTGCGACTGCAGCTGGATTTTCTCTGTTCCTGATCGTGACGGAGACGATATACCTCTATTTGTGTCTGCCGGAGACTCTCCCGAGCAAGGTGGCTTCCGCAAAGCTCAATGGAGCACCTGCTGCGACAAACGGCCTTACGAAACCGACAACAAGATCTGCCACGAACGCCACACAAGTAGAGCTCGTATCCTCAGAAACGCCTCATGTTGGAGGGAAAACCGTCAGAAGAACAAACTCGCACTTCCTTCTGAACTTCACCCACCTGGCATTCATTCTGTTTTTCTCGGGCATGGAGTTCTCTCTTCCATTCATGACCTATGATCTTTTCGGATACACTTCCGCAAAGAATGGTCGTCTTCTTGGATATATGGGTTTAGTGGCATCTCTCCTCCAAGGGGGCGTAACAAGGAGACTCTCTCCACTCCTTTCCGTCCGCGTTGGTGTTGTGTCATGTCTCCTTGCTCTCCTGCTCCTTGCTCGAATCAACACCATTGGCGGACTGTACGCAGCTACAACTTTACTAGCAGTCACAACAGCAACGGTAGTCACCGGACTAAACGCCTTGAGCAGCTTCGAAGCAGGCGAGAACGAGCGGGGTGGAAAACTTGGAAATTTGAGGAGTTGGGGGCAACTGGGCAGAGGTGTTGGCCCGCTACTTTTCACGAGCGTTTACTGGTGGGCTGGGAGAGAGGTTGCGTATACGATTGGTGGGATGGGTGTTTTGGCTGTGAGCATGATTGCTTTCTTTGGGTTAAAAACGCCGTTAGGCACGGAAGGGAAAAGGGTTAAGGATGTGAAGGTCGATGCTGGAGAATTGTAACTATGCTATTATGGGCTGGGCTGGGATGTTTTATTTGGCAATAGGTTCCTTGGATAGGAGGCGCGGTGGGGATGGTAAAGAGTTATATGTGGCCCATGCACTGTATATTGAAGAGGAAGGAGGAATGACAAGTTATGATTCCAGAACATCCTCCTCGATCTTGAGAGATTGTGGCTCATCAAACCCGGAATCTTGTTTTCGGCAGATACGAAAAAAGGCAAAGTCGAAGAATTGAGCAGCTATGAATGAATGTTTAACGACTACTTGACGTCCTCGATTGTGACCCATATTATTTTGTGGCGGCCTAATAGCTCGTCAGGATCTCTAAGTCAACACAGTGAGAAGTAGATGCTTAACAAGCCACCTCCGCGTGGACCAATGCCTAATCCCAGTTGTCAAGTTCTGGTGTTTATCAAGGACATTCTCCTACTGTTTGAAACAAAGGAAGGGTATTCAATTTCTACATCTGTGGCCCTAAGATACAAATTTAGATCTGGTTCCGTTGTCCGCCGAAATCATCTGAAGCACCCATCTCAACGCGGCCATCCACTGTCCCGACATCATTGCTCAAGTTCAAGCACGGGGCATAGGATGTTTTTCAAACAACCTATCAACCCTTGCCAACAAGTCCGTCTCCAACCCATCTCCCTCCTCTTTTACCGCGCCTTCCTTTCCCTTTTCCATCATCCCCTTAAGTTCATCCAACAACTCCACCGTCTCAGCCGGATTTGCAATCCAAGCCGTGGTTCCCACAACCCTCGCCTTAAAATCATTACTCCCTGCGCTCAAAAACTGGTCCCCAACATGCAAAGTCCTCTCCCCTCTGATACTCTCGCCATCCCCGTTCAACCCCGCCGCACCGAAATAATTCTGACAAACAAGCACACCCCAGCTCTTATCTCCAATATCGACAAACACATCGTTCCCTCCATTGAAAGCACAAAATGGCAATTTCTTGCCCACCTCGCTCATCTCGAGTTTCTTTTGGACAACAAGAACTGTTTCTTCGAGGGATTCGCGGGGAAATTTGCTGCCTGGTACTGAGGGGATGATTCCGACGGCTCGTTCCTTACGCAGGATTGTTGCGGGGAGGGAGAGGTTGGTTACGCATTCGCGGAGGGACGACTCCGCGAGGTCGAGGAGTGCGGTGATGGTTGGCTGGGTCCAGGAGGACATACTGGGGAGAATCCAGCTTCTACGTGAGAGATGGGAGAGTAGAAATGGGGAGTCAGGAGAGTAAGTGAAGAGAAAGTTAGATTCACCGCCTAAAGATAGAGGATTAGTTCCAGCTTCTTTTGTCTATATTAAAATGAATGAGAGAACTTACCCATGATGACAAGATTTTGCCTTTGTGCGGGAGTGAGAATGTCGGAAGCCTTGATGGCTTCAAGTAAGCCGTGCAATCGTTCATAGTAACGCTCTGCTTTGGTATAGCCAGCTGCTGTCACAATCCCGATTTTGGTGTTACGGCTCATGAGATCTGGAAATGTTTTGGTCAGTAGTGAGAACTGAATGGAGTGGAGTCTCGTGGATTCACTAACAAATAATCCTGTCTATCACAGGATTGATTGGTTCCAGGCTTTTCCCATCGTCATAGCTGAGAGAGGTCAGCTTCAGGCTTCGACGACTCTGGAACAGTGACTCACAGAGTCACATCACCATCGAAAGTAGCAAGATCCAGAGGACCGACAGAAGTCACTCCCATAAGCTGTGCCGTGTTCAGGATTAGACGAATGTCATTGAACGAGGGCGGCACAAAGCGTCTCGATGAGATGAATCTCTTCCTATCCTGATACCTGAACGCATCCGTAAGAGGCAGTCTTGTGAAGAATGTCCCAATGCTGGGAACCAGAAGCTTCAGTTTCGACTGGCCATCAGTTCCAACCTTCTGGTGTTCGACTGTGGCCAACATCAGGGAATTGCCTTTGAAATTGGACAGGGCATGAAACTCACTGTGGTCATCAATCATATGCTCAACATCCGACATAATCTCAGCGTATCTCCGATGAGCCTCTGCGGCCATTTGGGCCACACTACTGCTCCTCGTCTCGAAGACTCCAGTCGGCTGGGAATACAGCACGAAAGGTACCGCCAGCAGCCCTTTGATCCATTCTGGGGACTGTCAGCCGTGAATCGTCAATTTTGACCCCGCTCATGACTCGAACTCAACCCAGAATGAAAGTTCTCAATTGATGCTTTGATTTAGAGAATCAGGGTTTGATACCTATAAACTGATCTCTCCGATGAGTCTTGAGCGCATCTGTTCTCATCAGCATTGAACCTCAACGGAATAGTGGGAAGGAAGCTCACACTCAACACGATACCTCGTCGTCATCCTTTCCACCAAGCTTTGATCCTTCCTCTGCTACTTTGTACAGAATACATCCGCCTTTACGGGATGTAGACGGACACTCTATCAGCTGGACATATGTACAACACAAACTCGGGATAATTATGTGTGACGAAGCGGGGTTGTTGATGGAGGAAGGACGTCGTGGCTGACTGGCTCACCGCCAAGCTCCTGCCGATCGATCACGAGCCCAGTTTCGGGACCAGAAGACTGGTGTACTGTAATTACAGATTATTCATCTTGAGATTTTTGTACATTCCGAATACACGCATAGCTCATATGTAATCGTTCTGTTCATTTATTCTTCCCTCTTGAGATACTTTTTGCAGCTTGAGCTCCTGCTGGACGATGGGTTCTGGAGATGGGATTGAAAATAAAGAGGTCACCTTTGAAAATTAAAGAGAATAATGCATTCAGAATTTACGCATAATAATTCTCATATACCTCTTCTGATTATTTGTTCATTCTTCTCGCCGTGTCTTCTCTCGCCTGTTCTCAACATAAATAATTCTCGATCTCGCTCCCATCCACTGTTCTTCAACACTTGCCTACAACCTCACAACACTTGCAACCACAACCACTTTCCAAATTGAATCCAACACAATAAAAGACAACACCACCCAGCTATATCCGAACGAGCAAGTCAGTGCTGCGGTAGGAGACTATGCATTCAAGCGCTCGACACAGCTACGGCCCAACAATGTCCAACAGCTCATGGGACATTCTACTGGCAATTCCCAAAAGCTGCTGGAATATTCTACTCCCGCAAGTACGCTGACTCCGATTTCTTGGGAACGGCTGCCTCGGTGCATCGCCGATCTTCATGCATGGGGAGTTGCGAATCATGAGAAGTCCAATTACATGATATCACGCTTGCAGGCTCAATTACATATCTGGATGATCAAGACTCTTGGAACTAAGAGGAGTTAGTTTCATTTGAGAGCGTTCTATACTATTTTAACTTCAATTCTACCAAGTGAAAAGCGTACAATTCACCCCCCTTGCCAACAGCTCTCTTACTTACTGCTTGTTTTCATTGCTAACTCAAATTCTAGTCCTCGAAATCGGCACCTCCATCGGCTACTCGACCCTGTGCCGGGCCCACGCGGTCGGTCCCTCAGGACACGTCACAACCCTCAAATATTCACCCGAGTACACCTCATTAGCTAAGAAAGAGTTCGAGAAGAATGGAGTCAAAAACGTCCAAGTTATTGTTGGGGATGCCGAAAGGTTGGTATGTTTAGCCCTGTCCCATGCGACAACATCCACCAGTTCCTTCTCAGATCAGCAGAAACCATTGCCCAGACGTCTGCTTTGCTGTTCCGTCGATTCATGTCACATTCGAAATCTGTTACCTTCGATTATACCCAGAGTTCTCGAACGTTTGAAGATCACCTCCTCTCAATCTCCAACGTTTACCAAGGACATTGAAATTAGTGCCGCTTTTTCGTCCCCCACGGGCAGACCAGAACTGACACAAGACCACAGATTAAAGACCCTAGCCACGTCCTTAGATGAACCATTCGACCTAATCTTCATCGACGCAGACAAGGCATCCTACCCCACCCACCCCACCCACCCCTCTCTCATCCTCTCCCTCTCAGGCCCCTCTGGAGCCACAACCCGTCTCCTGCGTCCCGGTGGCATCATCGTAGCAGACAACATTCTCCGCAGTGGCCTCGTTGCGGATCACTCGCCGACAAATCCGTGGGCTGTCAAGATGAAGGAGAACCCAGCATAGAAAGAGAGTGACTTAACTGTTTTGGACGAGTTCAACGAGGCGTGGGTGGGGAGTGAGAGGATCGAGACGTTCTTGATGCTCATGTTTGATGGGTTGATCTGTGGACGGTTGCTTGATTGAATCATTTGGGTGGGAGGGGGTGAGAATTACCACATCAGGGCACAAGAAAATTGCTAGGAGGTCAATATGGGAGATTCGTGCCTAATTTTCACTACCCAGCCGCCGCACGCGTAGGCCAAACGTCGATGTGTTCAGGACACTCGTCATAATTTCCAATGCAAGCTCCTAACCCTGTCCCATCCGATGCCACTCTCAAATCAAGCCCCTCTTATTATCCTTCGCCTTCCAACCCAGGAGGGGGCTTTCCGGCCTCGGAACCTCGGGTCTGCCACTCAAAACATCAACAACATCCTTCAGTCCCAACCAGAACTCATTCTTCGGTCTCCGATTCGGCCAGTCTGTCTCCTTTTCCTCTACATCCTTCATAGGGGTGAACACAACACTCGCACCCTTAATGCCAATCACCGTGGAGCTCATTGGATCCCCAAGAATCGTTGAATCCGCCCTGTCTTCATATTTCTCAAGGTGTTCGATGCACTTGATTGCGAGGCGAACAGCGCGTGTGCGATCCATGGGGGAGGGAGTTCCGCCTTGTTGGACGTGGCCTGGGAGGGCGTCACGAGTCTCAAAGCGATTTTGGGCTTCTTGGCGAATCATGTCTGCGATCAACTTCGCATGATAAACGGGTGACGCCTTTTCGTTGATGAGAATTAATCGACCAGCTCGAGACTGTCCCGAATCCTCTCTGAAGACTTTCTTCAAGTGCTTGATATCTGCCGCGAGCATGTCGATGCTAATTCCTTCTTCAGGGGTGTAGACTGCTACGGCACCAACAGCAAGACCGGCAAGAGTGGCAACGTAGCCGGACCGGCCGCCTTGGGTTTCAATTACGAAGACGCGGCGGCGGGAAGCCGATGCAGATTGCTTGATTGTGTCGCAGTAGCGGACGAGTTCGTTCAGGCAGGTGTCGGAGCCGAGGGAATATTCGGTGCCAGGGACGTTGTTGGAGATAGTTGCAGGGAGGAGAGTCATGGGGATACAAAGGGAAGAGTACTTCTCTTGTGCTTTGCGGAGTTGAGAAAGAGCATGAAAAGCTTCGAAGCCGCCAATAAGGAAGAGGCCATCGAAGTTGTATTGTTTGAAAAGAGCTGCAACGGTATCCATGCCGGATTCAGATGGAAGCTCGCGGTTCATGCCGATTTCTGAACCTCCTTTGCTGGCCCAGTTGTCCACTTCGAGCCAATCAAATTCACGGACTGCTCCCAGCGGCTTGTCATCGTGATGACGGACGAAACCGGCAAAACCATTGTGAATGGCAATGGGGGTGTGTCCTCGAGTAAGACAGTATGCTACTGCTGCTCGAGTTGCCGCATTAACACCGCCGGCTGGAGCACCAACGTGGACGATAGCAATTCGCATGTGCTGTATAGTATAAGCATCAATGAGGGAGAACGTGGAAGAGGCCTTACTTTTTGAGGAGGGAGTCGCATGGCATCATTGAGGTCAGTTGTAGTTGTTGTCATATACGACTCGTAGATATCTGAAAACTCGGTGTCGCGTAAGCTCATAGCTCTATCAAATTCGTGGGCCTCGATTGCCTTGGCCACCTCCTTGGTATCCAGAACGGCTTGAACCAGTGGCTTCCTACAGATCTTGTTCTCGGTGATGGCGATGAAAGGTGTAGGCGTTTCTGGTGTGGCTTCCAACACGGCCTTGACTGCCTCGACACCTTGTAAAGTGGCGAGGTACCGGTCGTAAGCACATGCTACTCCACCTCGTTGAACATGACCAAGAGTCGTGATACGAGTATCCAGCGCGAGTCCACTTTTGTCTGCGAGGAGGTCTTTGATCATATCTGGTGAGATCTTGTTTCCGTCTTGGTCATGGGCACCCTCGGCAACAATGACAATTGTCTTTCTCTTCCCAATTTGTCGGTGCTATGATCTTGTTAGTTGTGTCTCAACCAATCAGTCTATGGGACTTACTCGAGCCACAATCTTGCACATCTCCTCCCTCCAATTTCCAGCTCGCGGCTTCTCTGGGATGAAGACGAAATCGGCACCAGTTGCAACTCCAGCCATAAGTGCCAACCATCCACAATGTCTGCCCATGACCTCGATAACGAAAGCCCTGGAATGTGATGATGCCGTAGCCTCGATGTAGTCGACCATCTCGCAAATTCTGCTCAATGCCGAATAACAGCCAATTGTAGCATCTGTGCCCGACATATCGTTATCAATCGAGCCAACCAGACCAACAATGTTGAGATGCTTAAAAGGTTCGACCTGCTCAGCTGTCAATTCCTTCTTCTCAACCAACTCGTCAATCAAGCCCGGCCATTCAGCACGGAACTTGTCAGCACCAGTCAACGAACCATCTCCTCCGCAGATAATCAGAGCATCAATGCCGTTCAATACCATATTCTTCGCAGCTTTCAATCTTCCAGGACGTTCGTAGAAGGCCATACATCGTGCTGTGCCAATCAATGTGCCACCTTCAGAGAGCCATCCTCGCACATCGGACCATTCGAATTTGCGTATGAAGTTTTGACCCTGCACAAGGCCCTCGTAGCCCTCGTACACACAATATGCCTCGCACCCTTTCTCGATTGCCATGCGCACAACGGCTCTGATTGCACCATTCATGCCAGGAGAGTCACCACCACTGGTCATCATAGCGATACGGCGCTTCCGGCCATCGAGGGGAGGGGGCGGGGCGCGGGCCATTGTTCTCGTTGCGATGAGCAAAGAACGAAAGCACCAAGTAGAAAGGGAAGCAGCGACAGAGACTTCTTGTGCTCGTGGTCGTGCTTGCGCTCGCGCTCGTGCTCGTGCAGCAGGGCGGGGGAAGGACTTGAGGTGTTTTATGACGAGCAAAAAGAAATAGTTGAGAATGGCAGCGGAGCAATCAGAGCTTTATCGCGCACCAAGGTTTTCTTATCGCAGCCGATCATCCTGCAGCCGTGCTGTGCAAGGAATTTCTGGCGGGCCTCCTGAGCAAGGAAAATTATAGTGCATGTGGGGGTCGGCGTAGGCCAGTGCTTTGGCCGATTGGCCCATCTCAGAAGGGTCACCACGCGGTGGTTGGAGGGCTTGTACCTGACTTGTTTGACACCACCGACGACAGCTATCGACGGCGTTATTTTGGAAACTAAGGGTTACGCCGTTTCTTTGACGAGCTGGAGGTGAGGTTGTGCAATATACTAAATCTATGCAAAATTGAAAACAGCTTTGTTTGAAATACAAGGTTATTTGAAGGAGCTGGAACAACATTTATCCAGAGGCTCCAACCTCCTCGGGATGTTGACGAGTAAGCCCTGACAACCACACAGCATTGCAAAGCCCTCACCTGGAAGCAAGTTTGAATGCGCAATCCATCCCAGGCTATCGGATTCTAAGACCACGATGGGCTCCCTCCCCAGTGATTTCGCCATATCCCTCAAAGCGCGCCCTTCCTCGAAGACCAACACCAATCTTCCGGGGCTCATAGAGCGAATCAACATTGAGCGCGGCGGATTCCAGAACATCACAGAGGACAGCTTGCGCCGGGAGATTGCTGAAGCAGAGTTGGGCAATGAGGATGGGGACAAGAATGGCACTAGCGATGAGGAGGAGGAAGAGCCCGATCGAATGAAGGAACTTATGACCTCGAGGGAAGCGATGCTTGGGCAGATTGAGTACGCGGTTCCCTCGCTACAGAGTGTGCAGCTGCTAACAGCACTTTAGAACAGCCCATCAATCAGCAATATTCGCTCTAGACTTTGTGTCCCTCCTTCTATCGAAAGATACACCTGAGCAAGCCAGCCTATCGATCTCGCCATTTCGCCGAGAGTTGGTTGGAATGGGCACATTGGGTGCGGACAAACTCCATGACCCTAGAACCACCGACGTACAGAAACAGGACAACAGGCAGATTGCCAAGGGGTGGAAGTCTCAGAGTCTGAACAAGACGGTGGACTCAATCCTAGCATCTGCTTCGAGGCTTGAGAAGGAGATTGAGCTTGAGACAAGATACTGGCAGCAAGTTTTAGCTATCAGTGACAATGGATGGTCCATATGCCGGCTTCCAAATGAGAAGCATACGTTGGGAGTTAGGTTTGGATTTTCAGAAGGTATGTTGCTCGATTTCCACCTTGCGTGGCCGTTCTAAGCACAAGCAGCTTCCCCCGCCTTCAAAAGCCGAAGCCTAGCAGCACTTCGACGGAACCCGGACGGCACCATTTCGTTGCATCAAGGAATAGCAAGCTCTGAACCCCAAAGTCTCCGAGTACGGATTCGAACTGGCGACGACCAAACCGGCTCATCTATGAGCCCCCAGCCTGCAGCCGAAGATGCACCAATCGAGGCACTGATTCTTCAAGCACGAAATACGATATTTTCTGAGGAGTTATGGCAGGAGCTGAATCGGGAGGCTCGAACGATGGGCTCATATGGCGTGCAATCGAAAGATGATACTCTAATATGCCCTCTATCCGCTACAAAAGTCGCAGTCTTCGATCTTGTCCCTCTGGGAGAGTCTAATCTATCCGGTCCTGATGATGCCATGGCCGAAGGTGTTTTCATAACCCTCAATCTCCTGCTCAGTTACGCACATCGACAGAATCAACGTCGCAGGATCCAACCCCCACCGCCAATCTCCGGTCAAAAGAACATAATCCAACCATACAATCTACTTCGTGCCATTCTCACCCGTCTAAAGCACCAGGAAACCGCAGGACAGTTAAATAACCTTCTAAGCCCACTCTGCCGTGTTATGGAGACGGCTGAACTAAAACCCTTACCGACATTCACAGTCACCTCCACACCTGGAATCCCACCCTCACAATACCCCCAAGCAGAACAGACGATGCTCAGCCTAATCGAACGCTTGGAAACAATCGCAACCTTCTCCATGTCTGAAACAACAACCGTCACCATCTCAGCACGAACCTCCCCAGTACGAAGCACCTTCGGCCTCACGCTCTCTCCGGACTCGCCATTAATGAGCATCTGTCCGCCACCTCCTCAAGTTCTAACATCCTACCCCGCCTTAAGGGACTACATCTACTACTTCACCGCATGTGCGATCGCTACATCCATTTCCACAATTCCGTCCAGCTTGGGAATCGATGATGCAAATGTCGAAGCAGAAGCAGGGCATTGGCGCCAAACTCCGCACCCAATGACCCTACGCATGATCCTCCCCACTTCTGCCACGCCATCCAAACTCCCAAGTACGAAACAGCTCTCTATCTCCATCCAACCACTGGCTTCGCGAGGCAGGACGGGGATCAGACTCCGGGCGCATTGGGAATGGAACGGAACGGAGCAAGAGGGGACTGGCACCGGTGGGCGGAAGAGTAGTTTTGGATACCCAGTTCTGATGGAAGATGTGCGGAAGACTCTTAAGGAGGATAGTGAGGCTGGCAAGAAGTCGAAGAGAGGAAAGGGAGAGGATGTTTATGATTGGGTTGCTTGGGAGAAGGAGAGTGGGAAGGACTGGGATGATGGGGAGGGAGAAGTTTTTAGGACGTTGGAGAGTGTGGTAGCTGATTCTGGGAAGTGAAGTGTGGGCTACTCGCCTTAATCTTGAGTGAATGAATTGTAAATGATGGTGAATCATTGTCCCTTGCTACCTTAAAATTCCTTTTTGGAAGAGGCCCAATGCTTTGGTTTACCAATGACATGTCACGAAGCCTCAGAGGAAACAAGAGTATAGTGCAAAGTTTTATATTAGGCTCAAGGTGCTAGAAACACGAGTAGAGCAAGGTCATAACGTATTATTAAGAACGCCACCGAGCCCCCATGCCACGATCATACCAATTCATTTCCGCCCCAAGCAACTTCATGTTACGCCCTATAGATAGAGCAAAGAAAACCAATCCAAATCAAATCAAATCTAATGCAAATCGCTTTTCGCCTCCATCGAAGGCCTTCCGAGAAGGCCAGGTATATGACGCTGAGCACCAGCGCTGTTCAAGAAGCAAGAATACATCGACTGAGTTAACGTGAAAGTAGTATAATGAAGAAATTAAGCTTTCGAAGCAGTGCGGCTGCGAGCTGAGCTAGTTAAGTGTTAGGAATGCAAGGTATAGGGAGAATTTGAGGAGGACTTACCCCTTCTTGCCACGACCACCTTTCTTCTTCGTTTGCGATTCAGTTTCCTCTTCCACAGCTCCTTGAGTTGCCTGAGAGCCACCCTCTGGTGCTTGTTTCTTGACGTTTGGTGCATCGGCAAGGTTGGCATTCTCAGAGAGCTCACCCTTCATAGTAGTGGCAGGCTCGGATGCTTGTTCCTCGATATGTGGTACATTGGCCAAATTGGCATCCTCGAAGAGCTCGCCCTTGACGGCAACGGCTGCTTGGGGATCTCCAGGAAGAGTAGTGTTGGCACCTGATCCCTCGGCAATGACCGCGTTGGAAGATTCTGGAGCAGTCATGGGTGTATCCTCGGATGGCTCCTCCTTGACCGCTTTGCGGCTTCTCTTTGCAGCAGGCTTGGCCTTAGCAACTTCGCCAGTCTCGTCGCCGTTCTCCCCTGCTTCTTGCTTGACTTTCTTTGCACGAGATCTCTTGGCTGGTGTAGGCTTAGCTTCTTCCTCATTACCCTCACCCATGTGCTCGTCCTCCTGCTTGATTACCTTCTTGGCAGGAACAGGTTTGACCTCCTCCTCCACTCCCTCATCCATCTGCTCCTCCTTCCTGACCTTCTTTGCACGAGATCTCTTGGTTGGAGCAGGCTTGGCTTCTTTATTACCACCTTCGTTCATTTGCTCAGCTTCTTGCTTGACAGCCTTCTTCGCACGAGATTCATTGGCCGGAGCGGGTTTGAGACCCTCCTCGTTACCCTCACCTGTCTGCTCATCCTCTTGCTTAACAGTCTTCTTGGCACGAGACCTCTTGGCTGGAGCAGGTGTGACGTCCTCCTCCCCACTTTCACTCAATTTACTTTCTTCCTCTTTCTTGGCCTTCTTGGCCTTCTTAGCACGAGGTTTCTTAACAGGCTTGACCTCTTCGCCGTCTTCATCAACTTCCTTCTTGGCTTTGGTGGCACGCTTCTTCTTTGCAGGCTTGGCATCTTCGGAATCTTCACCCTCTGCTGCGGCTCTGGCTGCATCTTCTTCCTTCTTTCTCTTCTGTGCCGACCCAAGATAAAGACCCCGCTTTCCAAGTTCGTTCATTTCTGGGTCCTACCAGTACCTGTCAGTAAAATTTAGGGCTGGTATCTTGTTTTACATACGCCGTTAAAGTCCTCCGGATCAATATAACCTTGCATGATCACGCGGCGAACTTTGTCTTGTAGATCAGGATGATGAACAAGACTGTCCCGATCATCACTCTCGTAGCCATCGAGCAGCTCCCAATTATAGCCATCGGGGTGGTCGGGATCTGCGAGAGTATCACGTAGATTCTCAAGCTGCTGTCCGGTGACACAGCCCCTGAACTGACGTTAGTTATTGCCCAGAAGAGGTGAAAAAGTCTTACCAGTGTCTCCATGACCAACCAGAAAAGTTTGGACCATCAACCCAACTTCCGAATCGAAGCTCGCCCTTCTCGATCTTGAGACCAGCATCCTTGCATCTCTTAACTGAACATCCAGCCCGCCCAGTTTTTGCGGTTTCTAAGGAAGTACGTCAGCATCGATCGAGGAAGGGGCTGGAGATCATCACGTGCTACCGTGAGCCAAGGTGACGAAAGTGTTAAAAAGAAACCAACCTACCGACGCGATAAGGCATCTTGAGAACGAAGTCTGGATGGCTTGCTTCTTGTAGATTTGAATGACTCCGATATGCTTCCTCTTGAGTAAATCCACTTTCGTGCTCAATCCTGATGACAAGAGCGACACGCCACCAAGGTTGTACCGGACTCGAATGTTTCAAGCCTACAAAGAGCACAAAAGCAGTTGCAGACCACCACGATCCCTTGGATTATCGTCGCCTTCGATGGAAGGTCGAAGAATGAAGTTGTGTTGTGTCGAATTTGATGAAGAAGGTGGAAAGTCCAGTGCCTGGAGGAGATATCGCGGCTTTGCCATGTTAAGCGAGTCGCGTTAAGGTGACCTCACTTCACCTCATAATCGGACTTCACCTCAACACTTACGAACACCAACATACTTCTCGTCTTTAGCGTCATTTCTTCTTTCCCATTAATTGTCTCAAAAGCAGAAGATTTCACATTCTGCCTGTACCAGGAGTGATGGTACCCTGCTCGAGATCAGGTCGTCTATCGATGGCTTGGGCTCCTGCAGGTTTGCAGCCCATGGAAGTCATTTTTTCAAACATTGACTTGCAATTTCAGAAGTAGCCACTTCGTGATATCTGCGGTGCCGGGAGGAAATTTAATAATTGCTGTAAAAGGACTTTACTGTGACACCTAGGGCTTTCGAACACCGCGCCAGGGTCAAGTCGACCCGTCTTGGTTCCCCTTCCCGCTACTTTCATCGTCTGTCATAATGATCTCCAGGCTCCCTCGGAAATTCGTACTCATGCAATATAGCGTCTAGAAGAAGAGCTTTCCACCTTGAATGAGTCATGCGTACTCGGTCGAGCTCGAGCCTGCTCCATGGTGTAAATCAAGTTCGCGAGAACTTGCTTATTTTCGTCCATTTTCTACCTGCTATCTTGGACGATATCATATCAAAGTGATAGTCTGAATGGGAATAGTTTCCTTTGTAGTTGTCTCTATGACGGGTACCTTCCAGTTCAACAATAAAACAGTAATCTCTCTGTATCAACTCTCAATATCATTGTCCAAATCCAAGTCGGATCATCCAAAATGCCTGCCCCCTCATTCACCGAGAAATACTGGAACAATGTCGTCGTTGACGCTTGCTAGTTCGCACTGGAGACTGTCAAACATCTGAATCGGGCTCGTGGTTGGTAAAAAAGAGGCTCTGAAGTTTTGATGTCCCATGTCAGAGGTGGACATTCAGGTAGTCCCGAAGGTCATAGGATTTCAGGAATTTAGTAGTTTTCGGCTGTGAGAAGAGGCAGACTTGAAATATACGACAACTCGAAGGATAATTGCAGGGAAAGGATATGAAAATGTTCCAACTGGGCTTGGGGTATTTTCTTTGCCCAAATTTGCACATTTGGCTTATTGGGCATCGTGCCGCTGCTGTCCCAAAGTTGCAAACCCCGGGATCTGATAGAGTGGTTATGGCGTCTGGCTCGGGGTAGCGGAGCTGACACCTGCCGCCGCTGACTGTAGCCGCCATCGAGCTCGAGGTGAGCATGCTCAAGGGAGAAGAAGGAGTTGGAGGAAGGTCAGAAATGGTGGTATCTTTCGCAATTATTGGTCGCTTATTGGTGAACCAATCATATGCTGCCTTTAAGTGTGCTTATAAAACCTCTGTTCGGATTAATTGGTAGGAACTAGCGAAAATCTTTCTGTGGAACAAAGCATCCCAAGTGCAACTCCATCTCACAGTCATTCCTTGATCCAATCTTCATCCTCACTTCTCCTTACATCGCTTTGTCTTGTTTTATAGCTCTGAGGGGCATGGAAAGCGATAAAACCCGTGCTCTAAGAATCGTTCGAATGTGGAATTTGTACACTCCGGCATCCCTTGAGGCATTCCTCAGCAACGCCGTAGATGGCGACCAGGCTTCAAGATATTTGCTGCAAACATACGCCGATGACGGGAGTGATGCAATTACACGATTTGCAAAAGAATGGTAAGATCTGGTGAGACTTTGTAGGTTTTATCCCTAGAATTAATGAGCACATCGCTAAATGACTCGAAGTCTCTGTGTAAAATCTGAGTTGGGCTTTGAAGAAAAAAGTTGCACGACGAGATGAATGCTGATGTTGCCTGACCGGAGTGCGATGCCGGTTCAGGAGCATTTGGGGTGCGTTTCCCATTATTCGTCCGGCCGCATGTTGTGTACGGAAAGTAGGACAACCCCGACAATAGATTTCTGGAATTTTTTGATTTGGTTTGTAGTAAAGGCTGTATGATATGCTCAGTGCATTCACCACATCTTTCCACCGAGATGTACTCAAAGACCAAACTCTAGAGAATCAGATTCGAAATCGTTGGACTCTAAGCGAGGGCGCGGTAATAGCCTTTTCCAGAGGGGTTATCAGACTCGAACAGCTGGCAGGAACAGAGGTTCAGATGTCTTTCTTCCTTAGTCGTAACCCCACTAACTCTGCGCAGTACGATATCCTCTACAGCAATCATGGCGGCAAAGCTCCCGTAATTTATAGCCTCACCGACGATTCGATTGAGAATGTGATCTACCTGATCACTCAAGCTCTGGAATTGAGAGTCTCAACCCGGAACTTCTTGGACTACACTCTCGATACTATAGGAATCTAAAATGGACTGCCATCACTACCAGGATAAACAATCGTTCATGCTTACGCTGAAGCCAAAACACAGATAGCAGTCACTTCACACAGACGATCACTACTGCTTTTCTCGCTATATGGTCCAGGTTCCCTGACTTCATCCGATTTCAAACATACAGAGTTCTGAGGACTGCTGGATCGTATCTCTATGGGTCTACCACCATAGGAATCTAGAGATTGCCATTCGGGGATATACCTCAAACACGGGCCAGAAATCCACGCAGAACGACATAACGGAGAATTGAACGGTCTCAAACTTCTGCGACGCCAAACTTGCATCCCCGTTCCGCAACCCATCAATCTCCCGCTCTCACGCGCAGAGTCTTTCCTCGTCACATCCCGCGTGGAAGGCGAGCCAGCCGGCATCGCTGTAGACAAATGCAGTGACGAGGAGATGCATCAGATGGCTCGGGATTTACGTTCCTCGATCGCGAACTTACTTGCCATAAAGATGGAGAGACACTCAAAGTACGCTATCACCAACTCAACTGGGGGTCCTTGTCTCGATTATCGCATACTGCATCGGCTGCGACCCAGTAGGACCTTTCACAGCGAGATAGAATTTAGTGAATCATTGCGGCTAAAGATACTTCCTGATTTAATGCATCGTACTGAATACAAGATCATTTTTACGCACACATATTTGAAAATGAGGAATAATTTGGTTAAGGATGGTAGGATTTCCGAGATTGTGGATTGAGAGAATGCGAGGTGGTTTCCTGAGTATGGGAAGTATACTAATTGCCATTTTGGGGTCAGAATATAGAAGAGATGGGTGCAGGTGCTAGGGGCCGTGTTTGAAAATGAGTATGAAGCCGAGTTGGGGATTAAGAGGCAGTACTGGGAATATAGCAGCGCTTGGTAGATTGAATGAGGCTTTGAGGTGGAAGTCTGGAGCGAGATTCTACCACTAATGATTAAGGACATCTGGGTTGAGAAGAATTTGTAGTACAAGTATAAGTTCAAGTATACGGATGGGTGGAATTGGATATATAAAGGCGCTTGGTAAAGAGTTTGAGCGGTTGGGGGAACGCAAATCTATTTTAGAGAAATTAAACGTTAATGAGAGAATTTCTTGCTCCGTCTTGATATTTTCTGAGACAAGGCCGCAATTGGAGTACCAAATAAGTCACGACTTTTGATCTGGTAACTTTGTCATTTTACAGCACGAAAACAGGACAGTATTCCATAGATATAAAACTCAGACCCTCTAAACCTCACAAAAACCGACCCCTCGTTCTTACCCCATCTCACCAACCCTTCCTCCAGACCCCTCTCTCTTCTCTCACATCCTCTCCCCGGTACCCTCCCCACACCTCCCCCAAAAAATAACAGCCAACGTTACTGTAATACTCTCCGTATTCCCCGTCTTAGAACCACAAGTTCAAACCTCATCCGCAAACCCATCATACTTCAACAACACGGTCCCATTACAGCCCTGCCCCCTGTAAAACTTCACCAGCTGCCCATCGTAGAGTATCCGGGCACAGTAGGCTTTTAGCCCATCGGGGATGGTGTTGCGGTCGCAGTTGCCGCAAGTGGATTCCGAGGAGGGGAGCATGGAAGGGGATTAGTAGGAGAGGCCGTCGAGGGAGGGGAGTGTTACTGTTTTTTTAGTTGTTAGTGCCCAACCCTAGAGCGAAAAGAGGTTGGGGGAAGTGGAAAAGAAGATTGATGGGAGGAGTTGGAGGGAGGAAGGTGAAAATCTGTTTCGTTATCTGGATGCAGGATAAGTATCAGATGGAATGTTGAAGGAGTTCTTGGCGCTGCGGGTTGAAGGCACTGGCAGGGATCCAGCAGTCTGAAAAGATTCAATGCAGTAGATATTTCTGAAAAGAACGGCAAAACAAACATACAGCATGACATGTCATATATATCGCGAGAATGCCCACTTGGGAAAAGCAATAACATTCTCAGAAACCTCAGGTCCTCTCCGGACAAACGTTAGCGTTTTATATTCTATCTATTATTATCTTCCATCGTAGCAAGTCCAACAAACGTGCAGATCAACCAGACTCCAAGGCTATGCATGAACCAAGTCCCAATCATCAACCACGTGATCCTCTCCCAGGCATCTCCCTACTCTATAACTTCAACAAGGGGATTTTTGCGTACAACGATTCATAGCCCTTTCCTACCCACCCATCAGCTCTCCCGCCTCCCGCAATTACACCCAATCCACCAGCCATCCACAATGCAGCAAGACCGACACTAATCCCATTGATCGTCCACCACCTCCGCTTTGCCTGTGTCTTATTCCCCACGGGCATCCAGCCATTCCATCTCGCAACACCCCAGACGAAATGTCCAGCTGCAACTCCAATCAACGCAGTATACCCCGTCCACGCAACAAATGGATGTTTCGCAAATCCATGGCTGACGAAACCCAATCCGACGCCCGAGCTCCCACCCTCATAAATCCATGGTAAGAGACGATTTGTAAACGCATGGCCGATGACTAGTGGAGCCAGAACAAAGCCCGAGAGGCTGGACCAAGAAACCGCAGGCCATACCTTTAGGCGCTTTTCAAGGCGGGAAGAGACGGAAATGGTGGATGCGCCGTAGCGGGCGAGATTTGCGTTGCGCCGATGTATTCTCAGGGCAAGGCCTGAGAGGATGTGCGTTGCAATCGGGAGCGTTATGAGGAGGGGTTCAAAGGGGAAGGACTGGTAGTATGGCCGGGTGAGGAGTAGGTATGGTTCTGAGGCGGGGACAGAACGAGTGAAGAGCGGTACAATCGAGGTGTTCGTGAGGTGTATCGATGCATAGACTGTGAATACATAGGAGGAGTATTTCTGCAGACGGGTCACTAAAGAGATTAGTACAGTTCTGTAATTAGAATGAGAGGCGTACGATAATATACAGAGGTGTGTCCGCTTCCGCTGAGGCCTAAGGTCGAAGATCTGGCAGGAGGTGATGCAGCGGGGAGCTCAGGGAGCTGCTTGTCCAGTTCGTATTCGGGCGATTCGATGGGAGAAGGATCTAATTGTTGGAGGGATATGAATGTCTCTTGCGAGGCAGTAGATTCTCGGCGGTCCATTACAAAGTCTAGACGCGTTTAATGCACAACTTTGGAAGACAGCTGTGAGCCTTAGGAGTGAAGCAGTTCAAGCCCAAATCTGTGGCTTTGACCAACCTTCCAGCCTCGGCACAACCTGCTGTCAACAACGTTCCAACAACACAACTTCAGGCTTCACCTATTGACAAGACGACATGCCTCCGGTAAACCCCCAGATATTCAAGTCTTTAATCACCAGCTAATAGAAATAGCGCGGTTTCACCAACCCGGCTCCCAAGACGGAGAGCGCAAGGGAAGCCGTCAAGTCGTTCTACTGTATACTCTCCTCCCTCCCTCTCTCACTTCCTCGGAGGCGCCCGCTCACAATTCCAGGTGAACTATGCAGCAAAGGCTACGCCCGAATGAACGAGTATGAAGCCCATCTCTCTTCCTATGACCACTCGCACAAGCAACGCCTCAAAGACATGCGGCAACTGTCCCGCGATCCCCTCGCCTCTACCAAAGCCCGCAAGGCTGAAGCAAAAGCCAATTCACAATCAGGGCTCATATCTATCAAGCTAGGAGGTGAATCGGGAACTACTGGAGGTGGCGGTGGGTTCAAGAAAGCCGGATTTAAAAAAGCTGGGTTCAAGAGTGCTTTTGCGCCTGCGGAGGGAGAACCTGCAAGGGAGGAAGAGAAAGCTGAAGAAGTGAGGAAGAAGGAAGTGCCCGGACTGAAGATAGACGAGGGTATGGAGGTAGAGAGCGATACGGATGATGAAGGGTACGAGATGTATGATCCAAGACACCCTACGGACTGAAGGCTGGACTTTGAACTATAAATGGTTTGGATGGCCTTCTTTCGGGCGGACGAAGTGGCATTGATCGCTGGAGAGAACATACGCGATCTCCTGCGAAGAGCGAACCCTGGTGATGCTCCTCACATCCTCCTCTATATGGACGCTCGGTGCGAGTTCTTCTGAACAGAGGAAGGCAGCCATTCACAGTCTTGGTCTTGACTCGTTTATGCTATGGCGGCAAAGATGGTTTACGAGAGAAAGCGCCCTATATTTGTATGGAATCAAAAACTGCCAGGTACGACTAGAAACGACGTCGCCACAGTTCGTGTCCTCTGGGAGCAGGGTCCTATTATAGCATACACGTCTGGCGAGCTTTCGGGGCTCTTTAGGTGAAAATTAGGATGGAGACGGATATCAGATCAGGGGAGAATCCCCGCCATCTAGGAGAAGAGACGGTTCGAGTTCCTTCCCAATTTCCTTTCGCGAAGCTCGAACTCTCGCAAGGTGACTCTCCGTTCTGGTCGATTTGCAATATACCCAAGCCGCGTATGTTACGGTTGCAACATGTAATATCAGTATGATGAAGACCAGGAGTTAATTCCGAAGAGATCAGTCTTCATTCAGAAAAGCAATGCAGGTGTCAGCAGGTATCCTTTTGACTATTTCACAGAGCCGCCTAGAAATACACATCTGCCCCTCTATCAAATCCTAGCTCTCCTATTTATAGCCGTAACATCTTCTTGGCATAGTTCTCGATCAAGGTCTCATCCGGGAAGGACATCTGCTCCAACTTCAAAGCATATGGTGTTGGCACCTCAGCACCAGTGATTCTTTGGGCCGGAGCATCAAGGTAGTCGAAGGCATATTCCATGGTAAGTGCGAGGAGCTCAGCACCGACTCCGAAGGCTGGGAATCCGGACTCAACAGCCAACAGGCGGTGGGTCTTCTTGACCGATTTGACGATTGCTTCAACATCAAGGGGTTTGATGGAGCGGAGGTTGATGACTTCGACTTCAACGCCATATTTCTTCTTCAAAGCTTCAGCAGCGACCAATGATTGGCCAACGCATCTGGAGAGTGTAACAATTGTGAGATCCTTTCCGGCACGTTCAATCTTTGCCTTTCCGAAGGGAAGAACGAAGTCGTCTTTTTGGGCGGCTTCACTCATGGGGAAGGATTGACCATAGAGTAGTTCGTTCTCGAGGACGCAGACCGGGTTTGGATCTCTGATAGCTGCCTTCAATAACCCCTTGGCATCTTCCGCGCTCCATGGAGTGACAACTTTGAGACCGGGTATGCTTCCATACCAAGCTGAATAATCTTGTGAATGTTGTGCTGCAACGCCTGATGCGAAACCGTTGGGACCACGGAAGGTGATATTGCAGGGTTGAATTCCGCCGGACATATAATGAGTCTTTGCTGCTGAATTGACAATTTGATCAATTGCTTGCATAGCGAAGTTGAAGGTCATGAATTCACACTGTATCAACTTTAGCCATTGCTTGTCGCGTCGGAAATTTCGCAACCTACGACGGGATGTAAGCCAGCCAATGCTGCGCCAACTGCCAAACCACAGAACCCAGATTCGGTGATCGGAGTATCAATAACTCTCTTCTCTCCGAATCTATCCAGTAAACCCTTGGTGACTTTGTATGCGCCATTGTACTGAGCAACTTCTTCACCGAGAATGAACACCTTGGGATTCAATTCCAATTCTTCTGCCAAGGCTTCATTCAGCGCATCTCTGACTGTATATTCCTTCACACCACTCTCCTTCGCATATCCTCTGTTTTGCACAATCACCGGGACTCGGGGTGGGGACTGGAAGGCACTTCGAGCCACTGGTCGGGCGACGGAGGATGATACCAATCGAGAAGCTGGCCGCAAGAGTCGTGACATCTTAATATGTTGCCACAGCTGGAAGAAAGAAAAAAGGGTCGATTGTGGTTGTGAGGAATGCGATTGACAGCTCCTCAGAAATAAAATTCCGGGCGAGCTTCGTTGGGATGGAGCAGCTTGTTGGATTCACGCTAGTTCCAATTTTAGGCTAGTGGCGGGAAGTCAAGGGAACGATTGTCAGGACAAAAAACACATCAAACTTCTAACCTCTTTCACTTCTCCCCTACATTCCCTCCTCTTCATATCCAGGGATAAGAAGACACTGCAAGACTCACAGATGAGAAACAGTCCGAAAAAAAGGAGGAAAGAAGGGCAATTTGGTCAAATTGCTGAAGCCACCACTTTCCTCCTCCAAACAACAGACGCACGCATCTCTTCCCTCGATATTGACGAAGAAAAAAGGAAGCCCTTTGATGTCATTGGGGGGTTTTTTTGCTTTCCTGATCTTTTCCTCTTACATATACCATTTGCGGAAACGATTGTTTTTCTCCTAAGGAAGCGTCTCCCTTGGCTGATGTCAGGAAGGCCCGAATGTGTCGAGCTTCGTATTGGGGAAATACAGCTGACACACTTTCCACCTAAGGCTCATATCTATTCATTTGTAAGTCCTGGATATGTGAGAATACTTTTGCTTTTATTTGTACTGCCCGTTTCAGCTCCAAGAAAGGACATAGAGAGAACTGGACTTTTCAAAAATTTATGACTTCAAAGAAACAGGTCATCTGGATGTTTCTCTCTAGTTTAATTTCTTTATATAGTGCCATCAATATCTTGCATTTCCAGTCAGTCTTTAGTCCTGCACAGATGATCGTGCCAACTGGATGCCAAGGCATCTTGCTGGACTTCAGTTGATCAGAAGGTGTTCACTACCTTGCCTTCGAGGTAGACGGCTACTTATCCTTTGACCAGAGCTTGTCGAATTGCCTATATTGAAGCCAATCTTCTGGGTTTGTGTTGAGCTACGAGGTAGAGTTAGTAACAGGGGATAGTCAATTTCAGCCAACTGCGGCTCTCCTGTGAATAACTCAAATTAATAAAACAACATCGAAAAAAAAAACTAGCTGGATGAACCGCCAAAATCCACTCGAGAAAGGTTGGCCGAGGAAGAGAAAAGAGTGTGGGGTTTCGCAGAAGGATGAGGTACGGAGGTGATGCATGGCTCAGCAAGTTACAGTTGCTGGATTTCAGGCCCGGTAGGGCTTTCCAAATTGTGGATCGAATATGCATACTCATACACAAGATCCGATCAGAAGTATACGATAGAGAATGAAAGCATACGTTGGTGTGTTCCCAAGCGCGTCCAGCTGCAGATGGCATAATTTGCTAAAAAGGTGGATGTTAGCCTTATTCGTGAATAATATTAAGCACCGGAGTACCAAGGAATTCTTTTGTGAAATGACTGCTTAGAATAGTCATATATTTCCTAGTTTTGTGGTCCTTGTTGACTTGGATCACGTTCTCTACCTCCCTCGTGATTGGAATCACATGTCCGCAGCCTGGCGGCGGGGCAAGGCTGCTAAACCCCAGCCAACCAATCATTGACCCGCTCCTTTCTTTGTCTCTCTACACCTGGAACATCAAGACTGCGTCACGTCTCCAAGAACAATAATAACTTGGTTGCCTTGCTCCCAGCAACCTTGGCCTCGACTTCGGCTTCGACCTCGATACTCGACCTTGCAAACAACATCTCCGAAACGAACAAACGTCACAATTCCGCAGCGATGAACTTCATCCACAGCACCCTCGACAAGGTGCGTGAGTGGGCGCCCGTCTCGCACACCTCAACCTTCCGCCAAAACGGGCAGATCACGCCCGAAGAGTTCGTCGCAGCGGGCGACTACCTCGTCTACAAGTTTCCGACCTGGTCCTGGGCAGATGCTTCACCGATCAGCAAGCGCCTCTCTTATCTGCCTGCTGGAAAGCAGTTCTTGGTGACGAGAGGCGTGCCATGTCATCGCAGACTTGATGATAATTTTGCTGGAGAGGCAGGACATGACGAGACGATGGTGGGCGATGGCGAAGATTTCAATACTGGGGCACCGCATGCGCCTGGCGATGATGAGGATGGCTGGCTGAGAACCGGGGGACTGGCTGCGAGCCAAGAAGCAAGAGTCAGAGATGTGAGAACAGTGGATGAAAGTGGCAATATGGGTGAGCGGGAAGAAGACGAAGAAGATATTCCTGATATGGAGGACGAGGAAGATGATGAGGAAGCTATTATTCGAGATCCTAAAGCGGATGGTGCTGATTCGTAAGCTTTACTTACCGTCCGACTCTCTGGACTCGAAGCTGATTATCCGAACAGAACGCGCCGTACCTATACTATCTACATCGCATATGCACCCTATTACCGTACTCCACGCCTCTATCTTTCCGGCTACCTAGCCAACTCACAACCTCTTCCACCACAACTCATGATGGAAGATATTGTTGGTGACTACAAGGATAAGACCGTCACACTGGAAGACTTCCCGTATTTCAGCAACAATATCAAGATGGCATCCATCCACCCATGTAAACACGCCAGTGTTATGAAGACTCTCCTCGACCGAGCAGACGCAGCACTTAAGATCCGAAGAGAGAAGCTGAAGGCGGGAAAGATCTTACCGGGAGCCAAGGATGCGGGAATGGAAGGCTTGGTCGATGATTTCGGAAAGACGGGAATTGAGGATAAGAAGGCGATGTTAGAGGGGATGAAGGCAGGTGGAAATGGGAATGATGAGTGGGAGGTCTTGCAACATGATGCGGAAGCGACGCACGATGAAGAGGTTGCTATTCGGGTGGATCAATACCTGGTTGTCTTCTTGAAGGTATGCTTCTATGATTATCACTCCATGTGTCCATTGCTAACTACGAGACAGTTCATGGCAAGCGTCACACCAGGCATCGAGCACGATTTCACCATGGGGGTTTAGATCATTACGAGCCTTAGAGTTGTTTAGTTTTCAGCATTACAGTTTGGGATATCGGAACTGGGTCAGGTCATGCTTTGGGATCTCCGGCGTCGAGGAACAGGACACGATTATGTTGTGCAGTACATAGCGTAGAAATCCATTTCTACTCTCTTCGAGTACTCACTATCCTCCTTCTCCGATCTTAACCTTTCTTTCCCACAGCACCAAATCGCATAACAAATCCAAACCACACATTGATGCCAATCCATTTCTTTCCCCGTTCCCCAACAACCGCCCCTAAATCACCTTCAGTAATAGCCCTCTCGCCCACCTCTCCTACCACTTCAAAGCCCCACTTCTCCCCTTCCTCGATCGCCTCTGAAATCTCATGCGCAAAACTATGCCCTCGGATCTTCTCACCCGTGACCTCATCCACGAAACCAGCTTGAGAGATACGTCCCATATCGGCATGCATATTGGTTAACAGGAAGTACCCGCCTGGCTTCAGAAATGATTTGACAGTGCGAAAAAATACATCAAGTGGTAAATGCTCCAAGACCAATGTTGACAGCACGAGATCTGCTTTGCCTTCCAGAGCGTTTATCTCTGGAGATAGCTCTGGGTGTAGGGCATCGAATTCGTGGAATCCAACGGCAGGGGGCGCGAGCAAGACGTTTGAGGCATTTGCTGTGAGGTGAGTTTCGCAGCGTTGTTTTGCTACCATGAGCATTCCCGGGGAGAGATCGAGCGCCGCGATTGAGGTAATTTGTGGTAATGAGGAAGAGGGAGACAGGAGCTTGGCGGTGTTGCGGCCGGTTCCGCAACCTAGTTCTGTGATTGTGATTGGCATGTCCGACGGGAGGAGGGTGAAGACAAAGTTAAGAAGCGCTGGGAGCATCACGTCGTCGACGCTTTGGAGTATGTTGCCATCTGTATCATAGACCTGTTGGCGTGTTGCTCTTAGGACTCTGAGAACATATATATATATGAAGAGTGAAGGAGTGAGGATGTGAGAGAAGGTGGAGTCACGCACTTTGGCCCAGCGGTTGTACAGCTCCGCATTTGTCACTGACTGGATGGGACGGGACGATGCCATTTTGAGTGTTGTGATGTGTAGAAAGATTGAGAATTGCGCTACGTCAAAAATGCTATGAGAATATCTAAGAGTACCGAAGATATGAAAGAAAGTTCTCAACTTTGAGAAAGTAGAATTGATAAGGTCTTGACTCCCCACGCGGCTTGCAGTAAAAAAGCGGAATGACTCATTGCCGACCAGGGGATGGAGATATTCACAGAAGTCATATTCTTCCATCTCCCACACAGTTCTAGACTTCTAGTTTTTGAAATCCTGAGTTTGGAAATTACCCCGAATTGTGGATGTTGCTGCAGGAAAACTCTCGGTCTGGAACCCCTTTTCCCAATCACGTGATTCGTTTGTTTGCCCAAGGAGGAACCGCCCATCAATTCCAAACAGAAAGTCGACATGAAAAGTGAACTATGGACAGTTTCATTTAATTTTGAGCAGCTCAGCCTCGCAACTGCCTGGAAAGGACTCACATCCCATCTCTCCGTTTGCTGCCGGCTAATTTAGGTTTGCTCGCCTCATCCCCACCTCTCACAGTCTGTCTTCATTGGTCGCCTTCCGTCAGTCGAAAAGGAGTCCATGACCAAACGGAGAACAGACCGAAACGTTTGAGCAGCAAGCAGGCTTTCAATTGCGTCTGTCTCCTCGATATACTTGCGTGAAACAGACTGCCCAGGATCCATGGCAGCGGACGACAGCAAGCCAAATAAGCTCCTTCACTCCATACTCCATCGACTCATCCCAGCCCTCCTCTCGGTAGCAATTACGAATTCGCCCAAATAGGCAATCAGATCGAAGCACGAGCCAAGTGCTGCCAATCCCAAAATCGAGGCAGAATTGTTATTGTATATTTACTTCTTTCCCATCACTGTTTCCGAATTGCTGTACAGGGCAATTCGCTGCTGGGATCAATCAGGACAAAGACAATGCCGCCCAACGGCAAAACCAATGGGCGATTCCAACTTCCCCAACTTACTCCTGTAAACTATTCTCTCACAGAGGGCACCAACATACCACCGCCTCCTGATTCTCCTGTCGAAGAGAAGCCGCCACCTCCTGCGCCGAAGCTAGAAGTCGTGGAAAACTCTGTGCCAGCAACGAATAGACAATCCCTTGCGCCGAATAATTCGAATGGGATCTACGATGGCCGCGGTCGAACGAGCAGCCACGATCAGCCACCCATGAGCCCTGCCTCTTCGAAGAGGCCGAGCAGCATTCGGAGGTTCCTATCGAGGAAATCCCTGTATTCGAGTTATTCGGATGGCACAGATCACAACGACGAGGATGTGACGATGATGGACAGGCCCGAGAGCTCGCTGAGCTTCGTGGATGGCAGACCGGGACTGAGGACAAAGAAGAGTGGAGGCTGGTTCAGACGTATAGGAAGTGGATCGAGTGGGAATAGATCGAGCGTGGTATATGAGGAGAAAAAGGTCCCGATGGGTCCTCCGCCGCCCAAACTACCCGAGTTGAATCAATTGAAGGCGAAAATCCCGGAGGACGATGAAGGCAGTTTAGGTGCTGACGATATATTCAAGAATATTAAGTAGAGCGGGAGTATTGTGATGTTGGATATTGCAACGCGATCAACGGCTAGATGTTGGATGGTCACCAATGGTCGCATGGCTCACGACGTTTCGAGACTTAGGGGGGTGGGAGAGTAAGGGAAGACATGAGATACCCGGCTCGAAGAGAGGAGCACCACTCTTTTGGATCGTTTCTTTATTTGGGTGCTGTATGCTGTATAGCGATTATTCGGTATCTCGGGTGGTAGCCTCATTCAAGGCTTGGTAATGCCCTAAGCTGGCAGCATTTGTAATACTGGCAGACTCTTGGCTTACCATGAAGCTCTCTTTGTGGTTTAAAATTCATTTGTTAGTATTGGGTTGGAAAAGAACGAATCACTTGGTTTCCTTTGTGTAAATTTTACCTACTTGCGCCGCCCTCTGTCTTCAAGGTCAATTTTGTTCGATTTTCCGGTCTCTACTGGCAAGTCCTGCAAGGTACTAAATATGTATTGAGATGCCTATTTGTTTTTGGAATAACCTTTACGTGACAGTTCTGTATGGATGTGGAAGTTTGCCAAGCTCAAGGCCCCTGGAGAGCTGTTGATGGCTGAGCTGAACTCACCCCGCCATCCACATCAGCCAAAAGAAAGTTCCAGCTGTCAATGCCTCAGCTTCTAGAAGGCTTTTATTTGCATTAATCGACGCGTTCTCAGACCTTTCCAGCGGTCCTAACTTACCAGACACGTTCGGCCGTGCTCAGCCACGTGCTTTGGCCCCTGCAGCATTTGTAAACTGCTAACCGCAAGACGTCATGTTCGCTTTGACACAAAAGCTTCAATTGGCTGATGAAAGCCTCCAACCTTTACAACTACAAAACGACCTTACACAATGGCCTTGCAGCGTGCTGTAAGAGCTGGCCAGAGCTCCGCCACATCTCTACCAAGAGCATTGGCTCCTCGATATGGACCGACAATGTGCAGAAGGCACAAGTCTGGTCCCTATGGCTACACGCAAGCTAAAGCTCTTGTTTACTCAAAATACGGAGAGCCATCTGATGTGCTATCGTGAGTCCTCGAGATATATTGATCTATTGCTCCTGCACTGCTTGCAATCCAATGGCTAATCTTGCACCAGTCTCCACACTCACTCGATCTCCCCCTCCCTCCCATCCAGCGCCGTCCTCCTCCGCACTCTCGCAAGCCCAATCAACCCAGCAGATATAAACCAAATTCAAGGCGTGTACCCCGCCAAGCCACCTTTTACATCCCTCCTCGGGACCTCTGCTCCCAGTGCTGTTGGCGGCAACGAAGGCTGTTTCGAAGTTGTGTCTGTTGGCTCACACATAAAATCCGTTTCGAAAGGCGACTGGGTGATCATGAAAAACACTAGTTTCGGAACGTGGCGGACACATACATTAGCAGGAGAGAAGGACATTCTCAAAATTGATAGCAAGGAGGGCTTGACACCTCTCCAGGTTGGCACAGTCTCAGTGAATCCATGCACAGCCTATAGAATGCTGCAAGACTTTGAGGAGATGAGAGAAGGAGACTGGTTTATTCAGAATGGGGCGAATAGTGGTGTTGGCCGAGCTGCCATACAATTGGGAAGGCAGTGGGGGTTAAAGTCGATCAATATCATTCGGGATCGGCCAGATGCAGTAGCGACTGAGGCAATGAAGAATGAGTTGCTCGAATTAGGAGCTACGAAAGTTGCCACAGAGAGCGAACTGATGGACCAAGGTTTCAAAGAGCAAGTCAAAGAATGGACATCTGGTGGCAGAGAGCTGGTCAAGGTGGGGCTGAATTGTGTAGGGGGAAAGCCGACCTCTGCTCTAATAAAATGCCTTTCTCCCTCAGGGCACCTCATCACTTACGGAGGCATGTCAAAGCAACCACTGGCACTACCTACCAGTGCTTTGATATTCAAGGACATCAAGTTCAGTGGATTTTGGGTCAGCAGGTGGAGCGACGCACACCCAGACGACAAAAAGAAAACAGTCGAAGAGGTTCTCAAGATGACGAGGAAAGGCACATTCAAAGATATCCCGGTACAAGAACTCCGGTGGGACTGGGGAACTGAGGAGTCGACACTCAAGGAAGCTGTTCAGGGTACATTGGGCGGCTTCAGGGCTGGAAAGAGCGTCTTCATCTATGGAGATACATGAAACGGATAAAATTCATTCTGGCCGACACATCAGGTCCCTTTTCGATCACGGCATCATGTGTTCGTACGGCATGAAGCCCAGTGATCTATGTTCACCATGGGTGGTGAGTGCTGAGGCTATCAGGTTGAGTTAATGAGTATCCTAGTCAGATACTTTTTATTTTCTGGATCTTGCGGACTGATCCTCTTTCCCAATAAAAACGTGAAAGAGGCGAGCGACTGCCGGTTTAGCATTCCACAAGTTCAGGGGTGGTCGGTTCGGAGTGCAAAATCACCTCACCGGCTGGTGATCGTAGCCAATGGTTCGACAAGGTTGAATGGAAGTTGGCCATTCTCCCTCAGGGACGGTACTTGGAGGCATTGAGCCACATGGCCAAGGCGAATGAGGTATTGGTATGTCATGAGATCAATAAGTATCAATCTCATAACCAGATTCTGAAGTTCTTACATTTCTATGTTATTTTGTTTGTGAAGTTCGATTTGTTTGTCATTCCTAGTGTGCCCCTCCTTGAGCGAGCACAACCAGAACGGCGGCAAACATGATGTTTCCAGATCTCTCCTGACATTATCACTATGCTCCGATATCCCTCGAAGTGCCCACGCTTTATCCCGTGGCATAGCCCGGCTTCCTATTAGAGCAGTAGCAAAAGATTCTACTTCCAAGAGACAAATTCATGAAGCTATAAAACTCGATGTGGCTCAAAATAGATCCCTTGTTACGAGTAACTCAACTCCATTCTACTCGAACGAGCTTTAATAGTATTCCACAGTTGGAGTTGGAACCCACCCCCTAGAAGGCTACTGTTGAATTTGACACAGGTTCTTCTGATATGTAGGTACTTGGTCCACAATATTTTCCCGAAAAGTCTACGACCGCGAAAGACCAGCGAAGGGGCGCAAGTTCAAGATCAACAGTTTCTTGTTGCGAATATGACGAATCATTTCGAAATGGGGCTGATGGGGGTTGGACTTGGCGCGTTATTCTTCAACAATATCACTTTTACTAACAACTACACCCTGCAATCCCGTGCACCAAACATTGTTGATCAAATGGCTGCCCAGAGTAATAGCAGCAGCAAAACGTTCGGTCTGGGTCTGGGGAACGAAACACAAGGTGAATAAGAATCGCCTATTCGACCATTAAGCTCGCCTAATGGAACAGGATCTATTATCTTCGGCGGCATTGATACCAAGAAGTATATTGGCACACTGGGCGAGTACCCTATGATCCCATGGGAGGTCTCTCCTGACAAAACTCCTCGGCATGTGATCTATCTCGGCGATCACAATATGAACTGTAGTAACCTAAAGCTCAACATGTCCTGAATGGCTGTCCTCAGAAGATGGGATACCACCTTTACCCACTTCGATGGGCCTTGACCGTCTTCCTTGCAGGTGCGCTTATTTCCACCTTGCTTTGCTAGTTTTTTGATCTGAAGGTTCAGAGCGCGGGAGCTCGTCGGGGGCAGCCATGCCTCTTTGCCATCAAGCCTTAGCTTCTGAACCCCTCCTCAAGGTCAGAAGTTTTCATACTAATTCGACGTTTGTAGTGCAACACCGATGTCGTGTCTCCCTCTCAAATTGTACAGCCCCTCGTCTCAGCAACTGGCGAAAAGTTATACAGCAATAGCAACAGCACATATTACGTCGATTGCTATCCCTGGGACGACTACCAGGGCAACTGGGATGGCAGCATCGGGTTCAGCTTCGGCAACCTGACTATCAGCGTACCAATGAAGTAGTTGCTTACTCCTAATAAAAATGGATGGTATGCTTTAGGTGTAGGGCAAACAAATAACCCATACGATACACCGTATATGCTTTGTGATTCCTTCCTGGGGTCTGCTTTTGGTGAGTTCCAAAGCCTCTTTCGTAGCCTCTCGGCTAACATCCTTCAAGTCGTCTTCGACCAAGACGTCCAGGACATCCATCTCGCCCAAAGCGCAAACCGCGGCACGAACCTCGTGCCACCGGCAAGGGCGTCGACGCTATGCCGTCCCTGCAAGGTGACTGCAAAGCCTCAACCGTAGCAATTGTTGCTAATCCAGCTGTAGTAGTCAGTTACGCGTAACCAGTCATTATAGCTGCGCCTAAACGTTACAACTCAGCCAAAGGCGACGAAGAAGCCCGGTGCTGCCGGGGTTGCTGATGGTGAGAATTGACGAGCGAGGGGAAAGAGTTGGTGGGATAGGTAACGCCTTTCATTTATACGTACATATCTATGATGTATGCCTTTTACTGCCACGTACTTTTGAACGCTGGAGGCGAAAAGACAAGAGGTTCAATCAACAGGGGCTGAAGAGGATCGGACGGTACTCTGATCATGAAAAATGTGGGAAAGTGAGGAACTTCACTCAGCCTAGGAGGAGACGGCCATTTAGCATACCGCACATAGAAATAAAAGTGAACGATATTCGCATACAGCGGCTGGTGTAGAGGGTCGCAGTCCATGCATTGACTATCTATCTCAGCCTCAGCGTATCATGTGATCATCCCAGTGAAAGCAAACCAACGCCACTAAACCGCCCATGCAACCAGGAAAGGCCGCGAAAACACGAGAACGAGTCTCCGCCCATCAAAAGAAAAGGATCAACCATGTCTCTGCGCAGCATCCCTGAAAGCCTCTTCCTGCAACGCCAGAAGTTGCTCTGTGGACAAGCCACTTGACTCGAGTTTATTTGCTTTCTTCTCTCGGCCCTGCAACGAATTGAGTTAATCATACCCTTCGAACCAATGAGCGAATCTCAAAAAAATTCACATACCTTCAATTGCTCCTTATGCTCGTTTGCAACCTCCATGATCTCCTGAACGTATGCTCCGAAACCCAACTGCTCCAATGCCTTTGTGATGTGATCACACGCAATAGTCTTCTTGCTTTCCTTCTCGCTAATGTCATTCGCTTCTGACGATATCAAGGTGATGAACTCGACGCAGCATTCGATGAGGAGATCCCGAGCATCTTTTCCGAATACGAGTCCTGATGATGGTGGCAAGATTTCGGTGACGATCTTTTGTACGGTAGCTGCAAAGACAATCGAAGTTAGCAGATCCTTCTTGAAAGGATAAAGCGGTTTCCGGACGGCATTTCCGTTAGGCATGTACGCCACTGATGACGAATAATCTCTAACACTTAGGCCTTGACCGATGGCTTGGTTCGCAGTCTCCCGATGAATTAGTTGGTTTCGTTGAGTTCTCTCAACAGGAAGTTTAGCAGTCCGTCTGGCATTTTCGGAAGTGCATACGTAATTTACTCCATTTTGGTGTGGTGAAAGCTAAGGCTGTGTGCGGAGTCATGTCCATGGTGAAGGAGGGATAAGGGAAGGGTTTACCTTTTGGTAAGGACAAGTCATCGTTTCCTATATTTGACAATTTCATGTTAGCAAGACCAAACCACAAGTATATGAGAGCCGAATGGAGGTAAACAATAAGACAAAGACTGTATAGCCACCCGGACGCCCATCGGGATAGTGCAATGAATGTAATAGAAATACAATAAAAATGTCATGATGTGGCGCTGGAGGTCATCAAGTGGAAGCGTATGACAGGGTCATGTTACTGAATGCAAATGTCCTCAGCCGTCACAGAGTTCGAGTCTTTGTTGGTGGAACCGTGGGCGCCGTCCTGAACAGGGCTGTTGCTGTGGAGCTTTATCGGCTGCCAGTGTATTCGATCAATCGATAAGCAATACACATCTTCTAGTGGCCCATAAATACCTCTTTTCGCGTCTAATGCAGTCCCTTCTCGCAACTATTCGCAAGTTTCGCGGTCATCATATTTGCAGCGCCGACTTTATTATCGCGGGAAGGCTTCGGAAAATGACAGTCCCCGGAGTCCTTCGACCAGCTTCTTAAAATTGTGAATAGTGAGAATAATCTTGATGTTCTGTCGATGCCTAGCATCGTCAGGGAGCTTCCCCAAGCGACCACCAAAAAAGATATCCAATAAAGTTCGCACCACCAAAACGACCAATATCAAAAACAGCAAGTGCGACCCGGACTCGGAGCGTCGAAAAACAAACACACTAACCACCAAATTCCCTGTCCGACATTTTGCCCTGTTTAGCTGCTCAAAATTTACGTGCGAAGAGATCTGAAGAGGGTTGAGTCTTGAAAGCGAGGGAGAAGCTGTTGAGAGTCTGTCATGAGATTTCGTGATTGATATCAAATTTCGGCCTTGTGGTCGAGACTTCTTTTCGGGGTGGACGAGGCGTGAGTATTTATGCGAGGCTGGAGGTGCCTGCCGAGAATGGTGGGTTCACTGCACTATTCCGAAAAGGGATGTGCAGGCATTTATTCTGTCCTTCAATCACGTGGCTTTCCATGGACCATTTCTGATGATATTTCTAGCTTCACTGTGATCAAGTAATTTTTCCGTAGGCTAATTAACGGTGTATAATCAGAAGTTCGTCATCTGCTTCAAGCTTCATTGTACAGTAATATAGGTGGCATAACTCGTACTTCATACAATGTTACGTACACCTGAGAATGCACGAGAACCCTCCCATCTATGCATAATACACAGTACATCTCCAAGTCATCATTCGACACTTGTGGGAATCTTGACCGTTCCCCTGCTGCGATCCATGTGAGGATGCCCATATCTCCACCCAACGCCCTTGAACCCTCGCCCATCCTTTCCAGCAGCATCAACGCTGATTTCCGTGAACCTGAACTCCACTCTTCCAGTATCTACCTTCTTGACAGCTGCTTCCTTCTTCGCCTTCTTTGCTTCCGCACGCTGTCTCTTGCGTTCGGCTATTTCATCTCTCTCCATTTGCCGCTGCTGCCTTTCTTCTTGCGACAAACCTGCCTTATAGTCTTTATGCATTTCTGCCAGCTCAGGATGTGGGACTCTGAGATCTGCTGGGAGTAATCTCTCGTCGAAAACCTTAGCAGCATCTTCTCGCGTGAAATGTCTTGATTCGGAAGTTGGATGGAAAATTTGTGTTCCGGTCTTTCTGTGAACTGGTAGGTCGTTGATAGATTCGTGGGGTTTGGCGTTGGTTCTACCCGTAGGATCGTAAGGAGTCTTCGGCAACATAGACATTACAGCTTCGTGATATGGCTTCGCCAGCGGTCGTCCCTTGAGTGCTTTAGATTAGCAAATGATATCGGAATTTGTGACATTGCAATTGATGTGAGAGTGGAACTTTCAGAGAGGCTCGCATGCGTAAATTTTGTAACCATGTAGTTGTCTTAAAGACTAATCGATTTTTAAGAGATCATCATAAAGGTGTGAAGAGAGGAAAATACAGGCAGAACTTACTGTTTGCTCCCACTCCTTCTCAATCTCCTTTAGTCGTACCACAGCTCCCACACGACTCATCTCGACCCCGAGCTCGGCACTGACAACTCTGACAGACTTGCCATCCTGCATGACTCTCTTCCAGATCTCTTCCCGCAGATCATCGCTAAGCACCGGCTGGCTGACGAAGCTCTTATTCAAAGGAAATGGGGTCAAATCCCTCGTAGTCTCCGGCGGTATTTCACCTTTGAATTCTTTGGCCTCCTCTGATTCCCCCGACTCTGATGCGCTCGAGTTCGCAGGCTCATTTGCCTTACCCTCTTCCTTTTTCTTCTTTCTCTCCGCCTCGGCGGCTGCTTCGACGACTCTCTTCAGCTGTCCTTGAGCGTTATAAGCACCCAGGTAATTCGTTGACCCGTTCAATGGGTTCAAGAAGTTTTGTCCTTGTGAGCCAAGCCATCGGAACAGTTGCCGTCGATTTCGAGTTATTCTTTGATCTTGTCGAGGAGTCGTCGAGAAGGATCGTGTCGATTGTCCAGCTCTACAGAGCTGCTTCACACACGTTGAGGGAAGTGAAGAAGTACAACGTAACGGTGGTGGCATTGCGAACGCACCCAATTGACATCGGTTAGCTGTTTGCACACCAGCGGTGTTTTACACAATGTGGTGAAGGATCAGATTTGGTGAGCACAGACATCGCGTAGTTGGAGAAAAGTCTCGCGAGGAAGGCGCCTCAAGAATTTAGCGTATGGTCACGTGAAGCCACTTGTCCTCGCTTTGTTGTTTCCTGGGCAATTTGACAGAGATGAGGTTTAATCTTGCGTGACGAGGCTCAGAATATCTATATTCGAATTGGAGTATACTATCTGTTCTTCAAATTTGGGAAAGCTCATACTGTTGAAGGAAGGGCTTCGGCAACCTGCCAAACATCCACGAAACGTTCTATTCCGACTTTCTATATTCTCTTCTGCGGGAGAACATCTATAAGTTTTGTTGAAGCTTCATATGCACAGCAGGCTCCTCGACAATCAAATTTTTCCGTATTTTCTCCACCTCTTCCTTGGTCAAGCCGCACTTCTCGATAACATATTTCTCAGCAGACCCAAAGTTCGCTCTGATCATCTTTAGAGTGGCCAACATATTGGCAGCCCTAAAAATTATCAGCATCCAGAAATACTCAAGAGCAATACCCAAAGGACCTACTTGGCAGAAATCATATTCCAAGCACCCTCCATGTTCCCCTTAAGAGCAGGATTATCCATCAAATGCTCAATAACAGATTCCTTCCACTCCCTCGTCAACCCGATTTCTGTGAGAGAATATTCACGAGCGACAACTTCATCATCCACGCCACAAAGTGATAAAACTATGGCACAAATCACCCCAGTCCTATCTTTCCCTGCCGTACAATGAACAATCAGAGGCTTCTCTGGCTCATTTGCGAGATGCAATAAAATAGTTCTGTAAGAAGGAGGAGCATTATTCATGATATCAGAATAAGCTCTTGTGAAGCCCTACTTCGAATCAGAAGATTCCCAGCAAAGTTTTCGGAAATACTACCTCTGTCCCACTCGTGGAATAGTCTTTATACCTCACAGCCAGGTTTTGTGGGCTGTAATCCTTGTCTGTAAAAACAGGGACGAATACTCTCTCGCATCCCTCCCACTCCACCACTCCTCCTCGGCCTGCTACTTGAGCTCGCTCGATCTCGTTGTTCGATCTCAGGTCATAGATATGGGTGATTCCCAGTCTTTGCATTGTTGTGATTCCATCGTTGGTAACCTGTGAGGGTTCTCCACAACGGTAAATCACTTCCCTGCGAACCAAGTGGTTGGATGGCGAGGCAATAGGATAGCCTCCCAAGTCTATAAGAATGAACAAATCAGTATTTGCAAAGATAATCTGGGAGAACTGAGAGATTCTCCTCGAATGACTATGAAACTGTTGAGTCTGGCAAATGGATTTCTCCCCCACCCTTCGTACCTACCCCGAAAATTGGGGATCCCGGCTACAGTGATAAATGGCGGGGATGGCAAGGCTGCAGGTTCGGCGCCTTCCGTTGAAGTAGTCATAGCTTGTCACTTTGGATTTGCCAAATGAATTAAGTTTAGTGACAGGAACGTCGAGTTAAAAGGAGTTGAGGGAAAGCCAACATATGCGGAATCAGAGGAAAGTTGCCGCGGCCGGCAGACGCCCCTCCATTCTCGACCCCAGGCTTCGGATCAAACTTCATCAAACTTCAACAACCGTGCAAATTAACACATTTAGCCTTGCTTTATAAGCATTAATACAAGTGCTTAGACATATCAAATGAAACAAGGCTACCCACGAGGCTGAAAACCTCCCTTCCCTCACCGAATTCTGATGATTTCAACCTCCCTAACTCATCCACCGCCACATCCTCCCTCTCAACCCTCTACCCTCCACCCTCCACCCTCCACCAAAATGCCACACATCGAAGACACTCAGCCAATCTCCCAAGAGGACCCCTCCACTACCTCAGAGAGAACACACCAAATCCGAATCAAAAACCGTCGAAAACTATACCTCGATCGCCACCCCTCCTACTTTTCATCTCCTGATCTTGAATTAGCGGGTACTCCCCCCACCCCTATTCCAAGACCAAAGCTGACATATTTCAGATCCGTTACTATACGACCGCTGCATCCGACGCTTCCAAACCGCCGCTGAGCGCGAAGCGGACGGGAAAGCAAAAGGGTATTCCGGCGTCTTAGAAGCAGATCTCTACCGCAGTGAAGCAAAGCTCGCTGCCTTAGCCCAGTCAACGCATCCTCCTCCTACCATAGACAACCTCACCATCTCCTCTTCTTCCCCTTCTTCTTCGCTCTTCCAACCCGAACCTCTGATCCCCTTTTTGAGTTACCTCCGCGGCCCAAACGGAGAGATCATAGGCGAGGACGGCGAGGAAGTCAAGAGCCGGGAAGAGGGGCAAGAGAGGTGGAAATTCGAGATGACTGTTCGATTTCTGCGTGGCGGGGATGAGGATTTCGATTATCGGGATGTGGATGAGAGTGAAGAGTTTGACGAGGTGGAGAAGAGGGAGAAGCAAGAGAGGTGGTTTGATGAGGAAGAGCCGGAGTGGGATGGGGAAGGCGAGCCGGAGGGAACGGGTGGGGAGACAGGGGTGCAGGATTTTTGAAGGCTTTGTTGTTTTAAGGAAAGGGAAAGCTGGTTAGACTTATTTAATGCCTCAGTGTTCAAGTCTGGCTGGGACAATGGAGCTTGATGAATGTTCTGAATTTCAAGAATACTTGACTTTGCCTTAATGAATGATCAACCTCATTTTCGGGTCTGGACATTCATTCATTCAACTCTTGATGTCTAGATCTTGAAGACATCCTTGATATTGTAGTATTGTACAGTACAGTAGAATTTTCTTCTTGCTACAATCTATCGAAGTATAATACAAAGCACTGCACATGCTTGGACTACTTGCCATCAAGACAGTCCTACTTGTTCTATTTTGCTTATTCAAAATCCGCATATATACATGGGTATCTTCAGGTCATCAGTAACACAAAAAATGCTGTGAAACTTCTTTCAGTGCTAAACAAGAGCTGTCATCGCAATGTCATCGAACTTCATCAATAAGATTTGCAGCGTTTCGACCAAGGTATTAAAGCTGGGTAAAGATGAGATATAGAGGTAGCAAAAATGACTATCATTTCAGATATCTCAATGATTCTCCTCCCACGTACCCAGTGCGTCTTCAAAAACCTTATTGACCTCCTTGTCGGTCTTTGGTTGGCGCTCCGGTCCTCCCTTATCTGTCGAGAATTTTCGGAGTAGGGGCTTGCCTCGCTCACTTCCTTGCTCGCTAATGTGTTTGTGAATTCGCAATTTGGGAAGAGGTTTTCGGATTTGCAACTGGCTCCAGAGATCTCTTCCTTTCCCAGTTCTAATTTTCCGAATTGGCACCTCTCGGAAAAAGCTGGTCGGCTTCCAGACTGGCAAAGGCAGCCATTCTCTCGTCTCGATTTTCCAGATTCGCAGCTTGCTTCCTTCACTTCCTGGTACCAAAATTCCTTTCTTCTCGGTTCTAACTTTCCTAATTAGTGGCTCTCCATTCTCGTTTTCTGGAGCTTTTCTCTTCTGTGCGGTTTTCCAAATCAACGGTTGGCCTTCCTTAGTCTTTGGGTCCATTCCTTTTACGGTTGTGGTTTTCCGAATGGGTAACTGGTCTTCCTCCAGCACTAGATTTCTTCCTTTCTCGAATACATGTTCATTTGCCTCTACAGCCGACGCTTTCTGAGCTGGTGCCTCGCCTTTTGCCTTCCGCTTTTCCTGCTTCGACTCGCTCCACTTGTCGTGGAGCTCAGCGAAAATCTCCTGAGTCGGGCTTTTCGACTCTGTAGGCGCTGACCTGTTCACCATGATTTCTGCTATTGTAATAAGTGCAGAGTCAGTGGCGTACTGCCCAATGATCTGCATGCCTGCAAAGGCAGGCTTGCCTTCGCTCAGGAATTCTTCAGGTATTGGAAATGGAACGCTAATCGCGGGGATACCGGCCAAGCTTGCAGGTACAGTGAGAACATCGTTCATGTAGGTGTCAACAGACGTTTGTTTTGATGCATCGTCGAGAGTGGGAGGCAGCGTCGGGGCCGTGGGACAGACGATGAAATCAACCTGAGTGGGGCCTAGTTTGCTAGACATCTGAATAGACTCATCCATATCCTTGAGGTCAAATTGCTCTGCCTGTCGAAGAGGGTTGGGAGCAGCGAAAATGCGATCGAAGTCTCGCTGCACCAATCTTCGGACTTTTTGAGCCTTCAAAAAGTAATTGTCAACCGCCTCCGAGCTCAAAGTGTACGATCCAAGAAGGATACGTCTCTTGACTTCGTCCCCAAAGCCATTGCCTCGTGTTCTAGAGTATAGGACACCATTGGATCCATCTGGTAGACCATCTCGAGTCCCATACCTAACACCGTCATATTTGGACAGGTTGGAAGCTGCCTCAGCGGGGGCAAGGACATAATATGCCGAGAGAGCATGTTTTGTATTTGGAAGAGAAACGGGCACAATGACAGCCCCTTGGTCTTGCAACGTCCCCAAGCAATCCCTCCAAGCTTGCCGTATTCCAGGCTCCAATTCTGAAATGTTATATTCCAAAGGCACTCCAATCCTGACACCAACCATATTCAAAGCATGTGCCTCGGACATGCGTCTCCTTTTAGCGTCCATTTTGAGAATCGCTGCGTTTCGTTGAGGTTGCAAACGTTTCCATGCCTTATCAGAGATACAGGTTGGGTCTCGGGGGTCGTGCAGCTTAGCCTTATGAAATGCTTCTTTGATAGATGCTACGTCCGAGGCCATAATTCCCACAGTGTCCATGGAATTTGCATACGGAACAACACCCCAACGAGATATCGTACCGTATGAAGGCTTGAAGCCTACAATCCCGGTATATGCTGCTGGCAGCCTGACCGATCCACCAGTATCTGTTCCCAAAGCTGCTGAACATTGTTCTGATGCGACGGCCGCTGCACTTCCGCCGGAGCTCCCTCCAGCTGAGAGGTTGTTAAAGGGCCAGGCGTTAGCAACATGACCAAAGAACGAATGCGTCGAATGTGAGCCCATTCCAAATTCATCCAAATTCGTCTTGCCACGGACTGCATAGTCATGCAGGTGAAGGTTGCGAACAACACCTGCCTCGAAAGGACTTTTATATTCTCTGAGAATTCCAGACCCGCAAGTTGTTCTCGATCCAACTGTTGCTATGTTGTCCTTCACAGCAATGCCCAGCAAGCTGGGAGGCAGCCGTTGACTATCGTCTGATCAAGCATTAGCAATTCTACACGGTGAGTCCACGACGGGGAGCCAAGTACACACCGATAGCAATGGCATCTCCCGGGGCGAGGGATTCGGGGGCCTCGAGCTCGAGATTGGATAGGTCCGTCGAAATGAAGGCATTGAGTCCATTTTGGGGTCGTTGCTCGACGGTCTGAGCAGCCGTTGTATATAATAGCTTTAGCTTGCAACAAGCTTTCTTCCGTGCAACATATTTGCGTGTCGCTCCCTGCGCGCGTCGCTGCAACATTGGCGCCGAACAACGCGTGGAGGACGACGGGGACAACGGGACGACGTGGTTCTTCGTGTCCAGAAATGTGCCTCAATTTCTTCGTGCAGGGTCGAATGCAGCTCGAGTCTTGCGCCGATAAGCTCTTATCGCGGGTCGGACCTCCAAGGCTACTTACTGTACCAGCCCCGTCATTCGCACTCCTCCAAATAACCACACTTCACGCCTTCATCAACTCTTAAGAGCTTCACGATTTACGACCCCACCTGCTAGCTGCCAGACTGGTGCAACTTGTAGGGTCGTTTGGCTGTGAAATATCATTCGGACTATCTCCGCTGCTAGCCAGCTCCCTTTATCTACAATGGCAAAACAACTATTGCCGTGGACCTATGTCCTTCTTTCGCTCACTGCTGCTGAGCAGCCTTCAGCTCCAAAACCCGTTGCTGCTCCTATGAGGCCCCTACCATGGGGTCAACTGAACTTCCTCCAAACTACAGACACGCACGGCTGGCACGCCGGGCATTTACAAGAGTGAATCGTGGACCCCCAAGTGCGCCAACAATATCTAACATCACCTAGATCGCAATACTCCGCCGATTGGGGCGACTACATATCATTTGCCGAGCGTATGCACCAGAAGGCGGACGAAATCGGGGCAGACCTCCTTCTTGTCGACACCGGCGATCGAGTGGAAGGCAACGGACTTTACGATGCCTCGAAACCGAAGGGGAGATACGACTACGATATCTTCAAGGAACAAGATATCGATATAATATGCACTGGGAATCACGAGCTTTACCAAGCCGATGCAGCAGCTCGAGAATATACTCAGACGGTGCCGAATTTCAAAGGGAAATATCTAGCATCGAACCTCGATTATATAAAGCCTGATACGGGGGAAAGAATTCCCATGGCACAACGTTTCCGGAAATTTACTACAAAGAACCAAGGGATCCGGGTGCTGGCGTTTGGGTTCTTATTTGACTTCACGGGCAATGCGAACAATACTATTGTCCAACCAGTCGGGAAAACTATCGAAGAAAAATGGTTCCAAGACGCCATCCGAGAAGATGTGGATCTATTTATTGTCATTGGCCATGTTACCCTTCATGGACCAGAATATAAGGCTATTTTCAAGGCGATCAGAAGTCAGAAGTGGGATACTCCTATTCAGTTCTTTGGCGGACATAGCCACATCCGAGACTTTGCAAAGTACGATTCGAAAGCGTATGGTTTTCAGAGTGGACGGTATATGGAGACTGTTGGTTGGATGTCAATAGATGGCATCAAGAGCAAGGGAAAGAAAGGAGACCTCAAAGAGCTCGAATTACGATCGGACATGTCGTTCCAAAGGAGATATATCGATAACAATCTCTTTGGCTACCGTTACCACACGGGGTTGAATGAATCAACATTTCCCACAGGGCATGGCCAGAACGTATCTGCATCTATACACAAGGCGAGGAAAGCTTTGAATCTCGATTACTTTTACGGTTGTGCCCCAAAAGATCTCTGGATGAGCAGAGCGCCATATCCAAGCGACAACAGTCTTTATAGTTGGCTTGAGAAAGAAGTTCTAGCAGATGTCGCCACCAATCCGAAACGCAAAGATAAACCTCGAATGGTCATCTTCAATACCGGAGGGATGAGATTTGATATCTTCAAAGGCACTTTCACCCGAGACAGCACTTACATCGTGTCTCCATTTGTTAGCACTTTGAAGTACATCAAAGATGTTCCATTCAAGGCTGCTAGCCAAATGCTGCCACTTCTCAACAACGGCGGACCAATATTCGAGTCCACAGAACTCCAACCATGGCAGCTTGCACCTCCGGAGCAACTCGCCATCCATTACGATATCATTGCTCCCCAGCTCTCCATCCAGGACTCATTCATCTCAGGAGCAGCACAAGCACCCCTCCTCTCTTCATCGCCAGATCTAGTACCAGGCTACACCACCAAAGACGACGCCGGTGACGACGGAGACGACACCCTCCACGCCCCCATCTCCTTCTACAAGATACCGAACTGCATCCAAGCCACTGCTTCAATGGCCGAAAAAAGTGACCCAGAAACCGTTGACCTAGTCTTCATCGATTTTATTCAACCCTGGGTTCTCACTGCACTGCAGTTCACGGGACAGACATACAACAATAGCCACGTGGAGAATTATAGGCCGGAGATATTTACCGATCTCTTGGCGGGGTGGATTAAGGAGCATTGGAGGGGGGATTGTAGGTCTTAGGGAGTTGGTTTTATATGATATTACATTGGGCTCAGAATGTATTTGAGGCGTTGGGCTTCGGTATCGGGCATATACAGGGGATCAGCATAGTCGGTCATTATTGAAACCAAACATGGTATGCATTTGTTGTATTAGTCAAGTCGAGTCGTTCTGGCAGGAAAATTCCGAATGGTTATTCAACACTAAACATTCTCCCAGACCCCCAATCCAAATCTTCATCGCCTAATAACGCGTCTAACGTTCCCGACGGTGTTTCCCTCCGGATAGTGCTGGGGAATCCTGAAGGGGTAAAATCCGCCACCAAGACTCAAACCAAAAATCCAATCTGGAAGAGAATCAATACAATAGGCTAAGATTCGTGTGATCTTTCTGCATTCGGTATCTAGAAGCCAGTATCTATGATAGACAGGCAAGCTTCAATTCTTCCAAATGAAGAGATCGTGCCTGCATTAGTGTCAGATTCAGAGATTGGTGTCGATCTCGAGATGCGTGCACGTCTAGGATGAATGAAGCGAGTGTTGATCTCAGCGGGGCTTAGCGCATCACGACAGCTGGATCTCAAATCCTCTCTGAACACTTCTAGAGTATAAAAGACTGCTGAGATAATTTTATAGATACAAAATTTAAGTACGAGATTCTGAGATTGGACGAAAAGTATGCTTTATTGTTCAAGTCTCCAAATGTGAAAGTAACAGGATATGCACCCCCTACGTGTGCTAAACAATTGAATAAGAATCCGCAGTTCTATCCACCGCTCCATGCTTCAATTCTACTTCTCCTTAAACAGCAGGAGCATACCCAAAGCTCGGTCCGCTCGCGTCAAAAACGCCATAATAAGCATTGAAAAAGACGTCTCCATAAATAGCCTGGCTGCCGCTTCCAACGCTCTGCAAAGACCCGAAGCAAGTGCTTCCACTGCCAGTAGAGCCGAAGTTGAGGAGAGAGGAAGGGATCGTGGCGAACCCGGAGCCAATGGCGATGGAGAGGGTTGGAAGCGTCGCGCTGCAGGGGAAGGTGTACCCTCCTTGCGAGGAGTCGTAGGAGGCGCCGGTGACTTTCTTATAGTAGTTTGTAACGGCCGAGTCGCTCATCAGGATGAGGGTCGTTCCGGTGTCTGAGATACCTGTGAAGCCAGATTGGGTGTAGGTTGTTGATCCGACTTTGTAGCTGGTGGACGGGTACTCCCAGAAGCCGTTGCCGGACTCAACGGCGGTGTAGACGATGCTGCCGGTGTACTTTGAGGAGTCGGTGAAGCCAAAATCGTACGCGCCGTCGGCGTTGTAGGGGAGGTAGGCGGCGAAAAGGGGGGAGTTGAGAGAGGGTTGGGCGTTGTCGAAGAAGGTGGATTGTTGTTGGGGCGAGACCGTGTTGATGCTGCTAAACGCCAGGCCGACCAGGCCATCTGATCCGTCTGAAACAAAAGTAGAAGAGACCTTGTTTGCAAGCTCGACAGCTTGCCCTTTGACAGTAGTTCCACCAATGGTCACAGTATCGGTGCCGACTTTTCCACTTGCCCCTGAACCATCCGCGTACTGGATACTCCTATTCTTCGAATTAGCACGTTCCACCTCGATTTTGTGTTATAAGTTAGAAAGATTGGCCAGGGAAGTTTTGAGGTGCTGTAAACGTGTAGAACCGTGAAATTCTCATCAAAGGACTTTTTTGAATGTCTTCAATTACAGGACTGTTGTGGAGAAGCCTAGAAATACATACCATGTGTAGCCTGAAAGTGCCTTGTAAGTGCTGCTCTTAGACGAAGTATAGATGTTGTGGCCTGTCTTCTCGCTTGTGGGGAGGAGGGAAGAGAACACCCATCTATCAAGGAATTAGCATGAATATTAACTTAGCAGCAACTTTTGAATCACCTACAAGTCTGCAGATCCAGTATCAAAATCCAAGTTCAAGTTCTGACCACCGACGGTAGTTGACACTAAGTATTCAACCCCATTGGAAGGGACAGCCGTAGCAGATCCATCCTGGCGCTTTTGGATTTCGGCCATGAACTCGAGAGGCATCTCGTGTGTAGGCTTCAAGTGATACTTGGCGTAAGCCTTCAGCATAGCTGCCGTGCCATTGCGGACATAGCTGGGGTTGTGGACAGCAGGAGCAGACCATGTCGCGCCTGGAGCAAATTGGAATTAGTGTTCAGTTCTATAGACAGTCCGTATTTTGTTGTAGGGAGGGGGAGTGGGGGGTATGAAAAAGAGCTCCGAGAATCATAAATGTAGGGCAAATATCACGCAAGAGTCGAAGGTTGTTTTGAAGAGAGAAATCAATTGCACATACTGCCAATGACATTTGCAGTTGGTGCTGCTTGAGCCGCGAGGGCAAGGGCAAGAACGGTGATTGTAGAGAACATTTTGCCAACTTCAGCGGGAGGTTGAAAGAGAAGAGGATCGCGAGACTGTGAGCTTGATGGAGTACCAACGAAACCAAGGGAGGTCACTCGGCTTTATAACTTCAGGCCTCAAGCTCTGGGCGGCCATCATGAGCATAGGAGGCCGGAGGGTTTGGTCCAATTCAGCCTGATGCGACAATCACTGCAGTGCAAAAAGATAACTTGATCGCGAGATTCTGGTGATTGACAGGGTCCGCTAGTTATCGAAGAGCTTCTAGCAGGATAGCCCATAGCCCTAGATCAGACGGAGCAGGAGCTGGCGTTATCTTAGCAAGATGAGCTTCCTTTCCAGAAGGTCTGCAGACAAATAGTTGTCGAGGGACAGTAAACCCACGAAAGATCGACAACGAATTGCTGGCAGCATGCATACCAAATGATCCTATTGCGAAACAAAGCTTCAACCCAATTGAAATGGGGGGTGAGTGCCGGGTTTCCGCATCTCTTGCTGCACCCAATGCCGTTAAGTATCGAGCTAGAGGTAATGTTAAAGCTTAAAAATGTGCTGCAAGGGCGGGGCTGGCTCTGTGATAGGAAGGTGGGCATATAAGTGCCTGGCCGCGGGTGGGAGCGTGCAATCGGTGCGGGGTTGACTGCAGGTGAGGGTTCCATGGTGGTGGTGGTGGTGGCGGTGGTGGTGTTGGAGTTTGGTGCTGGCCATGAGTGAAGTGCCTCTTTCGGTGGTCTCAGCCGCAGGGCAGGCGAGCAGGCGAGCAGGGTCAAAATGTTGCAGGGGATGCATGTCGAGCCGCGCCGCGCTGTGGCTTGCTGTGGGCCGCACACTCGACTCGCTGAGTGGTCTCAGCGAGCGGGAGGTTAATATAACCGTGCATGAGCGTGCCTCGGGGGTCTTGGCCAGAAGCGCATCCCCAATCATGAGTAAGCCTTTGTCTTCTGAAGATGACGATGTGCACGCTGCAGGACGGCCGAGCGAGTGCGGTGGCAGGATCAGGAAAGTCCCTTGCGCTGGCGGCCTTGCCCCAGATCAGAAGGTGCGAGTGGCTCAGTGACTTTGCCTTCGGGGTCAAGTGGCTTGCACAGACGGGCGTAGTGGTGGCATGGTGTCGTGGTGCCTTGGCCTGCACGGAGATACAACTCCCCTCTTCGGTCGGTAACGAGCGATGGGCATGCGGGACTTTTGGCAGACTTTGCTAAGTAGCGCGCTTTAGGAAATGCTTGATAGGGGTGAGAGCCAAGAGCCAAATAATGAGAGGAGGCTTCGCTGAACCAATCAGTGGGCTTCTTCAGTATAGGGGGTACCGGTAGCGTGGTTGTGCGCGCCGTCGCATAAATGTCCCAAGCTGTCCAATCACAATATTCTCTTTGCATGTTATGCTGATAGAAACTAGATATGACTTTGCTGGCCGTCATATGCCTTGATTGAATTCCTGCAAAAGTGGTGTGCGTGACAGTCCTCTTGGCCATTCTTTGAAGCCTATTTTTAATTGCCCTTCCCAAGAATCTGCCAAACGGATCTCACCACGAGTACCTCCTCCAAAATACTTGGGTGGGAGGCTCAGGCACTGCCTTGAATTTCACATGAACCCTTGTGAATGCCCCTTTCACCTTGCACCTTCGGCTATATTTCTTCCCCGGTTCAAATCATGCGACTGAACGTTCCAGATAGGGAAGGCGATGGAAGTGTCACATCTTATCGCCTAGTCCGCCCCGATGATATAATTTTAGGAAGGACCTTGGTTGTCACGCAATCCGGGCTCCGCCGGCGCCTGTCATAATCCGCAACCCTTTGAAGGTGAGCTAATGCAGTGGGAGGGTATTCCTCCGGGCTTCTAGAAGAAAAAGTTTGTGTAAACGACGCTACTGAATTCGAAGCTACGGCAATCATGAACTCGAGCAAATCGTGCAAAACATCTGGACGGAGAAGCAACTTTGCATGGTACTCTATCCAGAAAATAACGTTATAGGGGATGTCGACATACATGGGAACGCGTATCAGCCTCGAAATATTGATAGGAAGGAGTAGAAGTTGGAGTGAGAAATTGAGGACTGAGGACGGCACAAGATCGACAGAGTGGGCTGCTGCCTCGGCAGGAAAAGAGAAGTTGGAGCCCCTGAGCTACAGGATAATAGAAGTACAAAAGCCGGAGTTCCGACGCTTGTCGCTTGTCGCACACGAGGATGTCCTCGCTCGAGGCTGACAGAATACCGTCCTCGGTGTTAGATACAATCCTAAATGTGGTCGAGACTCGCTCTTGAATTTGAGGGCAAGGTGATGCCCCCCTCTCCGGTAGTCGTAGATACGTACACAGAGAATCTGTGGACACTCTGAGTACCTATAAATTTGCTCGAATTGTAAGATCTGCAATGGATCTCCCCTCCCTTCATACACGACCCCAAACTCCTGCAATGCAGCTCCACCACCTCTTTAATCAAACAATGCTCTTCGTGCCACCTTCAATATAGACGGTTCTTCTGTACCTTGTTGTACAATCTTCGGGTAAAGTGGGGCCAAGCCTAGCCTTTGCTCTTTGTATTGAGAATCAAGGCAACAATGAGTCTGTACTTGTGAGTTGGGCCACAGCATGTGGAAGGTTGAGTATACTGACCCATATAAACCCAAGACTTCCCCAAAAATTAGAATAAGGACCATTCCAACGAAAATCCTCGACTGTTGCATGTATGACCGTACGCCCATATCTCCTACTATCCCTATCGAGTATCCGGCCGCGAGTCCCGTCAAGCCTACCGATAGACCGCATGCCAAATGCATGAATCCACTGGAAAGCTATTAGCTATGGTTTGATCTGTTTCTGCCAAGCTGCCCTTACTTGAACAAACTGTAATTTTGTGCAGGAGGAGGTCCGATATCCGATGCTATGAGAACAGCAATTACCAGAGCATATACGGCAATGATACCGGACATGACAACCGGGATGAGTGACTACAGATGCCATAGCCGTTAGGATAGATGTTGAATGTATACTGATGCAAGGTTCTACATGCCTTCATGATCAGATCTGGTCTGAAGGTGCCCACTCCAGCAATTCCAATGCCCGACTTTGCCGTGCCATACGCCGCGCCCACACCTGCGGTCACCCATCAGTAATGTTCAATTGAGCAACTGCTAGTTGGCTTACATCCGAAGGTCATCGCGAAACAGATGCCCGCCTGGTGAAGCTGTTAGTGCATCATTCCCGATGTCGTCGAGCTGAATTTCTCACCATTCCGATGAACGGCGCGAACTTCGGTGCAATCTCTGATTCTGCCATCGTGAGGTCCAGCTCTGCGTAAACTTCAAGACCGATGGAAAGCGTGGCAGGAGCTCAGTGACACTGAGGTTGTGGCAGACTTGATTAGCTTCTGCAGCATCAAACTTGAGCAAATGCGCTAGATCAAATCCATTCACGTGATGCCAAGCACGTCCGTTTTGGATATAGCACTGTGACTAAGTCGGGGTAAAATTCTACAGTATGTGTCTCCAAACAGCCAGTTTACGACCATAGAGCCCGTGTATCTCTCTACAGAAGTGCTGCTTGGCGGGCACATTGGTCTTCTTTGATACCAAGTGAAGCTCGCAATAGCTGTTTATCCCGGCCTTTAGGCGTCTGTAAACCCGATTAGCGAGAGAACGGCAACGACCCAAAGTTGAACTTGGAGGATCGCGAGAACCAAGATTCTGGCCAGCTCCTTCTCACCGCCAACCATCAACCATTGCGCTGTCCTTTCCGACGACCTCTCAATGCGTCTCTCCCCAATCGACCTACTGTTCCGCAACTAGCAAACTTTGACGTTCAGGCGGTACTACATCTCTTGCTGCAATCCACTCCCAGGCAAGACCACCCCCTTCCCGGCATCGTCTCCTGTGACGGCGAGCGTACTTTAGTCGACCTACGACGGGACCCCGTCGGCGTCGACAGGCCGATAAAGGGGTTGTTGTGACTTCATATATTGCCGGCCGGGGTGGTTGCCCTCGGCGTCGTGGGTTGGTGCCTCTGAGTCCCAAGATCCCAACATCGACCGGAGGGGTCAGGGAGGACTGGAGAGGTTGGCACAGCCAAAATCGACTGGCAATATGGCGGACTATGGGCAAGGACGTTCTGGAGGACAGCGTCCAAACCAGTATGGCCACGCTTCGAACTACGAACGAGAGGCAGCTTTCTCGAATATCTTTGGTGCTGCCCCTGGCCGCTCGCAGACCATGAATTCATCAGTATCGCCTCCTCCAACTCCCATGAATCAAGTTCGCACACAAACAATGAGTTCGCAGCCTTCCTCTTCGCAGGCGGCGATGCAGCGACAACCTCCTCCACGGCCGGGCGGATACACTTCACCACCACCTGGGAATATGCCGAATGGAAACATGACGAATGGATATCACCAAGGACCACGACAAGTGCCCGCAGGTCAGGTCCAGTCCCAGCCTCAGCCTCAGTATCTGCCACAGCAAATAAGACAAGATCGAAGACCGTACCCGGCGCCCAATCGAGTTGACCCTCGTGGACCTCCCCAACAATCACCATATGCACAAAAAGCACCTGGCCCACGTTACTATCCAGGAAATGGGCCAGCCTTAAATTCAGATCCATATCGTTCGCAGTCGATGGCAAGCCTTTCCAGGCCGCAGATGTACTCTCCACCTCCAAACACATATTCCGCAGCTCCCGCAAACGCATTCAGGCAAGCTCCATACCAGACACACTCCTCACGGACAACCGCGCAAGGGCGTGTAGTCCCCGAGAGGCATGATGAGCGTACCATGTCCTTGACCACTTACTCTCAGGACCGAGAATACCAAACTATGAGTGGGAGGGTTATCCCGAACAGGAGGACTTCATCATCGGGGCCCCATGAATTGCAGCAGGCAAATGGTTATCCAATCCCAGGCCCTCGTAGCCCAGCAACACAAACTCGTACTACTAGCATGGCCTCGACCACAGTCGGGGATATGAGCAGGTCGATGTCCATGGCCTCAACAATCACGCCCTCCCCTTCCGAACAGTCAGACAGTCTTCAACATCGCCCTTCAGTGACCAAATCAGTTAGCAGCAGTACAGGCGAGAGACGGCAGAAATCGCCACTTGTATATCCGGCACTACTATCACGGGTTGCAGAATGTTTTAAAGACAAGATCTCGGTTGGAGATAGGACGAAGAACGATTTGACATACAAAAATGCTTTCAGCGGAGCTGAAGCTGTTGATGTTATTTCGTATATCATCAAGACTACGGACAGAAATCTGGCACTACTGCTAGGTAGGGCTTTGGATGCTCAGAAGTTCTTCCATGATGTTACATATGATCACCGGCTCCGTGATTCTGCGACGGAGATGTATCAATTCAGAGAGACGATGATGGATGAGCCGCATGAAGCACCAGAAGTCAACGGAGTCTTTGTTTTGCTGACGGAATGTTACTCTCCGACGTGCACAAGAGACCAATTGTGCTATTCAATAGCGTGTCCTCGCAGACTTGAGCAACAGTCAAGATTGAATCTGAAGCCACAGCCAGGCCTCCGACGTGAGAAGTCACAAACCAGTCTACATGATCAAGAAGATGAGCCAGATGAGCAGAAGCTCTGGATCAATACTGTTTCTAAAGAGGTTGCTGATAGCGTCACTGAACGAGAAAAGAAACGTCAAGAGGTTATTTCCGAGATCATGTACACGGAGAGGGATTTTGTGAAGGACTTGGAGTATTTGCGAGATTTCTGGATCATGCCGTTGCGTTCTACGAATCCCGCAGCTCCTTCACCAATACCCGAATCAAGGAAGGATCGAATCGTTCGAACGATATTTTCCAATATCATTGACCCTCCAAGTATTCACGGTGTTAGCTCTCGATTCGCAGAGTCGCTCACAGAACGGCAGAGGAAGGGGCCAGTGGTTCAATGCGTTGGCGACATTTTTCTCGAGTTCGTCCCGCAATTTGAGCCTTTCATTGTTTATGGATCCAACCAACTAGCGGGGAAGTTCGAGTTCGAGAATGAGAGGTCTCTCAACCCGTACTTCTCTAAATTCGTGGATGAGACTGAGCGCCGCAAGGAGTCGAGGAAACTTGAACTCAATGGTTATTTAACCAAACCAACAACCAGACTTGCTCGGTATCCCCTCCTACTCGATAACGTACTGAAATACACGGAGCCAACGAACCAGGATAAGGAAGATATTCCCAAAGCAATGAAAATGATTCGCGATCTACTGACTCGGGTCAATGCCGAGTCAGGAAAGGCTGAAAATAGGTTCAACCTCAAGCGACTGCATGAGCAGCTACGATTTCGTCCAAATGAGCGCGTTGATTTGAAGCTCACCGATCCCGGGCGAGAATTGATTTACAAGGGAACTCTGAAGAAGACTCCAACCGATCCTTCTGACATCCAAGCCTACCTCTTCGACCATGCTGTGCTCCTGGTTCGGGTTAAAATGGTTGGAAAGAAGGAAGAAGTGAAAGTATATCGACGGCCGATACCTCTTGAGCTGTTGTCTATCCGTGAAATGGATGAGGTTATCCCCAAGCTCGGCATTGCGAAACGTCCATCGTCGAGTTTGATCCCAGGAGCCAAGTCATCGACAAACGATTCTTCGAAGAAAGAAGGTTTCCCAATTACGTTCCGCCATCTAGGCAAAGGTGGATACGAATTGGCCTTGTATGCCAATACGGCTGGTGCAAGAAACAAGTGGATGGAGCACATCGGCGACCAACAAGCTATCCTTCGGAAACGGGGCGACTTCTACAACCGATCCATTCTGTCGAGCAATTTCTTCTCCGCGTCGAACAAAGTCAACTGTGTCGCACCATTTGGTTCGTATTTGGTATTTCTTCGAGAAGCAACTATTGCTAACATGCTACAGATGGGGGCCGCAAATTGATTTATGGGACCGACTCTGGAATCTTCGTTTCCGACCGGAGGTCGAAAGACGTTGCCGCGAAGCCCGTAAGGGTACTGGATGCAACCAATGTCACCCAGATCGACGTTCTCGAAGAGTACCAATTGCTATTGGTTCTTTCACAGAAGTCGTTGCTGTCGTATCCCCTCTCGGCATTAAATCCCAGCGAGCCCGCGCTTTCGAAACGACCAAAGAAGATTCAGAGTCACTGCAACTTCTTTAGAACCGGAATCTGTCTTGGCCGGCATCTCGTCTGCTGCGTGAAGTCCTCGGCCCTTTCGACGACGATCAAGGTGTTCGAGCCCAACGATGCTATGTCGAAGGGGAAGAAGCAAAAAGGTTTCAAGATGTTCAACAGCGGACAAGACGAACTGAAAGCATTCAAGGAATTCTACATTCCTACGGAGTCGTCGTCGATCCACTTTCTCAAGACGAAATTGTGTGTAGCATGCGCAAGAGGATTCGAAGTGGTTTCCCTGGAGACTCTTGAAACACAATCGCTTCTCGATCAAGCAGATACGTCGTTAGACTTTGTGGCTCGGAAGGAGAACGTTCGACCAATACACATCGAACGTCTCAATGGCGAGTTCTTACTCAACTATTCTGAATTCTCGTTCTTCGTTAACCGCAACGGTTGGAGGGCAAGGCCTGATTGGAGAATCGATTGGGAAGGCTTGCCACAAAGCTTTGCTCTTTCATATCCTTGGATATTGGCTTTCGAGCCGAATTTCATCGAAATCAGAAACATCGATACGAATGCGGTACACATTGTACCGCACAAGAACATTCGCATGCTCCATACTAGTACACGCGAGGTAAGCAAAACCGTGGCATGGTTTAATGGTGTAGGTACTGAATTATGTACAGATCATTTATGCTTACGAGGATGAACGGGGCGAGGATGTGGTGGCCGCAATCGATTTCTGGCCCCCGGGACGGAAACCGGAAGCGCAACCGCCTCCTGCACTCCCAGATCATCGTGATCAACACCCACATCCACAAACATCTTCTCGACACTGACAGACACTATTTTGCTGCCTGCCGAGTTCGAGAAATGGGTAGTCTTGAGCAACAATCAGACGCCATAATTCTCCCATTTCAAGCTTTCAACGGCATATACTGTAGTGTAGCCTCGGATCTTCGCAGTAGTTCGCAAATACCGATGTTTTCTCTCTGGCTGTGTGTGCTGGGCACGCTCTCTCTATGGTTGTCGGTCCTGTGGCCCGGTGCTTATTATCTGAATGAACGTCGTCTCTTCATGGGTGATTTGGTTGGAAGGCTTCACAGGCTTCATCGATGGGGTGAATTGATCCACTGACGGATAGCTGTGCCATGCGTCTGGTGGCATCCTGGGACGGAAAGTGGCACCTCAGAGGTCGGCGTCTTGAGGGTTTCTGGTTGATCGGGCAGCATCTATTTTCTCTAATTGCCTGTAGTCTTACGAATAGAACGTGTATCTCTTGCTTCGCCCCCGGGCTACTCTCATGTGTACCCGGCCTTGGGTGTACCCTTCGAATGCCGGACAAGTGTCGCTGCGTGTTGTAGCTTTTGGTTGAGCTCTTTGCACCTAGACAAACTCAATGGTATATCGCCCCAAAACAAGCGTAGAGACGCTCTCAAGGTTCAACCAATATCTGTGGGGCAGGACAACACCCCGCCTCCCTACCTTTTTCGCTACCTGGGAGTTGAGAAGTATCTAAACGGTGAATGCCAGTACTACTCGCTCTATCTCAACTTTCGCCCAGGCTAGTGTGGCGTTGCTCTGGCAGGAGCAAAACTGGGTGGAACTTTCTACCTTTAACAATAGTTGCTATTACCTGTCTTCGCATCCTACATTCCTTAAGGTCTTTTGAGTGTTCGCAATCGTGAGAACCCAGAAACGCACTTGAAGGCCAAGATGGGGCGTGTTGAACCTCTGAGTAGAAGTATGATCTCCCTCACATCGTTCTACCACTGAGCTGATTCAACAGGTTCAAGAGAAAAATAAATGGGTTGATGAGCTGGCAATGACCTGAGACTGGAGCATATGTACGTGTGCGTGAAAACTTGCTTGTGAAGCGAGAGTTGTACCTTGTTCTTGTGCTCATGGAGCAAATAGTCACCGAGCTGCAGCGAATGTTTGGCACAAAATGTCCCCGGAGAATTTGCCAACGAACCCAAAATAGACCAAGACTGAGAGAATACCCTGACTAAGACGAGAGTACGGAAAGGCTCGAGAGCGAAGTTACATCGTGGGATCTTCGACTCAGAAGGTCTCCGTGGGCTGCGGAACTCGCTCCCATTGGACTTTCGGAAGGGTCCCGAGGAAACAGTTTCATCGATGCAGCAGAACGAATGTCAAAACCCAAACGTCCGATGTCACTGACCAAGTGATCGTTTCAATCCTTGGCTGCCACGTTCTGGACCATTGCGGGTTAACATCCGCAAAACAGCCTCGTGGCAGGCTTCAACAATGCAACATTCGGCCCACGCTCCACCAAGCCTACAGATCTCCCTCGCTGCATAAAAGATCCGATTTACTCTTAGGGAAAGAAGCCTTTGGCCCACAGCTCTGATTCTGGATCGGACGTTGAGATGAAACAGTTCGCGCTCGGCCCCCGTTGGGTTAACAGACTGCAGCAAACAACGTCGCGGCTTCTCGAGTCTCCCTACACCTCTCAGATCGGAATGCCGGAATGAGGCTGCTGGTTGGGAGATAAGACCGGATGCATTGATGTGGTTAGACGTGATGTCGTGCAGGTGAGTTCTGAAGGCTGTTTGATGCTGGGGACTGCCGCTGCATGCATGCATGAATTGATGGGCTGCCCTCTATCCAAGCCACCGGGGCCAAGCATACAGCTTTCTCTTGCTTTCCAAACCGTCTCAGATACTTATTTGGGAGTGAATTCCTCCCCAAACGCCCAAACCCCCAATTCAATCAAGATCTGCACTTCCACCGAGATCAATACTCAGCCTTATTTCAACCATACCAGCACTCAAGATGACTTGCTATTGTGCCAATTATTATGTAAGTAGCTGCTTTGCCTTCTGTTTGGATGTTAGCTCACTGGTCACTCAAGGGCTCGATCAACTGCCACAACACCGTACCTAGGTTCGGCGACCGATGTGCTCTTTGCCTTGTAACTTTTCCAACCTCTTCAAGTCAGGCCGAACTGACAAGCGCCGGGCAGTCAACACAAGCTGGCAGCTCAAGCAGCTCAAGTAATCAGAACGGAATCCCCCAAGCCGACGAGCAATGGGTGGAGAATGTCAACAGGGAAAAGATGAGGAGGGATGAGGAGAAGACGAGAAGGGAGAGGGTTAGCCGGACAACTTCCGGAAGAAATGGATAGAGGCTGTCAGGCTATCGATTTGAGAAATTGTCTATTTAGCGGGACGGCGGCTTTTTGAATTTGTTAGAGGCGTTTTGAGGTCCATGGGGCACGGGAACGGAAAAGCATAGCCATGGCTGGGCCATTGAGGGGTATATCAATCAAATATACACAAATCTCATATCGTCGTTGATCTACCAGTACCAGTGGTCCAAAACGCCAAAACCCAATCCCTCCAGCCTTCCCAGATGTGGTTACCCAGTCCATATATCCCGTCCCACGTACTAATATTACAATGGCCATGATCACCACATCCGCCTCTTGTATCCCTTAAATCCCTCTCCTTCCCCTTCAGCAAGAATCTGCTCTTTTATCCTCCTCCTCCTTTCCGCTCGACTTATAGGCTTTTCCGGTGGCTTCGGTACCTCTCTCTGCTCTTCCACACCACTCTGTTCTTCAATTATAGGCTTTTGTGCTTCTTTCAAACCCTTCTCCTCCATTAATTTCTTCTTTCTCCTAGCAGCCTTCTGCCACCTCGTCGCTCCAATCATATCATCCTCATCCCCGTCTGTTGTCTTTTCTTCGCTATCTCCGGCTCCATTTCTGGCTCCTTTCTCACTACTTCCCTGCTCCTCATCAACCCTCGCCGCATCAACAACACCCCTCGCCTCCCAATACTCCGCATCCCGAAACTGCGGCGGCAGATATAAATCCGGGCCCGGCTTCGGCCTCACGAGCTGCGGTTTTATCGCCGCTCGTAAATCGCGGACTGTCTGCTGTTGAAGCACGTATCCTGATAGGAAAAGTGCGGCTGTGAAGAAGAAGACTGTTTCATTGGATGTCAGCCGGAATGTAAATAGAGAAGAAAAGGGAGGAATGGAGGGGTAGATATACCGATGAATGAGGAGATTGCCACGGAGACTTGGGAGGATGTTAAGAGCATTCTTGTGGGATTTCGAGAATATCGGGTTTGCGCATTTGATTGAGGAGTTTTGAAATCTGTAAAGCGTTTTCTTGTGGGTTTGTGAGCTGTTCTTGGAAGCAATCGAGGGTCTGATGTCAATACCGCGCTGACCGGGCAACAATCGATAGGAAATTTTGAGATCCCCGCCGCGATCCAGATCTGGTGTATCGCAACGACATCAAATCCGCGAAAACATCAACCTCGAGGGGAAGCCAATCCCACAACGACATAAATTCTACAAAGACGTCAAACCTATAAATTTATTAGACTCGCCCAGATACCAAGCCCCTGAGGACATCACAACCGCAGCCACGACTCCACATCGATCCTCATCCGCCCCTAAATCGAATCCCAAGACACTATTCCACGATCCTTGAGAGTAGGAATTCCTCACAAACATGGCAAACCACCGCGCAGACGAAAAGCGCTTCCTCGACGAACGCGGCTCCTCTGGCCCCCTTGCGCCAAACGGTCTCAACCCCGCCACAATAATGGAGAAGCCGGTCCGCGAGCGCATAATCGACTGCTACTTCTGGAAAGACCAATGCTTCGGTGTCAACGAGTCGGACATCGTATCCCGCGTCGTCGAACACGTTCACTTCATCGGTGGCACATACGGTGATGCTCAGAGGCCGAGCCCGTTTTTGTGTTTGGCGTTTAAGCTGCTACAGTTGGGGCCGAGTGATGAGATATTGGAGGAGTATTTGGGGTATGGAGGGGAGAAATTCAAGTATTTGAGAGCACTGGCGTGCTTTTATGTTAGGTTGACGAGGCAGGCGAAGGATGTTTATCGTTTGCTGGAGGGATATCTTGGGGATTATCGGAAGCTGAAGAGGAAAGGTAGGATGGGGAGTAGTTTGACGTATATGGATGCTTTTGTGGATGATTTGTTGGTTAAGGAGAGGGTGTGCGGTACGACGTTGTGGAAGATGCCAAAGAGGGAGGTATTGGAGGATTTGGATGTGCTAGAGCCGAGGGTTAGTCCTTTGGGAGATATTGAGGATTTGTTGGAGAGTGAGCCCGAGGAGGTGGAAGAGGAGAATGGGAGGAGTGAGGATAATGAAGGAGGTGGGAGAGGGAGTCCGGGGTCGGAGTTTGGGGAGGTCACGCCGGAGATGGATGAGATGGATGTTGATCGAGAAAAGGAGACTGAAAATGGGGATTGATGTAGTTGTTCTTGGGAGCGTGGCGTTTGTCCAAAGAAGGCAGGAATCTTAGAGATATACCCTTTCTGCGTCGCCTCTTTGCCGTTAAATCATGCGTCTCATTTCGACGAGGCCCTGAAGATTTAGAGGCTTGTCCCATTCGCTGTCCTGAACGTATGTACAAAATTTCTGAAATCACCGTTGTCAAGATCCGAAAAGCAGCTCATCCAATCCTCCCCGTCCAATTCCGAAATTGTGGGGTTTCCAAAGAGTGATCCGTGACATGCATCTTCTTATCTCTCCACCCATGTATCTTAATTTACCCGTTTCTCCGCTCCAACAATCTCCAAGTGGAGTAGTCAAGCCTGCCCCTCCCTCCATCTTCCCCAAAATACCCTATAACTAACACTTCATCTCCTCCAGTGTTCATTCCACTCTTGAACAAATCTGCCTAACCTTTACCTCGCAAGGCTGTTGCACCTCCAATCGATCTATCTATTCCTGGCCTCTAATCACACGATAGAGATCACCAACTCAACCCGAAGTTAAAAGTCCTCCAACTTCTTCAGAGGATTTACTTTTATAGCCTGCTTTCGACGAAAGCTTGGTTTAAGGGTTTCGCGTGCCCATGCGGCTCTGGTTGTTAGGCTCCGGTATGCGAAGAGCCGTGATCGGGGAAGCTGGGGAATATAAACTACTTATACAGCAACTCACTAATCTAGCATAAAATCGACAAGCAAATTTCGACATATGCCAAAACCACGGCTGGTTGGATATCCGTAGCACTGAGTAAGTACAATATTTCATTTGATGGCTTGACTTTAGAAAGAAGTTTATTTTTGGCAATTTTTGGGTTTTGTTTGAAGCTAGGTTAGCGAGCGAGGGAGAGTTATGAGAGGTGACGTGAATAGAGATAAGGTTTTGAAAGTAAGTGTGTTGGAAGAGGTCAAGACTTCCCCTTTTTAACCGAGACCTCACAAGAATCCCTCCTTTCCCCCACTTTTTCCTTCGGCGCTGTGTCCCATTTCCCCTCTACACCGCTCTCCAAGTCACAAAACCAACACCGAATACTCAATTCTGAATACGATTAAATTCTCATCTATCAACAGCGACCTTACTTCTCCCTCTGCCGTCTAATCTCTGCCCCTTTCAACATCTCCAACCCCATCTCCCTCAACTTAAACTTCTGGATCTTCCCACTCGCTGTCTTCGGGTACTCTTTGACCCAGAAAATATATTTCGGCACCAGGTGATTGCTCAGCTTCTCTTTGACCCACTCGCGCGCCATGTCTCTCGTTAGGACCTTGCCTTCTCCTCCCTCGCCATTTCCAGCAACGTTATCGATAGAAGAATCACCTTCCAACGCATCGTCAAGCCCCACTTGAACGCTGTGGTGAGTGACAATAAAAGCCGCAACGCACTCCCCATACCTCTCATCCGGCAGTCCAACCACAGACGCCTCACTAACAGCCTCATGCATGAACAGCACATTCTCCACCTCCAGCGGGTGGATATTTTCGCCTCCTCTAATAATCAAATCCTTAATCCTGCCCGTGATCTTCACGTAACCCAGCTCATCCATCTCCGCTTCATCACCAGTATGCATCCACACTTTCTCCCTATGCTTTCCCCCCTCATCATCATACACTCTTTCAACCACGCGAACTTCCTCGGTGCGATCTTTGTCCCCCCAGTACCCTTTCATCACATTATACCCTGCTACGACCAGTTCTCCTTTCTCTCCAACTGGGAGAATTTTCGTGCGGTCGTGCGTGGACACGACTTTTGCCTCTACGTGCGGAAGCAGTTTCCCTACGGAGCCAACACGCTTCTCCATCGGGTCTGTAGGCGTCGTCATACAAGACACGGGACTAGTTTCCGTCATGCCATAACAAATCGTCAGGCCCGTCAAATTCAACGTCTTATGAAGTTTTTCCATGAGGTGACTAGGGACCGAGGATCCAGCCGCGATGCCGGTGCGCAGCTTGTCAAAGCCTGAGTGGGTGACGGTGCCGTTGGCGAGGAGTTCGAGTTCCGCGACGAACATGGTTGCTACGCCGTAGAGGGCGGTGGCGCCTTCTTCTTGGATGGAGAGCAGGGTAGCGGTCGGGTTGAAGGCTTCGGAGGGGAAGAGAATAGCGGCCCCGTGCGTGGCGGTTGCCATGTAGCCGAGGATGCAGCCGAAGCAGTGGAAGAGAGGGGGTGGGCAGCATACTATGTCAGTCGGGAGTAAGCCCATTCTGGCACCGATGAAATATCCGTTGTTGAGGATGGAGTGGTGGGTTAGACACGCTGCTTTTGGTAAAGAGGTGGTCCCGGATGTGAATTGGATGTTGATGATATCGTCTTTGTCCAGTGGAGAATCTGGCACGATGGCTTTGCAATTCTGCGAAGTTGAGTGTAGAAGAGACTCGAATGGAGTTGTTGCTGAGAAAGTCGAGACATCGATCCGGGACTCCGAGTTATTAACCAGAAAGATATTCCGCAACGAAGGTATGCTCGCAGACTCGACCTTCGCCGCCTCTAAATCAGGAACAATCTGCTTTAGAAGAGTAACATTCTCTCTCGGTTTCTTGAATGGCAAATTCGTCTCTGTTCCAATAATCAAATGTGCAGCCTCAAGATGCGAAAGTGCCGCTATGACCTGTGGAGAATTGAAAGCTGGATTCAGAGGAACCTTTCTATCTGTCAGCTACTTACTCCCCTCCTGGTATCTCGATGTGGCATTGTGGACTTACAAGTATAGCACCAAGCTTGAAAAGGGAGTACGTAACAACAGCAAACTCCCAGGAGTTCCCCAGACTAACGGCAACTCTCTCTCCCTTTTTAACACCCCGCTCCCTCAACCCCGCCGCAATAACATTACTCTGCTCATCCAGCTCCCTGTAACTCAATCGTGTCTTTTGGCTGCGAGAGATGACTGCCGTTCGGTCGCCATGCGAGGAGACGGTTTCTGCGAAGTGTTGCGGGATCGTATGGGGGAGAAGCGGTGGCTGAGTGAGACAGGTATTGTAAGCTTGAATGTCTGCAAAGCAAGGGACGAAGGGGTTTTGACAAGGAGGGCGATGAAGACGTACGAAATCAGGACCCTTGCTATAACTCTCCGTCAACAGCCCCCTCCTTTGATCCCTTCCCAGCCTGTGTAATGCTGCCCCAGGGCTCAGTCCCAAGCTCATCGAGGCTCCCCCGAAGCTTACACTTCCCCGCACCGTGGACCTCGACAGTGAGCCATTGAACCTGAATATCGAACGCATTGTAGGGACTAATCTCCCAATCCAATGCTCATGTTATGAGAGCATTGTAATAAAGGAAGAAGTAATGGAGAAAATGTGAAGAAAAGATTTGTGTCCCGAAGTACCTCGAGGTCGTGCAAAGGCAGAACGCCAAGAACGCGGGGTAGCCGAGGACTCGCAGGGGTTCCCATGGTCCTTTTTTAGTGCTCCCTACCATGGTGACCCCTGGCCTCATTAGGGGCCGGCAATAAATCCAGTACTCAGCAGTCCAGAGGAATAGCGGAAATGAAGCATGAGTAGGGAAAGACCATTCATTGTAATATCTACATTTGCATCAACTGCAAATACAACGAACGGGTCCATCTCCAACATATCCTCAAGCTCAGTCAGAATGTGCTCGAGCAAATATTTGGGTCGATCCCAATCCAACCCATCCACTCAATCCAATACACACAAGATTTCAGCTCTTGAAAAACTCGTGTCCCCAGCGCGGTCTCCGTCATTCTATAGCCGCGTCCCAAGCTCGGACCATAGCAATTTTACATGCAAATCCAACGCCTTTCCCCTTAAAAACCTGGGCTCATAGTCCCGTAATACTATCTCGAAAAGAAGAACAAGAACACCGCCCAAGTCTAATTTTTGTCCCGCCGAGACCGAATACACAAGCCGAAAGATCCTCTCGTATCAAAACAGAAAACCCCAGGATTTCGCCGGTGTTTTGCGTCCATAGAATGTGGGGTCTTGTTGCCTGATGTAAATGTATGTATGCCCGCCTGCCCGCCGCTGATGCAATGTTTTTGATCCCAAGGTACAAAAGAAAACGCTGAAAATGCATTTGTGGTGTGAGGTGTGTTGTGGAAATGTACAGAATCGGTCTGGATGCAGCTGAGGAGGCGTTCTACTGTCCCTCTTCCTTCACTTCAGCGCCGATATGTCGTTCGCTCTCGGGTTTCCATGTCCCTGGGATATGTTAGTAATGATAAACAAAATGAGCATGGAAACGTACCCTCGAACTCGTGCTTCACAAATGCCATCGGATGATCATAATCCTCTGCACCCATTTGCTGCACCCCTGGGCTGAAACTGGTGATTGGCAAAACCACCACATCGCCAACCTTCTTCGCGGTAGTCATTCCTGTGAAATCCTCCCACGTAATATTCCCTTTCCCAGTACTCATATCGAAGTACTTATCGTCGTTCAGGAACTTAAAAATTGTATCTGTCCACAAGGCAGGTCCAGTGAATTCAATGACGTTCTTGCCTTTAAACGACTTCAATGACCCTTCCTTCTTCTTCTTCAGCGTCTCTTGTGTGATATTGGCCACGACATCCCGAAGAACAGGATGCCCAGGTTTCGATTGAATCGTCCATTGACAGAACTGTATCCGTCTCGAATACCAATCCGCCCAATCCTCACGATCTGGATCCGCCTCGATACCAATCACCAACCCAATAGCCTCCCTGGGGACACTCTCAGGCAGCCATTCAGCAGCAGATTTTAACGCATGAGTATCGATATCCGAATAAATGCCCCCTCTGGCCAGCAGAATCAGGTAGCGGAAAAAGTCGGCCTTGAGAACCGGAAGAGGAAGGGATTGGTATGCCTCCAGCACCTCTGGTACTGCTACATATAAATGCCGCAGCAGATGGACTGCTACTTGATCTGTGATGACTTCATGGATGAAGCCGGGGTGTTTCTCGCTCCAGCTTGCCTCTGCTGGCCTTAAGTTCTCCCCAAAGTCTCCTGACGCTGGAGTATATTTCCAGGTCTGCCATATGTACGCCGGGAACTTCGTTTCGACGTCATAGGGGAACTGGTATGCGAGTTTGTCTTTTAGGGGCGCTCTCGACATATCTTGTAATAATTGTTGTTGCCCATGTGTCTTCGGCTTCTTGGCTTGAGGCATTCGATCCGAGCCTTTCGTCGACACTGGTGTTGTTGGCGTGTAGCCCGTCCTTGTGGTATGTCCCTCTGTATTCGAGGCCGGCCAGGACTCGGCTTGTGGAGGTATTTGGTCCATGGGCGAAGGTGCATGTGTTCGAGTAACAAGGTACAACATCGTGATGAAGACCGCGGCCACGAGGAGGGCCCGCCGGAAGGTGAGCATGCTGGGCAATTGACAGCCAAGCCGTCTACCGAATCTGCAATGAAGAAGAGAAGTTCCGACTCTTCTGGTCCTTCGAGATGCTGTCGAGAGATGAGGGTTGAGGTTTAGGTCTCTGTAAAAAGTTCCAGGAGAAAGGCCGGGGATTGGGTGCCAAGAGAAGGCTGTGCGAACAGGCGTGTTTTAGAAGGCCGATCGTTTCGGGAAGGCAGTGAAGATCTGGCGGGAGGCCACCTCGACGGGTACAAGCGTGTTAATGCCGTGACACTGCGACTGGGAAGATGAAGAGGAAGATGTAGCAGAGAGGCAGTCAAGTCGAGGATGGAGGGCGGAACGGCAATGCAGCCCAGCCCTTGGAGATGGGAATCAATTGAATGGCTGTTGGAGCGGCTGGAGCCCAATCACGCTGCGCTCCCTCAGCCCGCTGGTTGTGTGCTGTATGCTGTGTGCTGTGTGCTGTGTCCCTTTCGTCGCTGTCTCCGTGGTTTGTCGACTCCTTTGCCCTTGGCTGCGGTGCTGTGGAGTGTGGAATAATATATTTCAGCCAACCAAAGGCGAGTGTGCAGTTCGCAGTTCGCAGGCTGCGCCAACGGCGAGCCACAAAGTCACTCCAACGGAGCGTTCAGATCAAGATAGGTACAAGTACAGTCAGTACCGTTAGCGAAGACGTGCAGCTCCTGAAACGCCAAAAAGAACCAACAACGTCAGATGGTCCGGGGCATGCCAGCACGTCTGATGCCGATCAGGGCAGCGGCTGGGGGGGCCTGGTCGAGGGAAGAAGAATAAGAGCTCTGTCGCACCGCACGTATGAGAAGACCTTTGCCAGATACAAATCGGCCAAGATCCAAGATCCGGGATGCAGGATCCAAGATGCCACCGAACGAGCACGAAGCCTTCATCATCAGTCGCGAAGCACCAGCTGCACCGCAGGCCACGTTCTCGGATGATGGATCCGGCGTTTGCAAGCAGCCCTGGGAAGTATGCCGGTCCCACTTAAGGTTATCGAGCTCTGGAGTCCTCACTCTTGAGCCAGCTTGGTGAAGCAATGGCCACGTAACCAACCACCACGCCTCGACACGCAAAGATTCAGATTCAGCTTCACCACCCACGCAAGATCTGCTCTGCCGAAGCAGAGGATTCTTTAGCCAATATACTTGCTACTCGAATAACGGGTCTTTCATGCTGCGGCCGGACGCACAAACGCACATAGTCTACGCACTGGACACACAAAGTGGAGTGAGTCCATGTTCGGCTTAAATTAGGATCCTCCCGTATCCTCACTTCTCTGATTATGACCTCATCTGCAACAGCTCACCGGAGTTCTCAACTACTCCAGTCTTTCTCCCGACTGCGGCTGCAGGTCAGCAAGTCATCATCTTACAGAATGACATAATTTCCTCATCCGGAAATCACACAGCATTGAGATCTCCGGACTCTCAAACCGCAATTTCTCGGATCTTACCTGCCAACGACTATCACAAGCTTCAGTTTCTTCTCAGGCCAGCAGGCAGCCAACTAACTTCTGTACGCCGCTGACAAACCAAACCCTCCACTTCCCCGTGATATCCCAGGATCACCACGGACCTTCAATCGAGAATCAAAAGCGAAAATCACGATCCAAAAGTACTATCTGCAATGTCTGCGTGCACAACATCGTGCAAAATACCTACCTATCCACGCCCGTGTCAAGTCCTATACAAACCTCAAACGCCCTCTCTTTCACATCGACTTCTTCCAGAAACATTCCATGTCCCAATCCCCCTAAGCCCCACGTTTTCAAATTCCCTGAAGCATGACCAGGGCGCTAACCAACAGAAGGAACCTCTGTCTGAGCCTCACAGTGACATCTCCCAACTCCCTCTCACCCTACCGAATGACACATCTCACTCCGCCATCCAACAAACCATCTAAAAAAAAAGCCGGAGGCACAGTCCTCCAGTATTCAATTTCTTTCGGGATCACCCAGCTGATCAAACAACACACCCCACTGCCTCCATCCAATCGCGACCAGTACTCGGTACCCGAAGAAAAATCTGTATTCAGTGCTGAAACGGATAGCCGGGTGATCCCATGCTCAAGGTGAGAAGAAATGAAGAACGCATCTCACCTTGATGTCTTCAGATTCCCAAGAGAACGAATTATAATTAGAAAGAAGAAGAAAGAAAAAGAACATCTATGCTGTACGAGGTGCTGAAACAGAAAGCGGGATGATCTTATTACTTCGTATTGATAAGATAAAACCAATTCCCAACATTGGAGGAATGAGCCGGGGGAAAAAATGTGCAGATCTATCTTTATTCAGCAGCTGAATCCCGATTTGGTAGGAAGATGTCACTGCTATTCGCGTAACTCAGGGGCTGGGGCTGAGTGGTGCCCCAAGAGGGACGAAGGAGGAAAATGATCCCAAGATTATCCACACATCAATGAAAATAGAAGAAAACTCGACTATCATAGTGAGGCGCAGTGTTGAGGAGTGGACCCCTCTCCCTCACCCTATCCAACCTTTGTTCCCTGTTGTTCTGCTGTTGTTCTGTGGCACGATGTGCTCATTATATCACCAAAGGTTCTTGATAAGATTACAGTACAACGAACATTGAACAAGGAGAATTGTCCCGGAAGTTCGAGAGCGAATCTTTTCAAGCAAGTTTTATTGCCTCTTGTTCTAAATATTCCCAAAGCCCAATGAGACTCCCTGTCGAAGTGCCCTGAAAGTGAAGTGAGTGAGAAGAGCGACTAAGCCTCGAGTGAATGAATTGGTGGCAAAATGGTTCTTTTGCTTCATTGTTTCAGCAGTTCCTAGGGCATTGAGATTCAACTGATGGATGTGAACTGAATTATTTTTCTTCACACAGAAAAGTTTATTGTACACCGCCCTATCCTTACGGTCACCATCTGCTTCCATAGTCGCTTATCATTGTGTTGGGTGAAGGTACAGTACACGGGAGGAAGCGCGATTTCATAAATGTGGAAAACGGTGCATGTCTTGTGTTCAGTTTAACATTAATATGCTCCAAACCTCGTGCAATGAAACTGGCAATTAAACAGATTCCCGCCCCACCCAAACCCCGTTTCAAACGCCTTTAAAAATCATTATCATCCATCCAAGTCCCTTCTCTGCCAAGTTCCAATGCAGCACATCACATACCCCACATTTCAACATCATCTTCTAGAGACCCAAGCTCAGTACAGAAGCGCAGTCCCACACAACCTAATTTAAAGTCCAAGCAAACAAACCCTACACATTAAAAGTCAGCTCCAACTCAACGTCTAGCGACGAGATTCGCGCGAACCAAAGAGATGAAAAGAAGAAGGATTAGATAGGAGAATCCTGTACATGCATGACGGCTCGGTGAGCGAGAGGTGACGTGAAGCCTTGGGAAGATCCGTAGAAAGTGACGCCTTGGGAACAAACGTGGAGCAAGCGAGAAAGTAGCCTTTGGTACGTATGATGACGGGAAACCCGTGTGGATCGGATAGCCTAAACACGCGTGGAGAGGGAGTACCCAAAACTTTGCTATGTATGAAGGAAAAACGATTTGTGTCTTGTCCATGCCAATGTCGGTTGGTTCCTCACAACATGGCTGGAAAGTTGACGGATACCTGAGGAACATCTGTATATTCCAGTAGGATAGGAGTGGAGTCTGTTGTCTGAAGTTGAGCAAATGATATGCTGTCAAGAATATGTGATTGAGTGGCGCGAATGAGGAGAACAACCGCGAGAGAAGTCTTGTTCAGGGCTTGACACCATTCCCAGGATATTGCTGATTTTCAACTGGGTAGCTCTCGATATGTGCTGGAAAACGACGGATTGTGGTTCGAATGTGATGTAAAGGTCAAAAAGAAGTATAAGAAGCCGGCAATTTGGAATCCGTGGGAATATTCGGTCATGCCTATGGGAAAGAACGCACGGGAATCCTATCCGGGAACTCCATGCCAGGTTTGGATCCATTCCGGAACATTCAACTGTACCTGTCATAAGATCGTCATGAGGCCTGCAAGTCAGTGATCGCCGTTGGAATGTTCCTGTGGAAAAAGACAGTGGACTGAAAGGTGAAGATCTTCCCGTTGTAGATGCCTGCCGTGGTATATACAAACTCCTCTCCTGCTGCCTGGACCGGCCCCAACACGCTCTATCAATTTTAGATACCCACCCGAACAGAAATGCGGAATGAATATGCGATCCAGATGGCAAGCCCATGGCAATAACAATGGATCCAGACAGCAGTATGAGGGTATCCAAGAACTAGCAGGGAAGAAACAAAAAACCATGGAGCGCCCCAACGGCCTGTACATATGCAGCGACTAAATGCAATGAACAATGGACCGTGTAAATCAATCCTTCTTCTCTCATGGGCCAGGTTCGTAGAGATATCAAGGCAGTTCATCTCCTCATGGACTTTTTCGCTCGTCAAAAGGGTAACCGATCCAGTCTCAAAACAGTTCTAGGCGTGGACAAGAAACGGATCCAAGACGGAGTGAAGACCACTTCGGGTCTTCAAATCCCGGTATGAGTGCAATCTCGCAGCTCAATTAGTCTTGAAAAAGACTTTGAAGTGTCCTTCTAAACAATGGTCTGGTTCCATGACTGGGCACGCTCCCGAGGCAAATGATCCAGATATTGCACGGTACTCCTCGGAAGCTCACAGTAAAGAAAAACGCCAAAACAATGCCGGTCGCTGGATGAATCCTGAATGTGGGTATGCCAAGACAAATCCTAATGGAAAATCCTTAACGACGGCGTCGTTCGTGGCCATCACGATCACGATCACGATGACGCTCGCGGGGTTCTGGTTCCCTTTCACGCCTGGACGAGGAATTGGAAGTAGCAGGCTGAGCAACTACAGTTGGAGCGCTCACTGGAATTTGACCGTAGGCGGAGCTATCCTGGTATACTCGGCTATCATAAGGATCCTGGCTATAATCTGTTCCTGCTGGAGGGACAGCTAAAATGTTAGAAAATTCTCATATGCAAAAGGGCAAGCTATGCAGGTGACTGGTGATTGTACGCACCACGACCATAATAAGGATCTGATGGTTGAGTTGGATATTGGGCCGAGGATGGAATTGCCACTCCAGGTGGTTGTGCAGAAGAATAGTACATGCTCCGGCTATCTTGTTGTTGAGGATACGAGGCGCTGGAAGTTGCATACTGCACGCTACTCCTCGGAATTTGGGGTTGGGTGGTAACGGGTACCCTGGAACTGGGGTCTCTCATATCACCGCCGCCAGCCAACATGTTCGCTCCGGCAACGTAGTAATTGCTACTATCCGGGACGGCATATCCTCCGGCTTGTTGGTATCCCGAAGACGGCTGGGCATAGTTCGGCTGGGCATAGCTTCCTTGGGCGCTGCTATCATATACTTGCCCTGTGGAAGTGGAAGTTTGTTGGTATGCTAACGGCGCTGCGGATGCAGCTTCGGACGTGGGTCCATAGTACTGCCGAGACTGATGTGTTGTGGAAGCTCGATACTCCACTATAGGTGTGTTAGATTTTCGAACAATACCGTCCGAATCTCGAAAAGAGATACCATTAGAGGGCTGGCCTCTTGAAGCGGTTGCACGCCGCTCAGCCTCCCATCTTTCAGAGTCTGCCTTCAGATCTGCGATCATAGCCTGCCGTAGGAAGGATTAGTGAGGGTCTTGTGAGAGGTGCTAGTGAGGGTGCGATATTACGGTCGTGAGATTCCGGTACGCCGTAATGAAATAACCCTGCTGGATCTGTCGAGTCTGCGGATTCTGTGGCAAGGTCAGTATGGTGAACGGTCAGAGCGACGGAATCTCGGTCCTGCGATGACCAACCTCGTAGTTGCCAGGCCGTACGAGAGCATCGTTCCCAAGGTACCGGCAGATGTCAGCCGTGATGACCTCTCTGTCGATGCCATCCTTGGGCACGAAGTACTCATTCGTACGAGCCGAGGCTTGTTGAGCGCGTCTATCGCGATCTCTTTCTCTATCTCTTCCAGACATGATGAGAAAAGCCGGTAAAAATTGTTGTAAGAAGAAAGAAAGGAAGTCCGGAAACGAAGAGGATGGATGCAGGTCACGCACACCACGTCAGCCTGGAGACGGAGGGGGGTGGGTAGCACAAGATCGGGGAGAGAGCGTGGGAAGAAGGAAGCCTGAGAGAGATCCAACGTGGTAACCGGCACGGCGGGGGGGAGCCTCGAGAAGAAATAGTCCAGGAGGCGTTGGCAGGCCTGTCCAATTATCCGGCAACGGTGAGTCCAGATGGCAATGCGCGACAGACGGACAGCTGAGAGCCTGTGAGAGGACGGGGGGGGGGGCTGCGGTCTGCTCTGAGTTGGCCTCGTTGACAATGCGTGAGGAGAAGAGGAAGGAGGAACAACGAGTGGCAGGCGAAAATGGCACTGCAAACCAGCCTGTAGGCGCTTCCGCTTTGGCGCTGGTCTCGCGCCGCTTTAAGGGTCACGGGTGGCGCGGTGCCAACGCTGCGGCCACGCTGCTTTAACGGCTGCGGACTCTCGCCTCCCTTGCTGCAGTGGCTGGAACTGAGCTGACCTGATGACAACAGAGCAGGCTGGAGGGTCTTTTGTTCCAAGGCGGTGGGTGTGGAACAAATTTGGATGTGAGAAGGCTTGGAATGATGACTGCAAACTTGGATGCTTCCAGGGCGAGAAATTCTCATAAAACTTCTGGAATTGCGCGGGCAACTCCTGCGTACTTAAGGCATGCACGGTGGGAAGTGGGAAGGCCTGAACATTGGAGCTATGCTCAAAGAATCGGACTTTTGTCTCCCAACGTCAAGTTATCTGCTCATCAATATCAGTAGCTGCAATACGGTGGATCAACCTGCAAGGCCACTCGTTCAATGGGTCCCAGACCGCCCATGCGGTCATATCATTGCGGTGAGCTTTGTTTGTCACCGGTGGAAGCCGTATGATAGATATCAAGAGCAGCCCGAGCATGGCAGGGGATGGCAGGGGATGGCAGTCCGTACCCTCACTTTTTGCCTTTGCCTCGTTTGGGGGCTAACTTCGTCCCTTTTTCGAATTATATTTGAACTCTTTCGTGCTAGAATACCGCCGTCAACGTTTCCTCGTTTCCTCGCATCAAGACCCCATCCCACAAAGCAGCCAGCGAAAATTAAGGCAGGGTCGCGAGGGTGGCGTGCCGGGGTTGGGCATCGTCAGGCTGAGATGCATTTCTCATGACAACCCAACGCCCATCCGCGCTCTTTGATTCGCTGCAAGATGGGACAGCCGGAGAAGCCAGCTTTTGGTACAAGTATCGGTTTGCCACGATGCCAGCAGTTCGATGCGGCTGCAAAACATCGCTTGAGCTTCACAACCTAAATCTGTCTTCTGCGTCATGGCGTTATTCTTCTTGGGACTTTTCCATGCCCGTGATGGTCCGAGAATTCGAGAATAGCTTCGAGTGGTTGGGTAGTGAAGCTGGTCGAGACTGAACCCCGCGAGCCTTCTGCGAGGCGAACAGTGGAGATTGTCGAGTCATCATGTTTGCAAATCCTTTGAGAAACCCTGACGTCTCGAACTTTAAGAGGAAAACACCGGGAGAGGATATCGATATAGGCTGGGGATTTTCATCTAATGATTGGCGGTAATGCCTGGCACGTTTATGATCCTCTTGAAATGAGTTTTATGTCTGCAGGACTTGGGATACAAGTACCAACGAATCAATCATGCAGCTTTTCCAATGTGAGGATCCATGACTGCAGCTGCAGCTTCAGTTTAGAGTCGTCTCCTGAGTCGTCTCCTGAGTCCGACATCAAATTGACTGTGCATTCTCGTCCTCAGGGTCCCCATCAGCCAATATCATCAAGCCTTCTTTGAAGAGAACACCGCTCAACAAGGTTACTGGCTGCTCGGAGCCAGTAGGCTTGTTGACATTGACAAGTCTCCGTAGCTTCTCTTAGTCGATGATCCGGGTCGGTTCCGTGAGGTGCAACCAAGATCAACTTCGCGAGACAATGTTGTGGCACTCTGCCATTCGATAGGGGAATCTCACCTGTGCTTCTCCTTTCATGAATGGCGTCGTATCACCCGAAGGCCAACTTGCTCTGGCCCTTCTCTGGCTTTTCTCTTGCAGTCTTCTTCTTGTTCGTGTTCGTCCCAGATTTCTTGTTGGTCTTTGAGGTGGTAGTGGCTTGGAGTTGGTGGGAAAGTTGCCCCTTCTCCTCATCTTGGAGATCTTTTGCGAAATGCCAGTCTTGGTGGCTGTCCACATTGGCGGGTTCTATGGCCCGATTGCAACGGGTGCATATATAATCAGTAATCTGCTGTTGATGAAGGGCCGATGTGCCGGCTGAGAGCAGATTGTTCTCTTGCTGGAATTCGGTCGCCTCGTTAATGTAGGGCGAGGCCGCCATTTCAAATTCGTCCCTATCTGCACTTCCTGCTTCAGCCGAAGGAGAATTGCCGAGTAAGCCATGAGCGCCAAAATCATCATCGTGTTCCCCTGTGCTGTCCGGTTTGCCAAAGAATTTCTGAATGCCTGTCGTGCCTTCGAGGCGCCGTCGTTTCTCTGACCTCTCTTGACCTGTCGCAGTCCTGCTCGACTCCCGTGCACTTGAACTCGTTGCTTTGGCCGCTTCACCCTTCACCAAGAATGCCCCGATGCCCAAATTGCCCTGAATACCATCCTCAAATCCACCCACGCTGAGACTGATGTTCGAGCAAGGCCAGACTCTTCCTTCCAGTATGATCTGGCTCAGGAGATTTTTGGCGAGTTCAAATAGTGCCGTCTCATCTATCTTTTTCCCAAGGGAGATGGGAGCCTGACGAGATTTCATTTGACCCCCATGACGAAAATGTAGAGTCAAGGTCTTTGGTCTTCTCTTGTTCTCCAACACACCCTCCTCCACCAATCGGGAGTAGATGTCCGCTGCAAATATCCGGAGCCATCGATGGGCTTGCTCGGGCGTGTTGATGCTGGGACGGAAACTCTTTGCAGAAAGCATGGATTTGATCTGAGTACGAGAGTTGACCTCGCTCGAATCAATTCCTCGGATGATTTGGAACACCCACGTGCCCGTATCGTCCCCAAGTTTCTGTTTCAGCTGTTCCACGGGAACTTCTAGCAAATCTTTGACCGTATCTGTATTGAATGCTGAAGTGATCTGGTCTCCGAGCTTGCCTCCTAGACCTCGGATTTTGGTAAACTTGGAGTCTGAGAGGAACATTTGGACAGCCCTGTTTCGAATGACGGTCTGTTGGTTTGGCTTCTTGTGTGCCGATCCAAGCTTCGCCAGCATCTTGTTCTGTGCGATGCCCCCTGAGCAAGTGTATTTCAGCTGCTTTCTCACGGCCGCTCTGACATCCCGGACAATCTCAGAGCCAATCAGAATGGCTACGTCGTCCCAGTCTGGATCGTCCTCTTCAGTTTCGTCGACATCCAGATCAACCAGAGCGTCTGCTTGCCAGTCTAATGCTGTCGTTGGAGGAAGCGGTAGACATTCCGTTGGGTCATCATAAGGTGGCGGCCTACTCAACTGAGGGTAACGCTCCAGCAATATTGAGTGAACCTGGGCTGAGAGATCCATAAAGACCTCATCGATGCTAGCCTTTTCCACCTTCTGCAAGTGTGCAGGCAGAGTGTCTTTTATACACGAAAGGATTTGACGAGACTTCAAGCGGTACGGGTCTAGAGAGACCTTGTGCGTTGCAATATTTTTTGCGGCGTCATCATGGTATGCCCATTTCTCTTCGCCCTCTTTCCACGTTGCAACATGTTGCATGATCAAATTTGGACAGAGCTTCTTTGCCTCGGCAATATTGACATGTCGACTGAGACCAAATTTTCGTGAAGGATAATTTATGGCTATGAGGCCTTGCCTAGACTCCTTAGATACTGCTACCAGAGATAAGGATGGAGTAATACCATTGCTGGACAGCCAAAGGCTGGTCTTCTGGCACGCCCAGCCGCACCATTTCACACTGTGCGTAGAAGGCATCGAGATCCACATGAGCGATTACCCGTAATGGACAGTTGGTAGAAGATGCAGCCAGAAGTGCCAATTGCTTATACGTGAATCTCGACTTCCTTCGAAGGGCGCCTCCGCCTGCAGACATCGGAGAGGAAGGTTGAAAGGGCTGGGAGGAGGACATAGCTTCTTGCGGGAAGTCCGGAGGCTGAGGTTATCGAGGAAGGCTATCGAGGAAGAGCGACAGGCAAATCGCGACCATCATCATAAAACCGTCGACTGTAAGTGTTGCGCATAGCTATTTGGATATCCGCGATGGAGGATCCATATTCTGGCTCGGCATCCAAATGTTGATTGTCCTGGTAATTTTTCTGGTTATTGGGCAGACGCGTTCGGCAGACGTGCACAGGCGGTTCGCGTCAAATCCTCGGCTCCGCAAACGCTGGAGGTAGCTCACTTGTAGAGAGTATTGATGTCGTCTACAAAGCCCCCTCAAAACGGTCATATATTGATTAGATAGTTCAATTCATATCTTCCCTATTCAATTGCAAATTCAATTCCTTATCAGACATATTACAAGTTTTAAAACTTACCCACGATGACCTTTCTGTCAACACTCCGCAATCCAGCTTTCCTCGCCACTCTTTCTGGACTAGTAGGAAGTACCTATCTTCTTCGATCCCATATGATTGAGCTCTCTGAAGACCACGAGGCAAGAATTGTATGTCACATGTCGTCCCTTTAATCAATCAGTAATATGATCAGCATTCGTAATGGCATATCGACAGCAGCTATCTCCGCAACCAGGCGGTTGCAAACGGGACGGCTGCAGGTGATGCAGCAGGCAGAGCAAGCTTCAGAACAGATGATTGGTGCTGCCTGCTGAGCGGTGATCGATCGAGGTCGGTGGCTTACCCTCAAGTGAGGGAATTGTTTCTCAATTGTCATGCGGCCCGTTGACTGAAACATTATGATGGGTGACAGGATGAACTGGAGGGCACCCTTAGAGGTTACACTAGTCTCATAGAAGAAGCGCTTAATAGGCTAGAGGGCAAAGCAACAGAAGCTGATCAACGAAAGAAAATATAATGTCTTCGTCTCAGTTTTGAAATCTCAGAGCCCACGTGCTGATGGTCTGCAGGAACGAATAGTATGGGAAAAGACAAAAGGATGAAAAGAAAAACAGTTAGAACCATACCGTCTCGCATGGACCCCCACCGCATAATGATAGGTGCGGATTGCCCGTGGCGGTTTGGAACCGCGGGAGGGGGGGCCCGCGATGCACAATCACTGCCTTCAATATGCAGGTCATCACATCGGGTGTGGTTGGCTGTCTGAATTCGTACCCACCTTCCGAGTCAGCCTCTTGATGAGACGATTGTGAGGAAAGGTGGGCATAGTTAGTCCATGAAGTCCGAGACGTGGATATCTTATATGGTCCCTTTCCCTCTTGCTAGTGCTAGTGATCTTGCAAGAAAGTGCCGTACATGCAATGAAATCGGTTTTCAGATCGCCATAGCCCCAACTTGAAGGCCCCAACTACGAACGTGCCACCAATTGCGACCTGTATCAATTTACCCCGCTGATGTTGCCTCCTTGAAGCTCTTCTTGAGGACTGCAAACCCTCGTCAGCACTCCAGACATGAAAAATCTCCAGGGCCAACGCTCGAAGGCTAGAGATAAAAGAAATATGCAAAGAGAGGAGGATACGGCCGGGCTGTGGGAGTTCATTCTCACATCGATGCTTGGTATAAGCCGAGAGCGATGTATATCAGCATGACGCAGGATTTGGGCGTGCTATGGGCGTGGGCCGAGAGCTTATAAAGCTTTCGACTTAGTAGTGTACTATCCCTCTTTTTATCGCCCATTCCCAGGTGGGGTCATCATCATCTGACCCAGATTGGGTTGCAAGAAGCTAAATCCGTGGCAGAAGATTGGGCAATGAAAGAATCCGGGTTCATGAACACCCAACGAGGCTGCACCAGACGTCCTCGAGAATGACCACATGTCGTCAAGCTCGGTCTCCCTGACCGATGACACTATTGCGGCTCAATTATCGGTCTTGGAAACCAGCTTATTCCCCTGCGAGGACAAAGGCGCCGGCGGTTACCGACGTGTGGGAAGGTCATTTGGACTCCCGGCGGTATCGGCGCGCGCCCTGGATCACAACACGACTCTAGGAGCACCATTTCAAGTCGAACAACATATTCATTTTCACCGAAGTCTTCCGGTGGCCACTGTTGTTGGTTCTCCGTATGACTTCGGTTCACCAAAATGCGTGATGTTGTTCTGGCGAACCCCCCTGAACAACAGCCTCACCAGCGAAGAGCACCACAATGTATCCACAAAGATCGCCCAGCTTGGTCATTATTCTCGAATGGAGTCAGGTAATGGGTGGCAGTGCTATCTTCACAACTACACGTGTTGACCGCAACACGAAGTTGTTCTTTCCGCACAAACAGCTTCTTCCCCTTGGAAAGGCGCAAGATCTCATATGGAATCGGGTTGCCTCACGCTTCCTAGCAGCGGTCCTACGCCTCGAACCATACAGCGAGCGAGCTAGGTCGCATTGCCCGAAAGAGCCATCTCCGGCTTCCTAAACAGCCCCTGTCTCGACAACCAAAGTCATGCGCCACAAACTGGACCATAGAAGCTCACGATATCTTGGACGGGGCGCGAGAACATGCATTGCAATGCCTTCAGATGCCACTCAACTTCGAATAAGCAGCTCTCCAGCAAAGAGCGCGTTGACCTGGGCAGCGAAGCAGAACCCTTCTTCTCAACCGCCCTGCACCTAATCTGCCAGGCTTCGTGGGTTTTGCTGGTAAAAAGTATAAGATAGAACGCCTGCGGCTATGCTCTTGGGCCAGCAGAAGTATCCGGGTCTCTGTCTGGACTACTTTTCCTCGACCGACTACCACTAAGTCAACCGTACGCCGTCATCGCTGGTTCATTGGCAAGATGTAGAGTATCTTCGGGGGCGCACTGCCCCGAGGGAGATGGCTCCCAAATATCCAAAGAGCACTGCTCACGCCTCAAGAGGGCGAGCAGACTGCGCTCGAGGAGCATCTCTTAAACTTCTGAAAAAGTATATGAACTCAGCAACTTCCTAGGGAAACTCTCAGCAGACAACAAGCGCGAACAACAGCACCACCAGCACAGGTCTTTCATCTCTTCCCGCTCTTGTACGTCGACTTTCTTTCTTTGCAGACTTCTTCGAGTTCACCATCTTCGCTCAACACTTAATCCGTGCCTCGGATACAGCATATCATTCCACGAACAGACCGCTTTCAAAATAAAGAGGTATGAGAAAGCTTCCCCTTCCCCTTCCTTTCTGCTGAATGTTGGCTGAAGAACTTATAGTCTCGACATGCCGCGCATTCGGACTGGCACGCCAGAAACGACAACTTGGTGGAGGTGTTGCCAAGAAACGTGCGAGCACCGCGAAGTCAACAACGAGGCATGGGGCACAACCTGCCCGGACTGTAGCCATGAGAAATGTGAGGATTGTGAGGAAAACATCACTCCTTCAGCCAGCTCAACACAACAAAACATCCGCCGCCGACATCGATGCGAGACCACAAAGTACGCACGACATGCGAGACAGCCAAATACAGCCAACTACGCACGACCTAGCAACACGGGATGGTGGATCTGTTGCAAGGATAGGCGGGAGGTGAATCCCAAATTATGGGGAGACGAATGTCCCGATGATCAGCACCAAAAGTGTTCTGAATGCCGAACACTTTCATGAATAGGATGAATTGACGGATCGTTTGGTTCGTTCGGCGGTCCTCTTGACAGTCAGTATCAAGAAAAGGCTTTGAGAAAGGTCTGGTGTGGCCCTTGGCGCGTATGCTTTGGTGGACGTCGTTGTTAGTTTGATTTTGCCTGTCATTTTCCCTTCTTTCTTTGATTCCTTCACTTGAAACTTTACGGCCTCGTTTCATTCCTTGATGGTGGTTGACTTGTCGGTTCGAGTCTTGGTGGAAGGCACTGCTTCGATTCTTTTGTCATTATTCTCTTCGATTCATGTTTCATCCTTGACTACGACGCCCGTTTTCCTTTTGGTTCGTGGTTCGGATTCTTGCGGTTATGCTTCTAGTTTCTCTTTCATAGACTCCGCTTCATGTCCATCTTCTTATATTTGCTCAACCATTTGCCTTGCCTCTAGGTGGTTAGACTTGTTTGTGCTTGGAAGAACATGGGATGAGAGGCGTTCATAGATCATTCGTTACTCGTTCATAGACCATTCGTTAGTTGCCCGCTTTTCAATATCAGGTCGTTTCCTAGAACTCATGGACCGACCCATGTTTCATAACCATTCTTGCACTTGGACGTGACCGAAACCGTATGACCATAGCTGAAGTTGTCTTAGGTAAAAGAGCTAGGCAGAACCGTTCGTGTCTCGCCCAAACATGATCGGTGACCCAGCGTTAAGCTTCCTTGGACTTCTATGGTTTGTGCCTTCCGCAGTCCGATGGTTCTCTGGATGTCCTTTGCCTTGATATGCTTCCCATCATTGTCCCACACACTTATGTCCACGAAATATTTCACGGTGCTGAGACGCATCTAGTGATCCGCGAGTATACCCAGACCTTGTTGCCATCCTGAATGACTTCCTTGATATTCATCTTGGATTCCGGCGCAGATCAAAGAAATTGCACCCATCCCGCCGCGAAGGCGTCTGCATCCTCGACTGCAGGGATATTATGGTATGCCGTCAAGGAGAGTGAAAATATGCTGCGCCTTTCGAAATATCCTTCTTGTTGCACCAGGTTGACAAGCCAATCGCGTGTGCCTTGAGGGCTTGCAGGGTAGGCATGATATCGATTGATGCTGCGGGCTCGAGTTCAACTTCGTTGATGGTTCGATCGAGTGTTTCTTTGTCTGATGCTGAGCTGATGGTGGTAAGTTGGGCTTCATTTGTGCTTCTTGAGGAACCCTCATCCACGGGCATATCGGGGGCTCTACCTGCGAAGTTTCGCAAGTGCTCTGCCATTTCGTTAAAGTCGGAAAGTTTTCCATCCATTCTTGCTTGGCGTTTACGGCGACATGTTTACGTTGGTTGGCGTGGTCGGACTCTGCCCTCGCTTCGGAAGTAGTCAGGGGAAGAGCTAACCATGTCACGTGTAGTAGAAACCCCAATCCAATTCAGATCCTGGTAACCGTAGAGCTGCTTTATACCAGTAAAATTCCAAAGATTCGGGCTGGAGCAACATGGACACCGAGAAGATCTTAAGCCACGGATTTGGTAAGTCGGAGAGCTTGTTCATCGGAGTGTGAATGAGGATGGGATTGAAAGGTTCAACAAATAGGCTGGCTATTTCGAAGCATTCAGGTTCTTGGAGATGATGGTGGAGAAAACATAGGGGGAAGATTCTGCTTTTGGCTATGGGTCGAGCCCCTAATTCGTCCTAGAAAGCTGGCCATGGAACAACGGCTCAGCGAAAGGAAGTCGGCCATTCGACTGAAAGTGTACGTTGCTGCTTAAGTCTATGCAATGTTACTCTTTTGTGTACAAGTCGTCTCGAGCTTTCCGGCAGCCCTCCAATTATCTATGAATCGCCAACCAACTCTACCCTTCGCACCCATGACCAGCAGCTTTGGAATGCCAGCTCATTATGACATGTCATTAAAATATATCTCAACCGGCGGGTGCATGACTCGCTTCCCTAAGGCCGCTGTCCAATCTCTTCAAGCTCTACGTAGGACAAGAAAACAGCGGTAGCGTAACACAGTCACGAAACTCTTGTTGGGACAGATTGGAGACAAGACTCGCAACATGGGCAGCGACGTTTATCACAAAATCCCCGATTCTCAACTAGATTTCGCCTATTTCAAGTTGGCTGTGGGGACGTTGAGAGGTTGTTGATATTTTGCAACGGAATCGAACGATTTGGTTGACTTGAGATGACATCCGGATCCCTGGTTTCCGCACCTGCATCAGAAGTGCCTTCGCTGGTCCTCCTCTGGTGCGTTCGCTTCCTTCTCTTCCGGCGACGTGATTTATCCGTTTCTCGAGATGGTGTGAAACCAACAGATGATTTCAAAAGATTCACACCAGGACCCATTGCATATTGGCTCTCGGCATCCTCATGGTCGCAACACGGACTTCTTCGTATGGGAAGAAACCAGTCCAGCAAGCCCGTTCCCATGACAGTCTTGAAATTCAGAAGCCGACTTCCAAGGTCCCAAGGGTTTTCGCCAACCTCCAGCATTGGCAGTACGGCAAAAGTTCGTGTAGCTTGGAGATCTCTCTCAGAAGGTCGTTCTTTTGTACAAGCGTTTTGTTGAGCTGCTGTCGGCGCGGTCGGCTCTGCTAGACGAGGGCCTCCGTTTGCTTCTAAGGAGTCCTCATTTAAAGAGGTACTTTCTGGTCCTCGTGTCGGTGCTTCAGACCTATTGCCAATGTCTTCCGAAAGAGGCCCAGGGGGTTTTCCAATTGGTTCTAAATGCTGTGTGTGAGAATAGATCTTGGTCCTTGGCATATCTGCTGGCTGGTAGTAGTCGGGATTTGGAGGAATTCCCACATCTAGTGGATACGTTATCTCTTTGTAATATGGTTGAACAGCTGCATCAATTCTTGCTCGAACCAATTCTATTCGGCGGGGTTTCAAAACAGCCAAGACGTGAACGGCGCTTTTTGCACCAAGTTTTTCGACTTGTGTATAGTTATCCATGGCCAAGTCGATAGAAGTGACAGTCATTCCAAAAGTAAACAGGCCAAAGAAAGTAGACCTAGCAACACAACGTTAGAGAGCGATGGAATTGCCGAAAGTGGACGTACAGTCCAAGAACCGCAACAAATTGAGGGTTAAGAGTTTCATCCTAAGTCATGTACAGTCAGCTAATAAGGGTCAAGTTGGGGAATAAGTGTGACGCGAGGAGATTTGATGACGCGAAGGGTGTGAGGGGTCCAACAAACCTCTGCTTGTTTCTGCTTCGCAACGTAGATCGCCATAACGACTAGGACATGAATGCAGTACAGCGCTGTGTAGCCAGTAAATTGGATGAAGAATTTGAAGTTGTTCTCCCCGACAGCCCCTCCAACCCTGCAAAAGCATGTTAGGCGGTCCCAAGAGCTTGCAGACGTGATAAGCTTAAGGCAGCAAAACATACCAAGGGCAGAAGTGGTCCATCTTTCTTATACAGCGCCCACAATCACTACTGTGATGCGCACGGTCAGGCTTCCAATTCGCACAATAGGGGCACCACTTGGGCTTCCCGTCCATGTCGCAAACAAACACATCCTTCGTATAGAAGAGCTCCAACCCCGGCGAGTCCGGGTCATTGTCGGAGCCTGCAACAACGCCCGAAGTCTCCCTGCCCGCAGGCACGCCAGCATTATATTCGACGCCGCCAATGCCACTCTTGTCCGAGCTGGCCTTGCTTCCAGCCCTCTCTTGCTTTCGTTCTTGTAGTGCTCGAGGTCCGAGAGGAACATAGGGAGGTTCGAAGACGGTAATGTAAACTAGCCGGAAGAAGCAGATTGACATGAGTAGGAAGAGCACAAAGTATATGACAAGAATGGGGATTGCCGCGGCATGGTCAAAATGTTTGATTAGGAGGTAATTGACTATAGTGCAAAGTCAGCCGCTAGTTCAGCATTATCACCGAATGCCTTACCGCATAGAAGAGCTACAACAACGTAGGTGGCGTATCCAACAACGCCGGCCAGAATGATGGGTATTATTCTCGCCGTCCAAAGATTAATTGCGACCCTGTTGACCTCGACCTTGCTCTGCATCTTGGCCAATCCATAAGGCTCACTGCTGTGAATGCAATTCCTGCTCCAAAAATATGAATAGAAACTGCTCGTAGTAATACTACTAGTTAGCAATTGTCATCGAACCATAATTGAATCTGGAGATGTTAGTTGTCAGCATGGAGAGGAACAGAAGGATCGCGCTTGTCGTCGCGCTTTCTCAGTTTCTCTGGTCCGTGCGAGAGCCTCGACACGGAGTGACGGAGCCCGATTTACGGCTCTGCCTCGTCCAGACACTACTGAGAAGTTTGCTCTCAGCTCCCCATCGGCAGGATCAATAGCTTCAATTGGGATGACTCTTTCATCGAAAAGTTTGCCAGTTTCGGAAGTACATCCGCAATTGTCATGCGCCTCAGTGGTCGCAGTCTCGAAGAAGATTCAATTTCTAAGTAGTGGCGAAGCATAGCTTCTAGAATATGCGAATTCCTCTGTGTAGGGGCTATTTAAGATCTTCTTTCCCAGAGAGCCTCGATCCTTCACCTCAAATTCGAAATGCCTAGCAACTTCAAGGAATTATGAAAGTTGTTGAGGGCGGTTCAGAGGCTGGGACTCGGGGACAAATAAATTCAGCTGTCTGCGTTGCCCTCTCAATGAGAAATTCGCCCCTACGTAACGCCCGATTGGAGCAAGCGCAGGACTCTAATGCCTGGTGTGGCTTCCTCAATGGTTGACGTTGGATGTCTTGCCTCTGCGCTTTTGGTATGGCAGAGATTGCTTCTCGGCGTACAGAGCCAACCTCCTGCCTGGCCCACTTTCCCAGGAAAGCCCTCTAACAGCACTATTCCGGACCCGGAGATATGCGGCACGGCAGAGTTTGCGGCTCTGGCAGCAAACAATTTTTTCCTGGGCCTCGAGGCGGTCCTCTTTGGTCCCAAGAAAGTCCTGTTTCCCGTTGCCCTACTTGTCTACACCCTCTATCCCAGACACTTGTCTTCCCAAGTAGGCAGCAATTGAACCAGAGAATGTTGTTCTTGATCAATAAAATAAGACGGGTATAGCCACCAGCGGCCAGATGACCAGCTGAGATGAAATAGGCCGGGTATGCTCAGAAGCGATGTGCGGCTGAATGAGGCTCAAAGGATGGAAGAAAATCCTTCCTTAAGAATGACCGGAGCTTTGGGGAAAACCAGAAACGCTCCGACGTATGCTAACTTCTGTTTCGGTCAACGATCCAATCATTCATAATGAAGCTGAAGTCGATGGCGTCCCAAGACGGCCTTGTACAGTATTACTGGTGCACAATTTTGGAGTCTCGCCCTCGGTCAACAACGAGGCAAAACCTCCTTCAATGTTCTTAAGGCTCACTGTGCTCCCATCTCACTCGGTTTCCAAGGACGGCGGACTGATCAGCCTCCTTCATTCTTCTTTTCCGCCCCTTTTTGAAAGAGATTACCTGGGACCGCCTTGGGGACAGCTGTTAGCCGCCCTCGATTTGTCTTCCAACCCCTCTTGGAACATGCGGCCGAGGAGAAGCTACCCCTTTGTCTCACGGTGAGCCTAAGATCAAAATGCTTTGCCCCCAGGGCTCCTCTTCGCCCTCAAGTTGGGGCTATAACTGCTTCCACTTCCGGAGCAGGGCACTCTCCATCAGCTTCTATATAAAGGGGGTGCGGCCCTCTTCATTTGACCATGATTTCTCGGACCAGTCTTCAAATAACGACTTCTACTCTCCTGGCCTTGGGATATACTCTACAGGGTGCTTCCTAGTTTGGCTGAGCTCTACTTTGGCAAAACTGTATGCCAGATTTTCGAACTTGGTATTGCGGCTGGTGCGGACACGGGTATGTACTCACCTAAAATGATCAATCTACAGTGGTGACCAGGAACTGGACTTACGCATTTATATAGACCCCACTCTCTTGTGTTGGATGAATATTGCACCTGCTGCTATCGACGAAAGGATGCCAGTGCAACGCTTGAATCAGGTGGGCGACGCTACCCTCCGCCGAGAGAGCCCGTCCCTTCCTTCAAGTCTGAACCCAATACTGGAAGTAGAAGAAGAAAACGTCGATGACCTGCCGAGGACAACGATGCCGACTCCGTCAAGTCAACAATGGGGTCCAGAACATGCCCCGAGGAAGCGAAGATATATGTGGTTCTGCTGTCAATGCGGTGACGGACCCAGCGACTCTGAATACGTTTCAAATTGTACGGAATGCTATCATCGTCGATGTGGTACATGTTCGGTCAAGAATAAGAGGGCAGAAGCTATAATTGCACCAAACTAGGTGGGCATAATTGCTCTGCATTATTCTCAGGTCAGTCAAGTACAAGAATGGGAGCAGCAATTTAAAAGAGTCTCGCTAACGTACTGTCTCTTTAAGGCTTGTTTGCTGAAACTTTCCATGTCTGGAAATCAAATCAGCATTTAATATCGGCCCAAGTCAAAAGTTAAATGATATTTATGTGCAATCACATGACCTTCTTAGCTTGACGTTACCATACAGCCTTGGCTCCTGACAGATATTCAACGAACGTTATGAAAGATCTTAATTCATATCCTCAACAGCATCTGACCTCTCTTGCTGCGCAACCTCCAAGTCGAAATCCACGTGGGCCCGCACTGCTCGCATACCTACCTTAGTGAATCTTCTACAGCCTTGCGTCAGTTTACCTCATACATTGGGCAAACCTTCGACTGCGCCATGGTTGAGCATATAGCCTCGGTATCCGCCTATGGGGGCTGTGTTTGTTCGTGGCGAAGCGGAGCGTGCCTTCACCGAGTCTGATGAGACTCTAATGCGGCTCTTCAAGCTCCAGGCAGACGTTTGTGGCCCTGGCAGTCTTGGAGCCCTCGGTGCCAATTGAGCGAATCAGTTTTCTACGTGATCCTTAAGCCGAGTTCCGTTCCTGCTCGTCCCAATGGCCGACACTCTTTCCGGGATTTCACGCAGAGCCGCAAAGATCTGGTACATCGGGACATCGCCCGCCTCTCGCTTCACCCGGGGTGTTGCGATTGGCCCGGAGAAGTGAGGCTCAACTGGTTCAAAAGTCCTGCAACAGTATTTTAGTCTCCTCGCCCTGCTCTTTCAGAATTCGGTTTATTTCTCGCGTTCACCGAACGTCCTTTTTTGTCCCTTCCACGAGTCGCGCTGGGCCCTGCGAGTCATCCCCATGATTAGCTCACTCACCGACAAATCTAGCCATGTGATTGCAATAGCTCTCTGGGCAGCGGCCATTCCGACCAGAGGTCCACCTCGATTGGGCTGTTGAACATCATGGTACAATTCGAGGGCGTTCACCGTTTACACAGCCATCCATTCTTCCTCAATTGCGTCCAAAGACTTCTCAGCTCCTTAAATTTGAGACCCTGGCGTCTATCCTCATCATCAGCCCCTTCTACTACCGGTCGGAGAGTACCTTGTGCAGTCGCCTGGATGCCAATCATCTCCGTTTGCCTACGAAGTGGGAGAAGGTGTTTCACACAAGCGTGGGCTTTTATCCCCCCCCTTGCTTTCAGGCTTTCGCCTCACCTCAGAAAGCTGAATAGGGGCTTAGCTATGATTCCCGGATATATAAATCTTCAGCTGCCGCTGAAGTCTGTGTTTCAACAGCTCCCTTCATTTCTTCAAAGCTCGATTCATTCTCTGCCTCCCGGCTTCAGCAACCCGTCAAATTTCTCTTAACAATCTTAATTATCACGAGGCGCTAGAATGCCGCAGCACGATTCGCATCACAGTGGCCATAGTCATAGTCGTAAGAAGAAAGAGGAGTACGTGTGGGAGTGGTTTTGGTCTTGCTGCAACTGTGGTTCTCATGCTGGATTGTCAACCACTATTCTTTTGGCATGCCCAGGGTGCGATCACATTCGTTGCGAATACTGTCCTATGGAAAGTGCGCAAATCTTGGTAAGTCGTTGATTGGGAGCGAAGGAAACTTCACTTCAAACTCGAGCCTTTACATGACGCTGACCACAGCAACAGAAATCACAACTCGTCACGCGAAAATGATGCAAGATATCAGACAATATAGGTTCTGGGGCCGGCGTCACAGGAGTTCGCGGAGGGAGGAATTTCGAGGGGGACGATGGTCTTCACTTGTTATATAGCTTGATGAGCTATGAGCACTTCTTCTTGGCACTCGTTTCTTTCATGCTTTTTGTTCCTTCTCGGTTTCAGCGGTCAAGTCCATCTTATAGACTAAACTTACATCCTCGCGGGGCGGTACCCACTACTGTTTTGTTTGTGTTTGGCTGGTGTTGGGGGTCGACCTGAGTTTAGCGAAGCGGCATTGCTGGCATTGCATTGATGATTTTGGAGCCTTTTTCTTAGAGTATACGCCTCGTTTAAATGAATTTTTATTTGCTACTGCCGTATAATTATGACAAAAATCCTTGTCTCCAACCAGCCAATCATTTCCTCAGCCCACGAAGAGAAGAGAGGTTCTCGCAAGCGAAGGCTCCCCTATCTTCCCCGTCTGTTTAAATTATTGCCTCACTCTCATTCTCATTACCCTCAGCCACGATGGCAGAATGGAGGTGCTTGCAAGCTGGGGCTCCCTATTTTGCCCTGTCTCCTAGGCTCTTACGCACAGTCATCGTTGAGAGAGCTCTGTCAGTATAAATGTGCCTGCCCCCATCCCAATTAATCAGTCTCTTATTATACAACTATCTCGCCTGTTTTGGCTTCACACAAAGTTGGCCCCGCAACTCTTTTCATTCAGATCAAGCTGCCCTAAGCTTCCATCATGGCACCTCGTGAGGACAAACACCACCATAGCGGTCACAGCAAACATCACGGTAGCAGCCACAGGAAAGATAGCAACAGCACTAGCAAACATGGAAGCAAGCCGCAAGAAAAACCCCAGGAATTATGGTTCTGCCATATGTGTGGTGACGGCCCGATGTCCACCAAAATAATTCCCGCCTGCCCACAGGTCAATTGTGCCCACTGGCGCTGCACAGACTGCCCAGTGGAGTACTATAAGAGATGATACGCTTAGGTATATTCTTCTTGGATTTGAAATTTTGGAAGTCCTTTGTTCTGATCAGAATCTTTTAGATCAAAGTTACGAGTTCGATTTCTATCTCAACTCCAAGAAGGCTTACAACAAACGGGATATATGACAAGGGGTCCGGCGCGTTTGAAGTGGTAACTTGAGCTTTGGGGGGTGTTGGCGGTATTAATTTCATGTATCTTTTCTTTCTGGTTTGGATTTGCTTCTTGTGCATTGTTCTTTAACCAGGTTTCATTGTTCGCACGGCATGTGGTAATTTAGACCAACGCACCAGCAGTCCGCAAGGAGAGATACCCAATTCTGTGTTCTGTGCTGCATTTAGCTTGATGTTGGCTGGTGCTTTAAGATTACTGGGCATCTTTCAGAATATGCATTTACGAATTAGATAGTATTAGATAGCATTTTCTTAAACTATACATCCTCGGTCAACTAGAACCAAATTGATGCTTGTCTCGGTGACAAACAACAAACACTATTGTTTTATGCGTAAATTTCCAATCACGAATGCTCGGTGACCTATCTGACGATGGTGTTGTGTTCCAAGAGGTTGCAAAGCGCCTTTTACTTGAAAGACGTTGAAGACTGACCAATAGGGTCCAAGGTAGAAATGTCTCAGATCCAATAATTTGCCTCACGCTCAAACCAAGCCACGGGCGATTTCAGATCCCAAAAACGCCCAGAACGGCAGACTCAGACTTAATCCCACTGGTTTCAGAAGGGAAATTGCCATGAACTTGGCCAGAAGTCCCCTGTGTATGGCGTACACCGCCCAGGCACCTTGGTTCTAAGCTTCTGGAACACGGACATTCGAACAACCCCGCCTTGCACAGATCTGAAGATTTGGCGTCTCTGCAAGCCTTGCCAGGGCTTCGGTTCTATAATACCACCTCAACCGTCATGCCCTTCGGACTGCCCGTGGCAGTACACACAGCTCACCGACGTTGTGGGTCCTCAAACGCAGCGCGGCAAGGTGTATTGAAGCCGGTGACTGTCTAACACGGGGGCGCCGTACCACGAGGGCAACGACGTCGAGTCGCTCACCTTCTCTTGGATCCACTTGCTCCAGAAAGCCTGTGGAAAGATCCCGCGCTCTCCCATCCCGCGCTAGAAGACGCCGAAAGAGTCCGGAAAGGGGCGGAGAGGAAACAAGCTTGAATCCCTTCCTTGATGGCGCCCTCGGTCTCAACACAGCTGAAAATTTCTCTTTGGAAGGGTTCCGTTCCTGAATCTGGCGTAGTGTTGTTGCCCCGTGTTTGCCTCACTATTACCAGCGAGGGCGGTTGCCAAACGAACAGGCAGCGATACCGAGAACTTTCGGCACTGCTTGCTGGGCAAACTGGTCTGTCTTAGCAAAAGAGCGGTGAGTGAAGGAAGACGTTGATTTAACACCGAGTAAAGGAGAAACGAAATGATAGAGTTGTTGATGTGACGTTGCGTGCAGCCTAACATACTTTTAGACTACAAATCATGTGACTAATCAGCCTCATTTGTGACCGACTAGAGTTCATCCGATATCAATGACGGTGACACGCCTACGCACGTCTTCAACAACCCAGCTTCGCTCGCGCCCTCCCCAAAAATACCCTCCACTTATTGATTCGTTCCTTTACGTCAGATGTATCCAGCTGCGCCCTCGACTCGTTCCAGGCGACCATATCCGGTACTCCGAAATTCGCAGCTCCTCGATGTACGAGTACCAGCTTCCTCAGGGCGGAGGCCGAGGATAGCCTTGCTGGACGGGTTTACCACCACATCTGCAACTCTTGTAACATGATGAGGATGATGGCCACGTGCCTCCGGATAGTCGTGATTCGACTCTCAAAGGGTTCCAAGGCCGCACGCCGCCTTGAACCGATCAAACCTGCAGCTCGGGCACACACCCGCCGGGTTGGTCACGCTCGTCCATTCGCAACAAAAAGTTATTAGCTGCTCATAAATCACATCTCATCTGCGTACAAACGGCAGACCTTATCGTGCTAGGCCGGACTCTTTATACTCTGGATCCTAATGGTACTCGTCAGCGTACAGGGCCAGGTGTCGACGTCGATACTTGTCATGCGGCATCCTTTAACTCGTTGACAGATCCAATTCGCCACTTCGTCCGATAACCCGAAACATGAACCAGTCAGATCAAATCTTGAAGCGAAGGGTGGGCGTCCTTTACCTATCAATATATCCGGAAAGGGACGGCCAGCACCGCAGGAGGCTTGAAACATAACGCATGCATCGGTACCTCACGATTTCGACTTATCAATAGGGCGTCAACGGAACCACACTTCGTTCTCCCAACATCTCCCTCGAGAGATAAGACCGATGCTTCCCGAGGGCTTCACCGAGGTGTAATTTCTTGCAGACTCTATTCTCTACCAGCCGAGAGTGCCGACGAGAGTTCTGCTGGTCCCTAGTTCCAAAGGATGAGACACGCTCCAGATTGTCATTAAAACTGGGCCTGTTTTGGCAAGGGGATATGTGCTCTACTTGAGTTCCCACCCCCAGGTGAAGCCGACGGAGTTGAACTGGGACACACCTCACATCCCTTGGGAGAAACCAATGATCTCGAAGAGAAAGAACACCGTTGACGCAACATTTCCATGAAGTAGCACAGACGTCGTCGATTGGTCATCCTGATGTCAGGCCCTTCTCAACAGCACATAGCGGCAGATTGACCCCTATTGGTGGGTACTCTTATGTAAGGACTTGTTTCTTTTTTCTCTCTCGTTTGATACCAGCCTCTCTCCAATACTATGAGACATGCAGAGTTCGAAAGGCTCAGGACCTGCCGTTCTTGAATGCAGTCCTCGACGAGCGTCTCAGGGTGCTCCCTATAATCAGCGCAGGTCATAGCCCCAGATATTCTTCCATCTGCTACCTCTACAAACAGCTCTCACGGGTATCAGCAGAGTCACCACCGAAACGACTGTCCTTAATAACTACACCATACCTCCTGATGTGATTGGTCATCACAGGGGTATTCTGCTTCCTGACTGACCTTCTGTTAGGTCGAACTTTTAGCTTTCCTCAGCAAAGATGCAAGACCCTGCTGTTCGGTCAGACGCCGTCGACTTTATCCCCAAACAATTGCTTGGGGAGTATAAAGGTGCTGAAATCGACCGCACTTGTTCACTTCCTTTAGTATTGGCTCCAGAGGTTGCATTGGCAAACAGTAGTTCTTCTGTCACAGTCGGGGAGGTTATATTTGCTAAGAAGGATAAGGTTTGCGATGAAGGAGATGCGTCTTATCCTTGCCACGCTCGTTCGAAGATACGAAGCGACGCTTGTCCCGGGGCAGCCGCATAGGAGGTTTTGGAGGATTGTTCCTGTTTTTAAACAAGGGTTTTATGATGTTAGAATTAGGCCACGGGTTTGATTTGTGCTGATTTGCAAATCGTCTAAGGTCTCTCCCTTGCGTTCATCGAAAGGATGCCCTCAGCAAATCTAGTCGACTTTTCGCCATCTCTGTATCGTCTTCAAGGGTTGTGACTGCAATACCCGGGGTTTTCGGTTCACATGAATCGAAATAACTGTGTGCCCTCGAGACTAAATCTTAGAACATTCTAAGAGTATGGGGCCGGTCCTTGGTTTATCCACAAATGATCCATTCAACGAGTTGACCATGGCAATCTAGCTGTCTTGACCACCGAAAGACCAACTTCTAGGGAGCCACCGATTACCAAGTGCGATCATAGTCTCCGCTCTGCACGGGGCTGCACATCAACAGATCGACAGCGGGAGGTCGTCCGCTGCCCCGCCATTGGTTATCAAGATACCCCAGTCATGCGCCAAAACCGCACTACCTTCTCCAGCTTCTAGAGTATTTCCGTCAACTCCACACCACCCGCCTTATTCAGAAGTCGGTGGCCTTTATAAGATGCACTATTTCCCTCTTTCATCTAGGATCTTCAACCCTCCCTCGTCCCCCTCGTTTCCTTTCTGCGCAAGGCCAAATCTTTCCCACCGATAAGGAATTCTACCCCGCAACAATTCAGCCTTATCGCAGCTTCCCGCCACGATGGACCCTCCACCTCCATATTTCCCACGAGTTCCACTCACACCTCAAGACTGCGAAACAGCCTCCATCCACTCCGCAGCACCGTCCTACATCAGCGAAGCCCCAACCTACACCTCTCTCCTGCCTCCCTCTCCCTCGTCGTCTCCCCGGACCGGCCTCCCTTCACCATACGGAACGCCGGAGTCCCTTCGCAACCCTCGCACGCAAGCAAACTCCATTCCCTCCCTCGACGTCTATCGCGTCTCCAGCTTCCCACGCACGCACCCCTCAAACCCGACGGCCCGCCACTACCACAGCGTGGCCTCTCGTAGGGCCTCCTTACTTACCATGCAAGAACAGTCTACCCTGCTCGCCGCCGCCTTACATGGAGAAGACGGCATCGAGCGCATGAAACGGCGAATGGAAGGAGAGGAGCGCGAGCGGGGGATCCGGGCGAATGAAGATCCGGAACTCGTTGGGGAGGAGGCGGCGAAGAGGAATCGGGAGGAGCGGGAGAAGAGGGAGGGTCGATGGGGTGTCCTCGAGAAGGAGGATAGGAGGTGGGATTGGCTGTTGGCACAGATGAGTGATTGGGAGGAGAGGGATAAGAGTTGGAAGAAGTTCCGGCGGGAGCTGGAGGGGGGGAAGAGGGCGAAGTTGGCGAAGAGGTTGGGGATGGGGAGGCCTTGAATTTTGGGGGTGGGTTGAGGGAGACTTGATTTGCGAGAAGTGGATTTGGGCTGCTGGATGGCTTTGGGGCGATTTAATGGCTTGAGTTATGCTTATATTTTGTAATGTTCAACCTTTCAATGAAATTTGATTCCGAAATTCGATGTGTTGCGGTTCGTTCTTCCAAATGGATGTACGCTATACGCTGTGCGCTATGATTTTTACACAACGATTATTCTTTTGCCATGGCCCTTCCGCGTTTCTCGCCATTCCATGTTTGGAAGTTCCAAGTCTGCCCGATGTTTAAAAGACAAATCAGGTGGCCGTTCCGGAATTCACAAAACTACCCTCTGCTGCTACATCCACATAACATGCTCCGCAATCCTGATAGCCGACTCCCCAGGAGCCAGATCTGAAACATCCAACTCCAGCAACTCCGGACATTCAAATCTTAAAATTTCTCCTCGAGATCTGGTTTCATGGAGTAGGCCAACTGATATTAGACCGATCGCGGAACCGCACCAAAATTCGCCACTTTGCCCACTTTGCGGTGAAATATCACAACGCCCACAATGCGTGAACCGATCTAACGAATTGGGATCGAAATAAATAGTACAATATCTAGCTTTATACGATTCCAGGTAAGCTGAAAATAAGAGTTTCCTTTTCAGTCTACTCGTGTATTGCAACGACTGGAATTCAACTCAAAATTAAGCGAATTTTGGTGTAAAAGTGGCTATGGGCAAAAACGTTGCAGTTTACGGCCGCCCAACTTTACGACCACGCGCTCCTAGAATTATCATAATTAGTAGAATTAAGGGCAACGATCCAATTAAGAGATGTGCTTGGACGTTCTTACTGTAAATGGGTCGGAATGTGGTTAGTTGTGAAAGTGTTATACCTGAATTTTAGTGTAAAAAGGGGTTTCGCCTAATATCAGTTGGTTAGTACGGAAGGGGGTTGTAAGAAATCACCGCCACCCCCTGGTTCTGTCATCGCTAGAAAAGGGAATTTATGAGGCAAACCTGTAAAAATTCAATGCCTGATTGGCCAAAAAGTTCACCGCCTAACAGAGGGGGGGTGGCGGTGATTTCTTACAACCCCCTTCCGTACAGTATCAAGAAGCATGCCTTTCCCACCAGCAACCAGCTCCAATCTCTCGTGAGATCTCATCCTCTGAGCGCTGATGTCAGCATCGCAGGCCAAAGTACAGGGATAAAAGTGCATCCTCGATCTTTTGCTGCTTGGACATGACGTTCGGCTACTGCGCGTCCGATATCGTTGTCTGTTTGACAATCGGTGAAGATATTTCTGGATCTTGTTAGCTGGTTTGAGACGAAGGGGATTGCACATCTAATCCTACAAGTAATTGATAGTCTCGGGTTTTGTTTCCAGTGTTGAGGAAATGACTTCGACGAGGCGATGACGGAGTGGGTAGTAGTCAGGGCTCGATCTTGGCGAGATGATTCCTGCGAGGTCGATATGTTTGTCGTTGTGGACCTGGTATTTATTTTATTTAGTAGGTGTACGTGTATTCTCGAATTGGCCTTCACACTAGTTAGATGTTCCACAACTAGTTGAACGTCAAAAGGTCGGGTACATTAAAATTTACCCAGAAAGGACGGACCGGATCGATCTTTAGGGACAGATTGTTGAACTTACAACTAGACCTTTTCCATCTAAGTGCTTCTCGAGCGCTTTCAGGGCAGTATGTTTGCCAACACCTGGCCATCCGTGATGTAAATTATTGGAGCAGGCAGCAGGCAGGAGGCAGGAATTGTATCTGAGATTCGGTATTTGATTGTACGGACGAGGGCCATTCATTTGAAATCGGAGAATGTACCTGAGAGTGTTTGAATAAAGGCACGGCTTCTCTGAGATGTGAGAAAGGGGTGGTGCTTAGATAGAAGTATAGGTAAGGTGAGCGAAGTACTTGTCGGTCCAGATATGAATAGCCAAAATGCGGTACCAAATATGACCCAGGGGTCGCTTAGAATAGCCGAGCTACAGCTTCCGGGGATTCACAGGCCTGGCACTAAGTAGATGAGGTGAAAAGATACAGTGAATACCTTATGAAGAAGATAAAGTGGCGATGGAGAAACGAAAAGGAACATGGATGCAAATGGAAACGGCGGAATCATACTGGTGAAGTCACGTGGTTGCAATTCCGTGGTTTTCAGGTAGGTACCGGTATCGACTCCAACGAGAAAGAGTGACTTTCGTGTATTAATATAGGTGGCTGAGCGTTTATCACATCAATTCTCCCCATCTAGGTAAGTCATGCCTTGTCCTCATTCTGAGCAGGCTGACCTCTTCACTCTCTCTGTTTTGCTTCACCACCAAAACCAAGGCTGACACGAGAGGTGTTCTATTTCATACCGCTCTCCGATCGAAACTCTATCACATTGATTATTATCTCCCTATGCTTTCCGAAGAATAGATGCAACGGTTTGATGGCCAGCAGCTTCAGCAAGCTCCAGAGCAGTCTTGCCTTCTGTGTCCTTTCTTCCCTTATCCACACCTTGTTCAAGCAGCCACCTCACTGCGACGCGATGGCCCTCCTTCGCAGCAATATGCAATAGCGACCATTTCTCCGGCATACACACATCATCCACTCGAGCTTCAGCTGCTCTAAGCAGTTTCAGTATGTCGATATTGCCAGTTTCTGCTGCGCAAAGCAGTGGTGTCCAGTCTCCTTTAAAACGAACGTTGACATTAGCGTCTTTTGAGAGTAGAGCCCTTACACATTCCTCACTCTGCTCCTGGATTGCGAAGAATAAAGGGGTCTGTCCACTAGGAGGGACCTTATTCGGATTTGCACCACATTCAATGAGCCTCTTGATGGCATAATCATTGCTACCTCGAGCAGCAGCTTCCAGAGGGGCGAGTCCGCTGGAGCCCGCAATCGTCGGATCTGCACCGCCTTCCAAGAGTGCATCAAGCACCTCTCTACCTGTGGCCCCTGTCCCAGTGACGGCGAACAGAAGCGCAGTCCAGCCTCCGGCATCTGGTTCTGATGGGTTGGCTCCAAGTGCCAAGAGGAGGCGGATTGCCTCGATTTGCTTTGATAGTGCTGCAGTGTTCAGAGGAGACCATCCTCTAGGATTAGAGAGATTCACATCTGCACCTGCCTCGAAGAGCGCCAGTATCGAGTCGACATGACCATTATCCGCGGCTAGGACGAGAGCACTTCGCCCTTCTCTGTCGAATGTGTTCACCTCGGCGCCGGCGTCAGCGAGTAACTTGACGAGCTTGTCTTGGCCAGCAGATGCAGCGCTATGTAGCGGTGTCCAGCCTCTATCATCGCAGGTATTGACATCTGTCCCGCCTCTGAGCAGTAATTGGCTAAACTTGACTTCATTCCCAGCTCTGGCCGCAAAATGGAGTTCCGTCTCCCCAGCTTCGGCAGAACCTTCTGTTTTCTCGCTGAACTCGATCATATAGTTGAGCTCCGAATGACCTTTACCGCTCATACAATGGTCAGACACAGGGTTCTCGTGCAGAAGAAGCCATGTATCTGGTTCTGCCTTGTATGTTGGCTCAGTATCGAATACAGCGACCGTCATGCATACCCAGGCTTCCATATCTTTCGCTTCTTTGAACTGCTCAACCAACAATCCAACAATCGCAAATGGCTTTTTCGGGATCAGTGGGTCATCGGATAGGAGGTACGCAGTTCCTTCACTGACAGAATTCTCAAATTCTGTAATGCTCTTAGGGTTCTCGTGTTTGCTGATGTAGCAACCGTTTAGTGACTCTGAGCCGTCCAGGTTTTCGGTTGCCAGGATCAAAGCGCCTGGTTTACTCGGTATGATTCTTCTGACCTTAGATGTAAACCATCTTCGTTTGAGCCCTCGTCTCATCCAAGCACTTTCTTCGAGAACAACGACATCTTTCAGATCGCTGAAAGTTGCCGGGGCCCAACCAGGCCAGAAGTGTCTTGGAGGCCCGTGATATAGCACGAGCCGAGTTGCGTGTTCCTTCTGTGAAAGATAGACTTGTTTCATGGCTTCTGCGATATCATAATTCATCTTCCAGGTTAAGCCCATCGTGGGGAATAATGCCCGCGCATGGTCGAGATGACATCCGGCGTTACGATACCCACATCCTAGTGCCAGGTCTGGTAACGAGACACCAAGCTTTCTGTGGTTTTGAAGTCGACCAAAGGTAAGGTGGAGACATGAATACTTATCATGCGGGGGAATTTGCACCTCCCCTGAATCACGCTCGGCGCGTTCTTGAAGTGTTGTTACCATCTCTTTCCAGCTGACTGGGCCTTCTTTCGTTACCACAAGGGCGTGTTCTGTTAACTTAATCTCCTGGTAAGTCCACATGCGTGTCATCCATGCTTTGAAGTGTTAGTATCTGCTCAATTGACGAGTGCAAGAAACTTGCCGCCACAACGGAGGATGACGCCCACATCCGCAGGGTCAACCGACCGCAATCTCAAGACCAAAGCATCAAGGATCACCACCGCTTTAGCCTTCCGATAAACGTCGGCGAGGCAATTGATCAAGCTCACTTTGAGCTCTTCTTCATGCAGCGTGAGCGCCTCCACGCCTCCTGGGATTGCGAGGCTGTCAAGCCATATCCACTCGGTGTTGAGCGAGCGGATCCGTGAGAAAATACTCTTGATGAGACGGCGAGGCAATCCCCGGTTGTCCAGATCCGCACCGACTCCTTCGATCCAAACATGTGACATAGCAACATAGTCATTATCTCTCAGAGAAAACTCGCCGGCTTCGTTGACACAGAGAGCAGCACGCTTCTCAACGGACTGTAACATAAGCTTGACATCAGGTTTGAGCAGATCGGCGTCAGGGAGAGGAATTTGGGACTTTGAGATATCATCTTCGAAAGAACGGAGTCCACGTTTGATGCCTGCGGGAGTGGTGTCTAGCTTTGCGAAGACTTGGTGAACTTCCGACTGCTCCCAGTAGCAAAGCTCGTTCTTAGATACAGTGTCTGCAATGCCGTCAGGGATGTTCCATTGATCTAGGATCTTCTTGATCGCTTCGTTGTTTTTAACGCGGGGTCTTCTGGAGCTTGACCCCGCATTGAGTGCGGCCCGGAGCGCCGAGATGTCATATGAGGACATGATGTGACGTTTGGGACCCCCGTTAGGACTACACGTTCATAATCGAGCCGCAAAAGAACTGCTGAAAGCGTGAGCAGAAAGGAGAGAAAACGCTGAACGTAGACCTGAGCAGTCAAGGAAACATAGAGAGAGATCAGAGAATGAAGGTCAACAGTGTGAGGCTGACGAACTTATGCACCTTCCACCGCTAAAAGCGGGTCAATGTCTCACCTGCTTTATCTAAGGAAAAACAAATATTCGAGCTGCCAAGCATAACAATCCCAAGAATTTGGAGATGGAGTTGAGAGAAAGATAGCCTCGAGTCAGGTGAGTGAACGAGATCCACTTTACGGCCAGAAGCAGACCCGTACTTCGATCCGTGAGGCTTACCCCTGCCTCGCTACCCCTATCTTTGCAAGAGCACCGACTTCTTCACAACTAGCCTCGAAAGCGCCCACACTACCGAGGCCATTAGCGGGCTAGCGGACAAATCCGAGAAGCGAAAAGTGATTTTCTGATTTTCTGATTTTCGAGAATTGAAGGAAGAATATATATTGAAGGAGAAAGAAGAAAAGGAGAAGGCATTATTATGAAATTAGAAGAATATAATAGATTATTATGATGATTTCATTATTTCGCTTAATTATTATTCCGATTTCAATCTCTCTATCTCGATATGATCCCGTCCTTCGATTTCCTTAATCTCTTTCTATTTCGTTTAGATCTCCGTTCGAATCATATATGAACGCCTTGGCTTAAGAGAATTCGAATATGATGAATATCATTATTCTTCTTTGATTCCCCGGAAAAATTTATGATATATCAATATTTTCCGCTTAAATTATCATGAATATATTTAATATCTATATTATTATTATCATTTCAGATATAAAAAATAATTGAATTATGATTAGGATGATTTAGATCTTTCGGAACGAGGCATAGACGTTTTGGGAAATATGATTTCGGAGCTGATGGATATTCTATATTTTTCGCTCATATTTCTGTCTATATTCTAATCTTCCATTATCCCTTCCTCTAATATCATCTCCTCCCATTCCTATGATCTCCTTTTCCCTTATTTCCTCTATATCTATTAAGCTCATTATATCCATCATGCCTCCTATATCTCTCATTCCCTCTACCTCTACACGGAGCATTAGGTACCCTAAACGGAATGCCTGGTGCGTTCGATTCCCCCCCAATCCTCATCAGCTCTTATTCCGCATATACGACATGAAAAAAAAAAAATCACTCCACACCCCCCCCCCACCCGCTTTTACTAGAGCTATTCCTAAAGCTATATTTGTATATCTTTAATAGAAGGAAAGCTTTAATAATAGTATTATATATCGGAATTAAAGTTATTTTCGGAAAGAGATTAAGATTAAGGTTAAGGCTAAGATTAAAGCTAGTATAGCTATATTTTTATTATTTATTTTTAGAATATAAAGATATATATTTAATATAATTATTTAAATCCAAATAAATTTATAATAAATAATACCTAAAAATAGAAATATTAGTATTTAATAGCCCTAGATTAAGTATATTTAAATATTAAAAAAATTATAATTTTAGGTATTATAATTATAAAAATAAAAATAAAAATATTCTTTCTCTTATTAACTTATAAAAACTAAAATATACTAATAATAATTAAACTATACTCGACTTATATAATTAGCTAATTTATTTTACTAATTATAAATAATTCGAGGTAATTTAAATCTCCTTAAATCTCTATATATAGCTTATTATATAAACTTCTATATTTTTATATTTAGTAATATTATAATTATAATTTTTAAATAAGAAGAATTCCCTTATTCTAGTATATATAATTATATTTATTTCTTATTTTTCAAATATATAATTATTAAATTAGAAAGGCTTAAGAATTCTAAATAATACTTTCTCCTAAAAGATATATATTCTTAATAAATAATAAAAGTAAATATAGAATTATATAATAATATAATTATTTTATACTAGTAACTTTATTTTATTTTTATTTTAAAACCTCTATTTTTTTTCTATATTTTTTCGATTTTACTATTAATACTAAAAGCTTTTGCCCTTTATTAATACCTTCTTTATTAATATCTTTATTAATACCTTTATTAATATTTCTATTAATACTAAAAACTAGTATCTAATTACCTTATAACCTTTTTTTCCTTTTCCTTATTTCTTTTTATTTCTTTTTCTTATTTCTTTTCCAAATTCCTTTTTTAAATTCTTTCTTCTTTAATACTTCTTCTATTAATACCAAGAGCTAGTATCTAACTGCCTTATAACCTTTCTCTCTTTCTCTAAACTCCTTTAAATTCCTTTTCTAAATTCCTTTTTTTTTAATACTTCTATTAATAATACTAAAAACTAGTACCTAATTACTATTTCCGGGTTATTTTTATCTAGAACTCTTATATTATAAGTCTTTAATTTATTTATTTCTTAGAAAGCTAAATTTTAGATCTTTTTTTTCTTTTTCTAATATTTTTTTCTCTTCTTTTCTAATATCTCTTATATCTTTAGGCCCTTTAGAAATATTTTCTCTCAAATTTCTAAAAAAGAGGCTAATTTCTATTTAGATCTCTCTAAACTTTAATATTTCCTTTCTTTTTTTAATACTTATAAAAGCCTTCGGGCTACTATTAAGTACTTCTATTCTTTATCTTAAAATATATACTAACTTATTCTTATAGGAAATAGCCTTTCTCTCTCTAATCTCAATTTCTTTAATATATACTTCTTGCTTTTAGGCTATTTAGATATCTTCTTATTTACTTTTATAAAATATATACTAATTTACTTTTTAGTTCTCCTTATCTTATCTCTTTTTTAATATTATTATATATATACCTAGTTAGTACTAGTTCTTATAACTTATAATTAGGCTTTCTATTTATTAAATATCCGGATATTTTATTTTATTTTTACTTTATATATTTTATTTTATATATTTTATTTTTCTTTTATTATAAGTTAGGACTTAAATAATATTTATCTTAAATACTTATATTCTCAGATATATAAGATTTTTATAAATCTTTTAGAATTATAAACTAGCCTACTTTAGTTTAGGAAAGCTTTCTTAAAAGTATTCTAGGAATTATAGTATTTACTATAATCTTTCCTAAAAATTAATATAGTATAAATATTTCTGGTTTATTCTTTCTCTATAAAATAAACTACTACCCTAAATTTATATAAAAGTCCTAATTATCCCTTAAATTAAAGTATAGGCATTTCTTATTTCTATTAAATTAGATATAAAAAATAGTAAGTACCTTTAGGCTAGACTATAATACTAGTTAAGTACTAAGATTCCCTATACTTATTTTACAAACTTATAATTTAAGATATATTATATTTAATAGGGTTTCTATATCTAATTACTTTATATTATAATAAAACGTTTTAGTATTATAATTAGAAGAATTCTATTTTATAATCTTATTTACTATTTATAGATTTTCTAGCTAATAAATCTTAGCTAATAGCTAAGAAACTTATTAGTTATTCTATCTAAAGTTTCTAAGAATAGGAAATTGCCTTAATAAAAACTTAGTATTAAAAATAGGTTTAACTAATTAATTTAAATAAGAAGTTTATAGCAGGAGTCTCTATATATAAGTAATTTCATATAATAAACTCAAGTTCCTATCCCTAGTTATATAAATAAGTTATATAAGAAACTCTTTCTAGCCTATTAGAGTAGTTCCTATTCCTGGTTATATAAGTTATAATATATAATAAACTTAAACTTTTCTTGAGTTATTTTTAGAAGAATTAGTAAGCTTTTCTAGATAAACTTATTAAGGCCTTAGTTTTTAAAGATATTAGTCTAGCCTTCTTACTTCTTTTTTAGGTAATAGTTTAGCTTTTAGGAATTATATATAAATATTAGAATAAATAAGGAAATATACTATATATATTTTCTAGATAAATTAAAATAGAACCTATAAGATTTCTGTAATATTTTTATTAAATCTATAGTACTAGCTAATAAAGACTTTAATAACCTTAATAAGACTTGAATTATAAGTCTGGCCCTTAGATTTCCTGCTTAACTTAAAAATTAAATAGTTTATAATAGGTTATCTATTATAAAATATATTATACTTTTTTCCTAAAAAGTACTAGGTACTAGTAATAATTCGAAAGCCCTAAAGCCCTTAAGACTCTTTATAAGTTTCGGGCTTTAGGGCTTTTCTATAGCTAGCTAATTATATAAAGTCATGTAATTATACGAGTCTAGTATTAATATAAAGTAATTAGTAACTTTATATATAGATATAGTATGATTTTTAATATAGCTAGTCTAATATATTATATATTTATATATAAATACCTATAATTTTATTATTATAATATAATATATTCTTAATATATCCTTAATATAAAAATCTCTTTATAACCCTAGACTTTTAGGAGCCTCCTCTATACTAAAAGTAAAGTATATAATATTATTTAGATATTAAACTCAAAAGATAAAGAATTATAAAGGCTCTAATAATTATAAGACTTTATAAATTTAGGTAAATTTAAATATTATAAAAGTATTAAATTTAGTAGCCTGACTTTTAAATTATATAAGAACTAATTAAAGAGTATTACTTTAAAGTATTAATTATAAATTCCAAATATATATATATTTATAAGGAAATAAAACCCAAAATAGTACTAAGCTAATTATAAAATATAAGAAAAAGTATATTAGATATTAGGCCTATTTTTTTTTAATTACCTTAACCTTAATAAATATTTATATATAATTTATTAGACCTTATATAATGGATTTATTTAGGAGAAGTAAGATTAATTAGCCTAGGAAATTTAATAATAATAGTTAGATTTCTATCCGGGGCAATAGGTAAAGTATTAGTAATAGCCCGGGTATCTTGGGTTTTACTTATAAAGCTAAAGATATTATATCTATTAATTCTCTATATCTAATAAGAAAAAAAAATAATATATTTATATTTTTAATATACTTATTATTATAGAATAATACTTATATAGTTTATAAGATTAATTATAGTTCCCTTTACTAGAGAAAAAAATAGTAAAATTAAAGGAAAATCTAATAGCCTATTACTATTATTATTATTATTATTATTATTATTAGGATTAGCTTTAGTAATACTTTTAATAATACTTTCTATATTATTTTGCGGCTTCTAGAGATTAGTAAATAAAAAAGAATTCTAGTATATATAAGTTAATTAAACCTAAAAACAAAAAAGAGTCTATAAAAGAAATAAAAAATAAAAGCCAGAATTAAAGAAAAGAATTATATATATATCTTTATTTACTTACTAGTTTATTAGATCTTTTTTTACTCTTAAAGTCTTATACCTATATTAGTAGGTAATACTTTCCTAAGCTCTCTGGGCCTCTTTAGTTTATTATTTAATTTTCTTAAGTTATTATACTTTCTAAATATTTTCTAGTTCTTTATAAGTAACTTTAAAATAAAGATCTTTATATAAAGTCTTTTTCTGAGTATTTTCTAACTCTTTATAAGTAATTTTAAGACAAATATCTTTATATAAAGTCTTATTCTAGTATAAAATAAGGAAAATTATTTAGATATTCTTAGGATCTAGATATATACTATAGTAAGAAAAATTAAAAATAATTTAAATAAAACTTAGTAAGATTATAAGTTCCTGGGCTTTTTTACTATTAGAACTAGTATAGAATACTAGTTTATTCGTATTATTAATAAATTAATAATAGTAAATAGGTTTACTAATATAAAAAGAGAAATAAGAAAGTAATTACTAAGAAACTATATTAGAAAGAATAAAAAAGACTTAATTATTTATTTTAAATTAAAAGCTATTTATTAAAAAATATTTATTAGAATTTATATAGAGAATCTAGTAAAAGAAATAGAAGAAAACTTACTACTAACTTCTTTAGAAAATTAGATAGTTCTTTACTTAGCTCTCTAATTCTTTATATTATTAAATACCTACTTATAGAGAACTAGCTATAAAACTATAATCTATAATTTCATAAAACTAGATCCGGCTATATTTTAATTTATAAGACCTTAAAGGGCTTTAGGTAGCTTATTACTAGTATAAGAAGCTATAGCCTAGGTAATAGCCTAAGTAATTCTCGCATTTATAACCTATTAAGCTTATATAATAATATAAGTATTACTAGAAAAGTAGTTAGATTAAGTAATATAGCTTATAATAAAAGGAAATATAAAAGGAAATAGTTATAGGGCTATTAGAGCAAGAAAAGCCTAGGGTAAAATAGAATTAGTACCTAATAGCTATATAATAATAATAACTAGAGAAATAGATATAATAAATATTTCTAGAAAAAAAGATATAAGATAAAGATATTAAGAAAAGCTAGAAATCTAAAGTATTTCAGGTATAAAAAAAAAAGTAAATATAGACGGAATTCCAAAGCTATAAGGTTTAAGTTTACTAGTATTACTATTTTAGATAAATAAAATAGTAGCCTCTATATTATATTTATTATTAGTAAATTAATAGAACTTATAATATTAGATATTATTATACTAATATTTAGCTATAGGATATATAATATTAGGGCAGGTTTTAAGAAATAATAATACTATTTTAAAAAATAAGAATTTAAGAATATAAAATATTTATATAATAAATAAACTTAATAATTTTATTAGTACTACTTTTAAAAATAAGAAAGGGATTTCGAAAATAATATATTTAATAATAAATAATACTTATCTTAATATATCTAGTTATTTTATAACTAGCTTATTTAATTACTTTATATTATTAGAAGTATTATTAATAAAGGGCCATTTCTGGATAAAGTCCTGGATTATTAGGAACTATATAGGTATTTTTCTGGCCTATATATTATTTATATATTTTATATTTATTAGAATAACTTACTTAAGAATCCTATTTTATATAATAGTAATATTATATTTACTAGTTAGCTTCTCGAACTCTCCTAATATTAGTAGCTATCCTGAGGCTATATATATCCGGACTATATATTAAAGCTAGTAGTAAGCTTAAATATATAATTAGTTACTATTTCTATTAGTATCTCTTATATAAATATTAGTTATATTTATATTATAAGATATAAGCTTCTAATAATACTATTCTAGTATTTATAAAGTATTTATTAGTAAATAATAAGATAATAGAATAAATTAGTATATTATAAAACTATAGTATTAAATTTAATATAGAACTAATTTCTATCTCTCTTATAAGGTCTAAGGAAGCTCCTTCTAAATAGGAAGCCCTAATAGTATATATATAATTAGTAATTTATAAGCCTAATATATATAATATAAATAGTAATTAGTTAGAATATTAAAGGGCTACTAATCTCCCTAATTAATACCTATAATATCCGAGGTTCATTATATGCCCTTAAGTCACGTGCGACCCTATATATATTATAGTATTTCTCTTAGTAGAAACTCATTAATATCTATATTAGTATATAAGTAAACTATTTATATAAAGCTATATAAGGTTATATTACTTACCCTAAACTAAGTAATTATTAAGAATTATATTATAAAGCTTTATATTTATAGGGTAATCCTAGTACTATACTTTGCCTAGGGGCCTTATATATAGTCTAAATAGCTTACCGGCTACTATATTAGGCCTAGATCTGTCTTTTCTAATCCTATAGATATTTTATAAGTTTATAAACCTATATATCTTATTTTGGATCCGTTATATATAAAGTACTAGTAAAATAATCCAGTCCTATAAGTATTAGTAATTATAACTTCTGGTATAGGCCAGTTCCTAAAAATAGTTCTATATATACTAATTAGAATTAGTTATATAATCCGGTACTATAATACTAGATTTAATAGCCTTAATAAAAAGTAATATAATTATTAGTACTTAATACTTCCTCCTAATAATAGAAAGAATAAGAGATAGATATAGAGAAACAAAATTACTTATATATTACTAGTATAGCTAGCTCTTCTAAAGCTCCTATTACTAGGATTTAACTTACTAATTCTCGGTACTTTTCCCAGAAATAAAGTAGTTCTTTATATATATAATTAATAAATTAGTTATCTGCAAAAATATAAAGTATACTTTAGTAATAAAGGGGAATTTAGAGCCTTAATTAGCCCTAAAGAAATAAGGGTAATAGCCTATTTAAGTACAAATCTAAAAATACTATTATATAACTAAATAAGTAATCTAATTAGAGATTCTAATATATATTTAGATAATATTATATAAATAAATATTAATATAAATATATATCTTAATTCCAAATAGTAATAGCTTATTATATTTATTAATTAACTAAATCTAGTCCGGTCTAGGTATAATATATTTTTTTTTCTTAAACTATATTTATTATATTTATAATATAATATACCTCGGGATTTAGGAATTATAATATTATATATAAGCTTTCCCTATAAATAATAAAATATATTAGTAAATAAGGCCCTAACCTTCTAAGCTAAAGCAAAATAATAAAATATAAAAAAACTAATTAGGTTACTAGTAAACCTTATTAACGGAAATATATATATAAATACTACTATTTATAACTTATAACTCGCCTATTATTTAGCTTATTCTATAGTATTATAAATAATTACTTATTTACTACTTATCTATCTATTATAGTTATATAGTAAATAAGACTAAGCTTCTTATATATACGGATAACTCTAGTAATTAAAGCTATATAATTGCAATTCTTAAGATTCTCAAGTATTTTCTTATTTATATTTCCCAGATAATATAAGATTATAATCTATATATAAAGAAAAGATATATTTATTATTTAAATATATATTTAGATATTCTATTCTTATAATTACTATTAGACTATATATAAATTAACTAAGATTCTATATAAATCTTTTAATCTATTTGTAATTTCTTCTTAATTAATATTTATATAAGCCTATTTAGTAATAGCTTTATAATATAGTAATAGATTTATTAAAAGTTATAATATTATTTTAATAAAATCTACTAAGTTATTTTAATAGGAGTTAAGTTTAGGGTATACTTTACTATTATAACATATTTTCTAGTAATATAAGTACTAAAAAACTCAAGTAATATTATCCCTATATAATTTTATTAATTAATTACTAAAAAAAAGTAATTAGCTAGCTTCTTAGTTATTTTAATAGTTTAATTTTCTTATTTCTAATCTCGGGAATATTAAGGAAGTTATTAGACCCTATTAATAGTATTATTCTAGAAGGGCTTATAGCCTATAATTACCTAATTATAGTAATTTATAATAAATATTTAATTTTATATTATACTATCCGGCCTAATTTTGGTACGATTTTACGCAGTAGTATAGGCTCTCACTTCATTAATTAGATAAGCAAGTAGCCTTACTATTATTGCGTTATCCAAGCCGAAAGTCACGTGTGGGTGCTATATCCCTAATTAGGAATTCTGCCTTGGGGAGGAGGGGGGTGTGCGGGGCGCCAGTGCGAAAATCAGAAAATCAGAAAATCACTTTTCGCTTCTCGGATTTGTCCGCTAGCTAGCTGTGGGCCTCAGTAAACACTTCCTCTACGCTACTCTCATTCTAATGGCCCAAATTCAACTGCGACCACACGCTCGTCTCAAGGTGATTTCCAACTACTCCCTCACGTCAGGCGACTCAGATTTTGCTGTCAGCGATCATTGACATGATGTGGTAGGCTCGATCTCAAACCTCCACTTACGTATTACGGGGGCACATTTCTATCATGGGCAAACACTTGCGCTAGAGTTGCGGGTCGAGCATGCAATGTGAGATAAGGAGTAAAATCCTCATATGATATTTTGCTATTTTGAGGGACTGGGATCCTTCTTTTCTTCTGATCCAGGCGCCTTCGCATGTTTTGCAGCTTTTTTTTTGGCAGTTTCTTCTCTTTTGCTCGCTCTCTCGCTGAGCGAGCGGAAAGGGAAAGGGGGCTCGACCTTAGAACAGAACACCCGCATCCAGTGACAACGCTTTCATCTAAGCACCACCTCCTCGGTCGGGAACAGTATCTCCCCCTCATGCAGATGATCCAGCCATTCGGTGTCTCGAAGATCGTAGCTAGGGTCTGCCATCTTCCTAGCTTTGAGAAGCGCTTCGCCTTTCATAAAGCCATCAACATGACACTCTCCCACAAAAGCATATTCAGTCCCAGCCTCCGTCTTTCTTAGAAGATGTGGGATTTCTCTGCCAAGGAAGACGAAAATGTGATCACCGACTCTGAGATGGCGTGGACCGAATCCAAGGAGACCTCCAGAAGTCATGAAGCTTGTCAGTTCGTCGTAGAGAATGTTCGCCGACCATAGATGATTGCGGGTGAGAAAGTCGTTGATTTCCACCTTGGAAAGACTGATACGACCGACTTCGTCACATCTCAGTCCTCGGAGTTGAAGCCTTGATGGGTCGTCGTTGTGGGAAATAGCAACTCACGATGATCCTGAAGCATAGTATTTGCGAGGGAAGTCGCGATGATCTAGCGTGCTGACTCGGGGTGAAGAGGGTGGCTGCCTCCAATCCGGGACCCAGGTTGGCAGGCACAATTGGGTCGCTGTGCATTGCGTAACAGCCGCCAACCGGCCGAGATGCCTTGACTTACTGATAAATTGTTTCGTTAACGAAGTATACAGCCTTTCCCAAGACGTGTCATAGTCTGGTTCGATTTCCAAGGCACTGGTTAGGCTGGCGATACCAATCAAACTGTATACAACGTCTCGCGGATCGTGAGCCGCCGCGCCCCTTCTAATAGTCAACAGGAAACTCAATGCCTTCCAAAAATCAGGCTTCGGGATATCCAACATGGTAAATTCGGGACCGAACAAGAAGTACAAACGGGCCACAGAGTGAAGGAAAGCATCTCCAAAGAGGCAGAAGTCTACTTCAAAATAGAGTGCCACGATTCCATCCCCCATCTTCGATATTGATGGCCCTTGTATCTCATATGAGCCCGTCACAACGAGAGTCTCGCGCGATAATCTGCCTTCTTGGAACGTCCACGCTCGAGAGAACCATGGCTTATCAATAAGGGCCTGAACAGCCGCGATCTTGGCAGGATTGTACTTGAGCATTGATAGAGTCTTATTCTTTTCGTCCCAGGCAGCAGATCCCCGTATTTTCCGCGAGGTAGACTCGAATTCCCGCCATATATTAGGCTCTTTCAACTCAAAATAGGCTCGTATACAGCTGTATGCAAGCTCCGTAGTTTCGTCTTCTTCTCCCAGCCAGATGAGCACTCGGCTTGCGGTTTGGTAAACATTCCCCATAAGCTTGACTTGGTGGTTCCTCTCATCGATGGCGTTTTGATTGATACAGATCGAATCTATCCACAAGATTCGCTCCTCGGTGGGATTTCGAAATCTCAAAAGAGCGGCGATGAGATTCTCTGTCACCATGATCGCTTGATTATCGCAAATGACTTGCGAGGTTCGATGAACACTGCCCCAGCAATACGATACGGCTTCATACTGAAGATTCTCGTCGTCTAGGTTGTGTTCCTGAAGCAACATATGGACGGGATCGGTCCTTTCTCCCGGAAGGACAGTCGCGACTCGGATGGCTCGAGGCTGCGACAGAGGAGTGTAGACATAATTGGTGACTTCAGCTCCCGCCGAGCGATTCATATCTAGAGAGTGCCAGACGATAAGTTTGCGGTGACAGAGATGACCTGTTCGGTTCTGAAATCCGTTTGGAGATATTCACTATTCATGGCCGTGGAGCAGAAGCAAAAGGATTAAACGAGTAAAATGAATTTTGACGGAAGGAAAGGGGCCTTTCCCGAGGCTCCCCCCACGGTCCCCTTTAAGGCATCCATTGGAGTCAAGGCAGAACATTTTTCGCACCTCCTGGAACTACGACCTTCAAATGGAAGGGTTGGTGAGGAAGCACGATTCTGATTAGCAAGTAAATGAATATTACATCGGACTCAATTAATCGCGAATTATCAAATTTGTCCAGGCATAAGAGGGTCAAGCCGAAGGCGATCGAAGATCGGGCTGATGATTTCGCGGCCACATATTCCCAAAAGAAGTAACGGCTGAGAATGCCCAACTCCTGAGCTCCTTCTCCCTGCTGCGTCAGCAAGAACTATGGAGGTACAGCCCATAAAGATACTCTCCCCCCCTTGAATACTTACAGTGGGCCCTTTAGTAACGCCACCCTGAACCCTCGTTTATAACCCCCAACTAGGAAATATCAGTTGCTCTCTAGAATCGCTATTGGCCATACACCCTTGAGTTGTTCAGTGCAGGAGTGGTGTTATCCCAGGACCCACTGTAAGTATTCAAGGGGGGGATAGTAATAGCACTAGCAAGGGACCCCTTAGGCTGGCGAAGGACTTGACTTGATTAGGTATTGAATCCCCCGTTTGGCTTGTTTTGTTTACTCACTTTGGCAAAGCGACATTGGAAAATGTACGTGCGCAAGAAACCCTTGCTAGTGCTATTACTGTCTTTATGGGCTGTACCTCCGTATGAGGCATTTACATTTTCGGTTGCCGCCGAAGTCACGTGTGAATCTTATTTTGCGAACCGAAAGGGGGGCTTTATTGGATGAAACGAGAAAATCGAGAGGGAGCGGTGTCAAACATACACGAGACAACACAGCTTTTTTCCCCAGCCGCCCCACAGGGATGAAAAAAAGAAAAGCATAACATAGATAGATAGAGGTGACAACAACCTACTCTTGCTCTTGCTCTTGCTCTTGCTCTTATTTTCGTCCGAACATCCTCCCTTCCTCACTGCCGCCTCAAGCTCTGTGCAACCAACCTGTGTTCCCCCAAAACCAACCAACTCCTCGCACTCGCACTCGCACTCGTCGTTCCCCGCGGCATGCGCTGCCGACGTCATAAATCGCCTTACGCCGCCCAACGAGCTTAGTGACAGAAGAGTCCCTTTTCTGCACTTCCTCTTCCTACCCCACTATCGATGAAATAGCACCAGCGCCAGCGCCCCTCGGCATTCTTTCATCCCATCTCCAATTGAGCGACCACAACTTCAATTGAACACTGCCCCGTTGCTCAATCGCACATCGCCCCGTCTCATCGCGCGCATAACCCCCCCCCCTCTCCCATTCCTTGTCGTACCAGCAAGAATGCCCACGGCCTGATCAGCACGTCCACTCTGCCCCCACCGCCGCGCCGCGCCGTGATGCATCGGACGTTGTCGAATGTCTTCCATGAAGCCCAGGGCGCTCTGCACAATGTCCACCTGCCACGACACTCGCAGACGACGATGAGCCCGACAGAGAGAAAAGAGGTCGCCGAGCAGGAGAAGCAGTTCGTGGCGCATTTCTCTGAGCAGCACGACCCTCTGCCGCCGGAAGAAGTGTCGCAAGCCCCTAGGAACAAGGAGCTAGGGCGCAGCTCGAGGGCTTTGACCGTCCATGATTTCGAGCTCGTGAGGACGCTGGGAACGGGTGCGTGCTACTTCTACTTCTGATGTGTGATGAGAGTGATGCTTGGTGCAATTGATGGTTCCTGGAGGCTGGATGCATGCTGATTACGGCGCTGTAGGAACATTTGCGCGGGTGTGGCTTGTCAGACTGGCTGATCCGGCGCCAGAGGACCGGGACAAGGTATTCGCGTTGAAAGTCTTGCGGAAAGTTGAAGGCAGGTTTACAGAGTAGGAGAAGAGTTGAGGTCTGTGCTAATTGCTTGACAGTAATCAAGCTGAAGCAGGTTGATCATGTTAACCATGAGCGACAAGTTCTTGCGGATGTTGCTGGGCACCCTTTTATCACCACGTTAATTACCTCTTTCTCCGACCACGATTCTTTGTATATGCTTGTATGGCAGGCAGCATAGCCCTGGGTACCCAGGACAAAACTGACAGTTTCCAGCTTGATTACTGCCCTGGCGGCGAAGTATTCTCCTACCTCCGCAAAGCCAAACGATTCGACGAAAACACCGCACGCTTCTACGCCGCCGAAATTGTTTGCATCCTCGAATTTCTCCACGAACGCGAAGGCGTTGCGTACCGAGATCTCAAACCCGAAAACCTCTTGCTAGATGCAGAAGGACATATCAAATTAGTAGACTTCGGATTTGCGAAACGGCTTGGAAACAGTAAGCCTCAGTCTTTTCTGCGAAGGAAAAGCTTCCGGAGGAAGAACTCGGGCGACAGTGAGGACTCTTGTACTGACTGTAATTCAGGGGAGACGTATTAACCCCCGTCCTCGTCCCCTCTCCCCCCATCTCCTATTCTTTGATTCTAAATGAGGGCAATAGGTACACACTTTGCGGTACACCTGAGTATCTTGCCCCTGAAGTCATCCAATCCAAGGGCCATACTACAGCTGTCGATTGGTGGGCGTTAGGTATCTTGATATACGAGTTTCTAACAGGATATCCTCCTTTCTGGAACCAAAATCCCATTGAGATATATAAACAGTGAGCCCCTTTTTCTTGCTTCCTACCTCGCTAACCATCCCAGAATCGTCTCCAAACCAGTCCACTTTCCAAACGAACCAGCCATCTCCGAACCGGCTAAAGACATCATTCGCCAATTCTGCACAGTGGACCGCTCGAAGCGATTAGGCAACATCTCGGGCGGTGCACAGCGCGTCAAAGACCACCCATTCTTCCAAGGTGTGAATTGGGAGGATTGTTATTACAGGAAATATCGAGGCCCGATAATCCCTCCTATAAGGTATCCGGGGGATGCGCAGTGCTTTGATATGTATCCTGATGAGAAGGAGGGACGGGAGCATTACTCGGATGACTTGAAGAGGAAGTGGGATGACCATTTCAAGGATTTCTAGGTTGGAAATAGAGGCATTGGATAGCGTTGCATTTTTGGATTTGGGAGTGGGAGAAAGGACGGATATGGCTGTAGAGAAGTAAAAGGGATATTGTATACAAGGTGGAAGACAAACTGGGAACTGGAGCTGGATCATTGCGTTGGCGTTTTGGAATCAGGTGTGAATGGCTCAGCACAGAATCATGCCTAGTCTGTTAGGTGTGAAGGTTGGAAACCGCATAGGAACACGCATTGCATAGCCCGTGTGTAGACATGACACCGAATAGATATGGCAGTCTGGTTAGAATCTGCTCGTACGTTTGAACATGTTGTGCAGTCTTGGGTTATTAACATAGATAGATTCGTCTGATAATTATTTACACATCAAAGTCACAAGAGTAATCTAGCTGTACATGATATTGCTCCCATCACCTGGTCCCAAGCTCCAATTCCAATAACCAAGTCCCATTACACCGTCTCCCCTCCCTTCCAAGCAATACCTCACTTCTTCCCCGCCAAATGCCACCCAAACACCTTCTCAAAAACACTCTTCCCATCCCCCACAAAACTATCCCCATGACAGGGCACCACATTCTCGAATCCCCACGTATTAATCCTCTGAATACTCTTATTAAACCCCGGCCTATCCGCACTACTTATCGCGTACCACAGCAATCTCTTCTGCCAAAGCGCCTCGCCCCTCGTATTCTGCAGCGCGCCAAAAATCCGCGTCGCCCATCCCGTCGTCGGATCGATTCCCGTCTTCGAGTATTGCTCTCTCGCAGGCAGGCTGAACAGAAGATCCGCCTCGATCAGGGTTTTCGATGGCTTGTGGAAGAAGACCAGCTCCTTGTTCGGATGTGCGTCCACGAACTCGTATTCAAACTCCTCGTCGAATTCTCCTCCGACCTTAATGCTTTCTTTCCCTTTCGCCGTGAAGATGGTTGAGATCGGGACGTTGGTCACCGACTTGTCGGATGCGGACTGCTTGGCGCGCTTTTCGGCGAGCCCCTCAGGCGCGATTATGTGTGCCGTGGGATAGGCGGTCGACCAGGTGGAGAGGAAGATGTGGTGCTCGAGATCTGGGGCGATGAGGTAGGAGACGGGGGAGGAGCCGAGGGTTTTGCGGACTGTTGGGGTGAGGGCGACGGGGGAGAAGACGGCGAGGGCACCGGAGTGGAGTTTCACTGTGAATTGTTAGAGAGGTGAAAGGTAGAGGACGGGAAAAGGGAGACGTACCGACTGTTGCTCGTCCACCGAACTTTATGCGTCCGAATCGCAGGAAGGGGACGGAGAGCGTTGTGACATTGGGGGCGATCTCGCGGATTACCATTACCTCTTCTGGGTTCTCGGGCACGAGTTTGGAGGACATGGTTGCGTTTATTTGCTGCTCAATTGTTGTTGTGGGAGAGGAATGTGTTGTAGTTTTATGTTATCGATGAGGTAAATCAAAAAAGTTCGATGACGCAGTGGCGGCAGATTTGACGGGACTTTCTTCTCCTCGCTCAAGAAACGTTTGCAGTTGTTTGAAATTGTATACTCCAAAACTCAGGAGATGAGGGGAGGAGTAATAGTATATATACATTTGCAAAATCATGCGATACAGGTGCTGCTTAACGTCATCAATATGCATGCGCCATCTGCACCCCGAAACTCAAATCATTCTAGATCTCTGTTTACTCAGCATGTGGCAGGCTCGGCACCTCGGGTTAATTTACAGGGTTTCAGCACCCTGTCCGGACGACCTGGGTGGCACAGCATTCGGACGACTTCGGACGAAAATGAAAAATGAATCATAATCTCTCGGCCGGAAGAACAAAAGTGGCTTGTATGGAGGTAATGCATAGTGACTGAATTATTTGTGTTTGTTGCTTGGCAGTTGGGTTCAAGGTCACGGCAGGATGCATGGGTGAGAGACAGGCATGTATTTGAATTATTTCGATTTTCTGGGCTGATATTCAGGTACAGGAGCAAGCTGCAAGGCGACTATTGGACCATGACCAATGAGAGGAAATCTCAGATCAGGACAGAGTGGTGGGTAGTTATTCGAGAAAATGTGCGGATCCGGAAAACAAAGTGATTGAAAAGAAACAGGATCGAGGCCATCCATCCATCAGCAAGCTCATATCCATGGTAGCAAGCGCATCAAACTAGTAAAACAGAGATAGAAAAGCCTGCATGTGTTGTGAATCTCAAGTAAATGCAGACTGAACAAGAAAGAAACATGATTGGGTATTGTTAAGGTTAACCAAACGCCAGCCTGTGGGTATCCGAAACCTCCTCCCAAGACTAGGAATCCCTGAGAAAGTGTATGCCAACGCCGGTGAACTCTAAACTCCTTTTCCGTGTCATAAAGAATGACAGGTCGTTTGAAAGGAAGTTGCTTGAATGTTGAATTTGTGAAAGTCGGAAATGAGAATCTATCCTGGAATCTGCCAGGCCTTGGTCTCAACCTTGAAGAGTGACACTGTTGTGAGGACGAAGCGGTCAATGGTGCGTACCACTTGTTCAGAGAAGAGGTGAGAGGCAAGGCCACGTCCATCTCCCCCTCGAAGAGCGAGGATGTCGAATGCAAGTTTTCGAGCAGTCTCGTTTGCTGAGATCCACTTACTCCGCTCGCAGTAGTTCTCGTAGCAGACATAGAGGAAATAGTAGAAGATCAGATGTAGAGCAAAGGCGAAAAAAGTCCCGAAGACTGGAGGGGAGTTGCTGGGGTTGATATTTGCGTTCGAAGATGGTTGGCGGAAGTGTTCATCACGAGGAAGATTCTCGCCAGATGGGTAGGTCTCTCTATTGTCTTCGCTAGGGACAACAGGTTCGATGAGGTTTACGACTTCCAAGATTTTGGGGTCGACTGGTGAGGGTTCAGAGGGGGAAACACTTGCGCCGTTTGGACCATCAGGAGCAGTTCCATTGACAGGTTGAATGAGTTCTGCATCTTTCTCGGATTTGGGGTCGACTGGCGAAGGTGCAGAGGGCGTACCACGTACGCCATTTAGAGTGCCGCCACCGCTTGGAGATTGAGACAGGCCATTGGGAGAGGTTCCTTCAACAGTCCGGCCCTTTCTGCGGAGCAATGGAGCGGCACGACCCGCAGCATAAGATAGCCAGTTGCGGAAGAGAATAGCGGTGTTGAACTCGACCAGGACCCAGCAGGAAAATGGATTGTGAAGCGTCTTCTGGTATGGAAGGTAGATGCGTATTCGTGGACTGTGGACGTGAACCTTTCTGATAACTTCTGTGATTTCATCATTGACTTCAGTGTCGTTGTCATCATTAGCATCACCGCAGTCTTCTGAAGAAGAAGAGGAGGAGGAGGAGCCATCGCTGGGTTTACCGTTGGAGGACTGGGTCGTGGTCGTGGGGGCGTCTGACTCGCCGTTCGATTCCTGAATGCTGCCGTGGTCAAAGTCGAAAGGGAGTTCGCTTGCAAGGTTTTGCGTCTTAGATTGTTCAGCTCGTCCAGCTTGTCCATCGGGTCCAGGAGGTGGTGGTGCGATAGCAGCTTGTGGTGACGGGTTGAAACGTGGCAGCTCATTCCTCATACGCTCCCATTGACGGCGCAGCCCCTGCGCGACCTTCCTATCCTCAAGAGCTTCGGCCTGGACATGTTCCAAGCTAGTGATCGTCGTCTTCAAGTCGTCGATATGACCTTTGAGGCGGCCATTTTCCTTTTGCGTGGCATCGAGCTGGCCTCGTACGTTGTTGGTTTCGTCGAGCAATTTGTCGTATTTGGTTGAAAGGACACCTTTGGCTGTCTCCACATTGTAGCGCCCGGCTTTCTCGTATACAAGCTGGTGGTTGAGATCGAGCTTGTCCTTTTCCAGTTCTTTGACTTGGTCTTCGAATTCTTTGGCTTGTCCCTCTGTCTGTGTGATGTATTGCTCGCGCCCATCTGCCAGTTCCTTGGCCTTCTTGATGTTCTCATGGAGCGTTCGCACCTTTTCCTGCTCCGCCTCTAATTCTTCCTTGAATTTTGCTGCTTGGGCCTCAACATGTTGAATGTGCTTCTCCTTCTGGTCTATCGAGTCCGACGCTCTTTGCAGCTTGTTCAACAGCTCGGTGCGTTCGCGCTCCAGATTCATCTTGTCCGTTTCGAGATCGTCACGGGTGCGCTCAAGATTTTTCTTATCGCTTTCCAGGTCGTCGCGGGCGCGCTCAAGAATTTTCTTGTCGTTCTCAAGATCGTCGCGGGTACGCTCAAGATTTGTCTTGTCGTTCTCGAGGTCGTCACGGGTGCGCTTTAGATCTTTGTTATCCTGTTCGAAATCAATCAGTTCCTTTGTGAGTTTCGAGATTTGGTCTGCTGATTGTGCCACCAGTAACTTGTAACTCGCGTCGGCCTGTCGCAATCTCAATTCGGCTCCGAGTGCGTGAAAAGAGTGCTCGTTAATTACTTCTTCCAACCTCTCATTTTCCGCCTGCAGCTCGTCGACTCGAAGACGGAGGTCGTGAAATCCAGACGGAAAAGGCATGGTGGCGGTCGATTTGGAATGTGGTATGGTTGAGGAATGAAGGAAGGAATGTGCAGAAGAGATTTTATATTATTTGTTCATTTATTCTGGCTATTGTGTTATGTTCTATTGTTGCATCAGTATATCTTCTATTGTCGTCCTCCTATTGTGGTCGAGTGCTGGGGTTTCATTGTCCATGTCACAATAGGAATATTCATCACCATTCACCCCAACTTTCGGGAAGAATATCTCGAAATTTAATAGCAAGACTAATTTCGTAACTTTATAAGAATTGAATTATTCCAGTGAGCGCGGGGATAATGATTCGAATTTTAGGTCACAATTTTTCAACATTGTTCGACTCCAAGTCAGAACATCCACATACCTACCCATTTATTCTCTTATCAAATCCTGAATCAATTTGCTCGCTCTCCAGATTAGATTTCCCTTCCTCGCACTCAGTACTAGAGAAGTAACGCGCTTGCGGAGTGCTTCTTGCTTCTTGGTGTTGCTCTGGATCCGCGCCCAAGGATTCTCCAGACCAGCCCTGCTCGAGATCCTCTCCTAGCTAGGAGCCTCGTAGACAGAAAGATTCAAAGAGGAGCGCCTCATAGAGGACCACAGACTCCCCTTAGGCAAGATTGGCAGGCGCAACGCCCCCTCAAAATACCACTGTCCCGAGCAGGAAAGGTATCAGCATTCCCAATGAGATTGTAGACATCCGAGCAACGATATCGGGCCTCGAGGAGGGTCTTGCAATTGTAGCAGACATCGAAAGCGAAAGAAAATGTAAAGAGTGGCACTCGAGGTTTGGCGGTTGACGGAGTCGTGGTATAATCAAGACCCGAATACGTCCCTGGAGGCTCTTTGGCTTTCCCTCGAATATAAACTGAAGAGCATCTGGAGCACGAAAGTTGAACTACTGAATAAAGCTAGAAGGTTGAGCATGTGAAAGGGAAAGAGGAACCAAGACGTCTCTCCTTCGAAAACGATAATATGGATCTGGAGTGCGAGCGAACCTATGCGCTAAGCAAGACCAGGACCAGAGATTGAAGGAGGCATAAGAGAAAGAAAGGCAACTTTAACTCGAAAACGACAACGTGGACTTGGAGCACGGCTGCACGGGCGTACCGAAGCATTGAACAAGGTAGGGGGATTGACGGGCTATATGCAAGGAAGGGGAATTCATTGTCTGTATTCTAGCGGAGGCCATCCTTGTACTTGCCAAACTTTCCCATATATTCATGGGTATTCTCATGGAAATCCTCTATCTCATCATAAAACCAAATTTTCACTATAGCCTGGATCCTCCAAAAGGTCTGGATGTTGGATGTGACAGCCACGTACAGGGAAACTCGAAGGCTTAAGGGTTTGATCGAGTCAGTGGTGTATGATCGGATTGTGGAAATAACGGTTCTCAGATGTTAATGGTGTAACATCGCTCGTAACGGTTGTCCTCTGAAGTAAGAGGAAAGCAGTCAAAGAGCCCCAACATGAAATGCAGTGCTGAAGAGGTCTAAGAGAAAAATAAGAGCCACGGTTTCCAGAGCTGTGTGGCAAGAGTTGATATTGGCTCAGGTTTCGAAGACTGCTGGAAGGATACCTGGGCCTCCGTGGAGCGCGATGCGAGCAAGCTGCCTCTACCGCGGTGAAGCACGCCTTCGACCCTGTAAATGTACGCCTTTATCCTCAATGTTGGTTCTCTTTTCAAGAATACCGGTCGGGCGTCTTTCCGCCGTCTCGCTTTCCCCCGTTGGTGTTGCTGGTGAGTTTCCCACCAACATACTCGGCACTTTCAACCACGCTTTCAACGCCGGAGTAACCAATCTCTTCCGCTCTTCAGCCAGATCAGGGTTAACGGTGATGAGCAGTGCGATGACAGCTATGAGGAGGGTAACGATAAGAATGGAGAGGATGATAGATGCCAAGATGCTGGCCACGAGCGCGAACTTGACGTAGGGTACGATAGTGTCGATATTGCGGAGCGCGGTTACGACAGTGGGTGCGATGTTGTCGATATGTTCAGAGGCCTTTTGGACTTCGTGTGAGAATGGTACGCCCATCTTTGGCCCTGTCGATGAGAGAGATTTTTTGTCGTAGTCGTAGAAGTGGAGTTGAACCCGCAATTGTTTATTAATATTAACGGGACGATGAAGTCCTTGAGAAGTTTGATGATTCCCTCTGGCTCAGATACGATAGAGAAAGGCGGGGTCGTGCGTTGGCAGGTTGCTGTGTGTAACTTGAACTTTTCGCTTGAGATAGGCTGATTTTGAGGATCCAGTCCTTGGAACTGGTCAGCTGACTTTTAGCGCAAATCTTTTCATGCCATGATACCGAAATTCTGACTTGAGGTTTTCCATGACTGCTTGATCTGGTTCATTAGCTTACAATATTCGCTAAAGACTTGTCAAATTTTAGCGAGCTCAGGGGCTTCAGTGCTATCGAAGACGCTAAGGTTAAAAAACTCGCCAAAGTCCTAGACTGAACATCGACAATCTTCTTTCGCAACGAGAACGCGATCGCAACGAGTCCCGAAGATCCCAAGACATCACAGAGCATATTAATTACTGCCTTTCATACCTCACGCGCTCTGATTGGAGATGACCGGTGTCATAGCCTTTGACTTTAGACAACAATAAATCTGTATGAGCCTCCGCCACGGCAGACTTCATATCACTGCCACGTCAGGCAGCCGCATTCTCTGCCTTTTACTTGGCTCTGTTTCTTATGCTCGAAGCAGGATCCTTTTGCCGCCTAGTCATCGGCCAGAAGTCGTCCCGATTTCTGACTTTTGCAAAGACGAGTCCAGCGATCTTCCCAGCCACCACGTGATTGCGGGGAAGATTCAGCCCTACTTTGATAGAGCGACAAGGATGTTCGTATCCCCAAGACATACGATTGGTGGGTCACTTCAAGTCAGAAGGCTTCTGCATAGCCTCGCGTGTGCTATAGGATCGCCCGACTGATTATGATATGTTATCTTTCTCCTTCTCAAACCTCTTACTTCATTCTTTTCTACTTAAAGGCTCCTTTGACCTCGCCTTCAACGTTTCGTTACTCTGAGCATCAAACAAACACAAAACAAAACTTCCGCAACAAGAAACATTAACACAGCCTCGCCAAGATGGCTGGTCCAACATCAAGGTCAGGAGATAGTGACACGCTCTGCTCAACCTCCACAGAGATGACCCTCCTACCACCACCAACCTACTCCTCCTCCGACCCAACATCCAACGACTTCCGCACCCTCACCGTCTCCAACGCCGGCATCGGGAACCTGATCCTCTCTCCGCCGAGCTCATCCAGCACCCTCTTCTACGTAAAAAACTCTCAATGGCCCGGCAACCCCTCGGTAACTCTCTCCCTCGGCGCGAAAGGTGGTCACATCCTAGGGGTGCTAAAACTCGGCGTCTTCTCTGAGAACACCGTCGGTCTCGGGAATCCCAACCGGGATAACATCGACTACGAGAGTCTGCGACGAGTCAGCAACTGGACGCATGGCACTTACGAGTTTGAGTTTGGGAGGATGGGGGATAGGAGGAGGTTCACGTGGCAGCGGACGAGACAGCCGTTATTTGCGGATCAGCCGGATATGGAGTTGAGGGAGAATGCGGAGAGTGGTGCGGATGGGCAGGTGCTGGCGGTTTACAAAGGGTGCCAGGGGCTGTGGTCGACCAAGAGAGGAACATTTTATGTGAGGAGGGGATTGGATAGGCAGGCGGGCGTGGAGAAAAAGTTGGAGGATTGGAGTAACTGGGAGTTGATGGTATTGTTGACTGGATGCGGGATCATTGAGGGGTCCAGGAGGAGGGCAAGGGCGAGGAGAAGTGGCGGTGGAGGTGGTTGAGCAACTTGCTTGGGAGACAGGAGGAAATGAGATCCTAGATTCAAGAGAGATTCTATTCCTGACTTATAGTATAGGGACGGATAGTAGTTATATCCAATCAATAAAGAGTGTTCCTAGTACCTAGACTGTTTAAGAATAGGTCAAACTCTTGATTTATGATAAAAAACCCTCCCAAAGCTCCAGAAGCTCAACACATCTAGTATAGCCTCTGCCAAGACAACAAGATATAAGTACAGTACTTGCACCAAGACAGCGCACCAATGATACACAAAGGATTCTCGTGCTTTTCAGCAAGGAAGTACACTGGACTCAACACTTAAGCCTGCTTCTCCATTCCATCCTCACCACGGTGCTCAATCTGCTCCATCTCCCCCGGATTGAAGCGTTTCCCAGACAAGACATCTCTCTCCTGATGGATCGCGATATGGTTGTTCAACAGATGGCTAGGATCCTTGACGAACCACGCTGCAATTATTCCAATTATTCCAAAAGGGATAGTAGCAAGGAACACCCTGCGGAAAGCATACGCATACGTCTCCTTGAAAGCGTGTCCTGTCGCCTCAATCACCGCTGTCGAAGCATTCGTCTTCGCAAACGCGAACGGAACACCCACAGCATTTTCAATAACAGCGGGGATCAAAGCCTCGAGACCAGCAGGGGAGTAACCAGCACCGATGGCAGCGGCTGCGATCCGTGGCCCGAGCTGCTTGTTCACGATCGAGGTGGCGATGGTGGAGAAGATAGCGTTGCCTACGCTGCCTCCTGCGCTGCGGAAGGTACCGATGAGCCCGGCTGAGACGCCGAGCTCTTCTTGCGGCACAAAGAGGCCCGAAGCGACGTAGGCGAGGGACGTTACCCAGGTGAAGCAACATTGCCCGAACATCTGGAAGATCATCCAGGCGTACTTGTGCTCGGGGATCACGGCTGCGTAGCAGGCGGTAAAGACGGTTTGGATGACAAGCGCGAAGATGATTTGTTGGCGGACGTGCTTGATTTTGTGGACCAAGGAAGGAAGGATCCAGCCTCCGATGACTCCAGAGAGGTTACCTGGGATTTGTGTGATTCCAATTTGAACTGGCTTGTTCGTGTACATGTAGAGAGTTGCTTGGGGTGCCAGTGTAGTGACTGCCTGCCAGATCATGCCGGCGATGAAGAGAATGATCAGATGGACCGTGAATTCCTTGAACATGGCGAAGAGATGGTACGGGAAGATTGGATTCTTGGGAATCGTGAAGTCATAGACGAAACAGGCGATGAATACGAGAGCGCCAATGGTAACAGTGGCGGCAACTAGGGCTACTGAATAGGAAGACTTTCCGAGGTAAGTCAAGCCAACGAGGAAAACTGTCAAACCGACGGTGAAAAGAGCCAAGCCAATGAAGTCCAATTCCTGGAACTCTTGCCATCGGGTCTTGTCGTAGTCGTGGCGTGGATGAGATGGTGGGAAGTAGAAAATGGCTGTTCCAACGATAACGATGACCGAGTAGATAATAGCAATATAATAGCACCATCGCCAAGAGGCATTGAGGGCAAGCTCATTAGCAATTAGGACGCTGAAGCCTCCCCAAGGAATGGTAATGCAGAACTCGGTCCAGCCGATACCAATACCACTGACTCGGTCAGAAATCATGTAAAGTCATCAGGAATTTAGGAACCATGACTGAACTCACCGATATTTATTGGGAAGCAATTCTGTAATGCCAGGATATGACACGAAGATCATCCCGGCCCCAAATCCAATGATCGTAGATCCGCAAGCAACAATAAGCGTGGTATGGGCTGTTGCACCAATAATCTTTTGAGAGCGGACACGATCAGCTGTTTATACTTGGAATCTCAACGGAATTCAAACAACTTAAACTTACAGCACCAATCAAAACCATTATTTGTCCTCCAATCAGGACATATCGACGACCGAAGATGTCACTCAAGCCACCAGCAATGGCGAAAGAGACTGCCGAAGCTACAGACCAACCACCAGGAATCCACCCAATATTTTCCATGTCATCAAGGGCCTGTCCAATCTGGGCGAGAATTCCAACCGGGAGGACTAGTCCACATGATATAGCGGGGACATAAGACAAGCCCATGAACTGGATGGAAATTAAGTAACTAGACACTACCCAAAGGCTGTGATAAGAAACTCACGAATATGGCCATAATGGTTGCTATCGGCACTTTTTCTTCGGGATCCTCTCCCGATGGGGGAGATACAGCATCATTCTGAATGTTTGAGCTCGAAACTTCTTGCTCTTGACCCGACATTTTCTCAATATTGTCCACCTTGACCTTCTTGGACGTCCTATTGTTGTCTGCCATCTTTGGGAAGGTTGAATTGGGACAGGAATATGAGAATTGTCTGAAACGGGTGGTAGCACTCACTATATAGACAGCCTTGTCGGCATTGGCTTAGGTTGGCTTAGCTGTTGGTAAGCTTTTTCGGCAATTGTATCTCCATGTGGGGCCAGTGGATCATACCCAGGCTATGTGCAAGCTGTGCCTCGAATCGCTGGGGGTCGTTTGTCGGTAATGACTTGAAGAAAGCCGGTGTCAAATAATTTAATTAATTATAATTATCGGCTAGTAACTAAAAAAATATATAATTAATTAATCACTTAATCTGATTAAATATAATTAAATATTAGGTCACGTGGCATTACAAGTAGCTATTAAAATAAGTATTAGTATTTTAGTTTAATTTAAAAAAGCACTTAAAGATACTTTATTTATTTATTTCTAGTATTATAATAAATACAACTGTATTACAAATCATATAACATTTCTAAGAGAAGTAAGGTATAATATAAATAATAGAGCTAAATATAATATAGCTACCTGAAGTAAACTCACGTGACCGATCTTCAGTTACTATATGGTACCCAGTGAGCATCTCTTTTTATAAGGAGTTCTTATTAATACTAAACTAGGTAATTGTCTTAATAAGAGAAGTTTTGAGAAGATTATCCCATCCAGCTCCGAGGTACGCTTTTCGGCCATTCTTACAAGTGTGGGGCGAAGGCGCAATTAAGGTTCCTGTTGACGGAGCAAGGGCCACTTTGCGCTTGGGTACAGGGTAAAAGTGCCGTGAATAAAGCCGAAACTGACAATGGAGATAAAAATCAAAAGCTGGGATTGCAGAACCACTATATATTACTGAATCGACTAAAATGAAGGTATTCGGAAGAGACTATATAAAAACAGACGTTGCAAGGGGCGGTAATTCAGGCTCTTTATGCTCTTCGGAACCGTCGCAGCACGAATATCAAGACTCAAAAAGCTAGTAAGGACGACACAGAAGTGGGTAAGGTTACAATTAATAGAAGAGCTTAGGTCAAATATTCGGGTACCAATTTTCACAGGAATATTTGAAGGCACTATACAAAATCAATGGGGAAGCGCAATCTTATTATATCATCAGGGGAAAAAACCCTGTCAACAAGTGTTCGCTTAATGGCACGTGGGGCTATTGTGGGGTAATTACCTATATGGAGTAACGGGTGCGATCCGCACCATTGACTGCCCCACTTGCCAATTAACTGTCAATTAACTGCCCCACTTTGCCAATTGACTGTTAACTGACTGCCAACAGATTATTGGTGTCAAACTTTGGACATACAAATCCAGTGCAGTTTGTACTCTGGCAAGTAAGCTCCCAGGATCGGTAAAGATAAGCTTTAGAGCTCCCAGTTCAAGCGCACTCTCTAGTTAGCAGAACAAATGAGGCTGCACAAGAGCCGGGCTGGTTTGCCGTCGACGAAACCAATCCGTTCGGGTCTCGAATCACTCGATCTCCAATCCTCAATACAAACCTATTGATTAGATATGAGGCGTTCCAACCCATAACCTCCTTGGAAAGTTACGGCTGAGTTGTCTACTTGTAATGTAAGTGCCGTAAGGGAGGCGAAGTGTACTTTAGCCTAGACCGCCAGACTGGATGTTGATTATGTGATCCATGCTATCCCTGGCTGTCAAAAATTGCTCGAAGTCGCCTCACTTAAAACGCTGGGGAAGTCCCCTCGGAACATGCTTTTCTATATCTTGTTATGGGCCTCCGGTTAGTCGTGATACACCGAAATCCGGGCCGAAAATCGACGTTTTCTTTAACTTCCATAACAATGACAATTAATTAATGTTATTTTTTTACGGGAACCTAAGTGTGCTGGCTGTTAAAGAAGTTAATCGGGGGTTTGATTTTCATGCGGGTGTGTGTTGCGCGTGCCCTACGGATACTGCTAGGAGAGAAGAGATGATGGCAGCAGGAGGTATGGGTGTGGTGAATGGTTATTGGCTGCGAATAGAGACAAGGTTGCTAGGGCTGTTCTGGTCACGATGATTCCGAAGTAATGGCTGGGATCAATTACAGCGATGTTGTACTGTATGATGAAAGATTTGGGAGAGGAGTGGTTGAAACACGGAGAATCTATTGGGCCGACGGCAATACCAGTAGTCAGCCGTATTAGTCAGCCGAGCACGACGAGGCTGGGAGAGCTATTTTCTGCCTCGCGCTAACAGTTCTTCTCTTCCGAAGTGAGGCTATCGAACGAAGACAAAGTCAACATCAACAAACAATCACCCACCGCACTTATCCTCATCGACCGCATCAGAGATGACCTCAGCAATGTCATCAGAGATGGCTTTGTCTCCCGTCTTCACCATCTTCATGAGTCTACCATCAGAGCTGCGAATCAAGATCTGGAGATGTTCTTTCCCTGGACCTCGTGTTGTTCCTGTGCGATTCCAACGATCCTCAAATCAATACACCTCTAACTCGGCGCCTCCTCCCCTACTCTACGTTTGCTCCGAGTCACGATCCCTCTTTCTATCCACCTACACGAAGTTTATCCTGTCCCCAAAGTACGACTCTGCCGTCTTTATCAATTTCAACATCGATACAATCTTCTTCGACAATCTAGAATGCAGCCCCGACGGCGATCTCTCATTGGACTTAGCGAGGAGCCCCCACAGTGGTCGGATTCTGTCATGTGCGATTGATTCACAGGTTTGGGAGGTTTTGCGAGTATTCAAGTACGACTCGTTAAGCGAAGTGATGAGGATGCCGAACTTGAAAACCATTGCTCTGGTCATGCTGAGAGATTACGATGGGGGAGGACTTGACCGAATACAGGCGGAGAAATATGGGAGGGAGAACACCCTTATTAGGATGAACTCGAATACAGTGGAGTCGGAGATAATGCACGTCCAAGGGTATGTGGACAACTTGAGGGCCGATTTGAAGCAGCGGGTTGGCAACGTACCGAATGTGCAGCTGTGGCTATTGTAATGAGGCTTCGAGTAGATGATAGCGCCTTGTCGAGAGTGGCAGTCGTGTCTCTCATTTCATTCTTCAATATGAGTAATCGAGCGATGCGTTGCATATTGTTTTTTTTCAAATCGGTTCGGTGACAGACCGTCTTGCCCGCGTCAAGGTACGCTTTCCACCACTGCAACATCGTTGATTTACCGCGGCTGGTGAGGTCAAGATTCTTCTGCAGATGGATCATGTTCGGCTGGACTGGCAGTCCAATCCAGTGGATACCCCGGACGTGCAACCACCTAATCTAATCGTGTTTTCCCAAAATATTACCTTTTTTTTACAATTTGGAAATTGTTCCAAAATTATGACACTCTTGAATCCACTCTTCAATATGGATCATTTCCAGCAAGACGTGGCCCCCGATCTACTTTCCACTTCGGCGACACGGAGACCTTACCCCCCCTCCCCCCAACCAATCAATATTTAGCACATTAAACGAATACGTGCGCAAACATTAGGAAATAATTTGGAAAGATGGTCAATGCCTGTTACAGGTAAGTTTTGTCTGTAACGTTAACAACTATCTCCTTGAGGTGAAGCAATGACCCTGAGTCAGACAAATAATATGGGAAAGCTGCTGCTTGTAATGCTTGCTTGATCAGATCTTGTGGTGAGGTAGGAATAAGGCTGGCGTTTTATGGGCATTTTGGATAAGATCTGACAAATTGGGGAAGAGCGCAGCGGTTCACGAGTCCTCGGAGTGTAGCGCTACCATATGGCCGTCCGGCATATTCCATTCACTTTCCTCGGCTACGGCTGTCGGAGGAGAGCTTCAAGGAATCGTCGGGAAAGCCACGAGTTGTAAAAGTTTGCACACCTTTCCCTTCATAAAAACTCTCAAAATAGGCACAATCTGTTTAGGAAATCGATTGAAGCGGGAATACAATTATGGGAATGGCGCGCAGATAACGATATAGATAGAAACTGGATTCGTCATAGAGCAATTTATTTCGCCATTTCTCGCCTCATTGTTTTGGCGAATGGGAGGGGGGAACGGGACCGATTAGGTGGGTATGCGGATAGCGGCTGATGTGCTGACAGATGGGATGCAAGAGTAGCCTTATGATCGGTAATGATCGGTAATGGGCTAACTATTATTAGGGCTAGACGATGGAGGGTGCAGAAAAGCCGTGAGTTTGATGCCCTTTGGATTTTACGAGTGAGACGAAAGCTCGAGTGAAATCTCCATCTCGGAAGATTTCTGATTATGTGTACTTTACGACTCGCGAAATGACAAGAATTAAGACACGACTCGAGAAAGAAAAACGTGAGGGGGACTTACTACCTTGGGGATGCTGCACGCTGCATCAGCGGCAGAAGAAAATGGAATCTAGAATTACCCAGTCCGGACTAGGTCTGACGGCTGGTAGCGTTGTTTCGCGTATTCTCCTTCAAGGCACTGGGCTCTCCGTCGATTAGCGTCCGACGGCTTTGTATTTGATTGGAAAGCTTGCCTTCGTCGGCTAATCAAGTCCACCTAGTCATGTGACTCTTATTTCCCTCCAATACCTGAGAGTCTCTTCGGGTTAGCTGCACCGCTATGTTGATCGTTTAAATCACAGCTGACAGTTCGATGTCAGCGCGTGGAACTTTCTTTAATTGCCTTTTGTGGCTTGAGACGTTCTGAGTGTTCTATTCGCTGGTGATTTGAACAAAATCAACGAGACCTCTCCGGTGGCGCTCTGTGTAATACCCACCTGCAAGTTCACGCGAGCTTGAAAAGCGTGCGTTCCCTGTGGGAAAATGGAAAACTAAACACTTCCTCACTAATCATTTTGTTGTCCTACTACACATAATCTTTAGATCAAAGGATGAAGTTTTCTTTAATTCCGTGTGTTCTCGTGGGACTCGCATGCTCACCATCAAGCGCTCTTGTGAGCTCTAGATGGAAGTCGGATTCCGAAACCAAGACAATTCTGCCTACCGCAGTCACAGGAGACGTCACAGCAAATTTCAAATCTGCATGCAGTCTGGATGGATCCCAATTGTCTGCCATCAACAATACGGCTTGGGACTGGTGGTATTTCGACGCTGTGTCACCAGATGCAAAGTCGAATGTAGTTATTACTTTCTTCACAGCATCTGCCACGGGATTTCCCTTCCTTCCATCACCAATGGTCACACAATTTGAGCTTCACTCGCTCTTACCTAATGGAACCATTTTTAATGTCTTCATCCCGGCCGAAGAAGCAGTCATTACAACAGAAGGGGAAGGGTCGTCAGGGGACTTTAAAGGAGCTAACGCCTCGTGGATTGGCACCCCCGACTTGAAACACTACAAAATTGTTGTCAACTCGCCTGCGAACGGCGTTATTGGCACATTCAATATGAGATCTGTCGCCCCTGGTCACTACCCATGCGGCCCGGTGCGCTCAGGAGAGAACATGATGGTTGCACCTGAGATCGGCTGGGCGAACGCTGTGCCAGATGGGATCGCTGATGTTGATTTCACCCTATCAGGCACGAAAGTTGCCTGGAAAGGCGTGGGATATCATGACAAAGTAGACTATCCCATCTGATGTTACTTCGTGCATTGCTGACCCGAGTGCAGAACTGGAGCAATCAGCCGTTCACTGACAATGTCGCGAGTTGGTATTGGGGCCACGGCCGCTTAGGACCCTACTCAATCGTTTGGTTTGACACACTCGGGGCCGATGGAAAGGAATACGTCAGTTCATATGTTTCAAAACATGACGAGATTGTTGTATCGAGTTGTGATGCCGGGTCCATCAAGGTTCGGCCCAGTGGAGTAAACAGCGAATATCCACCAAAGGTCAGCACCGGCAACCCGGGCGGATTCACAATTGAGATTGATTTGGGGAAGGAGGGTACAATGAACGTGGAGGTTAAGGTTGCAGCTGTCTCTTTGCAGGGTCTTACCCTTTATACGGAGTGGGTTGGCACCATGACTGGGAATGTGGATGGTGGGAAACAGATGACTGGGGTGGCTTCGTTCGAGGCATTCAAGGTGACAGTTTAGACTTGAGATTAGGGCTCCTTGCTAGCCTCAATGCTGTTAAGATACATCACGGTGCCATTTGCTCATAGTGTCCCCCTTTGCATTACATCGAGTTTCAAAACCCCAACAAATTGCGAGTGCACAATCACTTGGACCAAACCCGATAAACTCAAATAAACTCAAGCTGTTAGTGCCGAAAGGAGTTGGACTCCTCCAGCCTCGTCATCTTCCGTCTCACTATCCTCTTCCGCTGCATGATGACTAAATTCCATATTACCAACGACATCCTCCACGCCACTCTTCACTGAGAAATCTGTCTCGGACATCGATTCGCTTGAACCGTCTTCTGGATCATCGCTGAGAAAGTCAAAGTCTAGTTGGCGATGCGACGATATTTCCGTCAACGAATCCGGCCTCCGTGACCTAGGCCCTCTGCATTCAATGATCTGAGCTAGAACGTCAACACGAATCTTCTCTGCCATTTTCTGTAAAATCTTCTCTCGATTCTTGATGTGTTGCGTCTCCTTGTGATCATAAATCTCTGGCGCTTTCCATTTCAGCCAAAGATTATTGTGGCATGGCGGAGGAACAAACCCCCCTGGATGTTGTGTTATATAGTGATAACAACAATAACATGCTGGTTTGCTACAGCCAATGTATTTGTCATTTCCAACAAACTCAAAGTGCTGGGTCCAGAACAGATCTAGTAAGATTAGTTCCGCGTGTACTCGCGGTTGCCAGGTTGTGCTTTGGCATTCCTTGCTGAGCTTCTTTGAAAGCTGATGTAGTCGATCAAGTTCCCCAAGGTTCCGGCGCAACAGCTCAATAGCTCCGTCGTCTCCAGCTAGTCGCCCAGCAATTTCCATTAAAGTAGGATCGCGTTCAAGCAATGGCGGAAGTGAGGAATGAGATGACTTTGCCCTTTTGACCTCAAAGGCACTAAAAAGATATGAGAGCTCCAACCTGGCTTCGATCATCACCTTGATCGCTTTCTGGGTGTGATTGAGCCGGCCGATGAAGTGCCGAATTTTCTCGTATCTCTGTGCACATGGCTCGCCAAGCCTTGCTCTTTTCCGAACTACCTCATAATGCAATGATCTTCTTGAATCGTAGCAGAGCCGGCAGATGGTAGAGGGGGTGTTGGTTGCATATTTTAAGCTTTTTAGCCAATCCAAGAAAACTGCATCTGTATTAAATTAGCCAGACTAATATTTTTTTGCAAAAAGTGTTGTCCGGGTCTCTCACCACCAGCGGACTCGTTCTCCGACAAAGATTCCAATACAACTTGTATCTCCTTTCCCAAGGCTTTGGCGTAGTACGAGATCCTCTTCGAACTGAAAGCTACTGCCTTCTCGAATAATTCCTTCTCAATCTCAGATGCTTGAGATGGCTCCAAATGCTTGAGAGTTTCGAGGATCCCCGCCGCAAATAGCTTCGTAGGGTCTTCCTCCCTAGGCTTGCCTTTGTTTGACGCCATCCAATACACGATCCTCTGTGGAGTCTGCTGCAAAGCAAAAGCAGTCGTTCGATCCCCACCTATTTCAAAGTCGCATAAGTATGCAAGGTTTCTCAGAAATGACCTCCGAAGCTTCTCGCCCCCTAAATCGGAAGGATCTGGCTCTGCATCAAACCCTTCCTCGTCGACCCGGTCCCCGCGATTTTGTCCTAACACAAACAGCATCACCAAAGCCTCATAGAATCTTTTCTGTAATTTGGCAGGTACTGGAACGTTATCTGGACCAGGGGGTTTCAAATCCATTGCAGAATTGGCTGACCGTCTTCTTCGGTGGGAGCTGCTTCCCAGTTGCGACGATTTACCGCTTTTCCCGCCTAGATCGCTCACAGGCGTAGGTGCTACGGGTAGTAACTTAGAGATATCCTTCTTTTTCTGTGCTTTGTTCTTTCTCGAAGTCATTTTGGGCTCCATAACAGCCAGTGCCTGTCTTCGTCAGCCTTATCTGGAAGTTCTGGAAGTTCGTGGACTTCTCGTCATCACCTCATCAGATCCCCCCCAAAAATAACATAGCAAAAACACAAAGCACTCACCTGCAAACAACTGAAAGGTTTGCAAGGACCCCAAGGACTTATCTATTAATTCCATAGCCAGACGGGACACCTTCTGTGACCGACTCGGTAATTCTACAACTTGCTCTTCACACAATTCCTTCCCGTCTTTAAGTTCATCAAAACCATTTCGATCACTTTCCACGCAGGTCAATGGTTCTTTGCATAAAGGGCTTGCTGGATCCAGTCAAACTCTATCACGTGTGCTGCAGGAAGACTGATCGGTACAGAGGCTGACTGAGCTGCATGCTCCTGGTGTCGGGTTACACCCGCGCCACGACACCGAGTACAACCTAACCCCAGATTTTAATGAAAGACTTTCTGTTTTCTCAGTACACTTTCGAACTTAAAGTTGAATACAAACACCTAATTTCGAGAGAACATCACCCTGATTTGAGAAAGAATGAGCCGCACTCGTTAAGAGAAACATAACATGATCTCGCAGAGTTGACCTAGTGGTTCGAGACTTACTGAACTCAACACACATTGGAAAAAAGTCACTCTATATGTTAGACGACAAATTCAACTGCAAAGTGATCACTATTCTCAGCAAGAAGCTTTGACACATGCTCTCCCCATTCCCTAACATATGGGCTTTCTGGTATCTTATTCGAGAGGACACAATAAGCTCAGCTTGTCGAGTTTGGCAGATCGCAATAGCTGTGACAGGTGCATCCCCTTGGTCATAACTGCACAGGTATGCCAAATGTCTAATGAATTCTCTACTGAGTTGTTTCTCGTTGAGATTCGTTAGGTCCTCTTCGGCCTCACTGCCGGGCATTCCTTCCTCGGAGAATGCAAGGTCTGGGTCGGCATTGAATACGTCGAGCACCAACAAAGCTTCATAGAACGGACAAATAAGCGAGTTACTTTCGTAGATATTTGAAGTACTAGGAATCTCTTGATTCCTGATGTTGAATTGAGACATTGAAATGACCGACAGATCGAATACTTCCTTTCGAGCTGAAACTCGAGTTTTCGCTGATTTTCTGAATAGCTTCCGTTTGCTACTGTGTATGTAGGTACTAGCTCTGAAAAGGTTGTAACTCTGTTGTGCTCGTATATTGAAACAATAATATTTGCTTGGTTGAAAGATTGAACTGAAGGAAGATGATGGGAAGACATATCTGCAGAGTGAGACGACTCAAGGACTGCATTCAACGAAAATACTTATATTGACATCTCTAGATACCACCCTTTTTCCACTGACCGCATTGAAACCTCCCTCCCTTGTCAAGATAGCAAGTGCATCAGCCGAGCTGGTTTCTTCCAGCATTCGCTAGAACAATTGCTTTCTTTTGGGAATAATTCCCAATTGCGAACCAAGCTCTAACACAAAACACTCTTGGGAATCAAAGACTTCTGTCATGGCTCTCCAACCATTATTTGATTACAATGATATTCATGCGAAACGATGTTCGAGTGATGAAACATGAAACCTCTCTCATCTTTGTTGACACTCGCCAACTCCAAGTCGATTTGTAAAACAATGAGCCATTTGCTGGATGTCTAACTTCACTCCAAAACCAAACGTTTCTTTTCGAAACCTCCCAATCATCGAAGAGACATCGCGATTCTGTCTGAGGCCTTTCAGCTTTGTTGAAGCCTCACTTCGAACATCAGAATTTGCACCACCATCAAGAACGCACGAGGTTGGCTACAAAAGGCAGACGTAACTCACGTGTGGTATAATGATCTGGTACACCGATGAATTTCCCAACACTTGGGGGCTTGTATAACGATGAGCTGCAAGCCTTCAAGTCCCTGCATCTCTTCCATGTTATCCCACCGTCCTGGGTTATACAGCAACAACAACTGGGTCAGAACGCCTCTCCCGAAGGATTTGCAGCACTTCACAGTTCCTCAACGATCTGTACAAGTAAATTTGGACCAAGGGGGCCCGCAGCCTCGATCACAATGAACAAGCCAGCATCTCGCTGGTGTTTGGTGAGGGTTCTCCTCGTCGAGCAACGTGTCTTGAGACATGCGGGTGTTGAAACGACAGGATGAGCTGCCACTTGATGAAGGCTCGATGTGCGGAGATAGCTTGAAGGTCTAGATTTGTACCATAAATAAATCATTTTTTCTCTGGGGCCGGATACACGAACTCGTTTTCAGACAAAGAGAGATGTGTACAAAGCAAGCCGAGTGATTCAATCAAAACTAGAGCCGGTGAGCGCCCAAACAACCATGAGTATCCAGTAAATGCTGCTCAAATGTGGATGATTTGCGAGAGGAGAGGAGAGGAGAAGAGAAGAGAAGAGAAGGAAGGCTTGCCGAAAGTGAACAATCATTTCACGAACCAATTCGTATCTTCCTCCTAATCCGTCCAATTCGAATTCTACTGCAATGAATCTAAAGCAGTCTGGCCACAAAATTCCCAAAACGCCTCTAAACCCATGGTATCTTTTGTTGCCGCTAAATCCAAAACGATGTGTCTTTGACGCTCAAATGCCACACTTATTAATTTCTGCGCTCCCTGCAGTCTACATGCACAATCTTGTGCTTATGATCCGAGTTTCCGCCTTCAATGACAACAGCAGTTAGTTGCCCCCCCTTCAAGCACCCTGTATCAATCCCCATGCTATAATCTGCAACCTGGAGGCCACGCTTGGAGTCGTGACCATATGTGACTGTGCTTCGTTTGTTTTTGTGGAGGCCATTCTGGAATTTATTCCAAACCTGACAATCAATCAGCATGTACCAGATAAACTCAACCCAAAAAGAGGTACCTTCATCCAGCCTACACCTTCTCTACCCTCACTCGGCACACCATCTTTGATAGTCCTCATGTTCATTACCATAAAAGGATCTTGCTTCTCCAACTTAACATTGGGCGCCAGACCAGCGTGGACAACAACCACTTCGCCCAAGGATCCTAGTTTCCCTACTCTCAGGATCACTGGGCATTTCTTCAGCCACTTGATTCGTTTCTCTCCTAAAGCCCTCACCAAGGCTCGATCTTTATAATCTCCGTGGCTGAAGCTCACCTCCTCGAGGGCGTCTTGTGCTTTGTGTTTTTCCTCGTTTGGCCCTGGATCATCCATAGAAATATGGTCTGCCACCAGGTCGTCGTACGTAAGGATGATGCGGTCCTCGTGGTTCCCTCGTATGCCAGTTGCACCAAGTTTCATCGCCAAATCTACGACTCCAGGTGAGTCGGGACCTTTCGAAATCATATCCCCAGCCAGTATCAAGTGGTCGTGCTTCTTGTCGAACTTGAGTTTATCCAGCAGATCATCCAACGCCTCCTTCATGCCATGCACATCACCAACAATCACTAAACGCCCCGAATGTCGGTGCTTCCCAGTTTCAGGGAGAAAGTTTGAAGGGAGGTCCATGAGTTGAATCATGTCTGTAAAGGTAGGTCGAGCATTGCCACCATACAAATCCTCTCCCTCTGCTGTTGAGCCCGGATCATTCATGCCGTCAGCCCCGCTCAGTTCATTGTTCTCTGCTCGACCGAAGAGTATGTACGCTGCCCAGGACAACACCATGCATAATGCCAGATAGACCACTATTCGTCGCCCTCGCGGCTTCTTTGAGCTCGATCCTCGCCGCTCTCGGTACTGGGGTAAAGAAGGCATTCGGAGAATGTTCGTTTGAACGACTTGAAACGCGTCAGCCTTCCGAAGAGTTCGTTCGCGATTGCAACGCCGTCAGGAATTAGACAACGGGTTGGCTTTCGTTTCTTTCTTATACTCGAATGCGTTTCCAATTGGCACACTTCAGGAGCTCATAGACCTAGCCTATGTTATGCCATTCCGGAAGGGATATCTGGTAGAAGTCTTGTTGATAATTTCGTGCCGCGCAGCCGTTCCAAGTGCTTTGGCCCATTACGAGCCGCTGACAGAAGTCGTGTTATTAGGCGATTGATCAAGCGATTTTCAGGCCTCACGACCCCGTCTTCAAGGCCCAAATCTCTCGTTTTATCAGGATTACCTTATAGTTTCAAGACAACAACAAATAAATAGAACTTGCAATTTAGTAAACCGGAGATTATGAGAGGTAACTGGAGTTTCCATTACAAGAGTTTTAAAAGTTTACAAGTTTCAGTAATTAATTTAGGTGTGCAATAGACTCTTATCAGCAGGCCCATTATGACGTGTTTGTGGCTTGGCCGCGCCAACCTTATTTTCACTGCCTCTACCCCTGGCCTCCTAACCTCCTTCTTTCCTCTCCTCTCCTCAGAGCATTCGAGTTCTTTGAAATACTCTACGCAGCTAAATTAAATCGTCAATGCTATATCCATTTGAAGAAATATGGTCAAGTCCTTAATTTGGTTCCGGAAAATGCCTGGTTGCACTTGTTTGAGCATCCCGGATATATTTCGTGGTCATAATCTAGCGATTATCACCGGCACAGCAACGCCGTAATTGTCAGTTGCTGATCAAGTTTTCATTTGTTGGAGCAGCACAGTTGCTAATCAAGAAATTCGATTGTTGGATGTGGGAGCTTCCACGTGTTCCAAAGCTGCAACCAACTTCATCCAGCTACTCTCTCGGAGTGCTCTTCTCGAAGCACTCTCTACGTCCAACATCACTCAAGCCGGTCTACATATGCTTGATTAATTGCAGAACGCTGCTTTTCTATTTAAAGAACATCTTGAAGATGAATAATAATCAGCCAGGTTTGAACGCCTCTCTGTTCAAGCAGAAATCTTCTTTGTCTTGCGTTCCGCAAACGACAACAGATGAAAGGCCCTTCTAGATGTTGAATATCATGGAAAGAAATTCTTTGTAGCAAAGTTTAGATCATTGTTTCGAGGAGGTTTATTTATCTTTTTGATTGTGACAATCTTCAAGTCATCTCGTCGACTACACTCTGGCCGTTTGTGCATATTCTCATATCATTATTTTGCTGTAGCATATAAATCTCCGTTGAGCAGCTATTCTCAAACAGTATTTCCCGCCTAGAAATCTTGTTGTTGTTCTTACCATTACCTATTATCGACTTTCACCACGAGCGCAAAGTCAAAAGTCTGGACAATGTCTGACAGCACTGGTGTGCCAAGCCCATCCGACGTTGGTTCCGGTGGACCTCAAATTCCCCATCAAGCAGCATCTCGAACTCCGTCACCCACTGAGACCCAATCTCCAAACTTTGCATCCGGCACTGCAACATCCTCCACTGCAGTTCTGTCCTCTGAGCACCCAACCACGCCACCAGCATCGAACCCTCCAGAGCGCACATCCGCGTCCCCTGCAAACCCGGCCACTCCAGAGTTAACGCTTAGAAAGCGCAGATCAAAGCCTTTGAAGCAGCCCGATCCTTATGTTAAGACGGAGGGTAAACCTTCAGCGAAGAGAGTCAAAAAGGATGCAAGGGGATTGTTCCACCGCTCGCTAACTTGGATTTATGCTCACTCCCTGGGACTAGTGATCGCTGTTGTCTGTAAGCAGTGTCAGGGAGCATACGAAGGTTGGGGCAAGATTTGGGTTGACCGTGGCTTAGGCTCAGGGTTATATTTCCTTTTTGTCACCATCCTAACAACTATCACTAAAATCTGCTGTGAGTCTCCTTTCCCGCGAAATATCTGAAAGCTATCAATCAGACTGATGAATGACTAGCTTATGTGATAGAACTCGTCTTCGTTACTGCCCCAGCAAAGATCCTGGAATTTACGCGTTAGTATCCCTAATGAAAGTTGACGATTCGCTCTCCTTGCTGACTAACATGAAGAAGGATTCATATTGGCATTACCTGATCGGTTCATCAAGTACCTTAGTGAGTGTTGTTCCCTTCGCCGCTGTAAACCTCAAAAATGCCAACAAATAGTTAGAAGAGTCAGCACGACACGTATTCATAACTATTCCCGTGGATTGTTTCGCCTTTTGTGGTAAGCCCAAGCTCTGCAAAGGGATCAAGACCGGCAAATACTAATTTATGGATCAGACTCCTGGCTCTGGGTCTTTTTTGTTCTGATGCCTAGTGCAGCTGTAGAAAAAACTGTGAAATGCCTTTCGAATAAAAGTGTGGATTTTCCGGATCGCTATAACAGATTAAAAATCACTATCCTGAGTCGGCGAATTAAGCTTGGGTGGTTAGCTGCCGCTATTTGGGTTCTCTGGTTTTACAGACACAGTGTCATACCGTACTGCGACCCTTGGAGGGATAACAGCGTTGGAGTTGTGTCAGGATTTCCCTTGTCAGGTGTTGTTTCGAGTGTTCTTCTCCTCCCGTGCGGCCGAGAAGGTGCTGCTAGGGAGTCGGCGATCAACAGCCTTGTGCAGTACAGCCATCTCTCAAACGTTTCCGAGGCCTTTAGTGAGCATAAGATCGACTACGATCATCTATTTTGGCTAGCTGAAACCGCTAAGACTGCATCGGACTCACTCATAAACAAGCGACGGAAGGGAGAAGGGGACATGGAATATCACGGTGTGCTCGACTTGCATTGCTCATTGAATAAGGTTGGCCCATTCGTTATTGACTTTCTCCAACTAAGGAAAGTCGCACTGGGTGAGATGAAACATGGTCTCTCCGTCTACAACTCACAACTCGAGCATGAGAAGGAGGCCGGCAGATGGAATAAACAAACAGACCTTTCCGTTGGGAAGGGGATCAAAGAGGTCTTGGTGAGACGATGGATTACGAAAATCAAGTACGAAAAAGCACTGAGCGATATTAGCAACCGCACCCTTGACGCAGTCAAACACAAGGCCGACGAACTGTATGGAAAGCTTGGAGAGGGTAAGGAATTGTTTGAGAAAATCGGGCATTATTTTGTTCTCAATCGATACCTAAGCAATACCCGAAAGTCGACCCACGAACAACGCACCAGGGGCATGTACGAACGTCTTGGCGGAAAGAGAGACGAGCTTGATGGTTACGCCAAGGCTGTCCGGAACCTCGACTATCCGGCTTTAGAGCTGGCTATTGACGATTACTTGCTTCAGTTCCGACAGGCAAAAAAGCTTCTTAATGCTGCTATAGCTGCATATGGTACGGATAAGATGGCCCCGGTTTACCCACTTTTCCCTCCATCGAAGGAGGATATGAAGGAGAGACTTACTCTGGAGTTCGATCTCAGAGGAAAGAAGATAGCAGCACTGGCGAAGGATTTGGAAGATGAGAAAGCGACGACGGAGAAGGTGTTGGATAAGATCGATGTTCTGCTTGCAGCTAGATTTGGTTGGAAGGTGTGAAACGGGGCTTTCAGTTTTCTAGACCTTTCTTGATGGTACTTTTTCCTATTGTATTACAGTATTTTAATGTCTCGCTCGACTGAGCGAAATTGGGCACAAATTATGTGATGAGAGAATGAATATTCTTGCCAACAGCGACCGTTCTTGTCAATCTACAAGCAGATAAATGCCACTCTTACTCTCCACTTTACGTATTGATCCCCCTTTCCCTCAGGGAAAGTTCTAGATCACGTGGACTTCGATTAAGTGACCTCCCTAAGCGAGCTTACTTGGCCTCTTGCACCTTCTCCTTCAACAAAACCTCCTAACTACCAAGTTCTTGCCCCAAAATGCACTTACATCATTACGCTTGTGGTATCTAAATACGAGTCATTCTCGCAAACCTAGATGTGCGGCAGAACAGGCATGCCAATTCCAGCATCTCACCGGGATCCACGGTTGCGGTTCCTCGACCCTAAATGACGCCAAAAGCCCCTCACCAGCCACGAGCCTCTTCTCGGAATTTCGAAGCGCCAAGAACACCAATTGAAATTTCGTGGTGGCTCATGATGGCTCAGCTTTTGATGTTCGTATTGTCATTGTGCTTCTTTGCACACTTCGTGTTAGGGAGCACCCCTCAACCGTTCCCACCGCATCTAGCGAATTTTTCAACCGCTTGCTCGGAATTCGAGCCACTCAAATATGTCTCAAATGCGACATTGAACGTGCATGAGTTCGTTGCCGCAGGCACGACTCTTCACTTCCCGGGTACCGACCCCAGCTGCGGAACGGCGAATCAAACGGTGTCTGTAGATATCTGCAGGATTGCCTTGAACATCAGTACTTCAGACCGATCTGGTATCATTTTCGAGAGTTGGCTGCCGCGTACTTGGACTGGGAGGCTTCTGGCGACGGGAAACGGAGGTATTGATGGTTGTATCAAGTATGATGACATCAACTACGGCAACAAGAATGGTTTCTCTGCCGTGGGATCAAACAATGGTCACAATGGCACCGGGGGAAGTGCTTTTCTCCACAATCCTGAGGTGTTGAAGGATTATATATATCGATCGTAAGATTTATACCCCGATTTCCAGACCATGGCTCACAAGTTAAGACTTCATACCATCACGGAAGGGGGGAAGAATTTGACGACTGCTTTCTATTCGGCACCTGCAAATAATTCCTACTATCTTGGATGCTCGGGAGGTGGACGGCAGGGCATCAAAGCCGCAGAAATGTTTCCCGAGGACTTCAATGGCATTGTTGTTGGTGCTCCCGCTGTCAACTTTAATAACATGACCTCCTGGCGGGCTTCCTTCTTTGGTAAGACGGGAGCCTCAACCTCGCCCAATTTCATTCCGGCCAGTGCTTGGCAAGGTTTCATTCACGATGCAGTTCTAAAACAATGTGACGCGATTGATGGGGCAGTTGATGGAATCATCGAGGATCCGACATTGTGCGACTTTCGTCCAGAGGAGCTGATCTGCAGTTCTGGCCAGAACTCAACGAAATGTCTCAATGAGGCACAAGTTGAAATAGTCAGATCAGTTTTGTCACCACTCTATGGCTCAAGCGGGGAACTTGTGTTTCCAGCTATGCAGCCGGGGAGTGAAGTCCAAGCAGTCCAAGGACTGTATTCTGGAACCCCATTCCCGTATTCCCTGGTATGTACAATCTTTGGCCTCCTAATCTAGGCTGATTAAAAACAGGATTGGTTTAGATACGTGGTTTACAACAGCAGCACCTTCGATGACACCCATTTCTCCGTCTCAGACATTACTGCAGCGCAGGCTCTGAACCCATACAACGTCCAAACCTACCCCTCCAATCTTAGCAACTTCACGGGAACTCACAAGGGCAAATTACTTATCTTCCACGGCCAACAAGACGAGAAAATCACATCTTTCTCCACCGAACGGTTCTACAACCATCTTGCTAGTGGCATGGAACTTCATTCTTCCCAAATCGACGATTTCTTTCGATATTTCCGTATCAGCGGCATGTTTCATTGCAGCAGTGGGCCGGGCGCATGGATGATTGGACAGTCCGGGTCTGGATCTATGTCCTTCTATCCCGAGACGAACATCCTTGCTGCGATGGTCCAATGGGTTGAAGAGGGTATTGCACCGGATACTATTCTAGGCGTGAAGTTTGTGAATGATTCTGTGGCAAAGGGGTTAGAGAGAAGCAGAAGGCATTGTCGATTTCCTTACAGGAACACGTATATTGGCGGAAATGCAAGTCTGCAGCGGAGCTGGGAGTGTATGTTATATGAATAGATTAGCACAATTCTCATTACTCAAGCTTTTGTGGTACGTTCAGGAAGATGAAGTCCTCGCAAAATGAGGAAAGCTGGCACATTGAAGTTTAGACTTTTAAAAGATGAGATGGTTAGAATATGTGAAAAATCAGATGACCATAGAGCATCAGATATAAGGGTAAAAGATCAGGCAATTCTATTGTCTAAATTCCGCGGAAAGTCAATGTCATTTTCGGCTCGATGACGAGCAAGAACAACGCAGAAATCAACTATCGTAGAAAGAAACGCTTATCCGTCCCATAATTCGTTATTATCCGCTCATACTTCTGCGAATAGTAAACGATCCCTCACAACGCACCACTCATCTGAACGTCTCCATCCGTCTCAACAATTGGGGCAACATACCAAGGGAACTCCTCCTCGAGGATTTCGACGCAGGTCAGGTGATCGAGAGGTAGCGCGTTTCTGCCTCGGTCTCCTTGGGTACGGTCGACGAGAAGCTCCTTGACGACCGGCTTCATGTCATCCTTGATCAAGTCAAGGACTTGCGCGAGTCTCTGCTTGCCCTTGGGGGTCATGGCGAAGATTTCGTAGAAGCTGCCGAGGGTCTCTGGACGAAGGTAGTTGCCTGAAGCAATATTGCGATAGAAGGCCAGGCCGCTGTCGTTGGCACGGTGGTGGTAGTTGGACAGGCATGCCGAGGCGCAGAATTGGCGAAATATCATCAGGGCTTGCCAGAGGTAGATGTCTTCGCTGTAGATGGCGCGTCCTGGGATCGAACTCTCGTCCTCCTTGTGCAACATGCGGTCAGGGTAGTACTCGAGAAGGTGGCGCTCGACTCGCAACTTCTTGTCCTTCAACTCCTTGGCCTTTTTGACAATCAGACCCCAGACCTGGCGACCCAACACTCCGTGCTTGCCGTCCAAGTCCTCCAAGAGTTCCTCATTGATAACGCCTCGAAGGTGGAAGCAACCAACGATGTGGAGCATGGCCTCACGGAAGATCAATGGGGATTGGAGACGGGCTGCTGCATGAACCCAAGCGTCAGGGCGACTGCAAATGTGGTTCCAGAGAACGGTGTTGAGTCGAAGGAGGTTGGCCTCAACAGCAACACGAACGGCTGGAATTGCCTCGAGATATTGGGCGGCCTCGATCAGCGTGAGGGCATCAGTGATGTATTCGCGAGCTTCAGGATCATTGGGATCATTGGTAAAACAAGGATTGATGTTGTAGAGACACTTGAAGAAGTTGTCGTACAACTTATTGTATTGTGGCTTAGCACCGAGGCCGTTGGCATTGCGGGGCATCTCGAACGAGGAGATGTTGCCCTTGCGGTCAGGCTGCGAATGTTAGTGCATGATTATTTGTTGTGGTTTTCGCAATGTTCCAACCTGTGAGGGGCAATATGCGGCCTCGTTGAAAAGCGAGCAGAGCATGAAACGAAAAATTGACTTACAATCTTAAACGTCTTGAATGTGAGTCCATCAGGATCGACGTGCGCCGCATCAGGCTCGTCAATCATCACAAGCTTCCATTTGATCGTCAAACCTTCCTCACGTTGTGATTTGGTAGTGTGAGCAGCCGGGTACTTGGCGAGAATACTCTTAATGACCGGAGAAGCATTTATCAGGATGGTGCTGTGCAGCCTCCAGGTCTTGTCGGTGGGGGAGATAATCAAGACATCACCATCTCGGAAGTTGGGATACTCGCTGAATTGAGCACATGCTTGCTGACCAGTTGGGGTAACGGCTTGCTGGACGCTCGGCTGCTGAGCAGATGCTTGCTGAGTGATTGAAGTAACGGGTTGCAGAACAGTTGGTTGCTGAGATACCTTCTGAATGGTTAGAGCAACGGCCTGTTGAACACTCATGTCCTGAGCAGAGGCTTGCTGAACGGTTGAAATAACACCTTGTTGAGCACTCGGCTGCTTAGCAGAAGATTCTTGGGGATAGTGCAATCGTGCGGGAAACAAATCATTGATGCCATTCCGAGCGGATTGAGTAACGGTCTCTGTTACAGTCAACTGCTGCACCCCGGGAACTTGAATAGAAGACAAGATACTAGGAGACGAATTTGCAGCAGCAAGTGAAGCGGGAGAAGTGATGGCCCTCCGAATGATTGGCTGCTGAATTGTACGAGCAGGTGATGGCCCATCGAGAGACAACGATACTTGACGGATAGGAGTCTTGTCACCATTGAGAGGAGAACTCTTTGGAGGAGTCTCTGTCTTGGGCATCTTTGGCTTAGGGGTCTTTGGAGGTGAAGAACTTGGTCGGCGCTTAGGAGTCTTCAGATTCGTATTATCGGGCTTCTGAGTCTTTGGCCTGGCCGTCTTTGGTGCAGCAGACTTTGGCTTGGCAGGTGTCAGGATCTTGCGAGAGGATGGGACCTTGGTAATCTTTGCGGGAGCAGTCTCCGGGTGGGTAGGAGTAGCAACCGGAGCACCAGAATCCTCCTGGCAAGCAGAAGTCGGTGGGACCTTGGTAGTCATTGAAGGAGCCGTCTCCTATTCCCCCCAAAAAATCGGAGTCAGCATACTTCTTTTAGAATGTTCCAGGAGCTATTGGACATTGGGAATAGAATGCTCCAAGAGCTGCTGGGCATTACCCAAGAGATATTGAAATTTACCTGATGGGGCGGATTAGCCATTGGAGCACCAGAGCCCTTTTGGTTAGCGGGAGTCGTATCGGAATCATTTCGACCATCGGGAGTAACAGTATCGAACTGATTCAAAGGAGGGTTTGCCTGATGAGCACGGGGAGGAGCGACAGGTCTACCAAAAGCCCGTGGCGGGGAGATCACACCCATGGCTTGAGCCTTTTGAAGGATAACGTACGTCGGCAACGTTTGAGGAGAAGAGTCCTGGCACGTAGCCTTAACAGTTGACCTACTAGAGCTTGAAGGGCCCAGAACTTCGTTGTACACTTGGCGAGGAGTTCCCAGGCCTGGGTGAGCAGCGATGGGAGAGCCAAACATCAACGGACCGGGAGATACACCCATGCTGACCATTGGATGATTCTCCTGACATGTAGGAGTAGTGACTGGCGCGCCAGCCGTCGATGGACCATGGGAAGTAGCCATGTTGAACGTTGGTCGATTCTCTTGACGCGTTGGAGCATTGACTCGCGAACCAGAGCCCAACAGATCAGGGGAAACACCGTTGGGCATCTCGCAATAATTGCCCTGGCGCGTGGGTGTGCCGAAGCTCGATGGGCCACCCATGTCTGGTGGATTATCCGTGAGGGCCATTGAACTATCGGCGGTGTCGACTACGTAGTATGGAGGCATTTCGAATGGGCAATAAGTGTCAATATGATTGTCGAGGCAGGAAAAATTACTTAGATCGAGAGCGAAATTCTCCACTGCAAGCGAAAGCGAAGGGTAGCTGTCAAGAGGACAGTCGCTGAGTGACCTATCGAGGGATCAGTGACTGAAACGATGGGGGCCTCTGAGATGTGATAGGATGTTTGGGGACTTACTGGAACTGCAATTGGCGATGGTAGCAAGCCTGTCGCTGCGATGCGGCGAGAATGGGTTGTGTTGTTTTGAAGTACAGATGGGAAAGGATTTTGTCTTCGCTAGCGTGGCTCCGAATTTTATCAAGTGGGAGCCGGGGAAACGCGGGGGCGAGTCAATTCTGCCTTGACAGTTACTATCCGTGACTTGACTGTTGTGCTCGAGACTTGTGAGCTGTCCCGGATAAATTTGAGGGTCTAATTGTGCCAAGTAATTCAGGCTCTCGAGCTGCTCGAGGTGCTTTTCGATTTCGAATGGCCCCGTGTTGCCCCAGGCCACTACCGTTTCGTCACAGCTGTCGCGATGAGACGTTGTGAAATTGAGAGTTTGCTTGTGATGTTCAAACGAGAATCTCGCTATTCACTCTGATGTTTCGTCGCAGCTTTCGCGATGACACATTGTGAAGTGGAAAGAAAGCTATGAAGTCGGGAGAATGTGGTGAAGTAGAAGAGTGTGTATAGTGCTCAAAGCCGGCTTCTTGTTATTCATTCTGCAGTTCCGTCGCAGCTATCGCGATGAAACCCTGTGAAGTTGGGAGTGTGTGCGTAGTGCTCAACAACGAGAGAGAGTCTTGCTATTTACTCTACCGTTTTGTCGGCGCTCTTGCGAGGAAGAGTTGTAAAGTTGTGTATGATTTGTCAAAGGCGAGAATTGTGCTTTAGCGCTCTCTGCCGTTTTGTAGCAACCCTTGCAACGAGAAGTCGTGAAGCCGCGTGCGTAGTGCTCAAAGGCGAGAACCGTACTATTAGCACACTCTTCTTTCTAGTTTTGGATGCTATTTGGATGTGGACAAAGCGGACTCAGGAGGCGGGCTCGGCAAATGCGGCCGCAGGGGTAGCGAGTGTGAGTTGACAATCAATCACACTGAGACTCAACAGCTAGGGAGGCTGAGTTGGCAGTATGATGAGATTAGATTCTGAGCGGGATATAGCAAAACTTGACTAGTTAACATGTAGTGTATAGGCAAAGCTGTTGAGTAGTGAGGACAGAGATCGCTAGTGTCTTATAAAGGAGGAAGGTGGCACGGGGAAAGGTGGAAGAAGGTAGTGTTGCAGAGGACGAAGGTGGCGTTGAACACTAGACACCGCTTATGATATCTTTGGTTGTTGATTCACCCTTTGAGGGCGGAAGATGAAGTTGTTCCAGCTGTCCTAAAAGGGAACCAACATTCAGCGGAAAGTCGAAGAGAAAAATGGCGTTTGTTATCGATTCACTGTCTAATGGCTAAAGACAAAGTTCTTCTCACGGCCCGAAAAAGGAGGGAACCTTTAGCTGAGAGTGGATTACAGAGTGTCATCAATTGCCAATTGGCCATTTTCTAACAGAAGAGGAATTTCTCATCTCCTCTATAGGGGGGGAAAGGAATTTTAAGCCAAAGGCAGATTAAAGAGTACTGCCAATTATCAATTGACCGTTTATATCTGCTGATGAAGTTCCGTTCTCCCATCTAGCAAGGGAAGCAGCCTTCACTAGCCAATAGCCGCTACAGGGGTAATGCCATGTCTTGTTGGTTAACTGTCTGCTAGCTGAAAACAAATTTCTCTGCCTTGTCTGATGTGGGCTAGAGCGATTAGGGAAATGAAGGAATATGTTATCTGTTGCTACCCAATAGCCTAAAAAGCGGAGAAAAGTCATTCTCACTTCCGACAGTGGGAAATTTAATAGCAGAAGTGGTCAAGGAAAAAGGGCAGGTGATTTTTATAAATGTCGACAGTGGTAGTTTTCAGGGAGATGTCATGCCTATTTGCCTTCAATTTGTAAAACCATGTTTCAAGCTGCAATGTTGTACTCGGTCCAAGTACTACAAAAGGAACCACTGACTGAAGGAAACTGAGTATACGAAAAGACAGTGCTAATAGTCAAGAACGCAAAGAAATTAAAGCAAACAGAAATGCAAAATCCATAAAAGTTGGGCGTGCCCTCAGATCAGCTCTCAAAGTTCTCATCGCCAACACTTTCCAACTCCATCATCACCGAAGCAACAACGGAGAAGTAGGTTGGCCTGCAATTTTGGCTTTTTGGACACTTGGTCATCACTGGGCTATTAAGGCTTCCTGAAACATCTGGCCACTAGCAACCTTGTTGCCAGGGTTTCTCTCCAATGTAATTGAGTTCGAAAGATCTATATTCTGGTCAGCAATGGCTAGCAAAGAATCCAGAACCGCTTACCAGGCTGCTCCGATTGAAAACTATATTCCACTTTCAGCAATGCCTCATGCCAATCCCCTGCCTCTCTCATTGCCCAAGAACCGCGTTCTCGACCCCCCATCGAGAACTCAGCCCACAGGCCACAAGTGTCGCAATATCATGGCTAGCACCTCAAGATGGAGCTGATTGTCGTCACTGCAGCTCGAACCCTCTTCCCCCCACTTCGGATCGAATGCGTATAACAACAAGTTGAAAGCGACGCCGATATTTCAAAGGCCGAACCTGCTAAGATCTCTGTTCAATGCTCACACATCTTCAACCATAAAGTTTCCTAGAGGCTGAATAGTTTTTAAGCTCGTTGAAAGTTTGTCGTCACTGCAGGTTGTGTATTGAAGAAGGAAGACGTCAAAAAAGACGCGACCGAAGATCTATCCACGCGATTTGGAGTTCCTGGACCTTACCATAAACGGTTAGCCTTTTTGGGTGGTGCTCGACAAAAGGTGGTTAGCCTCGGCTCCCAAGTTTTTCCGTTGCCGAGCTCTTTTGTTTCCCCAAAACCTCATGCATAGATCTCAAAAGAACTCCAGACCTTCTTTCTCACAAGCCTCCTCAAGAGTACAGCCGCAATCATGGTGAGGACGAACCCCTGCAAAGGCTTCCCCCAATCTACTAATACCCCATCTAGGCACGGAATTCAGAAAAAGCCCAGTCGATGCTGTTCCGCTTCCGCGAAGCGCAAGCAGCAGACCTGGGAATCATTGATGCCGGACGAACTCGCCGACCAAAGATGATCACTGAAGTGACATCTATCCCCAACTGCGAAAAGTGGCGAGGCCAAGTTCTGAAAGAGATCTCGCGCAAAGTTAGCAAGATTCAAGATCCCAGTTTGAGTGACTTCATGATCAGAGATTTGAACGATGAGATCAACAAGGCGATGCGGGAGAAGCATATGTGGGAGGTACAGATTAGGAATTTGGGGGGTCCGAATTATATGCGTGGTGGTGGAAAGGTGTATGATGAAGAAGGCAGGGAGATTCCAGGCAGCGGGAAGGGATACAGGTGCGTTGTGATGGGAGATTTGGTATTGAACGCGAGCTGACTGGCAGTTTTAGATACTTCGGGCGAGCGAGAGAATTGCCAGGAGTCAAGGAGATGTTTGAGGCCGCAACGCAGAAACCTCGAGAGGACAAGCCTCTGGATTCGAGAACAGATTTACGGAAGCAGGTCGATGCCTCATATTACGGCTACAATCTGGACGAAGAGGATGGCACGTTGTTGGAGTATGAGATCCAGAAGGAGAAAGAGGCTTTTAACAATTTGTTGGCTGGGAAAGATAGCAAAGCGCCGAAAGGTTGGGAGCCGTTACCTGGAGATGCTGGCGATGGAGAGGGTTGGAGATTACCTACGAGTGAGGAAGTACAAGAAGAATTGGTTGAGAGGAGACGGCGGAGATTGCTTGACAAGCTTGGTTAGCCTGACTATATCTCAGCCCACAATTGAAGGGCCACACAGCCATGACCAAGAATGCAGCAGCATCTGTCTTTTTCATGAAGTTTAGCAATCTGGTTTCCAGAGAGCAATGTTTTGCAGGTTTCTCTCAAGTATGTTCCTTCTGTTCTGCTTCAAGACACAAAAGATTGAGAGTGCAAATACCTCAAACGTTTACTCCTTTCAAGAATAAGGACGTCACATTGCCCATTTAAAACTTTGGCATTCTTTCCCGTCAACTCTTTGAAATTAATCTTTACACTGGCCTTATGCACTTTAACAAGTAACAAAATATAGGCAAACAATCCGTGATGCCAGCAGACCTGCAAGAAATTCCAAATAAGCATGCTCTATTCAGAGGGACTGCGAATTTGTATACGACAGGGCTGGTTGCAATGGCACCATAGTAGGAGAGTATCTAATAGAGATAGTCGTGTGCATCTCGTTTCAAGTCAATGAGAGATCAAAGGAACCTGTGGGAGCGCTGCTTGTTCAGCGATCGCATGAAGTAGCATATCATAACTAAGTCCCGAAGTCTTGACAAATCATCTGCCAGCACTAACATCCACTTGAGAGGAGGCTCTCAGCGCAGCAGCCTAGAAGGAGGATATCCAGCAGAGAGACTCATGAAGGAAGCAGAATTTGTACTTGAATTCTCAACAAAGTCCAAAGTAGGACTAAGTTTATGGTCATATCATTTGGGATTTCAAGTCGTGGGCATACCCAGTTCAGTATCACTCACACCCAGAGGGCCCAATTCTCCTTGGGATCTTTTTCTTCACACAAGCGTTTCAAACACTGCCTCTGTCATGTCTCATTTCTCCTAGTAGAACTGTAAGAAATTAGGTGCTGCTTCCAGAGGGTTAGAGTTGAACATGAGCGACCCCCATCGATTGATCCTAATGTACCTGACCAACCACAACGCCAATCTCCCAGATGCGGCGCTCAACCCATGGCAAGCGCCTCCGTATCGGGTTGGGCAGCCTATAACTGGTAGACCCACTGGCATCTCGATGTAAAGAGCGTAACAGGCCACGAGCATGAGGATATCTCAGATGCAAATCACAGGTCTTAACTCCTCGATATTGCAGAGACCCTTTCACGAAACTAACACGAGTATGCAGTGATATATGTGGAAATTGCACCAATTTCCTGCGCCTCAACTACCTAATCGACGCATATTTTTGACTGATAAGAAAGAAATGAAGCAACTACCATACACTTCCCGCTTAAACACAACTACTCTGTTATACCACTAGAAAATGAGGTAAAGAAGTCGGCCTCGTGGAACAGAGGCCGTTGATGATAGTTTTGGGACTCTTGGAAAACTCAAATGCAGATGTCAGGCTCTGTAGCTGCTGGCTCTTAAGGCGCAGCACCATGTCTTAAACTTAAGAACCCAACCCTCCTCCGTGATGGTTTATTGGGACATGATTCTCCACCAAGTTGGCAATGCTATGCCACCGTTGACCTCTTCTTCCGCTGCCAGCTCTAGAAACCTCGTCTCCTTGGGCGCAAGGCACACACCGCTTAACTCAAGGTCCAGCTGTTTCTTCCAAAGCGGAACTTACCTTCAGGCGTGCGCGCCCGCAGATTTCTTATTCCGGGGATGTGATTTGATGATACAGGGACGATTCAGGATGCAGCCTTCTCCTGATCCATAACTTACTTTCAGCTGCAGAAGAAAAAGAAATTCAGCCTTGTGTAACCTCACTTTCCTGACGAGGCTCTCCCTTTTCCGTTTGGATCACATGGCTGCGCCACAAAGCCACGTTTTCCCATCGGGAACATCTGCATGTCTCAGAGACCGAGGTTTTCGTGCATTTCTGCGTCATGAAGCATGGCGGCCCGGATCCCGCTCTTTGGAAAAGGGAATTTGTGGGGTCGATCGACATGTCATGGGTGCTGGAGAGTCTGCCCCGTGGTTCACCCACACTAAATGGCGGCTCGGACTGCTGTCAAGTTGAAGACTTGTGTGCCCGCCACATCAGACGATCTCACGTTCTATGGCCGCCTCTGTTTTTCGCTTGGTGTTGACTGCACTGCCTCGCTGTCAGAGGGCATTCTGCTTTCCCCCTACTTGCAGACTGGTGGCCACAATCTAGTGCTGATTCAATAGCATCTGACTTTTAAAGCGTCAGCTGAAGGCCGGGGAGGTCCAGCCGCTCTTGCTCTCTCACTTTCATTTGCCGGTTCGATAGTGGCTTCCAACAAGCCAATCTTTACTGGGGAGCGTCATTCTAAAACTATCCTTGTATTACATTGCAAAAGAGCAGGCTGCATTCAGAGGTGCCCACCAATCCAGTACCTTTGCGCCCGCCATACTTCTTGCGGATATCTCCACCTAATGGTCCCGTTGGGTATCTAGAAAGACATTGGGAAACGCCGTGACAGAACCAGTCCACGAAGGACACGATACTCCTCCTGCTTGAAAGCCATGCTGTCTGTTATCGTTGGTGTGTTGCAAAAGATGTGGTGCCCGATGTGTGGCTGTGAAGCTCATGAGATCAAACGAGGTGGCACCTTATTTGCCTCTTGCGGGAGCCAGCCAAGCAAGAAGGTTAAGATGCTGATTTGATCTTCGTCAAAGGCTGGGCCCCGTTGCGACCATTCAGTGAAGCCATGTCCTTGATGTGCGTAGACTGAGGTCGCGGCGAAAGAACGTATATGAATTTGATCTGGCCAAGCATTCTCCGAACTCTGATGCGAATTCCCAGTTGAGTTAACCGGACAGTGCGAATCAACTTCACATCTCGTATTGAAGATTCTGGGATTTCGTCTTTCACAACGACAACTTGCGGGTTATCATGTACAGACGAATCCGAAGAAGGCCTTCTTTCGAAGTAAATGTGTAGTCGGTCAGACCACCAGTGGAAGGGGGGAAGTTCGGCTTGGATATAGTCCTCGTCTGGAGAACTATTAGCTATGCCTGTATTTGAATGATGTAACACAGTACCTTTCATACTGCGTCTTTGGCGAACTGTCAGCTCGTTGTCAGAAGCGCTGTAGACCACTACTGTTTGGTCATGATCTACCGACATCGTTGTTGCTCGACTGGAATGCGTCTCGTCCGTCTGCCTTCTGCTGTCGCCTTTGGAAGGAGCAATGATAATATTCTCGGCTTTGAGTCTTTGTATCTCAGCTTTCTGCTCCGTGCCGAGTTTTTGAAGGTTGACTGATATTCCAAGAAGCGCATCCGCATTCCCTCGATATTTCTCCAGATCAGTCTCGAGCAAGTCCTCGGACTGGCCATGGCCGTTGATCAAGGGCAGATCTGCCACGGCTGGAGCATGACCGTCGGCCCCTTGACTTGAACCTGAAACGGCAGATCCATTGCTATTGTGATGCGCGTGAGTTTCGAGAGTTTGAGCTGCCATAGTTGAAGATTAGACTGCTGAAATGAGGACAACGATGGGGAAAGCCGCAACAAAGTCAAAGAGGCTATATAGAGGGGAACTCAAGAAGAACTTTGTTCTTTATCCCAGAGCAGAGTGAAGAACTGCCTTGCCAAATGCCGTACGTTCCGCATTGTGGGGCGTTCCAGCACACCCTTTCACTGACTGGAAATGTTTCAGGGTGAGTGCATTCCGATGAGAAGAGGGATTCCAAAGACATGACAGTAAGGACGGTGGAGCCACAAGATCTGCAGAACTTGAGCAGCCCACCTTTGAAATTCTTCCCGCCAGAAACCCTTTCCGCTTAGTACTAGTAGAACATCTGACCAATTGCCCGTGATACTCAGCCGTCTGCGCGACATGATACTGTACGAGCATCATTGGTCACCTGCATGGTGGCTTGCAGAAGCATTTTCAGCTCTGCTTGCTTTTTCCGAAGAGGTCGGGCCTCAGCCTTCCCACTGTGTACAACAAGCCAAAATTTCTCGTTACAGTAGTAATGTACTGACTGTACTACTCACGAAAATCAAGACTGGCTCTTGTGTTAGACTGGTGATTACAGTTAAGATTAGTTTGATGAACTTGACATTACAATGAAGCCCGTCTCAAACTTGGAAAGCCCGGCTCGATAGATGCTCAAATCCAGACGACTCCTTTCAAGCAGCCACAGAATCATGGGTACCCTCCATCCAGGCCGGCGTGAGACAGCATTCCTCTTTTGGACAGTTAATTGCTTCTCCAGGAGTGCGCAATCCATATGCTCTGCCGCAAATTTGAGACCTCCCCACCGCAGCCGCGTGTGGCTGGCGGTAGCAACAAGAGAGGCTCAGGAAGCCTTGCGACGAAATGGGACACGGTGGGGTGTGGCAAGTCTCACTGCTCGGATTGCCTCTGAGCCTTTAATAGCAGGCAGTAAGATGATTGTCCTCTTCCATACAAGGTTCGATGAGCAGCAAAGCGAGAATGGCGGCTCCTGGAGTCGGACCGCGAGATCTTATCCGCCGAGTCAGTGCGGACTCGAATGTTGAAACAACTGTCGATTCGGCTCAAGGAATGTTGATGGCGAGCGAGTTAGGGACGCCAATCCAAGAAGCGCAATCATCGACTATCGACTCCGACGCACACCCGCAAGATGAGCCGGCTCTCCTGTTGGAACCATTCGTAGTTCCCCCGAGCTGGCTGCAGAAGAGTCTACTTTCTTTTGGTTAGTGTGTCATTTGAGCTACCGGCATGCCTTGGCTGATATCATTTCAGATGGAGGAGGAATTCGAGGATATGCCAGTTTGCTCATGCTTAGGGCGCTGATGGTACACATTGGCCGTATTGAACTCGGACATACTAAACCGCATAACTCAAGCTATCAGCCATGCGAAAGGCCGGAGTCCCCGAAACTGAAAACTCGGGCCACTGATATCGATGAAAGCTCTCTCATTGAGTATCTGCCTTGCCATTACTTTGGTAATTACTTTCCCAATCAAATCTCTTCAGTGTTAATGATGCTAGACTATATTGCCGGTACAAGTACGGGAGGGTAGGTTATTGAATGGAGCCTGTAGAAGAGATTTGAGCTAACAGTGCTAAAGACTTATTGCAACTATGCTGTCTCGGTGGCGAATGTCGGTCAAAGAATGCATCACACAGTACGAAATTGTTGGTAGCAGGGTGTTTAATACCAAGTGGCGTCTCAGCGTCCTTGGGTTTCCCAGATCGAAGCATAGCAAAAAGCCCTTGAAAGCAGCTATAAAGTCGCTTGCGGACGAGAAGACGGTGACGATTCCCGGGCAATCTCCAACGTCAGAGTTTGAGTACGGAAAGTTCCCGGCACCTCCAGATCTGTGTCGCACGTAAGTAGAAAGGTCGCAGGAAGTATTAGATTGACAAGCACTGACCTGCGTCCAGTATTGTCTTTGCAATTCGAAAAGGCAAAACTACAAGAAATCCCAATGAGTCTACCAAAAAGGCTAGACCTGCAGATGGCACATACTTGTTCAGATCGTATAAGCCCGTTCCGATTGATCCGTACAATCCACCCCGGAACTATGGAGTAGACATAAATATCAAAATTTGGAAGGTATGCCGCGCTACCACAGCAGCTCCGTCTTATTTTGATTCTCAGAGAATCGGCGACGACGAATTTTGTGATGGCGGAGCCGGGGTAAACAACCCGACTGCGGAAGCTCTAGAAGAAATGTTCCGCCTCCACAAAACCAATGTTGAAATTGCAGCGAGCTTTGGAACCGGAAGATGGTGGCCACCATCCATGTTCAGAGAGGGAAACAACAAAGGAGTAGGCAGACTGCATATCGGAACAGCACTGGGACAAGTTCATCGACTTCTGAAGAATGCCAAGGGAGCACTTACGGATTCCCAGACGACACACCATCATATCCAGAATACGGCACGCCTCTTGGAGGATACTGACAAAGCGTTCAAATACTACCGATTCAACGTTGAAGAGCGTCTCGGGAAAGTTAAAATGGATGAATGGAAAGATCGGAGGGACGATGGTGACGGTGGAAAGTGCAGTACGTTGGAATACATAAAAAAGTGCACCGACGAGGAATTAAGCAAGGAAGAAGTACAGGCGCAACTGGAAGCGTTAGCAACTATACTTGTTGCACAAAGAAGAAAGAGAATAACAGACGACCCGGATATGTGGGCGCGATTTGCCACTTGTGTTCGATACAAGTGTGTTGCTGATAATTGTCGAGTCGATGGCAAGATTAGTTATTTCAGTCTTCGCAGAGAATTGAGACAACATCTCCTCACGGTGCATAGCACACCGCCACAATCGATGGAAGCCGAGCTTGACCAACGTCGACAATGGCCAGACTTTCCTACAGGTCCTTTCTGATGTAAGATGTTTGTGGATGAGGTCGAACTGCGGGGAACGAGAGCAGCTTCTTATGGAAGCAAGGTGTCTTCTGTTCTGACTTGATTTGAGCATATTTTTTCTGTTTGTATTGAATTAGATACCCTGAATTGCGAATGTATGTGAGAAGAACTCACTGGATAATGTTTGGTGGAATACCACGATTCAAACCGTATATAGATTCATTTGAGTGGCGATGATAACAAAAGTTTGCTGCAAGCGTACTTCCTCGAAAATCTCATTCGGGCTCTTCCTGCGAGACTTTGCCCGAAGGCTGTTGAGGGTATGATGTCTGTCAAGCGTTCCTCCCTTATCAACGTCGCCGGTTACTTTACTGGCCGTACCTGGATAGGCTAAGGAGCCTTGTTGTTCATCTTCGTACTAAGCAGTGTACCGATCATCTACCACTCTGGTAGATATACTAAGGAGCATAATATCATTCCCTCTTTCAACGATACCCAGATTCTTCGCTTTCTTTGCGCCTGCGCCACTAGCGCGTTAGTGAATCTGAAAGAGCAAGTCCTCGAATCACGCCGCTTCGGCTTGTCGTGCTTTTCCCCGTGCTCTCTGTGCATTCTTTGCCTGCTTCCTCGCCTGACTGAGACTTAATCCAACTTCCTCCCGCATCCTCTTCTCTAAGCCATCTTTCTCAACCTCGTCCAGCACGAACGTGCCCAAATGTCCCTGTCGCCACTTCTGAATAACCCACAGCGCCGATGCATCCAAGTCCGGAATCCCGCCTTTTCCCAAGCGTCCAGTCTTCCTCGAAACCGCTTCCAAAAACTCCACAACGTCATTCGTCGGCCCACAGAACTCCTTATACAACGCCTCTCCACCCTGCTGCTTATTAATATGAAACAGCAGATAATCACACAGCGTGACCGGGGCAATAATCGTATCTTTCACACTCCCCACCAACGCCAGCTTCATCATTGCCTCCGCATCCGGTACAAATGGCACAAATACACCCGGCGTATCAACCAAATACACCCCTTCAGTCCCTTTCTCTTCATCCTTATCCACAATCTTCACTCCGCTGGCAATCTTCCTCGTCACGCCAGGTTGAGCCCCAGTATACGCTGCCTTCGCCTTATGTACCCCCGCCATCCTCAACGCGTTTAACAACGACGATTTTCCCACATTCGGCATACCCACAACCAAGATCCTTGATCCGAGGAGGGAATATCGGGAAGCAGCGTGGTCTTTCGCAAAATTGAGGACAGTCTTGATGTCCTTCTTCGATTTGTGGTCCGTGAAGAGTGTAGGATGTGGAGCGTGCCAGGCGCGGATGATTTCTTCCCTCTGCCAATGTTCATATTAGCTTCCACTCGATTATCAAAGCCAACTCTGGCTAGAACAGAATAAAGATCGAGAAGCTGAATTGAACAAACCCTCTGATCAGAAGCCAGGTCCTTACTCCCTAAATCCCTCTTCGTATAGATAATCAATCTCTCCCTTCCCGCAAGGCTCTGCTCAAACAGCGGGTTCCGCGATGTGAGCGGCACGCGGTAGTCGCGACATTCGATGATGAGGTCGATGGAGCTGAGCATCGTTTTCATCTTCGAAAGGCCGGCGGCATGGTGGCCGAGAAAGTAGGAGCGCGGGAGGGAGAGCTGGGAGGGGAAGGTGGCGCGCGGGAGGAAGCTCGCCATGATTGATGGTGGGCGTGGTGCTATCGATGTCCCTTTGCTGATGTTGATTGAGTAAGGACGAGGCTGAGGTTGCGAAATTTTGAGGTTCGAGCTAGGCGAGGCGTTCGCTAATTTTCAGGGGCCGATCGCTAACGAGGGGTAGCTCGTGAGAACGACACAGGTGAGACCCCTGTCATTTATCTTCAACATGATCTCAACCTTGCAATATACAGTCTACAGAAAACATGTATTTTTCACTATCAAAGCTTCAAGAACGGCTTCGAGTGTTCTAAAATTTGCATTCTTAGCTTGTCCGTTTTCCCTTGCGCCCAAACTTCACACGTATCATTTAATCACCGGCCCGAACAGGCTTTTCAGTCTTGACAAGAGCTCGGCGTGCAACTATTTTTATGCACGTGCCAGATTGGCGATAGCGAACTCGTTATCAAGAGAGAAAATAGGCAGCCCATAGTTGCCAAGCTGATAGGGAAGATAAAATGCATCTTTCAATGCGGTCGGTCCTATGTTTCGACGAGGATGAAGTGGGGGACCATTGAGGTGGTGTTTAGTGCGGGATTATGTGGGAATATATTTTCACTGTAAGTCGAAACTTTAGACAGGAAAGTGTTGCTGACTATAATCAATTTTCCATACAACAGCCAACTATTCTGGGAGTTACGGGACAATTTTCTAATTTGGCTGAGAGCATGTATTCGTTGTGTCAAGACTCATTTCATATGAGTACAACCCCAGGCAGGAAATCAATGCTGAAGATACGTAGGTAGACTTCCTCTCCGTCATGGCATGGCTTCTCATCTCAGCCGATTGGATATACCTTCTCGTCGCCATATTCAATGATCATGACTGGGCGATGGAATAGTTTACCACATTCAGCGCAGACATCTTCTCCCTTCTCAACAGCGTCATCTATTTCCAATTTTCCACAAAGCAGTTCAAGAACTCCAACAGAATCACGAAGCTGTCTCCTTTGCTTCATTTCTATACTCCGTCATTGGAGCGGTAGGAACTTTCCTCTTGGCAGTCGTCCTCTGAACGACCAACTCGTAGAGACCTCTTTCCACCGTTAGATCCCGTTTAGGACTCAGCGAGTACGCTGCAGTAATTTCCATCATTCTTTTCATCTGGATGCTACACAACGGAGAGCTCGCTGCACTGGATAAGCAAACACTTGTAGTCCAAACCTCTTTTCGGCCGTCAAGTCCAGATCGGGCTGTTTTTTTTTTCGTACAGTTCTGGAGATTACCAGTGGAGTGGATCATTCTCTCTATAATACCGGGAGTGGCTATCATTATCACTTCTTTATATTGAGCTACGTTCGGACCACCCTTAACCGGTTGGCTCCCGGAACTCCTGGAAAAAAACTGGTCACGTGAGGAACACCAGAATCGCCCCCTTCTAGGGAATCGCGCATCGGAACGCGATTACGTCTAAATCCTTAGAGCTTAGCTTAGGATTATAGAGAGAATACTCGAGTACCTTTCTCTATATTTTAGTAGTTCTGAGATACAAGGGGCTTTTATTATAATTTTTTAAAGCTCGGGGGAAAATCTAAAGCTAGCGGTTCCGTAGAAGGCGCTAAGAAAAGAAATCCTGACCTTATATTACTTTTCTCTCTTTCTTCTCTTTATTACTATGGATCCTCCCCGCTTTTGTACTTCCTGTAGGCAAAACCGGCCTGCTTCTGACTTTATTACAGAGCGGGCTAAGCCATATAAAACTTGCTCTCACTATCGAGTTTGTATTCTTTCCCTTTTCTGGCTTAATTAACCAGTTAATAGGCCCGAAATACTACTAATCGTACCCAGCGGCGCCCTGCCTTGCAAGAACTCGATCCGAATGCCCTCCCTACCTCCCGGCGACGATGACAGTCGATTACGGACGTCTCTGCGGACGAGCCAGCCCTACGGCGCTAGTAACGGATCCGTCAACCGTCCGTTGCGGCCCCAGTTCATATTATGGAGGACCCTCCTGCCGACTCACCTACTATACGGCCTCCTGCCTTCCTCTCCCGCTTCCGGCCAGCTCTCGTATATATGACTAGTCCGCTTACGGGTTACTATATAGCTTGCGGAGCCCTTTATTTTGGCTATACGGACGATTACTTTAAGGCCTGTTATAAGAAGGGCGACGTAATACTTCCTCTAATCCGCAAGCCTCCTCTATACCTCTCTTACCTCTTTACGGGCAATAACCTGCTCTATCGGGCCTTCCGGACAAATATCCGGGTATATAATTATACTTTTGCCTTTACGTTAATTAGCTATAAGAAGGATACCCGGATCGACTTCTCCCGTAGGATCTAGTGCTTTTAGATCCATGGCGAGCTCTTTCACTTCCAAGGCCTGCTATAGCCCGCTTTATATGCCGAATCCTTCTTTATATAGCTCTTCTTTTATGATCCGCTCTTTATAACTAATATACGGGCTACTAACTTCCCTTACTTAGATTATATAGTTCTTTTATAGCTTACGGATATGCTTACGGATTATAATCCGTTTATTATGGTCTATAAGATAGCCCGCAAGTGTCTTATAAGCTAGTAAACCGATTTCCGGATCTTACTTAACTCGCAAATATACTTAATTCTTGAGTCGGGCGCTAATTATTATTATAAGAACCTCCTAATAAGTAACGAGGTTATAGCCCTTATCCCGGACAAGTATACGGATACAAGCCGCCGTAATCTGGTGCTTATGGTCCGCGAGGCAGGCCGCGAGCGTTCGCAAATACGTATGGTTAATATTATATACGTAGTATATATGCCGCTCTACTATGTCTTGCTTTTCCCGTACGGCGACCCGGGCTAGTACTACGGTTTGTAGTTATAGGACCGTAATAGGACCCGTTAGCGGATATGGCTAGAGTAGCAGGTCTTTTACCGGTACTACTTCTATATTCGTCCGGCCTTCTCTCTGCTCTTTTACGCTGGCCGCCTCTTTTAGTAATACGTTATTAATACGTATATTACCTGCGAGACTATCTCGCTTAACTAGCTCCGCTTATACTAGCAAAATATCCGTATAGATATATATATAGGACTTGCGGATGCTCTAATCCGTAAGGACGTCCGTATAGGTAATATTGGCCGTTGCTTTATCCTCCCGTCAAGCTTTACGGGCAGTAATCGCTTTATATAGTAGCTCTTTCAAGACTCAATAGCTATTATATAATACTTTAGTAAGCCAAGCTTCTTTATTACCTTTATGGCTAACCCGTACTGGCCTGAGATTACAGATTACCTCTTAAACGGGCAGCAAGCCATTAACTATCCGGATCTCCTTTGCCGGGTCTTTATATTAAAGGTAAGGAAGCTACTTGCGGACCTAAAGAATTACTTTTTCGGACTATATATAGGCCATATATATATGATTAAGTACTAGAAGCGTGGCCTCCCGCATATATACCTGCTCTTATTCCTTAGGAGGGAAGCCGTCTTCTTAATCCCCGATTTAGTTAACGAAGTTATTTATACCGAGTTCCCAGACCCGTTATAGGATCCTATAGGCGAACTTATAACCGTAATAACTAGTCAGATATCTTACGGACCATATGGCCTCGAAGATAATCCAAAAGCCCCGTATATGGTCCGTAAGATGCCTATAGCCCCGCTCGTATACCAGAAGAGATTCCCCAAGGCATTTGCGGCCATAATAATTATCCGCGAGAATAGGTATCCCGAGTACTGGTACCGGGATAATGGCCGTATGTTTACGGTCCGCAAACCAGGCTTTCCAGGCCAGGAAGTTATCCGTAATAACCGCTAGGTCATTCTATATAACCCGTACCTCCTCTAGAAGTTCCGCTCCTATATTAACGTCGAGATTTACGCTTTTATATAAGTAATTAAGTATATCCACAAGTATATCTATAAAGGAACGGACCATATGACTATTATAGTCTCAGGAACAGATAATAAGATTACCTAATACCTTTAAGCTCGGTATATGGGCCCTATAGAGGCTTTCTAGTACTTATTCGAGTACCTAATATACCAGGAGTTCTCCCTGGTCTAGTACTTGGTAATCCACCTCCCTGGGCAGTATACGGTCTGCTTTACGGATAACCTCTTGCCCGAGCAAATCGCGGACCGGGCCATAAATGCCCATTTGACCTTAATAGCTTTCTTTAAGTATAATGCAATATACGAGGACGGCCGCTAGTACCTCTACTACGAGTTCCCATAGCACTTTATATGGGTTACTAAGACCCGGATATGGAAGTACCGCAAGCGAGAGTATAGTATTAGCCATATTTACTACTATAGCCCAGTTTCGGGCGAGCGGTTCTACTTACGGCTCTTATTAATAGTCATATGCGGTCTGCGGTCCTTTAACGAGCTCTACTTGGTTAAGGGTATCCGTTATCCTATATACTATACTACCTATATTGCCCGCGGCTTGGTAGAGAATAATCAGGAGTAGTTCTAGTACTTTAATAAGGCTATTTTATTAATAACCGGCCATGGTTTACGGATACTCTTTCTTATAGGTATCCGCTAGTAGCTAATTACGGATAAGCGAGTAATCTAGGACCGGTATAAGAAGTATTTCTGTAATAACTTGGCCCGCAAGCTAGCCCACGACCCGTTAATTGATTTCCCGCTACCCTTGGTTAATCCTTACTATAATTACGGCCTCTTTTTGCTTGGTCTCGGCCTTATAGATCTCTAGCGAATACTTACGGATATTGCCCTGCCTGAGAATACCTTTAACTAGACCATAAGCCACCATATAGCTGATCTACGGGTTAATCGTACCCATAAGACATTACTGGCGACTATAATACAAGCCTAGCTAAATGTGGACTAGTACTCTTGCTTCCAGATAATTATAGCGGCAATTATAGACGATTCGCAGACTACCCACTTCTACTTGCAAGGCCCGGGCAGGACCGGTAAGACATTCCTTTATAAGACCCTCTACTACTATTACCGTAGCCAGGGTAAGATAGTCCTGTACGTGGCATTAACGGGTATTACGGCTCTCCTTCTCCCGGACGGACATATGTCTCACTCCTAGTTCCGGATCCCGCTCGAGCTCAATAAGTTATTTATAAGTATGATTACCAAGATAAGCCGGCTCGGGGCTCTCTTGCGATCCACGGACCTAATTATCTGAAACGAGGTGCCTATATAGTACAAGTACTACTTTGAGGTAGTATACCGGCTAATGGTCGATTTACGGTCGGTCGCAGATGACGTTCTCTTTAGAGGAGTGCCCGTAATTCTCGGGGGGAACTTTGCCCAGATCTTACTAGTAGTCCCATACGGTTTGCGGGCTAATACGGTACGGGCCTGCCTATAGCGGACATGGATCTGGCTACGGCTCCGTTAGCTATCGTTACGGATTAATATACGGGTCCGTAATAACCCGTCCGAGCAGGATTTTATAGACTGGATTAGTTATCTGCCGTACGACCTGTCCTTAAATAGGCAGATTACGCTCCCGCCTTTTGTTCTACGTACCCAGTCAGTTACGGACCTAATTAATTACGTCTACCCGCGAGAGCGACTCTTGCGGGCCCCGCGCGACTACCAGGCCTTTAGCGGACGGGCAATTCTATTAACCCTGAACGATACGGTCCGCAAGCTCAACTAAATAATCCTGGATATACTCCCTGGCCAGGAACGGACGTATTTCGCAGTAGATTCGGCCAATATAAACGAGGCAGATCCTGAGATCGCAGAATTACCGCCAGAGGTCTTGCAAAGCATCTATTTACCGGGTCTACCCCTTTCCAAGCTATGACTCAAGATCGGTATACCCGTAATACTCTTGCGGAATCTCTATCCGCAGGAAGGGCTTTATAACAGGTCGCGGATATTAATTTATAGTTTTAGGAGGTTCTCGATTTACATACGGCTACTAGGTAGCGACTTTAACGGCTAATTACGGATGATTCCACGGATCAAGCTCCAGTCGACGGATCAGTAACTGTCTTTTACACTCTCCCGTAAGCAGTTTCCATTTGCTTTATTCTTTGCAATAACTATTAATAAGTTACAGGACTAGTCGTTTAAGGCAGTAGGGGTGGATTTACGGTCGCCGGTCTTTTCTCACGGCCAGTTCTATATGGCAGCTTTACGGGTGACCTCACAAGCAGGGCTTTGTATTCTTTTACCCCCTAATATAAACCATACGAGTAATATAGTATACCCAGAAATATTATAAGGTCTTGCTTAGCTTTTGACTTATTTACAGGTGACTTTACATACTTATAGGCTATTCTCCTTCTTATACCGTCCGTAAAGGCCTTTACCAAGTCACATACCCCCTTTAATTCCAACCCCACTCGGGACGAGTTTAGGGCAAAATTATTAATTGGCCCCGGAGCTTGCATAGGGCCGCCAATTAATAATTTTAGCGAAGCGGCCCTAAACTCGTCTTCTCTATATTGTCCTACGTTCAGGCCACCCTAAGCAGTTGGCTCACGGGGCTCCGTAGAAAAAACGGGTCACGTGAGGAACACCAGAATCGCCCCCTTCTAGGGAATCGCGCATCGGAACGCGATTTTGTCCAAATCCTTAGCGCTCAGCTGGGGATTAGAGAGAAGCAGCTCAAGTACCTTTCTCTCTATTTTAGTGGTTCTGGAATGCGAGGGGCTTTTATTGCGATTTTTTAAGGCTCGGGAGGGATGAGGTAAGGGGAATTCTTAAGGCTCTGGCTAGCTCTCAAGGCTTCCAAAAATACAGGTCACGTGAGGAACACCAAAACTTCCATATATTACATACCATAATCCTAATACCTAGCAAGCTTAAGGGAAGTTTTATAGATATAAGAGAGAGCTTTATAAGTAAGAGTAAGGCTATAAAGGTTTATATAAGAAAAGAAGAAGCTTTATAAGCTTATAAGATAGCTTAGAAAAAATAAAAAATAAAAGAAAAAGCTTTATAAATATAAATAAAGGCTAAAAAAAGCTACAAATAAGAATATAAGTAATAAGTTACTTATAGAGGTAAGTAAGACTTAAAAGAATATATAAAAAGAAAGAGCTTTATAAATAAAAGTAAGGGTTATAATAAATAAGGCTTAAAAAAGCCTATAAGAAAAGAAAAGAACTTTATATATATAAATAAAGCTATAAGAATTTATAAAAAGAAAAAGAGAATTTTATATATAAATAAAAAAAGCTATAATAATTTATAAAGAAAAATAAAAAGCTTTATAAATATAATATTATTTCTTTTATAATTAAAAAGAGTTTTTCTAAATTTTAATTAATTTTTTATATAATTTATATTAGATATAAATAATTTAATTTAATTCAATATATTAAATATAAGTTCTTATATATATATATAAATATTTAAAATATATAATTAATAATTTAAATAATTTAAAGAAATTATTTTAAGTTTAAAGTTAAAGAATTTATAAAATTAATTATTTAAAAATATAATATAATAAAGAGTTTTATAAATTAAATTAATAAAAGAAAGTTTATTATAAATTAAATAAATAATATATAATATAAGAAATATATAACTTAAATTATTTATTAAAATAGCTTTTAAATTAAGAAATATATTTTTAATATTTTTAATAGTAATTTTTTTTATAAAAAAAAGCTCTTTTAATTAAAGTCTATTAAAACTATTATATAAAAATTATATTTAATATTTAAAGACTTTTTTTAAAATAAATTTATATTAAAGAAAACTTATATTAAGAAAATATTATTAACTTTTAATAATAATTTATTTTAAAAACTTATAAATAATTTTATTATATAATATAATAGTTTTTATTTTTTAAAAAATATTAAAAGATTTATTAAAATATACTTTTATATTTAAAGAAAAATAAAGAGAAATATTAATATTAAAAAATTTCTTTATATAATACTTATTAATAAAAGAATTTAGAATTAAAAATAAATAAAAATATTATATAAAGCTTAATAAACTTTTATTACTTTATAATTTATATATATTTAAATTAGTTTTTTAAACTTATTTATTTTTATTCAAAATATTTATATTATAAAATTTAATTTTATTAGACTTATATTATTAAGATTTAATAATTATAGATTTTAATATATTTTATAATAATACTTTTAAATTGAAATTTATTATAATTTTCATTTTATTATAATTTTCATTTTATTATAATTTTCATTTTATTATAATTTTCATTTTATTATAATTTTCATTTTATTAAATTTAATATTTAAAAGAATTATATTAATATTATATATTTAATTAAAATATAAATTAAGAGAAAAGAAAAAGCTAAAAAAGCTTTATAAAAATAATATTATTTCTTATTATAATAAAAAGGCTTTTTATATAGTTTATATTAGAAATAATAAATAAAAGTTTATAAATCTAAGTTCTTATATATATAAATAATTTAAAAATATAATTAATAATTTAAAAATATAATATAATATAAAAATGAGTTTTATAAATTAAATTAATAAAAGAAAGTTTATTATAATTTAATAAGATAATATAATATATAAGAAATTAAATTCTTTTATTAAAAGTAAATTATATTTTTAATATATTTAATAATATAAAGTTTTTAAAGAGCTTTTTTAATTAAAATCTTTTATATATATAGAAATTTTATTTTATATTTAAAGACTTTTTTTTAAAATAAACTTATATAAATATTTTATATTAATATTCTTTAAATTTTAAAACTTATTTAAAATATTTATATATATATTAATTTTAAATCTTAGTTATTAAAATATAAATTAAGAGAATAGTTTTAGCTTATTTATAAATAATTTTATATATTTATAACCTATTTTCTTTCTTATATAATTTATTAAAAGTTTATAAAAAGTTTATTACTAAGAAGGTATTATTTAAAGCTACTCGGGACGAGTTTAGGGCAAAATTATTGCTAGCCCCGGAGCTTGCGTAGGGCCGCTAGCAATAATTTTAGCGAAGCGGCCCTAAACTCGTCACTATTCTCTTAGATCATGAGATCAGCAGCATAAATTTACACCCTCGATCGATACCGGACCAAAAGTTCAGGCCACTTTGCTTGGGTCTCTACACTCCTAGGAATAACCACCGCCATCTGTGGTATCCTTGGGATCTCTCCCGCAAACGGCCTCCTTCTTTAGGCACCAATGCATTCCGAACTTCTCCAGCACAGAGTAAAGACCTCACTCATCACTCTCAACGAAAAGACAGGCGAACGAAACACATCATTCAATGAAACGCAAAAAGTCTACGAGCACCGCTGGTTGCCATTCCTCCAAGCAGCAGGAATGCTCATCTTCATCTCCCCGCCCTTCCAACATGTCCTCGCTCTAACTCCGAGATCCGTCCTCGCCGAACACTTCCTCATCGTGGGCGAGCAATCCCTCGCTGTAAATCACATCTTATACTGCCTTTTCTACGTCCTCGCCCTGACGTCCGAGCTCCCACTTCTACTGAAAGGAATCAAAACAATTGGGGCATCCATGGATACAATGTGCTGCAGATTGTGATGACGAGGATCATTTTTTTTATATCACATTGATGGTTGCTGCGCCCGCGTTTCCGGTGATAATCACTGCTTCGGTGCCCGTGAGATTTTTCTGGTAACGCATAGAGTTTGGGGGATGGAAACGTTGAAGTTTGTGGATGCTTGGGCTTGAAAGGAGGGGACGCTGGAGGATGACGAGGATAGGAACAATGGTGTTACCCCTGATTTGGAACAGCAAGGCAAGAGCAGAGCTGGCGGTGTCCTTGGAGAGGAATCAGTCTAAAAGCTGCCTGAGCTTCCTAAGTTTATCATCCTAATATAAATAAACCACTTGGGTTGAGAGCACTTTCTTGTTTGGACTGTGTCATGTGGACTCGCTTTGTTAAGGAGGTGAGGTAAACATTATTTTTGCCGAGTGGCAAAGGGGGACCAATGTGACGTCAGTTGAGGGGCTGTCCCTAACCTTCCAATCTAATTTCATCTCGAAACATTTATAATTCCTGTTTCTACCTTTTCAAGTATCGTTTCTGTAAGAGAGATATTTCACTGAACTCAAACCCGATTTTCGAAATGGCACAAAACAACACAATCAAGGAATCCACATCCCTCTCCTCAACAGGCAGCGCAAATACCCCTCTAAACACAAACTCTTCACACAGTACTTCCACCTTCCCATTTCCATCCATTCTTCCTACCCCACTTCCCCCATTTCCGCAAAATGCTCACTAACACCCCCCACTTTCTAGATACTACAAATCCTACAACCGCCTCCACCACTGCCACTACCACCTCCTCTTCCAACAAAGTCGCCCAAGCAGGCGAGTTCACAAAGAACATGCTCGCCGCCGCCCACGGCGCAGGCGAGAAACTAAGAGGAGAATTCAACCAAGGGGTGGACAGGACCTTCAACGAGGTTTGTGACCCGCCCGACCCCGGATTTCCGCTTTTGGGGGGCAAGGGGATGAGAGGCTTGGCTTGTGCTGAGGGGGGTGGCGTTTGAAAAAAAATTGATTGACGTTAGCTTGCCTGTTTTATTTTGACATTTTACTCGTCACCCCTTTCCCTTTTTTTCGTTTGCTTTTGGCGCTGCAAAGGGACGAAATAGGGAGAGGGGAGAGGGGAAGAAGAAATTGACTGACATAATGCAGAGTGAAGGTATTGCGAAAAATGAGAGGATTGCCAATGCTGGCAATAGCGAGATGGCGACGGGGCAGTTTGCGAAGTCGACGAAGAATCGGGAGGGGGCTGTTCCTGGTGACCATGACCCACGACGGGTGTAACAAATGGATGAAGAAACAAATATGTGAGCCATTTTCGGTGTGAGAATGGGGAATAGAAGGGGGACTGGAACACAAGAATTTTGGGTATAAATTGAAGATAGGATAGATAGACATGGGGAATCGGAGAATTTGGCAAGTGGACAGATTAAAGAGACATGCACCAACTTGACTTCATGACTTACCAAGGAGTATGGGGGGTCATTTATTACTTATTGAATTTTGTACTTGCGTGCTCGTCATAACTACATCGTGCATTCTCCGTTCATCTTGCGATGTCCAAAAAACATTTTTTTCTCATTCTTCATTATCCATCCTTCCTCCTACTTCACGCAAGGATTTATGCCTCAATCTTCGCCTTAAGGATATCCTTAAGAGTCACAGCATCAGCAGCAAACTTGCTGATACCCTCCCGCAACTTCTCAACTGCCATCTGGTCCTCGTTGAAGTAGAAGCGGAAATCGGCTTCGTTATCGATGTATGTCTTCTTCTCGAGGTCGAGGGCGCTGGCTGTCGAAGCGTCGAGCTTCTGGGGAACGGCGTCGCTGGAGCCCATGAGCTCTTCGAGGAGATTGGGCTGGTCTTGTCAGTCTGGGGTCCGGAAGTGGTCAGGAAACTTACGGCGATGGTCAAGTAATCGCAGCCGGCCAACTCTGTGATCTCACCAATGCTTCGGAATGAGGCGCCCATGACGATGGTCTTATATCCGAACTTCTTGTAGTAATCGAAGATGGCCTTGACAGATGCAACGCCTGGGTCTTCCTCCTTGGTATATGTCTTTCCGGTCTTGGCCTTGTACCAATCGAGGATACGTCCGACGAAGGGGGAGATGAGGAACGTTCCGGCCTCGGCGGCGGCGATGGCTTGGACTTGAGAGAACATGAGGGTGAGGTTGACATTGATGCCGTGGTCACGTTGGAGAATGCGGGCGGCCTGGATGCCCTCCCATGTTGAGGCAATCTTGATGAGGACGCGGGACTTGTCGATGCCGACGGATTTGTAGAGCTGGTTTTGTCAATAATATCCAATTAATCTGGTTCTTGCTAGGAAAGGCTTACATCAATGATGTGCAGAGCCTTGTTGACTGAGCCCTTGGTATCGAAAGAGAAGCGAGCATCAACTTCAGTTGAGACCTTGCCGGGGACAATGTTCAAGATCTCCTTTCCGAATTCGACCAAGAGACGATCAAGTGTGGCATCGACCTTCTCATCGCTATCCTTGCCGTGGGACTTGCCGTACTCAACAGCAACGTCGATGAGCTTGGCATATTCGGCCTTCTTGGATGCTGCGAGGATGAGGGAGGGGTTGGTGGTGGCATCTTGTGGCTTATATTTGCCGATGGCTGTGGGGTATCAGTGATTTATCCGCAGATTGAGGAAGGAGGCGAATTGGATTCTAGAAGGGTGGAATGGGGTTGTTTCCCAGGCGGGGTAACGTACAGACGAAATCACCTGTAGCACAACAATTAGCTTCAGATTTCGACAGGCACGGTGCAGACAAAGCTTACCAGAGTCACTGACAACAGTCTGTATAATTGTAAAGCGTTAGCAAGTTTGCTTTCTCTTCCCTCGTAGCGATGTTCTCAAGCGCGGCTCGCCATCAGAACGTCTCAACAGGATACGATTTCCGATGTCTCCGCCAAGAAAAGGGGAACGACTTACGGTGCCAGAGGCCTTGAGTTGTTCTAAAGAGTTTGACATGATTGCAAGTGCAAGTTGGGTATCTCAGAGCGCGATGTGGTGGTTGTGGTTGTGGAAATGGTTGTTTAGCGATGTGGCGGGGAGTGGAAGAGATTTTGTTGAAGAGGTGAAATCGGAACTTCTTGAACCCCTCGTCGCAGCTACTGTATCGTCATTCTAGTGGGGGGGGGGGTTACTCAGCACAACAGCATGCGCTTTCACCCTATCACAACACTCAATTCTGCTGCATTGAACATCCGGCTGGGACTTAAAATCCGAATCTATTCCTAGTTTTTCTTCCCTTTCTTCCCTTTCTTCACTTTTATTTCTCCGAGCGCAGCTCCGAGGACGGTGTGCTGTTGCTGTTTGCACGTCTCATGAGGTGTTTTGACGGCTTCTGAGACATCGACATCCCACCTTCTGCCACAGTGGCTCACTTGGCGCCCCCTTTTTCTTTTCCGAACCTCCGCTTCACGGCTGACAGTCGTCCGGCCTCGAGGAAATTGAAATCGTTTCCGTTGATCTAGATCCCATCCCAACAGTCAGCAACGCAGGTCTGATGATTCACCTTACTCAGCAAAACAGGATTGTCGGTCTTGTGAGTTGAATTTATTTGTCTTGTTTATGTCCTCTGCTTGCAAACGTCGGCAATGAACGCCCTACGTCTAACTCCGTAACACCCTGAATGCAAAGAGCGTTCTGCGGGGGCGGAAACCTGTGGTCACGTTTTGGGGGAGCGGTTCCGATTCGCCTGAGGGAAACAGCCCCCCGCACCTTATGCGAGCTCTGCATGATGGCATCTCGAGGAAGATTTGCTCAAGCCTCCCCAAGAATCCTCGTTAATAAAGGCAAATTCACATGACCTGACAAAAATAAGAAGTCAAGGTCCTTCTTACCGAAGTAAGTTTTTCTGTCTTAATCAAGGCAATCAAGTAAGATGAAAACGTAGCGAGTTAAGTCGTACATCCAAGGCACTCAAAACACCAAACGCCCGCTGTCCTGCATGAAAACTAACATCCCACATAAAAGACAAGAGGTCGAGTTCATCGCCTATTAACCATAGATATCCTATGAACAGCATATAAGAAGGGAAGCTGGGAAGGCGAGGGTCGATCCACTTCTTCATTCTTTCTCGTCTGGATTCTGCGTCTTCCAGCTCTTCCCACGCCCTCTCATAATCGTGCTGTTGCTCCCAGTTGTCATAGACAACCATAAAGATTCGCGGCTTCGCGGCTCTGTGTTATTTGTTTCGTATCATCGTCCTGATGAAGCCTTCTTCACTCCGAATGGCCTTCATTAAGCACCATCTCCAGCACAATCTGGCTCCCAGCGATTTCTGGATGCGCCATCGCAAGCTTCAGCGTCCTCTTTTCCGCAGCCCCTGCGAAACCTGTGGGAGTCATATGACTTGTCGCTCCTCCTGCTCCGAGAGGATTGATACCATAGTCCAAACATCTTACATCCCTCCCAGCAATGACTTGCCTCAGTCGCCCATTCTCGGCATTTCTGACCTCGACAAAGTCGCTGTCGAAGAGGACGAGATAGGCGCCGTACATGGCCGCCGTCTTGGCTTTGCCGACAAACTCCATGATCACAGAACGAGAGACCTCGCCGTGCTTGTCAACATAAACACCGCATTCTTCGTAGCAGAGGAGAAACTCGGCGTCGGATAGGCGGAACATGCCGAGTGGCTTCTGGCCGTTGAGGCGATACGCAATATTGCCAATTGCTGGATTCTTCGTATCAGGAATACTCATAGGAACCTTCTTGTCCAAAGTCATAAGCTCGAAGCCTTTCAGTGTCGAGATGGCAATGTAGGTGTGGAAAAGATTGATTGTGAAGCATTCAGTGGGGATGTAGAACTCGTCGAATTCCCGGAAGAACTCTGTATTGCCGCCACCGAATTTCTTGCCAAAGAGGCGGGACTTCTTCTCTGTAGATTTTTGGAAAACGGGTTCCAGGACTTTGAAGGTTGAGTGCAGGCCTTCCCGTTTCTTGTAGAAAACAAGAGTCCGATCCTTCATCTTTGCCGTGGCGAAGAAGGAAACATCGCGCGTTCCGGATAGCTTTTGTGGTGCACGACGAGCTGAGTCATGGTGTGGTGCTGGGAAGTTGGAAATCGGTACAATTACATCAAGATGGTACGCTATCAGGGCTTTGTCGGCGATAATTAGGCAAAGTGAGAACTCCTCAAGAACCGCTATTTGCGTCACCCGAGACATTTGAATAGACTAAACGAGTTAGCTTGAGTCAGGCGGTAGGTTGCAGTACACTCACTCTAGTCCAGCCTCTAGGATTATCTGCCTCGGAAGTGTAAACCCCGTAATCAGTCCCAATGGCAACCATCGACCTCCCATAACAATTGAAAGCTGTCGCGCAATTTACTTGAGCTCTGCAGACAGGTCCAGGCCGAGGTCCAGCAGCGTAAGTTTTCTCCATCTCTCGGATTGATCGATCCAATGGTGTCCCTCTGACAGACACGATATTCCGTTGAGAAACAGCAGACATGACATCGTAAGCGAAAGCGGTGTCTGCCATGACACGTAATCGGAAGGGCTCAGCGTTTTGCTCAAACAGAGACGCTGCGTGCCGGGTCTTGGCTTCGAGTATCTTGTCACACCAGTCTTGTCGATTTTGCGCAGTAGGGGCATACAAAGTATAGACCTCCGTCTTACCGAGATGCTTAACTCGAAAGGGAAACATAGATCTGGCGTCGGCATCATTTGTGGCACTCGGCGCAAGCTTCGTAGTTGATGAAATCGTTGCTACCGAGTTATTCGAATTGGTATGCTCCAGAGTATTCGACCTCTCAAGGCCATTCGTGGCCGTGCGACTTATTCTTGGGTCCAAGGCTGTGCTTGATGAGGACTTGGTGACGGTAGTAACTGCTCCGATACCTTTCACGGACGATTTTTGGACTGGGTCATCGTTGGTGCTCTCTAGGACTAGGAGCTGCATTGGAATTGGCTGTGGAAAAGTCAGCGAGCGCTTCGGGCTAAAGAAGGTGGGACCTTACCAGCTTCGACACATCATAAACTTCCTTCTTGCGTCCACCAGCTCCACTGTCTGGTTTGGTAACAGTCTTGGCCAGAACCAAATAGTGGTCAAATAGAATGGCGTGAGTCTCTAGCCATGTGAATCTGTTTGCACCAGCCCGTTGAAGATCTCCCTTGAATATGAGTTCTCGTCCCAAATGGTCAAGATTGAGCTCAACACGCTCCATTCCAGGTCGGAGGAGAAGTTTGGATTGCAGCTCAATCATCTCCACTTTCTTCGACTGCTCATCCACCTTTGCGTCACATTCAAGGGTGACTGCCTTGATCTCCTCAATAGCTGTAGCCAGAGTGGACTTTTCTTCGGTATCTTGAGTCATGTTGCTTAACACGGTCCCGAGCAGCAGGGTGTAACGTTGAAGTCGAGTAATGGGTGCTTTGAGGTACGTATTCCAATCCAAGCGGCCAGAGAGCTTGTTATCTCGGGCCTGGTCAAGAAATTGCCGGAAGAGCAAATTCCTGTCCGCCTCTTTCCGCACTAAATATGTCGCATAGGGGAAGCCAGCAGCATATTCTATGTATGCAGTTCTCGCCTTCCTAATCCACTCCCGGAATATGTCACTGAATCCTATGATCCATGGGCCTTGTTCTTTTTGTCGATATTTCAACTGGGCAAGGAGATAATTTTCATTGACTTCTTTAATGGCCTCGACCTTCCCGAACACGGAAGCTATGAATTTTGCGATCTTAGTTTTGCCAATGATGGGTGGCTGCCATGATGCTAAATCGTCTCTGTAGAGCACCCGAAGGACGTTGATCTGATCCATGTAGAGATCTTCGGACATCACAATCTCATGCAGATTGTTCTGACGCAGGATTTCCTTCTTGTTGGCCCCTTCAAGTAGCTCTTTTGTTAATTTGAAGAAGGTCACCCAATCTTCCGATTTCCGAGACGGCTCTAACATATGTGTTTGGAGGTTGATTTTCTTCAAAGTCCGCGTACAGTGGTGGGAGTAGCAACGTCCGTGTATCTCGTGTTCATGCACCTTCGGAGAATAGCAACCGGATCCAGTCAATTGCCAAAGGACTCCAGATATCGTACCCTGGCCAAATTTCACCCATTCTTCCTCTGGAATTAGAATACCTGCATCGAACATGGACTTGACCACTCTCTGGCTCAGTGTCTCAGCATCAGCGGCATTCATGGTTGGCACTTTGTGCGTAAACAAAGCCACAAGTCCATCCTCTATGGTCTTTTGCCGAAGATCCGACTCTCCTTCCCCAGTGTCGCCACCAGCCATTTCCCGTATCCAGGAAGCAATTCCACTCAGAGCCCACGGTTCGGTGCATTTGTTGTGATCCGATGTTGCTAGCCTTGAAGGAGAAAACTTCTTTCGTCTGCCGGCTGGCAATGCGGGAAGATCCAGAGAAATTCCAGACTGTGGAGTGCCTCCCATGTCATATCCATCAAGGCCACTTGCAGAACGAATGCCCATTCTAGCCGCTTTCTGCCTTGCTTGGCGTTCCTCGGCATCGGTCTTTGATCTGACTGGGGGTACAGCATGAGGTGTACTGCTATGACTCGATAAAGAAGAGGACCTGGGAACATATTGGCCACCAGGACTGAGCATATTTTGTGGTGGATAAGCGTCGGGGCCAACTGGAGGGTATGATGGTCGGGCTGCTTCGGTGCTTGATGAATATGAATGAGAATGTTGATGTGCACCTCTATAGCTCCCAGCAGGCAAGAGCTGAGGCGTCCAGTTCTCAGACAATGGTGCTGGCACAGCAGGAAGAGGCCGGTTGTAAGAAGATGCGGAACTCATGCCAGGATGGTAGAACAACTCCGGCATGTCGTCTCTTGATGGACTATCGCTCCCAGATCTACCACTGAGTCTTGATTCGGATAATCGGGAGTGTAGCAAAACTTGCTCATCACCCTCATCAAAACTGAGACGGTGTGATTGAGATGTTGGTCTTTGCAGTCCACCGGTGCCAAAGGTGTCGACTCTGGCAGCCTCGAAAGCGGGAAATGGGTGGATATCGCCAACTCCGGGAATCGAGTAGTCCGTCATGCCTCCGAGCCCGGCAGCTGGTGTCCGGCTATAACTGTCGGATCGCTCTCTTCCAAGATCATGTGCTGTTGGCAATGGTCGACTCTGGTCCTCCATCTCGCTGCTGTGCTCCGTATTCAAGCCTCCAAGATCGTCGCCATACGACATGTGAGCCTCGTACCCACCGCCAATTAGGCCCAAATCCATGTGCTTGTAGTCACTGTCACTACTCTCTCCCTGTGACTGGTGCTGTGTAGAATGTCCACCTTCGTAGCCTCCGCTAAAACTTAATGCTCCGGTGCCTCCGCGAGCATCCTGTTCCTCTGCAATTCGCATGGCTTCAAGGCCAGCTGCAGCTTCAATATCGCTCTCATCGCCATCGTCGTCGTAATCATCGTGGGTCGTCTCCAGACTGTTCTCGTTTACCGTCGTGGCTGTTGACGCATATCGTTCAACACCTGCTTGTCCACCAACTGTGGTAGCCCTAGAGTTGTAGCGATGAAGGTCTTGGAGTTCGCTATCAAGCAGATCTCCATTGTGTTGATCCATCCCTTGCGGTCGACCATGCCTTGACGAGCCCGACGCTCCAAGGGCATCCCCGATGTCTGCAAAAAGTTGTTCTTGTGATAAGCCTTCTTCTGCATTGCTATGCTCACTCATCCTCCAATCGTCAACATCGCCAACATCATCAATTGGTGCATTCGGCAAGGGCCTTAGCGTAGGATGTCGTTGCAGTCCACCGCTGGCTGAGGTGCTCTGGGACAACGGAGGCTCTGAATACGCGGGAGTTGAATGGCTGGAGGAAACTTTTGTTCTATTTGCAAATGAGGTGAGATCTTCGTTGTAAGCAGGTTGAGATGGCTGCGATTGCACATAAGCCGAATAATCTGGATACGATGCTTGCGTTGCAGTTGGTGTCCTGTACTCGTTTTGGTTATAGTTATCTCCTCCATTCGTGGGGTACGGAGCAGAGGATACACCTAGTTGATTGTACAAAGGCTGGCGGGGTGGCAGAGGGGCCGAACTAGACGGAGTGTATACCGGGTTGGAGGGGTGCTGTTCGTAAATTGGTCGTGAAGGTACTGGAGGAGCTCCATACTGCGGAGTAGTCTGGGGCCAAAACGATGGAGACTGGGGCACTTGCGGCATGGCCGCAGAATTGTATGTTTGCGCATAAGGATTGTAGCTAGAGACCGACTGTTGCCGCAGAGGCTGTTGCTGGGAAGCCTGGTACAGGGCCGGATTATATGGCTGATGAGCTGTCGGCGTCGGTGGAGTGTAGGCAGGTTGTGGTCGATACTGATTTGGCTGCGACTGGGATTGAGTTCGAGCAAAATGCTGGGGGTTGTAAGGCATCTGCGGCAGAGGGGGAGACTGAGCGCTAGCGGGGAAAGGTTGGTACTGATGTTGATATCCTGACAACGCCGGGCCCCCAAAAGTGCTTTGGCTTGGCGACTGAGGGCTGTATGGGTGGGCTGTTGGACTGCTTATGAACATCTCCTCCTGTGGCATGGGAGTTCGTTCTAGAATCGGAGGTGGGCCATTCTGATATCTATTCCCGTTTGGATCGAAGAACGCCGCATCATCGCCATTGTCAAAACTTGACTGCCGGTGCAAGCCCAAGCCTTGAGGCGGATTATTTAGGGCTTGAGCTCCTGGGTGTCCATATTGCGCTGGAGGTACATGCCCATACCGTCGTTGACTGTTCCCGTTGAAAGCCATCGTCGCGGTTGGCAGAATTGGTGCACAATCGAGTCAAACAGATAGCCTGAGATCCCGGTCTCTGTACGTAGCCACGACTGAGGGTCTAGAAAGAAGACCTGCAATCTTTGGCTCGTGGCCAGTTATTGGGAGTCGACGACGAGTCGTGCCTCATTGGTATGCGATGCGCGATCGATTCAAAGTGCCATCCAAAACCCCATCCGCGCCGCCTCCACGAGGCTCTCTCTCTCGCCTGTTCGATTGATTTCACTGCCGATCGCGATGCGCAGCGGTCGCGAGAGTTTTGCCCGTCGTGGGTGCTTTCGATGCCGGCCCTCGTCCGTCGCTCGCGTCGATAGTCGACTCTGATGCGGCGGCAGGCTGCCAACACTCGAGGCTCTGCAAGCCGGATTCTCTCAAAGCCGGCGGGAGAGTTTCATGGATCGGTCAGCAGGAGAAGGAAGTCGTAGGGAAGCCGAATTCCTGGTGGAGAGGGCGCGTGTGGTTGAAGTCAGACTTGATGTGACAGCAAAAAGATGTGATGAAGCTGAGGCAAGTCGCTTTTGGATGATGATTGGCTGCAGTCCTCGTACAGCTGTGAGGCGACGAATGTGCTTGTTCTATGCGCGATGTTTCCTACAAAATCGAAGGGTTCTTGGTGAGAAAGATCTGAAATATTTCCTACACTGCTCTACGATTATGCATAAATGATTTGGAGAGCTTGATTATTTTCTCCAGGCCACAGCCTTCACAGCCCCTCTTGTCGTGACAAAGGTTTCTGTCTACGCCACACAGCCCTACAAACCCCTGTGGCTAATATCAAAGCCAGAACTCGACCTCTCTGAAACTCCTCGCTGGCCCCGAATCTATGCGTTGCAGTCAGAGCATTGTGTTCCGTTTCCTCCTGGCAGCTATTAGTGGAGAATCGCAAGTAAGCTCTATGCCAAGTGGAAATCGTCAAAGAAAGTCTTTCCTAAGGAGCGCTGATGTTGGATTTGGATAAGACGGAATCCCTTTCGAAATCCTTGTCCTGCCCATTTGACCCCGCCATCACACGGAAATACGGTGGATAGTTATCGTCTCGATAGATGGCTCTGCACGATTCGCAACACGCCTAATGGCTGTACGGGGCACCGCTAGAAAGATAACATTTCCGACTGCTGGCCTCAGAGGATCTTGAGGACTTCAAGATCCCGCGTTCCGGTGTCTCGCAGGGAGCCGACTTTACTTCGGAGGGGTTGATTACGACCTCGCAAATAAGCAGCTTTACCTTTCGAGCTTCACTGTCACTGGCCACGTAATATAGGGGAGCGGTCTCGGAATTCTGGGATAGACTGAACCTCAGAAGAAGGATTTCTTCGGACTGTCGGATGCTGAGGCCGTTCGATGACATACTCAAGATGTTGCACGTAACCCCTGCCTCAAAGCTGTGCGTCAAGATACGCCGAAACCATGGAAGTACATGTGAGACTTTCCGGCCAGTCTTTAGGGCACTGCCTCAGGGGGAGGAGGGACACCTTATTGCTCGTTATCGATTTGCTGAGGCCAAGCGCAAGGTGCCTTTCGAATTAAACAGCCCGGTGTGAGACAGGTTTCCTCATCGGATAAAATGTTGATTGCCGTGAAATATTGATCCACCGAAAAGAGAATCGGAAACGAGGCTCGCTCACCGCTCACGTGGGCCAACTGACATCACTGTGTCCCTTTGTAAGCTGTGAAGCTCTGTCCCTCGGAAGTGGGGTATTTCCATCACTTCTTCAAGTGTCCGCCCTTTTCAACAACAACCACCACTAGAAAGTTCAGTCCAATCATCAAATTCAATCCAATCCAGCAAAATGGTCAAAGCAGGTATGTCGTACATATCGAATACTCCTTCCTGGCTCCGGTTCTGCTTTGTCTTGGCATCATTGACTGGCTCGAGCCAGTATGAGCATGATTCAACCCAATGGAGCAACCGGCAACCCGGATGGGCACGCCGAAGCTCCTTCCTCGCAAGCATCCGCTTATTGAGCCTCTCTTCAATCTGGTTTCTCTATAGCCCTCTCTTGGTCCAGGCTAACTTGTTGTTCCTCCGTTGTAGTCGCAACCGTCCGAGGTGACTCGAAGGTTACCGGCACCGTTACCTTCGAGCAGGAATCGGAGTCATCCCCCACTACCATTACATGGAATATCACTGGCAACGACCCCAATGCTGAGCGTGGCATGCACGTCCATCAATTCGGTGACAACACCAACGGGTGCACCTCCGCCGGCCCCCACTGTGAGCGGCTGTTGAACATACATATTCTGAACCAGGCTGATAAAGGATGGAACAGTCAACCCCCATGGCAAGACACACGGTGCTCCAACTGATGAGATCCGCCATGTTGGCGACCTTGGCAACTTCAAGACCGATGCTCAAGGCAATGGCAAGGGCTCTACCACGGACAAGTTGATCAAGCTGATCGGCCCTGAGAGCGTCATCGGCGTATGTTGAGCAAGAAGTTCTGTACAGGCTGACCACTGACTTCTTTACAGCGTACAGTTGTTGTCCACTCCGGAACTGATGATCTCGGACAAGGAGGCAACGAGGAGTCCAAGAAGACTGGCAACGCTGGTACTCGCCCTGCTTGCGGTAGGTTCATTTTTAAATAATTGCTTGTAGGTTTCACTGACTTCGTGTAGGTGTCATTGGCATTGCGGCATAAAGGCATCATCCTTCCAAAAATTATGAACGGGTGAGGGGACATTATGGGTGGCTAAGGTGGAACAAAAGCAATCAATGGCTTTATACACTTAGGTAGTCAAACTGAGAATCACCGCTGATTGCATACAAATATGGATTGACATTAACATAAACAATATCTGTGAAATGTCCTGTGAATTCCGTGCTGTCCACAGTCATCTGGGTATGAACCCAATTGGAAGTTGCCCCTCAACCCCTCTCCTCGTCATCACGTGTGATCCGTTGACCGCCCCTGCATTTGGCAGGGCAGAAACAAATGAAGTCGTCGTGTGCTTCTTGTGGCCCACAACAACAAAGATCTGGCATTAACATAACATTGTTTCTTACAACATATCTAAGAACCAACGAATTGGACGCTGTGATTGCGGTGATTGTTTGACCAGAGACTTCTAGAAGAATTGGGTTGCTATGTAAGTGGCCATGTCTCCTTTACCGTGTGCGGATTGCTGCAGGATGTCCGATTTTGTCCTCTTGACGACCAGCCACTGGAGAACACACTTTGTGGGGAAGAGAAAACGAAATGGAAAATTTCGAATTCACTCCACGTCGCTCTGCGCTATTCACGACCGCTTCATCTAAATAAAATCATCAACTGGCCCTCTCGACTTCGATCTCCCGTCGGTCTTCCTAAAACATCAACTCTTGCAGCACTGCCTTTCAACAACCACTGCAAATTGTACAGACATTTCAGAGCACTGTTACTTTCTTTTCAACTCCGTCGCTCAGCACAAACACTTCTACGATCTTCAGGCGCCTCAATTAGTCTTTGCGCCTTGCGCCCACACCTGCCCTTTGCATTTGCACTTACAATCGCTCCCCACGCCAAACACTTCAGCTCCGCTATCATGCCTGTCCGGACATTCAAGATTGGCTATGCCTCTGGCCAAAACCGCGGACGCCAGGCCTCTGCAGATTCAAGTGCCTCACAGAATTCTGGAACAGTTGCTAATTTGATTGAACCATTTCCAGCTCCTCTGAGTCCGCCTCTCGAAAAGAATACACCCCCACCAAACATCCCCCCTTCCCGATACAACATGTGAGAGCTCCAATTTTGAATGTTATTATTTGGAACAAGGCTGACCGAACCTTTGGGGTTTAGGCCATTCTTTAACGGCAAGGTGAAGTCGGTGCTGAGTGGTGACAGTTTGATTATAACTGCACCCAAAAATCCGAACGCCGTGCGAACTTTCTCCCTTGCTTACTGCACGGCACCCCACTTGAAGAAGGATGCAGATGAAATAGGAGCCCTAGAGTCTCGCGATGCCTTACGGGAGCTGGCGGTGGGGAAAGACATTCAATTCCAGGTCCTCTACACCATTCCGAACACAAAGCGCGAGTACGGAGTTGTGGTTTTGAATGATGGACGTCGACTGCCTGAGGAGATGGTGAAGGAGGGGTGGCTCAAGCTGAGAGAAGATGCTGGCCGAAAGGAAGACTCGGAAGAAGCACTTCAGCAATTGGATCACCTTCGCCTTCTCGAAGCAAAGGCTCGCAATGACGACAAAGGTCTCTGGTCACCGGATCTCGCTCGCATCGATGTTCAGAACGACCTGGGCGACTCGCAGGCCTTTTTGGAGACCTACAAAGGAAAGACCCTTGATGCAATAGTTGAACGCATATTGAGTGGCGACCGCATGCTTGTTCGCCTACTGATTTCCCCGACCAAGCACATTCTTGGTAAGAAGATATTCCTTCATTCTCTCATAAAATATATCCGTTGACGAATTCAAGTCATGACATTGGTTGCTGGAATTCGTGCTCCTACCACTGAACGTGTGAATCCATCGAACAATCAAACTCAGCCGGCCGAAAAGCACGGAAATTCTTCGCGACAATTTGTCGAGACCAGACTATTGCATCGAAAAGTGAAGATCGACGTTCTAGGTCTCAGCCCGCAGGGCCAGCTGATTGCATCCGTCAAGCATATTCAACACGGCTCGATTGCAAAGCATCTTCTGGAAGCTGGTCTTGCTAGATGCACAGATTTCCACTCCACCCTTCTTGGAGCAGACATGGCTCCTCTGCGGGATGCTGAGAAGGTAGCCCAATCAGCAAAGCTAGGAGTTTTCGAGGACCACGTTGCAAAGGCCGTGGGCCCAGGAGGAAACTTGGAGGCTCAAGTGACGAGAGTTTTCAGCGCTGACGTTATCTTCGTCCGAAATCGAGCGGGTGTTGAGAAGCGAATCAATATTAGCAGTGTTCGAGGCCCTCGACAAAACGAAGCAACTGAGGCACCCTTCCGTGACGAAGCTAAGGAGTACCTTAGAAAGAAGATTATCGGAAAGCATGTTAGACTAAGCATCGATGGGTCACGACCTGCTGCGGGAGAGTATGATGCTAAGGAGGTTGCTACCATCACATATAATGACAAGAACATCGGCCTGCTTCTGGTGCAGGAAGGGTGGTGTTCAGTTGTCCGACATCGCCGAGATGACACAGATCGAGCTCCGAATTACGACGAATTATTGGCCGCACAAGAGACAGCAAAGGAAGAGAAGAAGGGGATGTGGTCTGGCAAGCCGGCCAAGGCAAAGCAGTATGTCGATGCTTCGGAAACTCTTCAAAAGGCCAAGATCCAGCTTTCTACTTTGCAACGCCAAAAGAAGATTCCAGCAATTGTCGATTACGTCAAGGGGGGTTCAAGATTTACCGTTCTCATTCCTCGCGAGAACGTCAAGCTGACCTTTGTTCTTGGCGGTATCCGAGCTCCTAAATCTGCTAGAGGTGAGAAGGACAAGGGCGAGCCTTTCGGCCAGGAAGCACACGACCTTGCCACCAAACGCTTGACTCAACGCGATGTTGAGATCGATGTGCACAATGTAGATAAGGTCGGTGGCTTCATTGGTGAGCTCTACATCAATAAGGAGTCTTTTGCCAAGATTCTAGTGGAGGAAGGATACGCAACCGTCCATGCCTATTCAGCCGAGCAGTCTGGAAATGCCACCGAGCTACTTGCTGCTGAGCAGAGAGCTAAGAAAGCCAGAAAGGGTCTTTGGGTCGACTGGGATGAATCCATGGATATCCCGGAAGAAGAAGCAAGCCCCGCGAATGGTACGAATGGTCACGAAACCATTGTTCCCCGAGAGAAGGACTACAGAGATGTCCTTGTTACTCACATCGACGAAAATGGCAAGTTGAAACTTCAAACGATAGGCCAAGGGACCGCGAAACTCGAAACCATGATGAGCCAATTCAAGTCGTTCCATCTGAATCCCGCCAACAGCAAGGGACTGGAGAAGGACCCCAAGGCAGGAGACTTCGTGGCGGCCAAGTTTACGGAGGACAATCAATGGTATCGCGCCCGCATTCGCTCCAATGACCGCGCGGCCAAGCAAGCTGAGATTGTCTACATTGATTATGGCAACAGCGAGAAGATGCCTTGGTCCCGCCTTCGACCTTTATCACAGGCTCAATTCTCGACTCAGACACTTAAACCACAAGCAGTCGACGCTGTCCTGTCTCTTCTCCAATTCCCGACTAATACGGATTATCTGCAAGATGCTATTCGTTTCCTCGGCGAGGCAACTGAAGGCAAGGAGTTGGTTGCCAATGTTGACTATACTGCACCAGAAGGCACACTCTACATCACCCTCTACGATCCAACCGTCAGTGAGAAGCTGACAGATAGTATCAATACGGAGATCATCACCGAAGGTCACGCCATGGTACCGCGAAAGTTGAAAGCATGGGAGCGCGGCTTCGGCGATGTCCTGAAAGTTTTGAGGGAGAGAGAGGAAGAGGCCATTGAAGCACGTCGGAGTCTCTGGGAGTACGGCGATCTGAGAGACGATTAGGGCTGCAACTGGCACTCGGTTGCAGAACGTGTTCTGTTAATTCCGAGCTCATGTTTGCTTCCTTGCGGCCTCGGAAGATGGTTTTCGACGAGCTGCTCTGCAGTCCCCGCCCCTTTTCCTCTTCTCGCCTCTTCTCTTCTCTACTCATATGCGGGCCTTCTTTCCTTGTTCGTTTGTGCAGTCTATCAAAAGCAATCGTGCGGCGGTGGATGAATGGATGCATCATGAATGAGTTCGCATTGCGTGGCATAAATCATGACACTGGGTTGGGGAACTGAAAAACAAAAGGGAATGGAAGCATTACGGGCGAGCATTTGTGGTTGGGGAGATTGCATAGGTTGATAGCGAATTGATGAACTGAACCAACCTGGACTGAAGTGCGTACGGATTGCTCTTGGTATATCGAAATGGCAAATCCAAAATGGAAGGTTCGGTGACTGTTAACCTTCACGATTACGAATTTATGAGATAGTAATTCGCTTGGAATACGGCGGGTTCTTAGGGGTAAACGATCAGATTTGCTAAACACATAATTGCACGTATGTGAAGTACAAAATCACGTGAAAGCTAAGCACCTTCATTAAAATAAAATAGATCTTTTACTTCTCTAAGTAAATAATCGCCTTTTAATTTAATAAAAAAAATTAAAGAAGAAAGAAGGAGCGCGAGGAGCAAGGAATTTTTTCTTTCTGTCTCGTCGCTTAGCTAGCTTACCCCTGGCTAGCTGGCGCAGATAAAGTAACCTTACGGGTCTATCTATTGGGAGCTGTGAAAATCTAAGCTACTTAACCGAGAGCATAGTTTAAAAAAAATCTTCTTATTCCCTCTTTCTTCTTTATAATAAGGTTGCACAGAACAACGCCTATTTTGCCTGCATTTGGTATCGATTCCATTCCCGCTTTTTTCAAGATCACATTTGATTGGAAGTCAAGCACGGGAAGCCGTGACCAAACAAGATCTGATTGCTCAGCACGTTCAGCCTCATCAAGCCTCTGATCGATAGTCAACCCCAGATTTGGAAGTCCATCTTCCCGCCCCACTCCGTACAGTAGAGAAAAGCAAACCCCATCACGTTCCCGGAAGAATAAACCACCTTTAAGGAGTCGAGTGAGACCACACCATCGCCAGTACCCAAATCAATATCAAACATATGGGAGGCGCCTACTCATAGTAGATGTCAGTCGCGATGTCTCAGCAGATGCCTGATAGGTTGGTGATACAATCACTCACCTGAAGCAAGGGAAGTGCCCCAGATTTCGATGTCGCTGATGCCTGTCATGTGATGAGCCACCTTTCTCTTTTTGTCTGCAGCTTGGCTCACAGTTAAAGTCGGTGACACCGAGCTCTTCCCACCTGTCTGCGCAGGTGTGGGAATCGGATTACTTGTCGCAGATGCTGTTGAGCCACTACTGGTAGCCGCTGGACTATGTTTCGGCCCCGCGATTTTGGTGCAGTAACCCAACGAGCCGCTAGAACCTGTCAACAAACTCAAGAGACTTGGTGACGCTGTCACTGCAAGCTGGCTGCAGCTCTGTACCATATTGTCAAAGCTGGACGGATTGTAGTTTCCTGCGCTATCGTAGCAGAGGCAATCGGCATCTGCTGTTGCTGTACAGAGGATAACTGAGTTCTCCATGTTGAAACAGGGGTCTTGGAGATTGGCTGCGACGAGACAGGATTGTGGGTTGGCCTGTTTACAACAGCTGCCCTGGTCGTTACAAGAGTAATTGCACCAGTCCGATACGCATGCTGGTTGGTATCAGTAGGAAGTCTCCTGGGAGGACTGCGTGAGCTCACCAGTCTGTGCAAATGGACAGGACGATACAATTGCCGCACAGTCCTTCGATTGAGCAGCGGACAGTGATCCGGCCAATGAAGATGTAAATGCCGTAACTGTGGTGCCGATGACAATCTGGGAAAGTGACAAGGACACTATCATGGCGAGTCTCTGGGAGTAATGCATCTTAAATTTTCGAGTTGAGTAGCTCAGATGATAAGTTATGAGGATAGATAATCCAAGTAGATGAAAAGGGAGATCCTCACAGCATATCATATTTGGATGGTTCATCAGATCTCGGTTTTCTTATTCCTTTGTGTAACACACCAAAACCACCCCCCAATATGTATTGGCAAGCCACGAAACAGGCACGTGTATTGAATTGATAAAGATATGCAACTTTCGATGCCTATCTCGGTCATGTGGCTGTCTTCTCTCAGACTATGGACTCAGCTTTCCAAATCTTCAGCTCCTATCCGCATCTATATCCGTGGAGAGTTCCACTTTATAGCGAGCATTTGCACTCGCAGTATGCTCAACGCATCCCATCCCATGCTTCAACCAGCCAAGATTCAAAACTAAAACGCATGCTATCTCTCGCTAAACCCTCCACGAGATCCACTGTAATTCTTCCCGTGGCTTTAGAACAACTTCGCCACTCGTTTGCGATTTTTCTGGCCCTCGATTGAAGCCTCGCGATCTCGCACTACAGTATTGACACTCTCAGTATGTCTTCAAATTACACGATTTATACTGGCCATATTTGGAAGGAATACAGTAGCAACAAGCTCATCCTAACACTGAATGGGGCAGCTGCCGGTGCGCTGCAAGCCGCAATACCACTTTGGATCTCACTCGTCGGGCCCTTAAGTTGGGTCCTCATCCAATACCCGTGGTTCCAATATTCTACTCTGAGAGGAACAAGAACTCAACCATTTCACCCTTTCTATTATCGACAGAAGCAAGTCCTTCTCCGTAATAGTAGTGGGGATCTTGGTACGGTCTCAGATTCGTATAGCTTGTTCAAGACGTGGTGGAAACATGGAGTTTGGAAAGCATTCTGGAGAACAGGACCATTATTTTTGACTGCGGTCCTCTTCTGGTGCGCATGGCAAGTAACAGCCATAGTGTCCTTTTACATCTGGCAGACGACACCTCCGACCGTTGGTCTAATACGAAGCGGAGTTTGTGGCTATAATTTCCTTGAAGGACCAGGTGCTGAGATATCCTTTCGACGAAGTGGACTTATTGAAACAATCCAAGCAGAAACATACGTCACTCAATGCTATGGATCTGGATCATCAGGGGCGTGTAATGTGTATGCAAAGCAGGCAGTCTCATACACTAAGTCGGATACAACATGTCCTTTCGCTACTTCGGACATTTGTATCAACGTGAATTCAATTCCATATCAACTGGACACTGGACCTATCGATTCGCATACCGACCTTGGCATCAATGCACCCCGGGAGAATCGAGTTACGTATCAGAAGATCAACACTTGCTCACCGATACACTCAACCAAGTTCGCACGGATTGTTAACGCCAATGAAACGGACGAGGCTTACTACTGGCCCACAGATACAAGGCTACAGCAGTTTTACTATGGACCAATCCTGAATACGAATTTCTCGTACACTTTCGAATACTCAGAGTGGACACCTTTAGACAATTTCCCGTATGATATTCAGTGAGTCCTTGAGTAAAAACATGATTCCCTTTCCCAGACTAACAGAGACCAGAGGTGTAATTTTCAACCCTGGCCCATCCGGGACAGAAAATGCTTGGGCCATCAACGCAACATTCGCAAATCGAACGGACGCCGATATATCAATTCTTTTCCTTACACCTAATTCCATATCCTATAATGCCAGTGTCGACGATCCCTTCTTCCTCACCGGCGCAAATTACACAATTCCGGTAAAGGTACTGAGGCCATTAGCGGGCTAGCGGACAAATCCGAGAAGCGAAAAGTGATTTTCTGATTTTCTGATTTTCTGATTTTCGCGCCCACCCCCCCCCCCCCCCCCACACCTCAAAAAAAAAAAAGTATAGCATATACGCCTTATTCTCGACTACTCCTAACCCCCCCTTAGCTTGCGTGGTCCGTAAGGCAAATCCCATAGATTACGAGGCATATCTCTATCTCCCTTACTCTCTATATCCTCCGTACTATCTATATTACTCGAATTATCTATATCTCCTTTATTTCCTTTTTCTCTAGTATCCTCACCCTCCTCTACTATAACCTCCTTTCCTATTGCCTTCTGATCTTATATCTATCTTTATGCTCACTTTCTATATCTTATAGGCAGTCGAGGCTTTAGTATAAAGGGTTTTGCAGATATAGAGCGAGGCTTTCCAGACTTGGTAGGATTAGTATTAAGTTAATAGAAAGTATAGACTTTACTATTATTATTATATTTATAATTTATATAAGTGCTATTAAATTCGCCTTCCATAACTATATAGTATTTAAAAAGGCCCCTCGGTCTCTTCTTATTATTATAAGTAGTATAAGCTTAAGAGAATTCGGTTCCGCAAGTATATACTAAGCTTGCCTCCAGATTTACCTTGCCTTTCTCTAATTCCTTTAGCTTCTTACCCTAGTATAGCTTTATCTCTCTAACTTTAGCCTTATTATTAATTTACTTTACTACTTTAGTAGTATTATCGGGTAGTATAAGGAGATTAAAGTATTATTATAAAGGAAAAGAAAAAGGTTATATATAAAAAGGAGGTCAAGAAATAGAGGAGTTTATTAGTTAAACATATTAATAGGAGAGAATATTATAAACTAAGTCTGGATTATTAGAAAATATATTATAAATATTATCTTTCTATTTATTTATAGCTTTATTATCTTTTCTACTACTTTTGCCTTTACTAGAGCCGCTACCTAAAGCCATATTTAATATATCTTTAATAAAAGAGAGCTTTAATAATAGTATTATATATTAGAATTAAAGTTATTTTCGGAAGGAAATTAAGGTTAAGATTAAGGCTAAGGTTAAAGCTAGTATGGCTATATCTTTATTATTTACTTTTAGGGCATAAAGATATATATTTAAATATTAAAAAAATTATAATTTTAGGTATTATAGTTATAAAGATAAAAATATAAATATTCTTTCTTTTACTAACTCGCAAAAGCTAAGGCATACTAATAATAATTAAACTATACTTGACTCATATAGTTAGCTAATTTACTTTACTAATTATAAATAATTCAAGGTAATTTAAATCTCCTCAAATCTCTATATATAGCTTATTATATAAACTTCTATATTTTTATATTTAGTAATACTATAATTATAATTTTTGGATAAGAAGAATTCCCTTATTCTAGTATATATAATTATATTTATTTCTTATTTTTCGAATATATAATTATTAAATTAGAGAGGCTCAAGAATTCTAAGTAATACTTTCTTCTAAAAAATATATATTTTTAATAAATAGCAAAAGTAAATATAGAATTATATAATAACATAACTATCCCGTACTAGTAACTTTATTTTCTATAAAACTATAACTTTATTTTATTTTTGCTCCAAAACCTCTATTTTTCTTCTATATTTTTTCGATTTTGCTATTAATACTAAGAGCTTCTGCCCTCTACTAATATCTTCTCTATTAATACCTTTATTAATACCTTTATTAATACCTTTATTAATACCTTTATTAATACTTCTATTAATACTAAAAGCTAGTATCTAACTATCTTATAACCTTTCTCTTCTCCTCCTTACCCCTCCTTATCCCTCCTCCTTACTTCTTTTTCAAATTCCTCTTCCGAACCCCTCCTCCTTTAATACTTCTTCTATTAATACCAAGAGCTAGTATCTAACTATCTTATAACCTTCCTTTCCTTCTCCAAACCCCTCTAAACCCCTCCTCCAAACCCCTCCTTCTTTAATACTTCTACTAATAATACCAAAAGCTAGTATCTAATTACTACTTCCGGGTTACTTTTATCCAGAACTCTCATACTATAAGTCTTTAACCCACTTGCTTCTTAGAAAGCTAAATTTTAGATTTCTCCTCTCTTTCTCCGATATCTTCTTTTCTTTTTTTCTAATATCTCTTATGCCTTTGGGCCCTTTAGGAGTACTCTCTCTCAAATTTCTAAAAAAGAAGCTAATTCCTATTTAGATTTCTCCGAACTTTAATACCTTCTTCTTTCCTTTAATACTTATAAAAGCCTTTGGGCCGCTACTAAATATTCCTATTCTTTATCTTAGAATATATACTAACTTATTCTTATAGAAAATAGCCCTTTTTCCTCTAATCTCGACTTCTTTAATATATACTTCTCGCCTTTAGGCTATTTAGATATCTCTCTATTTGCTTTTACGGAATATATACTAACTTACTTTTTAGTTCCCCTTACCTTATCTCTCCTTTAATATTACCGTATATATACCTAGTTAGTACTAGTTCTTATAACCCATAGTTAGGCTTTCTATTTATTAAATATCTGAATATTTTGTTTTATTTTTACTTTATATATTTTATTTTATATATTTTACTTTCCTTTTATTATAGGTTAGGACTCAAATAGTATTTATCTTAAGCGCTCATACTCTCGGGTATATAAGACTTTTATAAATCTTTTAGGATTATAAACCAGCCTATTTTAGTTCGGAAAAGCTTTTTTAAGAGTATTCCAGGAATTATAGTATTTACTATAACTCCTCCTAAAGATTAATATAGTATGGGTATTTCTGGTTTATTCTTTCTCTATAAAGTAAACCGCTATCCTAAGTCTATATAAAAGTTCTAATTATTTCTCGAGTTAAAGTATAGGTACTTCTTATTTCTATTAAATTAGGTATAAAGGATAATAGGCGCCTTTAGGCTAGACTATAGTATTAGTTAAGTACTAAGACTCCCTATACTTATCTTATAAACTTATAGTTTAAGATATATTATATTTAATAGGGCTTCTATATCTAATTACTTTATACTATAGTAAAACGTCTTAGTATTATAGTTAGGGAAGTTCTATTTTATAATCTTATTTACTACTTATAAATTTTCTAGCTAATAAGTCTTGGCTAATAGCTAAGAAACTTATTAGCTATTTTATCTAAAGCCTCTAGAAACAGGAAGTTATCTTAATAAAGACTTAATATTAAAAATAGGTTTAACTAATTAATCCAAATAAGGAGTTTATAGCAGAAGTTTTTATATATAGGTAATTCTATATAATAAACTCAAGTCCCTATCCCTAGTTATATGAGTAAGCCATATAAGAAACTCTTTCTGGCCTATTAAAGTAGTCCCTGTCCCTAGTTATACGAGTTATAATATATAATAAACTCAAACTTTTCTTAAGTTATTTTTAGAAGAATTAGTAAGCTTTTCTAGATAGACTTATTAAGGCCTTGGTTTTTAAAGGTATTAGTCTAGCCTTCTTACTTCTTTCTTAGGTAATAGTTTAGCTCTTAGGAATTATATATAAATATTAGAATAAATAAGGAAATATATTATATGCATTTTCTAGATAAATTAGGATAAAACCTATAGGATTCCCGTAATATTTTTATTAAATCTATAATACTAGCTAGTAAAGACTTTAATAACCTTAATAAAACTTGAATTACGAGCCCGGCCCTCAGATTTCCTACTTAACTTAAAGGTTAAGTAATCTATAATAGGTTACCTATTATGAAATATATTATACTCTTTTCCTAAAAAGTATTAGGTACTAGTAATAGTCCGGAAGCCCTAAAGCCCTTGAGACTCTTTATAAGTTTTGAGCTTTGGGGCTTTTCTATAGCTAGCTAATTATATAGAGTCACGTGACCACGCAGGTCCGGTATTAATATAAAGCAATTAGTAACTTTATATATAGATATAGTATGGTTTTTAGTATAGCTAGTCTAATATATTATATATTCATATATAAATACCTATAATTTCATTATTATAATATAATATATCCTTAATATATCCTTAATATAAAAATCTCTTTATAACCCTAGATTTTTAGGAGCCTTCTTTATACTAAAGGTAAAGTATATAATATTATTTAGGTATTAAATTTAAAAGGCAAAGAATTATAAAGGCCCTAATAATTATAAGACTTTATAAACTTGGGTAGATTTAAGTATTATAAAAATATTAAATTTAGTAACCTAACTTTTAAATTATATAAGAACTAATTAAAGAGTATTATTTTAAAGTATTAATTATAAATTCCAAGTATATATATATTCGTAAGGAAATAAGACCTAAAATAGTACTAAGCTAATTATAAAATATAGGAAAAAGCATATTAGATATTAGGCTCATTTTTTCTTAATTATCTTAACCTCGGCAGATATTTATATATAATTTATTAGACCTTATATAATGGGTTTACTCAGGAGAAATAAAATTAATTAGCCTAGGGAATTTAATAATAATAGTTAGATTTCCGTCCGGAGTAATAGGCAAAATACTAGTAGTAGCCCGAGTACCTTGGGTTTTACTCGCAAAGCTAAAGATATTATACCCGTTAATTCTTTATATCTAATAAGGAAAAGAAATAATATATTTATATCTTTAATATACCTATTATTATAGAGTAATACTTATATGGTTTATGAGATTAATTATAGTTCTTTTTACTAAAGAAGAAAATAGTAAAATTAAAAGAAGATCTAATAGCCTATTATTATTATTATTATTATTACTATTAGAATTAGCTTTAGTAATACTTTTAGTAGTACTTTCCGTATTATTTTACGGCTTCTAGAGATTAGCAAATAAAGAAGAATCCTGGTATATATAAGTTAATTAAACCTAAAAACAAAAAAGAATCTATAGAAAAAATAAAAAGTAAAAGCCAGAATTAAAAAAGAGAATTATATATATACCTTTATTTACTTACTAGTTTATTAGATCTTTTCTTATTCTTAAAGTCTCACGCCTATACTAGTAGGTAATACTTTCCTGGGCTCTCTGGGCCTCTTTAGTCTATTATTTAATCTCTTTAAGTTACTATATCTTCTAAGTATTTTCTAGCTCTTTACAAATAACTTTAAGATAGAGATCTTTATATAGAGTCTTCTTCTAAGTATTTTCTAGCTCTTTACGAGTAATTTTAAGATAGATATTTTCATATAAAGTCTTATCCTAGTATAAAATAAGGAAAATTATCTAGATATTCTTAGGGCCTAGATATATACTATAGTAGGAAAGATTAAAAATAGTTTAAATAAAACCTAGCAAGACCATAAGTTCCTGGGCTCTTTTATTATTAGGACTAGTATAGAATACTAGTTTATTCATATTATTAATAAATTAATAATAGCGGGTAGGTCCGCTAATACGGAGAGAGAAATAAGGAAGTAGCTACTAAGAAACTATATTAGAAAGAATAAAAAAGACTTAATTATTTATTTCAAATTAAAAGCCACCTATTAAAAAACATTTATTAGAATTTATATAGAGAATCTAGTAAAAGAAATAGAAGAAAACTTACTACCGACTTCTTTAGAAAGTTAGATAGTTCTTTACTTAGCTCTCTAATTCTTTATATTATTAAATATCTACTTACGGAGAACTAGCTATAAAACTATAGTTTATAATTTTATAAGACTAGATCCGGCCACATTTTAATTTATAAGACCTTAAAGGGCTCCAGGTAACCTATTACCGGTATAAGAAGCTATGGCCTAGGTAGCGGCCTAAGTAACTCTCGCATTTATAGCCTATTAAGCTTATATAATAGTATAAGTACTATTAGAAAAGTAATTAGGTCAAGTAATATAGCTCATAGTAAAAGGAAATATAAAAGGAAATAGTTATGGGGCCATTAGAGTAGGAGAAGCCTAGAGTGAAGTAGAACTAGTACCTAGCAGCTATATAGTAATAATAACTAGAGGAATAAGTATAATAGATATTTCTAGAAAAAAAGATACGGGATAAGGATACTAAGAAAAGCTAGGGATCTAAAGTATTTCAGGTATAAAGAGAGAGGCAGATACGGACAGAATTCCAGAGCTATAAGGTTCAAGTTTACTAGTATTACTACTCTAGGCAAGTAAAATAACGGCCTCTATATTATATTCATTATTAGTAAATTAATAGAACTCGTAATATTAGATATTATTATACTAGTATTTAGCTATAGAATATATAGTATTAGGGCAGGTTTTAAGAAATAGTAGTACTATTTTGAGAAATAAGAATTTAAGAATATAAAATATTTATATAGTAAATAAACTTAATAATTCTATTAGTATTATTTTTAAAAATAAGAAAAGGGTTTCAAAAATAATATATTTAATAATAAATAATACCTATCTTAATATACCTAATTACTTCATAACTAGCTTATTTAACTACCCTATATTATTAGGAGTATTACTAATAAAGGGCCATTTCTGGGTAAAATCCTAAACTATTAGGAACTATACGGGTATTTTTCTAGCCTATATATTATTTATATACTTTATATTTATTAGGATAACTTACTTAAGAATTCTATTCCATATAATAGTAATATTATATCTACTAGTTAGCTTCTCGGACTCTCCTAATATTAGTAGCTACCCTAAGGCTATATATACCCGGACTATATATTGGAGCTAGTAATAAGCTTAAATATATAGTCGGTTACTATTTCTATTAGTATTTCCTATATAAATATCGGCTATATTTATACTATAAGATATGAGCTTCTAATAGTATTACTCTAGTATTTCTCTTAATAGAAACTCGTTAATATCTATATTAGTATATAAGTAAACTATTCATATAGAGCTATATAAGGTTATATTACTTACCCTAAACTAAGTAATTATTAAGGATTATATTATAAAGCTCTATATCTATAGGGCGACCCTAGTACTATACCTTGCCTAGGAGCCTCATATATAGTCTAAATAGCTTGCCGGCTACTATATTAGGCCTAGATCTGTTTTTTCTAATTCTATAGATATTCTACAAGTCCATAAACCTATATACCTCGTTTTGGATCCGCTATATATAAAGTACTAGTAAAGTAATCCAGTCCTATAGATATTAGTAATTATAATTCCCGGTATAAGCCAGTTCCTAAAAGTAGTTTTATATATACTAATCGGAATTAGTTATATAATCCGGTACTATAATACTAGACCTAATAGCCTTAATAAAAAGCAGTATAATTATTAGTACCTAATATTTCCTTCTAATAATAGAAAGAATAAGGGGCAAATATAGGGAAACGGAATTACTTATATACTACCGGTATAGCTAGCTCTTCTAAAGCTCTTATTACTAGGATTTAACCTACTAATTCTCGGTACTTTTCCCAGAAATAAAACAGTTCTCTATATATATAACTAACGGATTAGCTATCCGCAAGAATACGAAGTGTGCTTTAGTAATAAAAGGGAGTTTAGAGCCTCGATTAGCCCTAAAGAAGTAAGGGTAGTAGCCTATTTAAGTATAAATCTAAAGATACTATTATATAACTAAATAGGTAGTCTAATTAGAGATTTCGATATATATTCAGATAATATTATATAAATAAGTATTAATACAAGCATATATCTTAATCCTAAATAGTAATAGCTTATTATATTTATTAATTAACTAAATCTAGTCCGGTCCAGGTATAATATATTTTCCTTTCTTAAACTATATTTATTATATTTATAATATAATTACCTCGGGATCCAGGAATTATAATATTATATATAAGCTCTCTTTATAAATAATAAAATACATTAGTAAATAAGGCCCTAACTTTCCAAGCTAGGGCAAAATAGTAAAGTATAAAAAGACTAACCGGATTACTAGTAAACCTTATTAATAGAAGTATATATATAAATACCGCCGTCCATAACCTATAACCCGCCTATTATTTAGCTTACTCTATAGTATTATAAATAGTTACTCGTCCGCTGCTTGCCTATTTATTATAGTTATATGGCAAATAAGACCAAGCTTCTTATATATACGAATAACTCTAGTAATTAAAGCTATATAACCGTAATCCTTAAGATTCTCAAGTATTTCCTTATCTATATCTCCTAGATAATATAGGATTATAATCTATATATAAAGAAAAGGCATATCTATTATTTAAGTATATATTTGGACGTTTTATTCTTATAGTTACTATTAGACTATATACGGATTAACTAAGATTCTATATAAATCTTTTAATCTATTCGTAATTTCTTCTTAATTAATATTTATATAAGCCTATTTAGTAATAGCTTTGTAATATAGTAATAGATTTATTAAAAGTCATAGTATTATTTTAATAAAATTCACTAAGTTATTTTAATAGGGATTAAGTTCAGGGTATGCTTTACTATTATAATATACTTTCTAGTAATATAAGTACTAAAAAACTCGAGTAATATTACCCCTATATAATTTTATTAATTAATTACCAAAAAAAAGTAATTAGCTAGCTTCTTAGTTATTTTAATAGTTTAATTTTCTTATTTCTAACCTCGGGAATATTAAGGAAGTTATTAGATTCTGTTAATAGCGTTATCCTAGAAGGGCTTATAGCCTGTGGTTACCTGACCATAGTAATTTATAATAAATACTCAATTTTATATTATACTACCCGGCCCAATTTTGGCACGATTTCACGCGGTAGTATGGGCTCTCACTTCGTTAATTAGACAAGCAAGTAGCCTTACTATTATTGTGTTATCTAAGCCGAAAGTCACGTGTGGGTGCTATACCCCTAATTAGGAATTCTGCCTTGGGGAGGAGGGGGGGGGGGTGTGCGGGGCGCCAGTGCGAAAATCAGAAAATCAGAAAATCACTTTTCGCTTCTCGGATTTGTCCGCTAGCTAGCTGTGGGCCTCAGTAAAAGGGCGAGGAATATACCCTCTACGCCCCAGCCTACTATGTCAACGCCATGGGTTGCATCGAACAACACAGATTCTGCAACCCGACAGTTACCAATCTCTGCACGCCCTACACCGCCTATCTAAATTTTCGGGACATCCCTGGGCCCCTCACGACCCTGAATTACAATCCTGCCCAACTCGCCACCGCAGAACGCATAGCCTCAGGCCTGGAAATGACCTTGACATTCAACTCGATCAACAATCGCCGTGGAGCCGCTCTCCTCGCCTCTCAAACCGTGTCTGATCTCCTGCAAACCAAAAATCTCCCCGTCAACCAATGGCGTGTTGAAGTTGAGAACTGGTTCGCTGTCTCGCTCGCAAAATTACAACAAGGAATCCTAGAATTCGCTGGTGGGCCTTTAGATCCGGAGATCGTGCCGTATGTGCAGTTCCCTGTGGACACGGATACAGCACGTCTGTGTTATAATCAGCTGGTGCAGCTGCCCAGCGGGTATGTGAATTTTGATTTTGGGGCAATTCTCGTCGCTACTTTTGTTGGGATTTTCTTCTTTGTCGTGGGGTTGGTGTTTGAGTGGGTTGCGGAGCGGTGTATTCAGAAGTGGGGACGCGGGAGGGGCTTGAAAGAGTGGGTGGAGGATGGGCAGTTCCAGTTATTGAAGAGGATTTATGCGGCTCAGAATATATCGGGATGGGAGAATGTGGAGGATGACTTCCCGATCACGATGGCAGATCTTCAACCTGGGGCGCAGGCAGATGGCGCCGGGAATCCGAGTGCTGCTGGTATTGCGGGCCTAACGCAAGGAAGTTCATATCCTCTTCTTCCTCCAAATGCTGGAAGCACAATCTCAGGAAATGCAGGCTCGGATAGTGGTGGTCCTCCGGTTCCAGCAAGTACTGGAAATGCTAGTGGCCACACACGCCCTTGACTTGCTCGTAAGATCTTACATGGTAGATTTCGTACAGTTGGATGTAATGTGAGTGTCTCATGAAAGCACGGGAGGAATTAATGAAGTCTTTACAAACAGCTGCAATCATATGTTCAATCGCATGCTAAGAAATTGTAGACTCATAATAACAATTATTACTTTTCACAGTTTTCTCGTTTAGAACTTTTGATCCCTTAACTGCCTAAAAACCTGCCTACTGTATCGGCTTGGTTCGCGGCCCTCAGATCCACGTCAGGCTCGCGTCATTGCATGTCAAACGCGGGCTGGCAGCTTGAATCAACGCTAAGTAGTTGGGGCTTGAAGTAGCAGAAAGCGTCTAGTTATCAAGATGTGCAAGCAGCGAGGCTGAAGTGAGTAAGTTGACTGAAGATTGCTGGTCCAATTGCGGTCGTGTCTCAGGATGCGTCACATTCCGTCAACTACCAAATCCCTTGCTTACGTTTCCCCGTTGTCATTGTTCTGGAACGCGCTGCCACTAAGCGGCGCTTCTCTATTTGCGGGGGATCCAGACATCTCATCTCAAAATAGTTGCTGCACCGCGGTTTTCGAGGAATCGAGGATAAATGGACACAGCGTCGCGTAAGGAGTCTATTTGTTATTGTTTTTGAATTTAAGTCTCTTCTAGACAGTGACAGGGCCATGCTGACTATACTTTTCCTTGCCAACAAGAGGTCCTTCGTGTCACCGACCCCCATTCCTTAAGGCGAAACAAATTTTGCATCCTCAGCTATGTATAATGTTTTATTGGGTAATTTGGATCCCGTTGCCGATGAAGGGGCCTTATGGGTTTTTGCCAGTACACACAAGCCCTTTTTCTTCTTCTCTTCATCGGCTGGCGATATTGATGCGATTCTTTTCACTTGCTGGAACCATTAAAAGACTTCTACGGTTTCCGACTTCCTATAATCGACTTCTCTGCGCTCGCTATTGATACGATCCTTTGAATTCATTCCGCCTGACGGTCCGCCGGCAGCGGCCGCTCGATAATGATGAAGCCTTTTGGAAGTGCCCTCGGATCCTGTGTGCTTGCACTATGGGTTTTCGCAACGCTTGCACACTGCCAAGGAGGATCCTTTGGATGGCTTCCAGGATACGGCGACGGTCTGGTGACTTGCAATGGTACTTCTGCCAACCTCACTAGCTATAACATGACGAATTTTGTCGGATGTATGGACTTGGGTCTCGATGCCACCTCGCAGCCATTCGGCTTGACAAATAACAGTACCGTCGTCACAATGGGAACTGGCAGTTTAATGCCCCCCTTTAATTTTAACAGCTATGGGCCCACTTCCTTTCCAGGTTTTCCTACCAATGGCAACTCAACCTGGACAACAATGGAAACGCATTTGAACTGCTCTATCGTCTGCAGAGTGCATGGGATGAAATATGCCATAATATTGTACGGCTCTTGCACCTGCTCTCCATATATTCCATATAACTCATGGTTTGTGTTCAACCTCGCCACAAAGCCCAATTGGAAGGACAGTATTCTCGTCACGGCGTTAATTCCTAACTCACTCAGCGCGTGTTGTCCACTCAAGAACGGCTCTACATATGGACAATTCGGTGATAATACGCAATATTATACAGGCGCTGACGCGGGTACTGCTGATCTCTCTTACACCTACAACAGTAGCGCCCTCTACACCGGCCACACAGCTTCTGCTATTTGGATTGATATCACGTTTGCAAGTGATAGTACTTTAGTCCTTTCCACCCAAGCGACATTGTATCAATATCTAGCATGTTTTATGATGTCTGATTCGACTACCACGTTCATGCCTCTAGGTTTTATTAACAACTTTACCTCTCCGAGTCAGTGTTACACTTTCTGTGCTGGTGTTAACATGCCATACGCAGGTATGACTTACCAGGGAGGGTCCTTGTAAGTTCATTTTCTCTATTTCCACGTCGCAAAGCTAACTTACTTTTAGTCCAATTAAATGTGCGTGCGGAACGGAATTCGCTCCTGGCTCATACCAGTATCTTCCCGATTCTGGACAGTGCAATTCCGACTGCACTACGGGTGCGACGTAAGCCAGTCTTATTTGGCCATATTTAGAAATATATCTCAGATATATGGGAGCTAACAAACCCGTGCAGGAACACTTGCACTGTCGGATCAGATTGTTGTGGCAAAAGTATCTACTATGCGGTGTACCGAAATCCTAATCTTTTGGGATGTTACGAGCCTCCCATTCCAGGAACTTCTTTGATCGGAACAGCAACCTATCCCGTGGCATGTTTCTCAACAGTATATACCCAGACAATTAAGCCTACGAAAGTCTTTGTCAATCCTAATCCTACTGGTGTCTATAACCCATGGTCGACACCTCCAAGACAATATGACTGGACTATCTCCACGAGCGGTAGTTCGTTTGAATACCTCGGATGTTATTCTGCTGGTACTCTCATCACAGTAGCTGGGACTAACATTACGGTCAGCAATCCACAGAGCATGACCCCCATTTTGTGTGCCGCACACTGTAGCGTGTACCCGTTCTTTTCAATAAACGTCGTGGATGGACTGGACCGTACTGTGTAAGTTCAACTCTCATTCTCCACGTTACCGGGCTAATTGTTTAGAATCTGTTGGTGCGGAAGTGCTTGGACCGGCAGCGTCGCGATACAGGAACCGTTTTTTTACTGCAATGAGCAATGTCCGACTCCTGCTGCTGGGAGGCAATTATGCGGCGGTCGTTACATTGCTTCCACCATAGCGCCTGCCATTGGCATCTACGGACCCACCGCCGTCGTTGCAACCCTCTCAAGAACCATTTTAGCCACCTCGACCTATTCTTGTGTTATGACTTCAAGTACTTCTTCGTCGTCTTCAAGTAACGTCACCCCTGAAGAACTTGTTCTCGAATGCTCTGATGCTTTTCCCACTAAGTAAATTTACTAACTGCTTGATATTCTAGGCTCATCTTCTTCCAGCTTGAGTTCTTCCGTACCAATCACTAGCTCAAGCTCGTCATCATCCGGCTCAAGCTTACACACATCAAGTACAACGTTAACAAGTAATAATATCCCAGAATAGCTTCTTTCCCACTAAGTAAATTTACTAACTCCTTGATATTCTAGGCTCATCCTTTTCTAGCTCGAGTTCTTCTATGCCAATTACTAGCTCAAGCTCGTCGTCTTCCGGTTCGAGTTTGCGCACATCGAGTACAATGTCATCAAGTAATAATATCCCGGAATAATTTCTTTCCCCAAGTGCTCTGATCAGAGTAACTGACTTCTAGAAGGCTCGACAATATTAAGTTCAAGTACCTTGTCAAGTTCGAGCAGCGCCTCAAGTTCAAGCTCAAGTTCCTATATATCAAGCCCCCGAACAACATCAAGTAAATATGCTCCCAAAACCAATTCTTTTCCCGAACGAATCTAATTAGGAAATAACTAACTTTATAAAGGTTTGAGCTTATCAAGTTCAAGCACCGTGTCAAGTTCCAGCAGCTCCTCCGGTTCAAGCACCTTATCAAGTTCCAGCAGCGCCTCCAGTTCCAGCAGCTCCTCGAGTTCCAGTATCGCCTTCAGCTCCAGCAGCGCCTCCAGTTCAAGCTCAAGTTCTTACACATTAAGCCCCCAAATAATATCAAGTAAATATACTCCCAGAATCAATTCTCTCCCCGAAAGATTCTAATAAGGAAATGACTGACTTTATAAAGGTTTGAGCTTGTCAAGTTCAAGTAGCTTTTCTAGTTCAGCACCTAGCTTAAACTCAAAATTAGACGTCTCAAGCACAGAGCTACTATCTTCAATCTCTAGCTCAGGTCCTTACAAATCAAGCACGGCGTCTCCCCTATCAATCTCTAGCTCAAGCTCTTATATATTAAGCAAAGGGCTACTATCCTCAAGCTCTAGCTCAAGCTTTCACGTTTCAAGCACCGAAGCGTCGCCCTCTAGCTCAAGCTTTTACGTTTCAAGCACAGAGAATTTATCCTCTAGCTCTTCTAGCTCAAGTTCTGGCGTTTTGAGCCCGAAACCATTGCCCTCTAGCTCAAGTTTTTATATCTCAAGTACGGAGCTATCGTCCTCTAGCTCAAGCTCAAGCTTTCACGTTTCAAATACCGAAGCATCGCCCTCTAGCTCAAGCTTTCACATTTCAAGCACCGAGCTATTACCCTCTAGCTCAAGCTTTCGCGTTTCAAGCACCGAAGCGTCACCCTCTAGCTCAAGTTCTCACATCTTAAGCACGGAGCCACTGCCCTCTAGTATGAGCCCGAGCTTTTACGTTTGGAGTACAGAACCCTTATCTAGCTTAAATTCTGGCGTTTCAAGCACCGAAGCATTGCCCTCCAGCTCAAGTTCTTATATCTCAACAGAGCCACTACCCTCTAGTATAAGCCCGAGCTTTTATGTTTCGAGCACAGAGCCACCGCCTTCTAGTATAAGCCCGAGCTTTTACGTTTCGAGTACAGAACCCTCGTCCAGCTTAAGTTCTGGCGTTTTAAGCCCGAAGCCCACGTCTTCCAGCTCAAGCTTTCACGTTTCAAGCACAGAGCCACTACCCTCTAGTATAAGCCCGAGCTTTTACGTTTTGAGTACAGAACCCTCATCCAGCTTAAGTTCTGGTGTTTTAAGCCCGAAACCATTGTCTTCCAGCTCAAGCTCTCACGTTTCAAGTACAGAGCCACTCTTCTCCGGTTCCAGTTCTCACATCTCAACTACAGAGCCACTGTCCTCTAGTATAAGCCCAAGCTTTTACGTTTCAAGCACAGAGCCCTCGTCTTCCAGCTCAAGCTCTCACATCTCAAGCACAGAGCCACTCTCCTCCAGGTCCAGTTTTTACGTTTCAAGCCTGAAGCCATCCTCCTCTAGCTTAAGTTCTAATTCTTCGGTATTAAGCACCGAGTTATATTCGTCGAGCTTTACCTCAAATTATTATGCATCAAGCATAGAGCTATCGTCCTTTAGCTTAACATCTGGCTCTGACGTATTGAGCGGAGAGCCCTCACTGTCCACTAGCTCGAATTCTTACGTATTAAGTACGGGGCCATCTTCAAGCTCTAGCTCATTTAGTTCGAATTGGGATTTCACGGGCTCCACCTCTTCAGTCAATTCAACTCAAGTTGTCTCTAGCAATTCAAATATGGTGTCTTTGTCGGTCTCAACCCTACAAGTACCCAACCCTCTGAGCTCAACTGGAGTTGTATTGACGTCCCAACTTATTGGCAGCTCTACAGGTCCAATAGAATCCATGTCAACATCACAGACTGTTAGTAGCTCAAGCTCGAGTGCTCTGAGCTCACCAGGCTTTGTTTTAACCTCACAACCTGTTGTGAGCAGCTCAGATTCGAGTACTCTTAGCCCTACAGGCTTCGCTTTAACCTCACAACCTGTTGTGAGCAGCTCTAGTTCGAGTATTCACAGCTCTACAGGCTTTGCTTTAACCTCACAACCTGTTGTGAGCAGCTCAGATTCGAGTACTCTTAGCTCCACAGGCTTTGCTTTAACTTCACAACCTATTAGTAGCTATAGTTCGAGTATTTACAGCTCCACAGGCTTTGCTTCGACCTCGCAACCTGTAAGTAGCTTAGATTTGAGTACTCTTAGCTCCACAGGCTTTGCTTCAACCTCGCAGCCTGTGAGCAACCCGAATTCGAGTACTCTCAGCTCAACGGGCTTTGCTTCAAAAGTAGCTCTCCGCAGCTTGAGTTTCCCGGTCTCGTCGAGGGCAGTCTCAAGCTCGCAGGCGTTCAGCTCAAGCTCAAGCTTATTGAGCTCAACAGGTATAATTTCAAATTCACTACCTTCTAGCACAACGGGGCCTCCCTCAACTTTACAAGGGACCGGATATGTATCAAGACCTTCAGGCGCAGTAACAAGGGCTTTTGCTTCAAGCTCGATAGGAGGAGTCCCAGAGTCAGGTTCAGGGGTAGGCTCAAGCTCCAGCTTAAGCTCACTAAGCTCAATACAGCTAATTCCGACTACCCTACTTGGTGGCTCAATGGGGGCTTCTTCAAGTTCACAGGTGACAAGCCGAAGCTCAAGCTCATTGGGCTTAATAGGCCCCGCCTGGAGTTCCTCAGTCTCCGCCGGAGCAGTTTCAAGCTCAAACTCACCGAGCTCAGAAGGGTTGATTTCAAAATCCCTACTTGATGGCCCATCGGAGTCTCCTCTGACTTCACAATGGCCCGGAGATACGTCAAGCTCAATGAGCATGTTAACCGATGTGGTTTCGAGATCACCGGGGATTCGCTCAAGCTCAAGCTCAAGCCTACCGGGCTCAATATATGGAGGCTCAGGCTCAAGCTCGCTGGGCTCAACTTTTTGGGCTTCGTCTTTGTTAGGTTCGACCGGAATTGCCTCCAGCAGCTTCGGCTCAGTACCCTCATCCTTGTCAATCCCACAAGTTACTAGTTTATCAATGGGGTCTTCTCCTTCATCTAGTAGCTCTAACTCATTACTCCCGTCCGTAACAAGTTTACAAACAGGTAGTTTGTCAAGATCAACCAGTGCTGGGGCAATATCTACGATATCTAGTCAATCACCGCAATCATCAGCGCCTGTTATTATGCACCAAGTAAGCACGCCATTCGGTATCTACGCCGAGATAGGCTGCTACATTGACTTGACTGGAGATGGATATCCTCTCATAAACGCTTCTTCTGCCAATGTTACGACGGTTCCCCAATGTGTCGAAGTTTGTGACTCCAGCATTAATGGGACCTATTTCTATGCCGGAGTGGAAGGAACGGCATGCTACTGCGCGAATGCAATCGACTCGGATGCAGTGAATGACACTTCGGCTTGTAATCAGCCTTGCCAGGGTGACCCAGCTCATATCTGTGGAGGAAGTGGGACTGGGCTTCGACGGAGAGAAGGAGGGGGTGGGATCGTGGTATACGAAGTAAACCTCTATTTCTATTTCAAAGAATTGTAAACTAATCACTTCTTTAGCTTTTCCCAACGTCCAACTCGAGTTCAACGGCAATTGCTTCCCACAGTTCTACATCAAGTTTCTTGGTTTCTTCAACTTTGACAAAATCAAATGCTGGCAGCTCAACATCTCAGCTCCCGTCAAGTTCGAATGTGGCAAGCTTCTCAGGAGCAGCCGCATCAACGAGGTCTTTGTTATCTGGTGTAGTAATAAGCCCTAGCGTCTCAAGCTCATTGCCATCTTCCAGCTCCTCAGCCAATGCTACATCAACACTCTCTACATTATCTAGTCTTGTAACGAGCCCATTGATGTCCAGTGCATTTGTTTCCACCAATATCAGTCCAGGAATATCTTCAGTTGGACAGCAGTCGAGCAACGCTTCCGTTGGACCCTTAACTCTAGAAACCTCAATGTACTCGAGCTTCTCTTCGTCGGAGCCATCAGCCGCTGTCAGCTCGAGTGGCAGCGGTGTAACTACCAGCACAGCACAAAGCTTAAATCCTTCTCTATCTCAGGCTTTAAGTGTTGCCAGTTCAAGTGGCAGCACTTCCACTGTCGGCATATCACAAGGCTCAAACCCTTCATTATCTCAGGCATTTGCTGCAGAGAGCTCAAGTGGCAGTTCATCTATTATCGGCAAATTACAAAGCTCAAGCTTGAGCGCATCTTCACTTCAAGCTGTCAGTGCCGCCAGTTCAAGTGGCAGTACTGTTGGGGCAATGCATGGCTCAAGCGACTCTTCTCAGCCGTCAGCCGAGCCCAGCGTGAGCAGCTTCAGATCCAGCATTGGCACAGTAGTACAGAGTTCCAGCCTATCTCTATCTCAGACACTGGGTGCTTTCAGCTCAAACAGTGCGGGTTCCGGCGTTGGGACGGAGATTCAAAGTTCAAGTTCTGCAACACCTCAGCAGTCTGTTCCTGTTAGTTCGAGTAGCAGAGTATCAGGACAACGGTCAAGCTCATATTACTCGTCTGTTGAACTTTCAGGCTTCGCTGCTGCCTCAAATTTGTCCTCCTCTGCCTTCTCACAAGCGGCAAGTTCGACAACTCCTGGCCAGTCCAGTGTGTCTCACTCGACAAACCCTTCAACTTCTGTGGTCCTCAGCCTCTCAACCACTTCGTCTTTCATAGGCTCAACCAGTAACTCTATCCTCCCTCCCCGAGGCTTGAGTACATCTGTGTCGGGTAGTGTCGGGTTTGGTTCTTTCGCCCAAGCATCTTCGGGCTCTGTGAGTTCTACTAGCTCGGCTGGCGCTCTGGGTCCCGCTTCATCCTCAGTTTCAGAGTCAAGTACTCCAATAATAGATTCAATCAATGGAGGAGGAGCCTCAAGCTCATTAGGTCTATCATTATCTGCGATATCATCAGAGCAAACTATCAATTCTAACGATATCGCCGGGACCTCGGGTCCATCAGGACTAGCCGGTCTCCCACTATCATCCATCCAGCCAGGTAGCCCAGGCAACACATCAACCTCGTCTAGCCAAGCAGGTGCTGCACAAACATCGAGCGAAATCGGAAGCTCTAGCAATGAAGCGGCCTCTTCTATCCAAGCTGTTAATTCAAGGCAATTCAGCACAACGGGTGCATCAGTCTACACATTCATATCGTCCAGTCAACACGATACCGCACAATCATCTAGTCAAAGAGTGCGCTCTGGGAACGCAGGCTCATCCAGCCAAGCGAACGGTGCACAATCGACCACAACTTTATTATCTAGTCATCCAGTGACCTCGAACTTTGTAGCCGTATCGCCCAGTGCGACTGGTTTGGCATACCCGCCAAGTCCAATTTCATCCAGCCTCCCTCACCCTGAGAGCAGTATGGTATCGTACAGCATACTGGGCGCACCGCCGTCCGGTGAACCTCTGAGCCCAAGCAATGCAGAAGCGTCGTCTAGCCAAGGAGGCATCGTCACATCGAATTCAATATCATCTACCAAAATAGGCGGAGGCCCAGGCAATATAATTGTATCGTCCAGCCAAGTTGGGGCCTCTCAAATCTCATCTCAAGCATCACCTAGTCAACTACAAAGCTCTAGCTATCTCCCTGCTTCCTCTGGCCAAACCCAAAGCTCCAGCAATTTTCCAACTTCGTCTGGTCAAGCATTTCCATTCTCGTCCACGGTGGTATCGCATACCCAAGTAGGTGGGGCCTCATCGACTGCCGAATTGTCTAGCCAAGTTGGTGTTCCAAGTATCTCTCTAGCATGGTCTGGCGTATTAAGTGCGACTACGGGACTGTCAAGCTATATTGAGAGCTCTAATAAAGTTCTAACATTATCCAACCAAGCGGGTGCAGGATCCTCAACTCGATTCACGCCTTCTTCAAGTATTCCAGCTACAGCAAGCCCAACGGCTGCTTTGTCAACTGGGGGATTGAGCGCTGTACTGTCATCAACCCCAGTATTACCAAATCAAGCCATAAGTTCTAGCAACATAGCCGTGATTTCCAGTTCATCAACATCATTCGATCAACCGTCAACCCCTCTATCATCGCTTTTGACTTCCTCTATGGTTTCTGGCAACATGGCTGCTGCAACATTCTCTCAATCCTCCGCCAATGTGCCAGGCACAATATCTTCTATTAGAGCAAGTTCAAGAGCAAGTTCAAATGCCCAAGTTCAATCCACATCGCCAAACTCAGCCAGCTCCAGAGACGTATCTAGTGCTGTGTCTTCTACTAGAATATATCACAGTGCACAAGATCAATCATCAAGTTTTGGACGTTCAGTCATTTCAGCAGGCAATTCCGCTGTATTTCCACCATCCACCGCCGGCCCAGGCTCAATTACACAGGTTTCTTCGTCGACACTTGAAAGTTCATTCGGTCCAGCAGGCATTTCCAGTCTTATCCCGCTGTCGACAGCTGCAGCACATGCGCAATCATCGGCCCACGGAAATCCAGACGCATCGAAGACCCTACCCGGCACATTGCCATTATCTATGGATGTTCTAAGTTCGAACATTCAAGTCCAGACGACATCGGTTGGAAGCCAAACAGGTTCAACGAGCCTGCCAGTTTCATTGTCATCCTCAAACCCAAATATTGTATCGAGCGTGCCGCAAAGCTCCAACATCGCCAACACAGTAGCAACGACCAATGTTACCCCAAGAAGTAGTAGTACATCCAACGCGGCTACCATCATCTTGCAAGTCGTGCCCGTATCTACCCCCGCCCATGGAAGGAAACACCATCACCATACTCATCATCGCACACTGTACCTGGGCGCACTCTCAGCCTTCGCGAGAGCCAACTGCTCCCAAGCTCTCCCCTTCACGCTCTCAAATGGCGAACTTACTGGTTTAAACGGAGATTATTTCTCCGCTGACCCAAGCACAACTTGGGAGCCTTTCCGGACGTACCCCACGAAAGACAGTATCATCACCACCTTCGGGCTCTTCCCAAACGGCACGCTATATTGGACATACCCCTCCTTTACAGGCAATTACACGCTGTTCTGCCAGACCATGTCCGGAGAAATTTATGTTCTGTTTGCTGGGCCGATGGACCTTCCAGACCGAACTTATCCAAATTATCTGCTAGATTGTAGTCCTGTGATGCTTTCAGCTATCACTCGTAAGTTACCCTTTCCCCATCTCTCTCCATTGTACTAACTCCTTTTTGTAGCATCAGAGTGTCCCATCAGCTCAGCTACCACAGTCATGGCCTCTCACATATGCACTACATCCCCCTCGGCATATCAGTTCTCGACCTCAATCATCGGGCAAGCCTGCGTACTAACGACCCTAACTTGGAATGCTTGTTGTACACCAGTTCCCACTGGGCCTTAGTACCCCCATAATTTTGAGAGTGGAGAGAATATGCTCAGTGAGGGGTGAGCAGAATCGAGGGAAATGCATACCACAGTCTCATAATGAGTCAAAATCCCATATTTGTTTTCTGGCGGAAGAATTTGTTCAGCGAGAGAGAAATGGCTGTATTTCAGGTCGCATGTGTCGGTAGTTTTAGACTGGTATTCGTTCATCCAATGGGTTTTCCAGATTGTTCGATGTAAAGCGAACCCCCTCCCCCTCCCCCCCCGGCCTGGGAGTCGATTGGGCGCCAGACTAGCCACTAACCCAAAGTAGAGGCGCTCGGATAAGAACACCAAAAATCTGGCTATTTCTTTAATTTAATTCTTGCTTTATTTCCTTATAGCACTAATTAAGAGTTATTTAAATATAAACTTTTTATAAACTTTGAATTAGTAATAGCTCTTTTAATTAAAGAAAATAAAAATTTCTTATTTTATAATTATAAAATATATAATAGCAAGGTAATATACAAGTAATTAAAGTAAATAAGCTATAAAGTAATTTTAATAAGAGACTAATTAATATTATAACGGCGCTGGCTGGGGCCAAAGGGGGGTAGCTATTATATGACTAGTTTCACCTAGCTAGCCGGTATTTCAGTAGTTTTAGCTAGTACTTCCCTCTCTTTATTCCCTCCTTCTTCCCTCTCTCTCTCCTTTTTCTCTTTAGCTTAATATTTTCAATATATGAGATTCTAGGATCTTTGAGCCCTGGCTATTACCTTAATCCCGCTATTACAAATATTTCTTTTTAAAGCTATATATATTTCCTTATATATTTTCTAATATTTAGCTAAGTATATAAAGCCCTTTATTTAATTAGAAAACAAATTTTTAATATAAGTATTACTTAAAATAAGAAACCAAATTTATTATATTTAATATTTATTTATATTTTATTATATATATTATTATATTAACTTTTTCTCTAAGGTTTTATTTTTAAAAAGGCTTTAGTAAATTACAAATAACTTTATATATACTTCTTAAAACTTTTATAACTATTAATCTTAATTCAAGAATTCTTTATTTATATTTTTATATTTTTATATTATATAATTACTTAATAAATACATATAATATAGCT